AACGGACAAGTTTTTTTCTCGCCCATCACCCACACGGAAATGTAGTCATGTCTACCTGGTAATCAACTGTTGAAGGATCTACTCAAAGAGCACTCACCGTCAAAAACATAAGCTTGGATTTGGTTTCTCGTGTTGCTCAATTTGTAGAACGCGTCTCCTGCCTTCTCACTCAGAGCGCGGTATTGTATGGACGCGACCACATTGACGAACACATTGTCCTGCAACAACTCCGCCATCAACGACTGCCCATCATGGACGAACAAAGTCCGAGGGTTTTGATCTTCCCAGAGATCACATGGACCTTCACGACTGCCGATTAGATGTGGATGCATGATTCCAGGAGAATACTGATAACTAACCGTCTAATCTATCCCTTGTCAACGTAGAAAGAGGGGTTGATATTTCTCATCTTGGGCTGAAAAGTGTGGAGGAGCTGATCTTCCCAGGGATCATATTGGTGATCTTAACTGGATGCAAGGAGTGGGTGGAGGTTCGCTGGAAATTCTGGAGGGGTATTCGTGTAGTATATCCCGTATGAACGTAGGAAGAGGAGACCAACCTTAGTTTTTGTCTCGCATTTCACATCCAGCTGCTGCAACCGGAGAGTGAGGCGACCAGCGATCTGGCTGCCGAGAAACCAGGGTAGGCAGTGGCAACCTGGCTGGAGAACATCATCGAACTTTCCGAATCTTTCCTTAATAGCCACAGTGGACTGGTCAACTTTTACACAGCATAACAGGTTTCCCATGGCTAATCTGGAAACAAAATTGCGTCAAAACTAGCGAGCAGACGGTAAAAAGATAAGCTATTTTATCAAATGTCGCAGAGATCGACGCGCGGAGTGATGAAAATCCGTGAATAGGAGGCTTATAAATCTCTAGCCTAAAGTCACGAATAGGAGCCTCTAAGAGACAGATTCAAGCCCAGGGCGAGCCATATGAAGCCTGGGACCGACCCAAAAATTCAACCCTGGCTTGGCAAAAGTGAACCCACGTCTCTTGAGGGAGATGTGGTCCATTATGGCAGGAACACATGGAACCGACGAAAGAGGTCACTGATAGGCAGGTTATCAGAAAAGTAAACACCAAAAGAAGCTTCATCCGGATCCTAAGTCCCAGCAGAGAGCTGAGAATCTGGCAGAAACCAAATCTTTGATTCTAAAGATGAGGTACGCCATATAAATATTGAACCCCGATCATAATTTCATTCTATAGCGTAATCATTTTTCTCGTGCAGGAATTTGAGACAGAAAGGACCCATAAATATGAGAAAATTACTACCTTGGCTCCCCAGAAAATCCAAGCTACGAGAAGAAACCAAGAGACTGCTGCGAGAGGAAGGCAAAATAACATGAATGGAGATATAAGAGGTAGATGGCAGCATTTATATACATCGGACCAGCAGGGCACAGCTTAGAAAAAAAACAACCCTAGGTCAATGGCATCATGATAACGTCGGCACCAAGAACTTGGAGGGCAACTTCCAGGATTACGCCATTTAAAACTGATCCAGATCAGAGAAACCAACCCCTGTTTTCTAAGAAGCAACAACAAAGTGGACAATAAACTATATAAAACGGGATAGGTTCGCCTTCTCATATCGTCCAAAACTCGGCCACGTTGACTTCCATTAGACAGATGCCAACCCACAGATTCCAATCCCTGGAGAAATTTATGACAGAGAGAAAGGGGTCCTGATTCTACCGCGTGGTGGCCAGCAAGTTTGCCGCGTAGTTCCCTATTTGCAGTCCCGCACGCAATCGAAGGAAAAGTCCCCAGTGAGGAAGCCGAAACCTCTTGGTATGGAAGAGGCCACCGTGATGATTCAACGATGATAAGACAGATCTAAAAAAGATACGACAGAGACATAAGATAAATGTATAAGAAGAACGATGGAGAGAGCGACAGAGAGAAATGGTGAGGCTGGGGGGGTGGTGGGTTGGTTCAAGAGGAGACATCTAAAAGGATAAGAGACGAGGAAGCACCACAAGGTCTCAAGACTTCCAAGGGGGCACCTCGGAAGCTTCCTGCTCTTCTTACCCGCCTCTTCAGCTATTGATGGGGATACGGACGGCGATCGTTGTCGAATAAAATTTGTGGGGTCCTTCATATTATCAAACATGTTCTTGAAGTTCACTTCACGCGTGAAGATTTGTCAAGGGTAAACGGTTATTCTGTACCGCAAAATTCGGCTGGCGGGCGTGTATAGAATGACCAAGGGGTTGGAGAGAATGGGCAGTTGACTTTTTGATAAGACTCACCCTAAGTACTGAACCTGTGTAGCTTAATTTCTTTCTTAAAGAAAATAGCGAACTAAATTTGGACAAAAAATTATATCTCGAACTTCTCCATAACATAAAGATTATTATCATTAATCATTCAATTGTATCAGTCAGACCCAGTCTAGATTAGGAGAAGAGCATGAAAATTTATTGACAAATACTGGCTCAATGAATCCCTCTCATCATCACCATCAACGTATTAGGGTGTTCATGATGGTCCCCAGCAGAAGGTCCTCCACCGTTAGCAAGGGACATTGACCTTGCAAGTCACCACACCTAAGTAGCAGGTTAGCCTCATCGTGAACGAACCCAGCTTGGCCTTAATCATACCCTTGTTGGAGAACACCAAGTGGGGCCAATGTGGGCCCAACTAGACGAATAAAGCACCATTCATCAGCAGGTCCCCCTCCAACCTCCAAGTCTACTACCTCCACTGGTCATGGTCCTCCGTTGTGTAATCCTTCTTCGTCACCTACACAGACCACCCCCATCACCATTCAGGGAACCTTATACGGTCGTCTGACTGTAAACCTATAAAGCAAACAGTGCTTGTGCAAGAATCACAAGAAACCGCTCTCCCAGTTTTCACATAAACCATTTCTAATATAAACATTGCAGCTCAACATTGTCATAATCAAGAACTAACCATTGTATTCAAACGGCTCAAGAACTAGTCGTTGCGCTCAAATGGAACTCTTTGTAAATCTCTTGTGTAAGGAGACTGAGAACCTTCTCTGTAGATCTGGTTCTTCTCTTTGAAAATCATATTATTCTTATTCTCTCAGGCTCTCTTCTTTTCTAGCTACTCTGCATGATTACTTTTACATGATATCAAAGCCAAGATTCCTCAACATTAAGTGGAAAGAAAATGGCAACTTCAACAGTAGCTCTATCAAATGTTCTTCCTTTTCTTCCATTGAAGTTATTCAATGACAATTACTTGTTGTGAAAGACAATCTACAGCATCACCACCACCAACAATTTCTGATGAGAAAAGAGTTTCTAAACCAAACTCTGATTTTATTACATGGGAACAAAATGACTAACTCATTCTTTCATGGATACTCTCCACTCTAATAGAATCCATTTTTCCAATTATAGTTGGTCGCAATACATCAAAGGCCACATGGGATACATTAATTAGAAAAAAAAAATCTTGTTCTAAATTTTGTGTTTTACAATTACACACCAAATTACTTGCTGCATAGTGTGGCACTTTTTTAGTTCATTCTATCAAGAAAATATCTGATGAACATACTACAATTGGTATTATTGATAATAAAAAAATCATCTTTATCATTCTTATATTTTTATTAGAACTTCTTAAAATAACTTAGAGGATTAGGTCCTAGCTATGAAGCATTCATCGCAAGTATGCAAACCTGCATGGATTCTCTCATGCTTGAAGATGTTGTTGCTCATCTAATTGCATGTGAAACAATTATGTCACAATATCATTAATTACAATATGCCTCTCAATATTCATCGGTAAACTATATCCATACAAGTCAACATACCAATAGAAGATGCAACTATAGTGGAAGAAGTGGTCATAGTGAAGGATGTGAGCATGAATGAGGTAGAAAATGAATACCAAGTTGTCAAATATATCTCCAATTTAGACACCATGGACATGAATGTAAACAACACTTTAACCAAAGTTTTATTGGAAGATTCGTTAATGGTCAACAATCATGGCAAAATCAACCATAGATCAAGAACAATTTTTCAAAAACCCACACAACTGCATATAATAATGCATCTATAAGTAGTTACCATCACATCACACCATATTACAACACACTAATTGATCCATCAATTTATACAGGTTTTGATAAATTTCATATTAGAAATAGAGGACTATCCATCTCATCTCATGGTGACTCTATGTTTAAAACACCCTCTTGTCCTCTGAAATTAAATAGTATTCTTCGTGTCCCCAACATTACTCACAATCTCTTTTATATACGAAAACTCACTTCAAATAATGAAGTCTTTGTTGAATTTCACCCATCTTATTGTTTTGTAAAAGATCGGATCACAAGATGACCACTTCTTAAAGGACAAGTTAGAGACAACCTTTATTATTTTTCACCATTCAATGATGTACCTACAATGTATTTGCACGAACAAGTCTCTCCTCTAGTCTAGCATGCCATGTTAGGACATCCATATTTCAAAATCCTTTGTAAGATCATCAATAAATTTAGTTTACCCACTAATATTCCCAATCTATATGCATGTGAATCATGTTGTCTTTCTAAAACACACAAATTTCTATTTCAAAAATCATCTCATGTGACTCAATAACCCCTTGGATGAATTCACTCTTACCTTTGAGAGCTTTCACCCATCCAATCTCATTATAGTTTCTCTTACTACATCATATTTGTTGACGAATTTAACAAATATAATTGACTCTTTCTTCTCAAATGCAAAAGTGATCTTCTTGACATTTTTTTTCAATTTCAGCAGTAAGTAGAAAGATAATTTTCTTCAAAAATTATTTCTCTCTAATCTGACTTGAGAGGTGAATATCAATCACTACATCATCATCTCAAATAAGGCAGCATTCAGCATTGTCTTTTGCCTACATAATCCTAAACAAAATGACATTGCTTAGCACAAGCATCGTCATCTTATTGAAACATCACTTGTTCTTCTTTACAATGCTTCAATGTCACACAAATATTGTGACAAAGCTATGTTTACAGCAACCTATCTCATCAATTGCCTACTCACTCCCAATCTTCAAAATCAATCACCCTTTGAACATTTATTTCAAAAACCTCCATATTACTCATTTCTTTGTACCTTTGGTTATGTGTGCTATCTTTAATCTCCATCCATATACACAAGATAAGTTCACTCAATGTTCAGATCATTACATCTTCTTAGGCTATAGTTCTCTTCATCTAAGTTATCATTATCTTTTATTTTCCTTTAAACATCTTCATATTTAACGACATATTGTCTTCAATGAATCTATTTTTCCTTATATAGAAAAGTCTACCACTTTAACTATAACACAAAAACCATCTAATGATGTTGGGGTCATTGGATCATTTCTTAACAAAGCAACACAGTAGTATGATTCTATTATATCACAACTAGAAAAAATTGTAAAATTATCTCAAACTTCTCCATGTCAATTTTTTTACTTGAAAACAACCCTATAGAAATAACACAAAACTCTCATATCCAAAACACTATAATCCCTTCTTTTAAACTAACTACATCTAATTTTGATTTTAAACACTATAACCCTACATCTGTACTAAATCTATTCAAGAAATCTATGACACTACTTAACCAATTTCTTCTTATGGACAACTTGTTCAATATTATCCTCCTCTTCTATTTCTTATTGTCACTTTATTGTTCACCGAACCTACTTATTTCACACAAGTATCTAAGGATCTCTTATAGAGAACAATAATGGCATCAAAATTTGATACACTCCTCAAAATTGACACTTTGTCTCTTGTACCTCAAAAACTAGATATACATCTCATATGTTGTAAATGGATTTTTTGTATAAAACAAAAGGCAGATGGTTATACTAAATGCCACAAGGCACATACTCATAACTAAAGAATTTCATCAGTAATTAGGTCTTAATTTTGTTAAATTTAGGATTAACTTAAAAAAGAAAATATAATTTTGATGATTTTTAGATAATAAGTTGATTATGTTGAAATTGATGATATTTTATGTAAATTGAATTAAAGATTATTTTGGTGAATATATTAATGTTTAAATTGTTTGGATAATGATATGAGGTCTTAGATTATATGGGAAAAAATTATATTCTATTTCAAGTACTATCATGGATATAAATGTTAGACCAAATGAATATAACGATAATAAGAAGTTAATATGAGGTACAAATGTTATCATCTCATATGTAAGTCTTAATATATGAAGCTATTTAAACAACAAGTCAAGTTAAATAAACTTAGAAAAGGATTATCAAGACATTGATTTGATATTTGATTTCACAATATTACTATTTTTTTATATTCACTCAAGAGCAGAAAAGTTCAAAAGTATGACCTTTCATACTAATGTAATTTTTATATCATAAAACAAGCAACAAATATAGGTGTGAGACCATTCAATGGAAAGCTGATTTAAGAAGAATTAAGAACTAAAAGTTGTTACTAAATATTTTGCCGTAATAAGAGAGTAAGAATTGATCATTATTTACAATTACTTTTTTTATACTTTTTAGATCTGCACATGGCTCATTAAGTCCCATTTTAGTTCAACTATTTGACTCGATAAGGGCCAAAAGAAAGTGGCCCATCCTACCTATAAATAAGGTAGTTCACCCAAAATCAGACAAGAGAGAATAGCATAATTTTCAAGCAACATATGCTGCTTCAATGACAATTTTTCCTCTATGTCAACTCATTTCAACTTTTGAAGAATCAAGGGTGAGATTGATTACTTCAAGGGAGCTCTAGACATCTCTTCAACTCTCAAGAGCTTTCTCCTTCAGCCTAGCATCATTAAACAAATTCAACAACTCTTAGTGAATAGAAAATAAGATTTGAAAGTTATAGTAAAATCGTTTCGTATTATTCATTATTTCTACCTCTATTTGTAGTTTGTGGACTAGTTGAGGCGCATGTGATGTGTCGTCAACGCAATCACATACTCAGTTGAGGCACCTGTGGTGTGCTTGCAACAAGAAGACCTAAGAACCTAATAACTCTAAGGTTGGAATTCTAGGTCTATTGGTCACACACTTGTGTAACTTGGGAATGTAAGGGGTTCTTAATTCTACTAAAATCAAGATTATATCATAGGGTAGAATAATAGAATTGAGGTGGAGTCCTGGAAAGTTAATATAGGTCAAAAGAGTTAGTAATACCTCCCAAGGTAAAAATATATATAGTGATGCTTTTTCTTTGTGTTGACATCACCATTCAAATCTGAATCTACAAAACTTTAAACTTGAGTTGTATCTCTTAAATCAAAAAACATTCTTGAGGTGATTCTTAAATAATGGATAATTCATTGGGCAACCATTTAATGTTAACTTTTTGAATCTACACATAGCCCCCACTATATGAATTATATACAGTCTAGAGTAGACCATATTACACACGAGCATTTATTTTTTGATTAATTTTAGAGTTAATGAGTTATAAAGAGACCCAAGACAAAGCAGAATAGGAAAAACTTATAAAGTGGAAATCAAAATCTATCATATCAAATATATTAGAGAAAGATAGTTAGAACAGAAGGTATTTTGGCTACGCAAATGGCCCAATATAGTTGTTAATGTTGGACAGACTGGTTTTAGATTACGGAATTTCCTTCAAAGACATGAAAGGATATCTTCAGCCCACTAAACCACTTCTAGGCCGAGTTGCAGCCTGACCGGCTGAAGGGCCCAATGCCCCAGGTTGGCACAAGGGCCAATTTTTCTTCTCCGGCCTATCGACGAAGACCTTCTCATCTTCCATTTGGACTGAGCGAGAGGGAGAGAGAGATGAGATCCACGATAGCAGGCCGCTTCAGCAAGAACTTACAGAGAGACTGAGACTATAAATAGACAGCCCCCAGTTCGACAGGAGTGGCCCGGCTTCGCACGCGGTCGCCATTCCAGCAGGGACCCGCAGAATGTCCGATTAAAAATTATAAAAATGGATCCACATAAATAATAAATCTGATATAAAATTACATTAATAATTTTTTAAATATTTTTTACGATATAATCCCCTGAAGTAATGTCTAAGATTCTCGTCGCTTATATTAGAGAGAGAGAGAGAGAGAGAGAGAGAGAGAGAGAGATCCTTCTGGAAAAGCACACTTCTTCGAAGAACAAGGAAGACCACAGTAAATGGCGGGGGAGATTAACGATGTATGAAGGACTGACGTAGGCTCGAGCAATCACTATCTACTGCTTATTAACACATTGGACGCGCGACAGCTTCCACGGAGGCTACGCCGTCTGTGGCCAAGGAAATTCTACTGATTCACAGAAGCTTGGAGGAGACCGTTGCGGATCTGAGTGGCGACGTCGTGGACGGCCCCAGGGCCGTGGGGGATGAATACGGCGGAGGACTTGGAAGCGGCGCCGATCTCCTTCATGGTGTCGAAGTACTGGGTGACCAAGACCATGTCCATCACGTCCTTGGCCGTCGTCCCCGGCACGTTGACAGAGAATCCGAGGACGCTGTCTCTGAGCCCGTCGACGATCGCCTGGCGCTGGCGAGCAATTCCGAGTCCGGCCAGGTACTTGGACTCAGCCTCCCCCTCCGCCCGTTTAATCTGTAGGATCTTCTCTGCCTCAGCCTTCTCGTTTGCAGCCATCCTGAGCCTAAGAGCTGAGCGAGGAAGAGGGATGAGGGGGTTGTAACGTATTTATAACGTTTCTCATATGATTAATGTTGAATGTTTGACGATGAAAAGGGTGTGAATGAAAGAAAAGCTTCGATTCCCATTTGCATCAATCGATAAGGCAACGCCAGAAAAATCATCGAGATGAATCTCACAAAATTCTCAAAAAGTTGATGACGTTTACCTACAGAACAAAAATGTGCTACGAAAGAATGATACCCAAATATGGATGATCTCAAAAAGACAAAGGAAATACACTAAGAATCACACGTCTGAACAACAAATAAGTCAGATATACTGGTGATTTTTTTTAATTTCATCATATATTTTAGAACAACAACATCTAACCAATAATGTTAAAGATCCCTCCCGATCAACGTATTAAAACGAAAACATTAAATGGGATAAATTCAACACCGGATGGGGAGGAGCACACTACCAGCATTGATTTCGTTCATGGCTCGCTTCACGCGCTCATCTGGCTCTATATCGACGATGAGCGTCTGCACAATCTCAAACCCGTAGTTCGACATGGCCTTCTCCAGTTCATCCTCCACTGCCTTGGCTATGTCGTTCTTCTGCTCGAATGCGTCGTCCAGATTAAGCTTCGGAACGCTTGCCCTGATAACTGGCAGGAGAAGAAAAAGTACGAGTATTTTTCTCGCCCATCACCCACACGGAAATGTAGTCATGTCTACCTGGTAATCAACTGTTGAAGGATCTACTCAAAGAGCACTCACCGTCAAAAACATAAGCTTGGATTTGGTTTCTCGTGTTGCTCAATTTGTAGAATGCGTCGCTTGCTTTGTCACTCAGAGCGCGGTATTGTATAGACGCGACCACATTGACGAACACATTGTCCTGCAAGAACTCCACCATCAACGACTGCCCATCATGGACGAACAAATCTGAGTGTTTTGATCTTTCCAGAGATGAAATAGACCATCACGACTGGTAATTAGATGTGGATACAAGTTTCCTGGAGCATACTGATAACTATACGTTTAATGTATCCAGTGTCAGCACAGAGAGGAAATGATATTTCTCATCTTGGGCAGAAAAATGAGGAGGAGATGATCTTCCCAGGGATCAAATCGGTCATCTTGGGCAGAATTTCTGGAGAATTCTGGAGGGGTATTCGTGTAGTATATATATCTAGTACCAGCGTACAAAGAGGAGACCAACCTTAGTTTTTGTCTCGCATTTCACATCCAGCTGCTGCAACCGGAGAGTGAGGCGCCCAGCGATCTGGCTGCCGAGAAACCAAGGTAGGCAGTGGCAACCTGGCTGGAGAACATCATCAAACTTTCCGAATCTTTCCCTAATAGCCACAGTGGACTGGTCAACTTTGACACAGCACAACAGATTTCCCATGGCTAATCTGGAAGCAAAATTTCGTCAGAATTAGTAAGCAGGTGGTGAAAAGATAAGGTATTTTATCAAAGTGTTGCAGAGATCGACGAGCGAAGTGAGGAATAGTCTGCGACAGAGGGTGATTAAAGGACAAGCGTGTCCTAAAGGATTATAATTCACCAGCCTGATGCTCTGAATAGGAGTCTCTACGAGATAGATTCAATCCCAGGATGAGCCATACGAAGCCTGGGACCTAGCGAAAAATTCAACCCTGGCTTGGGAAAAGAGAACAGATGGAACCGACGAAACAGATCACTGATACGCAGCTCATGCAGCTGACTGAATATAAGAGGAAGCTTCAGCCGGATGCTAAAACCCAGCAGAGAGCTGAGAATCTGGCAGAAAGTCAGATCTTTGATTCTAAAGGTGAGGTACGAGATATTAGACTGAACCGCCATCATAATTTGATTCTATAGAGTGATCATCTTTCTAGTACCGGAATTAGAGACAAAAAGGACCCATAAATATGAGAAACTAACCACTTGGCTCCCCAGCAAATCCAAGCTGGGAGAAGATAACAAGAGCCCTCTGCAAGAGTAAGGCAAAGGAACAGGAGTGGGGATGTTAGAGGAAGATGGAAGCATTATATAACCGGGACCAGCAGGGCATAGTTTAGAAGAAAAACAACCCAAAAGTCAATGGCATCATGATAACGTTGGCGCCAAAGATTTCGTGAGAAACTGCCAGGATTGCGCCATTAATGAACACGTCCAGATCAGCGAAATCGGTTTTCTTATAATAACAAACATAGGAAACCAACCCCTCTACTCTAAGAAGCACCAAAATGGAGAATAAACTACGTAAAAGGGGATAGGTTCGCCTTCGCAAATCTCGCATAGACTCGCAGATCGACGTCGACTTCCATTATACAGATGTCAACCCGCAGATTCTAATCTCCGGCGAATTCTATGACAGAGAGAAAGAGGCCCTGCTCCCACTGCGTAATTCCTTGTTTCCAATCCCTCACGCAATCGAGAAATAGAAAGTCCCCTGGAATCCAGGTCCCATTCGCCGAAACCTCTTGGCATAGAAGAGGCCACCGTGAGCAGCGTTCAAAGGTGATAAGATAGACATAAAAGATGCGACAGTGACGTCAGATAAAAGAATAAGAAGAATAAGAGAGAGAGAGAGAGAGAGAGAGGAAGATATTTAAGAGGATAAGAGACGAGGGAGCTTCCTGCTCTTCTTACCCACCTCTACAACTATTGGCGGCGACTGTTGGCGGATAAAAATCTGAGGGAAGACTTGTCAAAGGTAAACAGAAATTGTATCCCACCAAATTTGGTTGGGCGGGCTCGTATAGAATGACCCAGTGGTTGGAGAGAAGGAGCAGTTGACTTCTCGATAAACTCAACCATAAGTATTGACCCACCTAGCTTAATTTCTTTCTTAAAGAAAATAGCGAGCTAAATTTGGACTAAAGAACCCTAGCTCGAATTTCTTGATAACATAAAGATTATTATTAGGCATCCAATTGGATCGGTCGGACCCAGCCTAGATTCGGAGAAGAACATGAAAATTTATTGACAAATACTGGATCAATGAATCCAGCTCATCGTCATCAACATCGTATTAGGGTGTTCATGAATGTCCCCAGCGGAAGGTCCACTGTTAGCAAGGGGCATTGACCTTGCAGGTCAGCGCGCCTGAGTAGCGGGTCAGCCTCGTCGCGAACGACCCCGGCTTGGCCTTAATCATACCCTTGTTGGAGAACCGCAAGTGGGGCCGACGCGGGCCTGACTGGACGAAGAAGGCGCCATTCATCAGCAGGTCCCCCTCCGACCTCCAAGTCCACTGCCTCCACTGGTCCTCCGTCGCGTAGTCCCTCTTCGTCACCTGCACAGAACGCCACCATCGCCATTAAGGGAAGCTTATCAGCTCGTCTGACTGTAAACCACCCAGCAAGGGGAGGAGAAGGCGCCAGTAGAAGCCCACCTGCTTGGCGTTGATATCGGCAGGGGCGATGTAGCGGTTGCCCTGGCTGACGATGGTCGGGTGCTGGCTGCCGCCGACGGCGTACATCTGCCAGTGGGTGTAGTCGTTGTTGAGGACGTGGAAGAAGCCCCACCGGCACCTCGGCATCCTCTGTATGAGGCCCCTCCCAAAATGGTTGAAGGCCACGGTCACCTGCATGACGGCATCCTCACTGTTCTCGTCGTGCGCGCCGAAGAGCATCACCTGAGATCCGGTTCTTCGGACGATTAAGAGGGTTTTCTGATTTTTATAGAGAAGAGAAGCTATGGGGAAATATGGTCGCTGGTCTCTTCTATTGAGCACTCTTGCTTCCAAGTTTCCATTCGTCGGAAGAACTTTTAGAGAGAGAGAGGGAGGGAGAGATGATGGGAACCTCGTTGTGATGGGTAAAATGATTGTTGGAGATGGTGATGGCGGTGGATGCGTTGATGGCATCGATGAGGCCGTCCATGCAGTTGGACATGGAGACGTGGTCGATCCAGATGTTGGAGGAGCCGAAGATGGAGATGCCGTCGCCGTCGCTCCTGGTCCGTAGGCCGTAGTGGTTGGGGGAATCCCTGATGAACCCTCCCCCGCCGACCTTGATGTCGTGGATGTGCACTCCGTGGATGATCACATTCTCTACGAATTGCAGCGTGATGCCGGCGCCGTAGGCGATGTGCACGTTGGCTCCGCGCCCGTCGATGGTCTTGTGGCTGTTCACGAGCAGCTCCTCGTTCAGTCTGATGATCATGTCGCCGGCGAAGACGATCCACAGCGGCTCCTCCTGCACCGCCGCGTGACGCAGCGTCCCCGGCTTAGGCTCCACCAAGTCTCCGTCAGAAGGGTCCGTCACCACGTAGAGCCTCCCCCTTACGCCGCCGACGGTCCTCCGGCCGAAACCCAGCACGCACCTGGCAAGCCGCTTGCGGTGGTGCGCCCAGTCCCCGCGGCACCGCCAGCACCGGTCGATGGGGTTGGTGGCCAAGCACCGCTCTCCCCTGCGCTTCCCCATCAGCTGCCGCCGCCCCGTCGTCCCGTTGCCCGCCAGAGCCCTGCGGATTCAGAAGAAACACGCATCACGTCCCCGTCGACCCACGACGACGAAAGTAAACCCCAAGTTCTTTGTCGATCGTACTCGTTGACTTGGGCGTTGAGCTCATCGTTGACCAACTCGGGGTCAGGGTGGTAGGCGGCGGCGGCGGCCTCCCGGGCCCGCTCGGCGCGGCGCTGCCACTCCTCGTCGAAGTCCGCAATGTGGGCATGGCACAGGGCCCCGCCGCACAGGAAGAGGAGGAAGAAGGAGACCGACGCGAGGAGCTTCATGGAGCTGCTCTCTCCCCTCCTCGGCAAGGACAGGGTGGTTTCACTGGCCGCCCAACCGGAAGAGAAATGACGATCGAGAGAGATAGAGAGAGGGCCGGCGTGGGGGGAAGCTGTGAACCCGTCTGTTTAACGGGAAGGGCCAGTGGGGCACCGCCGCAGCTTTAATGGGGTGGAGCGATGAACGGGGAGAGAAGACGGGGGAGCCACGAGAGAGAAGAAGGCTGGTACTGGTTTTGGGGGGTTGGTTGCCTTTTTAAGTACTCCGGCTTTCGTTGGTCGAGAGGGAAGGGACGACTCGGGCCATATAAACTGTTATACATACATCTCAAGGGTATGGTACAATCTACATACATCGGAGCAAAGTTCGAGCAAGTATTGGACAACAACGGGCGGTTGATCAGGTGAGGAGAGAGGAGGAGGAGGAGCGGGGGGCGGAGAGGGCGACCTTGATGAAGACGTCTTCGAGGGTGGTGTCGGCGATGCCCCACGCCTGGACGGAGATGCGGGACTTGGCGGCTTCAACGGCGCGGAAGACGTCGGCTACGCGGATGTCCTGCTTGGGGATCTCGAAACGCTGGGTGCCGGAGATGTGGTAGACCTTGGCAGCGCTGGGGGAGAGCGCCGCGGCCAGCCTCTCCACTTCCGACTCGTTCTCCACCGCCGTCGTCATCGTGAATACGTAGGAGCCGCCGAAGCGCCCCTTCAGCTGTAACCCAGAAGCGACAGAGAGAGAGAGAGCGAGTTGCATGGTTAAGCCGAGTTCTGATCGGGAAGCGGGCAGAGAGAGAGAGAGGGAGAGAGAGATTTACCTGTTTTGGGTTCCCTATGCACTGCAAGCTGCCATCGACGAAGATGCAGAGTCTATCACACAGGACTTCCGCCTCTTCCATCGAGTGTGCTGAGACAAGGATACAGCTTCGTGAGCAGATGAGGGAATTCAAGGGATATGTTGATAAAGATATTTATATATGTATACATGTGGAGGAAGAGAGGGAGAGAGAGAGAGAGAGAGAGAGAGAGAGAGAGAGAGAGAGGAGACATTACTTGTGAGAATAATTGCCCGGTTCCTCTTGGCCTCCTTCACGACTTTCCACAGGTTATTTCTCGAAGCAGGGTCAAGGCCAGTGCTGGGCTCATCCATGTACACCACCTTGGGATCTCCGATGAGAGAGATAGCCACGCTCAGTCTCCTCTTCATTCCTCCGCTGTATTTCCCTGCTTGTTTATCCCCGACGCCGCCGTAGAACAGGTTGACGCTCTTCAGAGACTCCTCGACGGCCTGAAGTCACGGGGGACAAAGGTCAGCGTTTGCGGCCTGTAAACCTCGGCATTTGGGATTCTTCACGCTTGTGGAGAAGTACTCTGAATATAAGCTCACCTCCTTCAGCGCAGGGCCCTTGAGGTTCTTCAGCCGTCCGTAGAACAGTAGGTGCTCTCTGCCGGTCAACGTCTCCCAGAGCATACTGCAGTGTGTCAAGGACCGACCGGACAGAGGTCAAAACGTTTACGGTAGGATTATCTTCCAAAGACTTCCAAGAAAATGGGGGAAGATTCATACTCGTGCTGTGGGCAGACGCCCATGCTGGTGTAGATGTTGTTCATATCCGTCTCTATATCGAATCCCTGGATGTATGCATTCCCTGATGTGGGTTTCGTCAGTCCAATCATCTGGCAAAAGGATAAACACTTCAGCGTCATCTTGCACCAAAAGAACATGATAACCAAAATGCAGAGAGAGAGAGAGAGAGGCCTAGAAGAGAAGAAGGGTAGAGGGATCTCCACGCACCATATTAATGAAAGAGGTCTTGCCAGCGCCGTTTGGGCCGAGCATACCGAAGCATTCCCCAACGGGCAAAGCAAGGGAGATGCCTTGGACTGCAAGCTTATCTGGGTTTCCATCTCTTCCAGGGTACACCTTCTTGAGGTTGTTGCAGACGACGGCATAGTTGCTGTTGGGCTCAAGAAGAAGCTGTTGAACGACCTCCCTCTGATAATTTCCAACAAAACTCTGCGTAAGTTCACGGGGGCGAATAAAAAACATTGGAGAATGAAAGGAGACTACTCACTTCCTGAATAACATCAGGCTTCTCCATCTCAACGAAGACTTTAGAACCCTGTCTGCCGAGGCTTGACGCCCGAAACGAGTGGGAGATCTTCCGGAAGTGTTTCAAGAAGGACAGAGGAGTCTTCACTCGGTTGCCCAGGGAAGAGACTTGGTCCACATAGTATGCAATGGGGAGCAGGACGAGCCATTCGACAAAGATGATGATCAAGACCTCTCTCATTCCATTTGTGCTGTCGTTCAGTTTTCCCCACGTCATGCCAGAAGTTCCCATATAACCTCCGAAGAAAGCGTACTGCCCAAACTCGTAAAGACCGCGATACAGCGCAAAGGGAGGGAAAAACTCCATGACTATGATCCAAATTTCTGCAACATCAACGTCAAGATGTCAGGAATATGATCCAACCTTGTTCAAAGACAATAATTATCTCTGCTTCCAAGCGGGCTGGAGTACAGGCGTCGATACAGCTTGGTAAGTGTACCACATGCCTCTGTCACACTTGTTCTTCCGAATTAACAGCAGAATGAAGAAGAGGCCAGGCCTGACTTGGTCTTGGCTTCAATAGGGTCTATTCTCTGTCTGTGTGCGTGTGTGTGTGTGTGTGTGTGTGTGTGTGTGTGTCTGTGTCTGTGTGATTGTGTGTGTTAGATAGGTTCACACGGAAGGATGGGCTGGACTTGGGTTTCAGAGGAATCCAGCGTGGGGTCCGTTGCTCAAACTTTCGGTGAGCCCTAAGCTTGGGTAGTCCCAGCTAGGCCAGACAAAGCTCCTTATCCCCAATACATGAATAATCAAGAGACTAAACTTAGAAGGCGGTTATAAACTAACTTACTTGGGAAGGAGGTGTCATTGATGAAGGAATCGAAAAGAAAGCCTGCCAATAGCCCGGATCCAAATATGTATACGTACGCAATTGCTGCCATTTAACAAGAAAATAGTCATAAAAGAGGAATTTACCTGTGTGTATCGTATATTTTCACATAGAATATTGGGAGAGCAAATCGGACCTTGGGAAGTCCTGACATCTGAAAAGGATGGTGCCACAAGAAAAGCAAGCACGATCTGCAAGTTTACGAATAGGAAGTAGAATACGAACTGTATGCTGTAGTCGTTCAACCTGAAGAACTTCAACCCTGGAAAGGGAAGAAAAGATTAAAATAAGGATGCCAAACATGTGTGTTCTAGCTTGAAATTTATGTCCAGAGAAGTGTTTTGCGAGTGCTCTTACCGATAACTGAGCCAAATATGACGAAAAGCAACATGTAAATAACGGATAAAGCGAGAAAATAAGAATATGAAATGACCCAGTAAGGTCGATCCCCCAGTCCATGCATTTTCATCATTAGTCTCAGTTTGTGTTGCTTTTCATAAACTAAATACGTCAAGAAAACCTGCATCAGAACAAAAAAAGACTTGAGAATGACCCGGAAAAAAAATCAGAAAGAACATAATGCAGTCATTTTTTTTGCATAATATGATGGCCAATACTTAATTGGTGAAATAAGTTAAAGGATTTAATTTCTCAAATATAATTAATTTTATCGAGTCCATATGTGCGTATGTATCCGAGAGATCAATATCTTCCTTGACTAATAAAAGAGTAATCAATATTCAAGTCAAGCTCCACATCTTCCCTCGACAAAACTCTAGTTTTTTTCTCGTAGTGAATTTATAGGAGTAGTTTACTTCTTCATTCCAGACGCTCAAAAGAATTCAATGGCATCGAGTGTACTGGGAATTGGAAAACAGTGACACTGGGACTAGTAGAAGGGCTCAGGGAAACCTTATAACTTTTTAGATAAAACATTTTAATTTTCAAGAATAACATTATAATTTTTTTCAGTTATTTCATTCAGAAGCTACAGAGATATAGAGTCGTGAACATGCTTACCGGCAAAAGGAATGAAACGACCCAGTTGAAGAAAGTAGCGCCAAGAAGAGAGGAAAAATCTAGAGACAGTCGTGTTTTAGGCTTGGGCATCTCCTTAGTGAACTCGAGTTTCATATTCACGTCATCGCCCACCAAGTAGCGGAGGTACGCGTCAGATATCTGCAGACCGTACTCATCAGGCATCCCATCAATTACTCAGAAAATAAAGATACGCATGCCGTGCTAAGAAAATAATAAGGGAAATTAAATGTAAAAGAGAACCGAGAAACAGAATACGAGAGGACGTGAATCAGAAGTGACATATTTAGGGATGATGAACAAGGTAAGAAGAAATTAGAAAGATATTCAATAAGGAAAAGATAATTCCTTCCGTAATTTTTTTTTGACACATTTGAAGTCAGATTGACGTAGATGACTGCACAGAAAATTTATGGTGGTAATGTTTTCAAATTTTCCTCTTTCTCCACACTCAAAAAAGAAACATTCAATACCTGCTTAATTATTTCTCCGCACACGTTCCTTATACCTCAATTTATGTGGGAATGTCTATTCATTCCTCAATCATCGCATCCGAATTCATGAGAAAAGGCTTCATTGTTCCTACTATTAATATGTTTCCATTTTTTTCATGTTTTTACCCCTTTTTCCTCTGGGGAAGCAAGAAATATGATACGTGAAAAGTTAATTGAAATAAAATGACGAAAAGAAATTAAGGAAGGTACTATAAGAACAGTACGTACCACATTCAACGAGCGGGAGACACGGACCTGCCCAAATGGACTCTGAAAAACAGATTCATTCTTAAATGTTGAGTTGTACCAGATTCTCACATTATAATTCTTCTCATCAGAATCCAGGAAATCATAAGCTGAAAAAGAGCAAATGTGTGCTTCAGATTCACCAAAAATTGTAAAATGAAAAGACTTATTTACAGTGAAATTTGAAGGTAATGTCCAACCTGTCATGATTTCGTTATTTTTTCTCTCTGCATTTCCTTGTCGAAACCCCTTATACAATTCACCATTTATTATCGAGCTGCTGTTGCGCCATAAATTTAACGCTTGCACACATTTAACCTCTGTTTCAAGTATTCCAACGTTATTCAGAATTCCAAGGCCCATGCAGGCTTGTAATTACCGTTGAACATCTCAGAAAATAAATGTACAGCTTAGTGCCATTATAGCATACACAAAATATGAATTCGGAGACATGAAAAAAATTAACATTTATACCTTGTGCATCTTTATACTGTGACACTTTTCATCATTAGTCTTTATTGATTTTTACAATTCTAGACTAGTTAGACAATTTAACTTGTCACCGAGTTCAGCATTGTCCATACATTCATTATATTTTATCAAGCAGCTAGTGATTTCAATAAATTTATATCTTACCCCCTCCGATTTGACAGATAAGCTGGGATACCAAAGATGGAATTTCTTAATATCAATCTGTTGCTTGGCCACAATTGTTGTCAAGACCATGGAAAACCAACGTGGAAGCACCAGTTCAAGAGGTCCTGGGATAGTGTAATCTCCTTACGTGATGGACACATGCAGGCTTCCTTCGATTGATGAAACATTGTCAAATAAAATGGTCGGTCCATATGGTTTTGGTATCTGGGTTCTAAATTTCCACGTTCAATGAAGAATTCCTCTTTCCCTCGTGCTAACATGCTAAATTAAATGCATGATACTGCCAGGTGGATGTTGATTAGTTCGGTGCCAGTACAAATATAATTTTTGGGTGCACATACCAAATAGAATATTGTTTATGTACCGGTATAGCTAGCTCTATAAATTCAACATGAAGAACTTACTTTTCCAGTTGTCATCTATTTTACCAAAAATCTTGGACGAACATCAGCCAAACTTAAACCAGAAGCTTAATTAATGGCGCTCAAGCGGAAGAAATATAAGTCAGAACCAAGAAAAAGAAAAGTAAAGGTAACGACAGAAAGATAAGAACAAGTTTATGGCTATTTATGTGCCGTCATCCCGCAACTAGAATAAATAAGTCATCAGGAAATATAAACAGTATAATTCCTTACCTTTTCGTGAAATTGCGATATTTCCCAATAAAAATGGGATCTGAAATGTAGAATTCTGCAGACATTGATTCTGAATGGTGAATAAATCGCTGCTAGAGAGAATCGCAGGATCAATAAAATGAACTTCACGTGTCAGTGCATTAGTCCCCTGTTCAGAGAAAAACATCAATTAGAGAGTGCTACGAAGAATTTCTTATTCATACGCAGATTGATTTCAGGCGAACATAACCATATTCAACGTAAGCTCACCGAAACGACATTCGAGAGACTGCTCAAGTAATCTGAAATATTTGGGGTGGAAGTACGCGAGAAAAACCTTGATGCCACGCCTGATGAAATAAATCCCAAGAATACCATCAGCACAGAAATCGACGCTAGCAGTCATACAAGATTGTCAAGAAGAACAGGATTATGAAGAATCATGATGAATTTCACATACTCTGAGAAAGAGATCTATTTCCCCCGGTGAAGAGTACTGTCACAGGGCACGACTGTGTTTTCCTACAAGACTCGTCCGGATAGTCTACAATCGGAAAGGTATCCGTCTTCACAGCTCGAAATTCTTGGCTGGGTACTTGCAGCAGACCAGGCCACCGTGGCGGGCTATCAATAGCGCACCTGAATACCTGATCTAGGGTAGAGTATTGAATTCCACATACTCTCACGTCTGTGCCATTGTTCGTGGGGACGTTACTGCAGCCGCATTGGAATTTAGGCTTGTCAAGCTCGTTATCAATCACCTTCTGCAGGATGAGAAGCAGCAGGCAGATCCAAACGGGGAAGACGACGATGAACACGTTCTTCTTTGAGTTGCGTTTCTGCGAACCGGAAAAAGGAGATTAAATTACTGGTCACGACATTAAATAAACATCAAGCATATTTTCTCAAATGAAAAAAGGAAAAAAACGCAATTTTTCCTAATAAATTCAAATTTCTTTCATAATTAGTTGAACTAGGGAATCAATAAAGAGAGAAAATATTTGGTTCTTGGTGATTATTATGGGCCGAATGTTGAGCGACTGTGTCCAACTTTTCAGCTAAATTGATCTTGAACGATCCAAAACAGACTGCTTCCTTTTCCCCGTAATCTCTTCCTCTTTCTCTTTGATCTCAGACCACGCAGAGACTAATAATGTTGGATCTGATTAGAAAGGTTGAAATCTAAGCATGGATGCCGTATAAGGAGAATTCGAGCAGCGGAGCTTCTCAGATTTACTTGTTCGTTAACTGAAAGGAATTTCGATCTATTTCTGGGGAATCGCTGTGATCATTTTGCTATTCATGGAAGATTGGAAAGTGGCTATTTAGCCATCTTGCCATTCGCTTCACAGCAAAACAGAAGTTCGAAGGTGGGGATTCTGGTGAATAAATCGATGAAATACAGAAAAATTGAACAAAACGAGAAGAAAAAATTTATAAATTCTCGAAAATTTTCAATTTAGGAATCAGAAGGAGCTTGTCATGATGGGCATACAAAACCTCATCCCCAAAGCACATCTCACCGGTGACTCCGTGTAAATCTTGAGAACCAAGCAAAGAATAAACATTAAAAATTCTTCAGCGACTGCGTAAGAGAAGAACCAGAGAGCAAAATTAGAAAGAAATCGACCGATATAAACTCCGGATTGCTCTCCCAATTCATAGTTCCCCATATTGACGTAGCAGAACAGGAGATTAACCGACACGTAACAAAGAGGAGAAAAAAAAAATCCTAGCAGTTCTTCCAATGGCAGATCCTTTCATGTCAAGCTTCTACACACATACACAGAGCGAGAGAGAGAGAGAGAGAGAGAGACCTGATAGGTGACGTTCTTCCTGAGCAGAGCGTTGGCCTGAGTGTAGAAGCTTGCATGCTCGCGAGGAGACCTCTCCGTTCCATTAGACATGGTGCTCATTCCCACCGAGTACGCTCACAATTTCTGCAGACCACTGTCTGGATCAAGAACAAGATATGAGAGAGGAAACCCCTCGGATTCCCGCCAGTGCCTCAGTCGTTTCTCGCTCCGCCATGTTCGCCGGCTTTTTAAAAGCCATCCAGCGCCTACCCCCATGCCACCATTTCCGGGCGGAGGAACCTCAGTCCCAGCTCCCTCGCCTCCGAAATGACCAAAATCCCCATCCCCTAGTCCTCGTCTTCTTCCTCCATCTCCCAATTTGCCCTCGCCCGGCGCGATATTCTCTTCCCGACGGCCACTCCGCGTTCTCCCTTCGAGAGTCGCCGTCGAACGTCGAATCAGACGGCGCAAGAAGACCATCCTCGTCTCCGGTCTTTTCAGCGAAGTCTCGGGGAAGCTCGATGGAGTCAGTGGGACGCGGCGTGATGTCCTCCGGGTAGAGTGTGTGGCGCCTGTCGAAGCCCCCTGGTCGCATCCAAGGAGGGGTGAGCCACTAGCAGCGCCCGAGATGCCCACGTCATCAAAACTTTTCTTTCCCAGCAAGCAAACCACCAACGACTTTAACCGCTGTGTGAAAGACTATTTCCGCGGGTAATCCCCCTAGTTAGAATACAATCACACGGATTCGGAAATCCGAAGCGAAACGTGGGATCGGAATTTCCACGTCGTGGAAAACCTGAAGGCAGCTCAAAAGTCAAAGTCAAAACGAGTGGAAGGGATTTTCTTCCCCCCACGTGACCTGGACGAATGGCGCTCACTTACTTTCGTCAGATCATTTTTATTTTATTTTATTTTCGTCAGATCATTTAATATTTACCATCCTACCAAGAATGAACGATCATTGAAGGAAGATACCGTAGGCCTTCTGTGGCGGGAAGTTTCTGCAAGCGACACGTAAGGACACGAGCCGCCCATTCATGGTGAGAAGCTTTGACCGTACGCTTTAAACTGCGTTCCCAGATGCCCACGTTTATACGTTGACTTTGGATGTTTCAACTTCCCCGAATTGCCCTCGCGGAGAAACTTTGCATTCCCAAAATACCCCTGAAATATACTCATTGTGACGCATTTGTCCCTGAACTTGGAGAACCGTCGCTGTCCGTTGGGGTCGAGAAGGTTATCCCGTAATATGATGGAAATAAAAGTGTTTTTTTAACCCTTTCAGGCATCTCCCCCGCGCCAGAAATGACCGCCAGTAACAGGTCACCCCCCCGAGGCGTATAAGTATGAGCAGGGCGCGAACCGGCAGTGGTCGCAACGTCCTCAGCACTAAAGACCTGAAACGCTACACTCGACGGTTCTCTCTGTCTGAAGAGGAAGGGGACGGGGGAGACAGAGAGAGAGAGAGAGAAATTGGGAGGAGCAGAGGTGAGAAAGCTGGGAGGAATGGAATTGGTGCAGGGATTTCCCCTTTTCCGGCAGCAGCTGGCGGCGCTGATCCGGAAGAATATGACGCTGACATGGAGGAGCAAGAGGTCGGCCTTCGTGAAGATCTTCTCCTCCATCATCTTCATCTTCATCATCTTCCTCGTCGATAAGGCCACCCGGTCGCGCCTCTCCAACACCACGTCTTTCGACAACGTTTTCGATCCCAAGACCGTGGTCGATCCCCCGATCCCGCCCTGTGAGCAGAAGTTCTACGTGAAGCGCCCCTGCTATGACTTCGTCTGGAGCGGCAACGAGAGCGCCCGCATCACGCAGATAGTCGACGCTATCAAGAAGAATAATCCAGGGAGGCCGATCCCCGATGACAAGGTTCGTGCTCACTCCGTCTTACATTTTGCTGCTTAATTTTCTACCTTCTGAACATTTCTCTCTTCTATTCGTGATTCACGGGACTGAGAAAAGGGTGGCGGAGATTTTCTGCATCCTGTGGAATCATTTTGTAAATGGAGACCTTGTCATGTTAGTTTGGATGGGGACTGGTAGGGTAGGCATGGATGATTTACCTGTTCTAACGAGGGGCTTTTTGACGGCGACAGTACGGTAAATTACTCTTAAATTTTCGTTCTTCCGAGTGCTTTTACGGAAATGGCCTATTCCTGTTCCCACGTCCACGGTTTCTTCCTTGGGGACGGGCGATGATAAAAACTTTTGCCGTCGAGGTAGGAGGGACAGCAGCAGGAATAAAGGATGTGTTCTGGGATGGGGAGAGGATATTGCTTTACATTATGCTTGGAGCAGGGCGGTGATAAAGTGCTTCCAAAAAGAATAAGCCTTGAACAAGTACCGAGTGCATGAATCTGTCATCCAATATGTGTTATATTTGAACCGGTAGCCTCAGATTGCCATCAAATCGATCATCATATAATGAAATATAGCCCAGCTTGGTTAGAACAGATGGAAATTGACAGATACAGAGGACGAACACCGTTGATACATTTCTCTTTAGGGATTCGTTCCGAAGAGGATTTTATCCCGTTTGACCCGCGTGGACGTTGAATCTGTGAAGGGGAGAATTTATATTCACATTTTCAGTATAATATTCAGAATATGAAGTTCATATTGACGTTGTTTTTTTCTTAAATATATCGACAGTTTTATGGATTCTTTTGAGCTGGGAATATTTGCTGATTTAAGTGATCGAAGGAATTCCCTTTTAATATTTAAATAATGTCAAAATGTGGGGCGTAATAAATTCAATTCATGAAAAAAATAGAATATTCCAATTGTTACAGAGTATGCTTATCCATTAATGTGATGAGTCAAACGGGGTCGTATGAATTGTTGAATGTACTTCCATGTAGTTTCAGTGTTTTAATCAGCATATCTTTTTCACGTATTTTTTTTGGGAATAGTTATAAACCGTTAGTCTGTTCCTTGTTTTTATAAGATGTTTTTTGGGTGAAACTGTGTACTTTTAATTTAAATATACAGAGATATGTTTTGATTTTTCATGCTGTCCATTTATAGTGAAGAAAGGTTTTTCAGAAATGATTCAATAAAAGTTGAATAGATAAGGGATGTGCAGCTGATTGTTGTAAAGTTGCTATATATGGTTGCCTTTAATCGTAAGCGGCTGAAAAAGAAGCCATTACTCTGTGACTTGCACAGGTGGTTGCATTTAGTACTCCTGAGGATGTGGACGCCTTTCTTCGAGATAAACCGATGTACTGCCCTGGAGCTCTGCATTTTGTCGAGAGAAGCTCAAAAGTCATAAGTTACGGAATTCAAACTAACTCCACTCCTTTGGCTAAGAGAGGGAATTTTGAGGACCCAACTTTCAAGTTTCAAATTCCGCTTCAGATTGCTGCAGAGCGTGAGATTGCAAGGTCTATCATTGGAGGTAAGATTTTTTACTATTTCATCCGATCTTCGTTATTTTGGCTAAATCAAAAGAAACCTTGAAACTTTTTGTGGACGAAAACCTTGAATTTTTACTATAATTTGTTTGAGTAGATGATTCCTAATGCCTGAGTGAAAGCAAAAAGAAGACATTGTCCATGATGCACTTAAGCATGTTATTATATGCTGCATTAATCCAATGATTGGTGTGTGGACAAATCCTTTAAGTTGTATTTCTAAACATGGATGATTATTCTGGTTGTTCAGATCCAGATTTTAAATGGTCTGTGGGACTGAAGGAATTTGCACACCCTGCCATTCAGACATTCTCCGCAGTTGGGAATGCCGGCCCAACTTTTTTCTTCGCAATGGCAATGTTCACTTTTGTGTTTCAGATTGGTTCTCTTGTCACAGAGAAAGAGCTTAAACTTCGTCAGGTGAAATTTATTTGACATGTCTTTTCTAAAAAAATTATTATTCGTCACCAAAATCTCTTCGCCAAGATTCAGGACGTCTAAACTGTGTCGGGTGTTTCAGGCAATGTCAATAATGGGCTTATATGAGTCTGCTTACTGGTTATCTTGGCTAATCTGGGAGGGCTTTCTCACACTCGTTTCAGCACTGTTCACAGTACTTTTTGGAATGATGTTTCAGTTCAACTTTTTCTTGAAAAACAGCTTTGGAGTTCTATTCTTCACTTTTTTCCTTTTCCAGTTTAGTATGGTAAGTGATGGTTCTGCTTGCATTTTCCATTTTCACTCGGGGAAATAACATGCACCAATGCCTCATTACACGTACAATTTGTGCAGCTTGGATTTGCATTCATGATATCCAATTTCATTAGCAAGGCAGCTTCTGCTACAATAGTGGGATTCTCCATATTCATTGTTGGGTTTTTGACGCAGGTAACCTAACCTTCATAAACTTTCCCCTCCCAAATTAAATATGGATTTATGGTGTTTTCCATGTTCTTTCTAGCCACTCAATGCCACTGTTGATTATGCTGCAGATTGTGACCACATTTGGATTCCCATACTCTACGACCTATGGAAAGGTTTATCGAGGGATTTGGTCCTTGTTTCCTCCTAATCTTTTTGCGGAAGCTCTTGATTTGCTCGGCGTTGCTACTGCGACTTCCGAAGACGAGGGCATCAGCTGGAGTAGTCGTGGAGAATGCCCAAACAAGAAAATTGACTGTGTTCTCCCCATTGTAAGTTTTCTTCACAAAACTACATGCTCTAATTCGCAGGGAGACGTTTTCTAAAGCATTACAGTCCAGAATTATTCCACAGAGATTATATTGCATCATTGAGAACCATTGCGTTACCAAATCTTTTTCTGACTTTTTCACATGGCAGGAGGACATTCTCAACTGGTTCATCTCCATATTCTTTCTGTGGTTTATTTTGGCAATTTATCTGGACAACGTTATCCCGAACGCCAATGGAGTTAGGAAATCAGCATTCTACTTTTTGAGACCTTCATACTGGACAGGGAAGGGCGGGAGCAAGGTTGAAGGTAAGTGATAGTCGTGGCTGAAAACTGTTCTAGTCAGGGATTTGACCTGAAGCTTGAGAATTTTTCTCCTCTCAGAAGGTGGAATCTGTAGCTGCACGAGCTCCACTCCCACACCGGATGATGCTGTCACAGATGACAACGATGTTCTTCAAGAGGAAGTTACAGTAAAACAGCAAGCAGCTGAAATGGGACAACACCCAGATGTGGCGGTCCAACTGCGGGGCCTCGCCAAGACTTATCCTGGTTCAACGACTATCCGCTCCTATAGATGGCGCAGGACTCGGCCGTATCATGCAGTGAAGGTAAATAATCCATTCTCCTCGTAAGATTCCAACGTCATGGGTCACTTCTGGTATTCAAATCACTCAGAAGAAGGGTAAGAAGCTTGATGGTTTCCCTCCTTTCTACAAACACGTTCAGGGTCTCTGGTTGAACCTCGAGCAGGATCAGCTCTTCTGCCTTCTCGGACCCAACGGTGCAGGGAAGACCACGGCGATCAACTGTCTGACTGGAATTACACCAATCACCGGAGGAGATGGTAGCTTCTTCTCTCTTCCGATCAAACTTATCACTTGTAGTTAATATTATTATGTAAAGATAAAATATTAATATTTATACCAAATATGTTGTGAGGAAAGTAATATCATTTGATATTAAGTTACGTATATCAACTTTATATCGTTCTTTGTTATTATTTCAAGTTATGCTTCTAATATTGATGCCAGTAAGAGGTCTAAAATTAATAGAGTTGCAAATAAACCACTGCATGCTTCTGGCTTAAAGAGTTCAAGATGGTGACGATTAATGAGCCAATAACTTCTGACAGCGCTCATCTATGGATATTCTATCCGAAGTTCGGTTGGGATGGCAAACATTAGGAAGATGATAGGTGTTTGTCCCCAGGTACCCTTCCTCTCCCCCTTTTCCGCAACCATGAAAACCAGGTCAGATCTTCTTTTGGGTATCCACTGACAGTCTTCCTCCTGACAGTTTGATATATTGTGGGATGCTTTATCGGGGGAAGAACACTTGCGTCTCTTTTCGACTATCAAGGGCTTGCCCCCATCATCAATCAGCAAGGTATGAAATTAACCCAGAATTATTCTATAAAATAGATCTTTATAACAGCTATAGGATTAGTAATCCAAATAATTTGCTTTGGTATTGCAGGTGACTGAAACATCATTAGCAGAGGTGAAACTGACCGAGGCGGCCAAAATGAGAGCCGGGAACTACAGCGGAGGAATGAAGCGCCGGCTGAGCGTCGCCATCGCCCTCGTAGCAGATCCGAAATTGGTTTTCCTAGACGAACCGGTAAGAAGATCATCCATCAAATCTTGTTTTAGTATATCTCTAAGAATCATATAAATTGATTTGATTAGAAGTAGTAAATATGGTAGATATAGATCAGTAAACAATGAAGAATGTGCAGACGACAGGCATGGACCCGATCACAAGAAGGCACGTGTGGGACATCATAGAGAACGCGAAGAAGGGGCGAGCCATCGTTCTGACGACTCACTCTATGGAGGAGGCTGACATTCTCAGCGACCGAATCGGCATCATGGCCAAAGGGAAGCTCCGCTGCCTCGGAACCTCCATCAGACTGAAGTCAAAGTTTGGCACGGGGTATATCGCCAACGTGAGCTTCGTCGAGAGCAACCCTGGAAAAACCCCGAAGCCCGATGTTGCAGAGACCGCCGTTGAGCCTCATCTGGAGCCAGTGAAGCATTTCTTCAAGCAGGTAGAGCACCCTCTCTCTCTCTCTCTCTCTCTCTCTCTCTCTCCCCCAAACGTTTTGGTACAAAGCTGCAATTCTCAAACGTTTGGTTGGGATCAACAGCGTCTGGACGTGGTGCCCAAGGAGGAAAGAAAGGCCATGCTGAGCTTCGTCATCCCTCGGGAGAAGGAAGGCCTTCTAACGGTGAGTATAGACTTACTTCTTGCTCTCGAGTCTTCTCCCTTGAATCGGAAGAAAAGACGTTGACCCCACAACATTTATTTATTTATTCATTCATTCATTCATTCATTTATTTATTTACCTGGGACAGGCGTTCTTCTCTGAGCTCCAAGAAAGGGAAGCGGAGTTTGGGATCGCGGACGTACAGCTCGGCCTCACCACTCTTGAAGAGGTGTTCCTGAACATCGCGAAGCAAGCAGAGCTGGAGAGTGCTTCGGCGGAGGGAAGCTTAGTCACCTTGAATCTGCCATCCGGGACCATTCAGGTTCGTTCCATTCTCTCTCTCTTCTCTCTAGCTTGCATTGGATTTCTTGCCATGAGAGGGCAAAAAAAAAAACAAAAGTTGGAAGTTTGCATATTAAATAATAATTAAAATAGAGGAATCTTAATTGGGGCAATTGGAAAAAACAGTCAAAATCCACCTTTTAAAGATTTAGGTCCCACGTGAGAAAAAATAAAAATAAAAATAAAAAACTCTGATTATCTGATTTCTTCCCTGAGATGATTGTGTACGAACAGCCGTGCAGTTGGAAGATACATACCACGACACTTTGGTCTTGCGATTTAAATACAGGAATTTATCTACAGAATAGTCCCATACTAGAAAAAAAAAAACAATGAGAACACGTGATTATTTGACGTCGTTTCAATTCCTGTACAACTATTGGGAATTAGAGGGTTACAGCCAATGTTTTGCTCCTAGGATACCTCTCTTGCGATCATCGCAGGGGAATGATGATAACTAAAAATGGATCGGCCTTTGATGTTCTTGCAGGTGCCCAAAGGAGCGAGGTTCATCGGGATCCCCGGGTCGGAGTCGCCGGAGAACCCCGGCGGGCTCATGGTGGAGGTCTTCTGGGACCAAGACGAGTCCGGTAACCTCTGCGTCTCCGGCTACTCGACGGAGATGCCGATTCCTGCGCAGGCGGCGCAGCCCGCCGTCCGACGCGCTGCCTCTGTGAGGAGGACCCTCTTCGGCGTCGGCGGCGCTCCGTCGGTAGGCTATATCATCGATCCTGACCAGGTCCTCCATTCCCCGAACGCCCAGTAGGTGGCCCACGTTGTACTATATGTATAAAAAACTTTTGCTCACGTGTTTTTTGCTGCCCCTCTGCATGAATGCACCATTACGATTGTACTACAGCTAATCCCAGGTTTCCACAAGGAGAGACAGAGACAGACAGATAGACACAGAGAGACACAGAGAGAGAGAGAGAGAGGTTGCCGAAGAGCTTGCAACAGTTGGCTCCAGTTGGATTGCCAAAATGGGCAATGGTGAGAGCCACGAATGTCAATTTTGTGTAGAGAGAGAAAGCAAAAGAGAGGCAAAAGCACACCCCCCCGTGGATCTTGCTTGCAAGGTACAGTCGCCAGCTAGATTACCTAACGTGAAAGTGAGAGAGAGAGAGAGAGAGAGGGGGGGGTAGAACTTGCTAACACGAGTTTCTCGGGCAGCTTCAGGGTTTCCCTACACGATAATGGCCCAAGTGTCTGTCCTTTCATCAAATGCCATCTCTCTCTCTCTCTCTCTCTCTCTCTCTCTCTCTCTCTCTCTCTCTCTCTCTCTCTCTCAATATAAATATATGTATATATTATAAAAAGGGTTTTTGAAAAGCAAAAAATTTAAATTATTTATGTTGCCACGTCACAGATTTCTGTAGCCCGAAAGCAAGACCGAAGAGCGCCATTGACCATCATGAGGTGTAAAATGGAGCTCCGAAACGTGGGAATGCGCAAACCTTCAGGTGAAGAAGGCAGAAAAATACAAATATATGAAGCATTTAAATTTAATTTAAGAGAAATATCACAGGAGGAGGACCAGTCGTCGAAGACCAGCGGTAAAGCGGGTTGACGGCGGTGATCAACGCAACCAACGGTGATCTCTGGTCTTGCTTTTGTGGTCCACCGGCAAATTCAGCCGCCGACTGAGATGCATGGGCTTCGTCCATATACGAGCTGCTTAGGGCAGCCAGTCGGTTCCCGGTCACGTAGGGGCCGTTCGCTCAGGCAGCCATCTGTAGCAGTTGTCCGGCATCAACAAGAGAGAGAGAGAGAGAGAGAGAGAGAGAGAGAGAGGGAGGGGTGGTTAGTCCTCTCTTTAAGATTCTTCAGCGATGTGGTTGGCGATGACGGTGGAGAGACGGTTTATATTGTCTTGACTCGAGAGTCTGCAGGGTCAAGAAGAAGAAGACGATGATGGGGATCCTCCCGGCCACCACCGTCCTCGTGCTCGCGCGAACCCTAAGCCTGAAAATAGCTTCGTCCTCCTTCGTCACCAGTCTGGTAGAAGCATGGGAGGAGAACCCACTGCTCTTCGTCTCCCTTTCATGGTGCTCCCTACTCCTCCTCCTCCTCCTCCTCCTCCTCCTCTTCCGGCGCTACTCCCGCCGCCACAGAGTCCTCCTGCTGGACTACGCCTGCTACAAGCCCCCGTTAGAGCGGCGGTGCACCTACGAGGTGTGCGAGTACGTCGTCCTCCGGAGGAGAAAGCTCTCCATCGAGAGCCAGCAGTTCACCAGGGTGGTGTACTCCAAGTCGGGGCTCGGAGACGAGACCTACGCGCCGCCGCTGATCTTCCGAGAAGATTACGAGTCCCACTTCCCCTCCGCCTTCCAGGAAACAGAGGAGGGGATGTTCTCCGCCGTGGAGTCTCTGCTCTCCAAGACGCAGGTCCTCCCTTCCCAATTAGATGTGCTCATCGTGGCCTGCAGCATGTTTTACCCCAACCCTTCTCTCTGCTCCATGCTCGTCCACCGCTTCGGCTTCCAGCCCTCCATTAAAACCTTCAGCTTCAGCGGCATGGGCTGCAATGCCGGGGGGATCGCCATCGACGCGGCGGCGCAGATCCTCCGCCGCAAGCCGGGGTACGCCCTCATCGTTACCACGGAGAGCACCGGCCTCAACTGGTACTTCGGCGACGAGCGATCCATGATCGTGACAAACTGCATCTTCCGAGTGGGCACCGCCGCGGTGCTCCTCACCAGCGACTCCGCGAAGGGTGGCGCCGCCAAGATGGAGCTCCTCCGCACCCTCCGCACCCACCACGGCGCCGACGACGCCGCCTACAGCACCGCCGTCCAGAAAGAAGACGACTGCGGCAACGTGGGCGTGGCCCTCACCAAGGATCTCGTCCGAGTCGACGGCGCCGCCCTCCGGCGCCACATCACCACCCTCGCCCCCCCGGTCCTCCCCATCTCGGACCTCCTCCGCTACCCCTGCGCCGCCGCCGTATCCTTCATCTTCAACCACAAGCCGCAGCAGCAGCCGCACGTCCCCGATTTCATGAGGGCATTCGAGCACATCTGCTTGCACCCGGGGGGAAGGGCGGTGGTCAACGCCGTGGGGAGGCTGATGAAGCTGCCGGAGACGGTGGTGGAGCCGGCGAGGATGACGCTGCACTGGTTTTGGAACACTTCCAGTAGCTCCATTTTCTACGAGCTGGTCTACTTTGAGGCGAAGAAGCGGCTACGGAGGGGAGACCGGCTATGGATGCTCTCCTTCGGGACGGGCTTCAAGGCCTCGTTTGGAGGTGCCTCAAGGACAGCCCCTTTGACCCGGTCAACCCCTGGAACGACTGCGCCTTCCGCTACCCCGTCTGATCTCCCCTTCCCCTCTACATTCCCAGATCGACTGCTTTGGGCTTCAATGTTCTCCTTTCTATGGTTTTCCTTGTTTTATTGGGACGTTCTCCTTTGTATGGTTTTCTCCCTTCGAACCCATAAACAAGGCCTCCTCTCTCTCTCTCTCTCTCTCTCTCTCTCTCTCTCTCTCTCTCTCTCTAGAATCCACGAGCAGTCGCAACCTCCCGGCTTCCTTTGTTTTACGTCACCAACCAGCGGCCTGCCGCTGGAGAGAGAGAAACCCTTGACTTCATCTCTCTTTCTCTCTCTCTCTAGAATTTGAGCTTCGAACCTGGGGATCCACAAGCAGTCGCAAACCTCCATTAACCCAATTGGATTTCCTTTGCTCTAACTCACCAGCCAGGGCTGCCTACCGCCAAAGAGAGAGAGAGAAACCCTTGACTTCATCTCTCTTTCTCTCTCTCTCTAGAATTTGAGCTTCGAACCTGGGGATCCACAAGCAGTCGCAAACCTCCATTAACCCAATTGGATTTCCTTTGCTCTAACTCACCAGCCAGGGCTGCCTACCGCCAAAGAGAGAGAAACCCACCCTTGACTTCACCTCTCTCTCTAGAATTTGAGCTTCGAACCTAGGATCCACGAGCAGTCGCAAACATCCATTAACGCAATTGGGTTTCCTTTGCTCTAACTCACCAGCCAGGGCTGCCTACCACCAAAGAGAGAGAAACCCACCCTTGACTTCATCTCTCTCTCTAGAATTTGAGCTTCAAACATGGAACCAGTCTCCATTAACGCCATTGGGTTCCCTCTATTCTAACTCACCAACCGAACCAGCCTACCGCCAAAGAGAGAGAAACCCTTCACCTCTCTCTCTCTAGAATTTGAGATTGGAACATAGAACCAGTCTCCATTAACGCAACTGGCTTCCCTCTATTCTAACTCACCGACCGGACCAGACTGCCGCCAAAGAGAGAGAAACACTTCACTTCACCTCCCCGCCTCTCTCTCTCTCTCTCTAGAATTGGAGCGTCGAACCTGGGATCCACGAGCAGTCGCAAGTCTCCATTTACGCAACTAGGCTCCCTCTATTCTAACTCACCAACTGGGCCTGCCGCTAAAGAGAGACTTGGAACCTCTCTGGGCTCCCTCTATTGTAACTCACCCTTTACTTCACCTCTCTCTCTCTCTCTCTCTCTCTCGCTAGAATTTGAGCTTGGAACCCGGCATCCACGCAAAGCCCATTAGTGCAACTGGCTACCAACTTCCAGTCTCGGAACCTGCAAGAAGCCGACTTTATTCAACCTGGACTGGATGGTGCACCTGATAAGATATGAAGAGCCTGACTGGCCCTCACAGAGGAACAAGATCCGCCGTCCTTCAACCAAAAGCACGGAATCATCGCAAGCTCATTACAATCATTAAAACGCACTAGCAGCGTAACCCACAGATCCTTGTTCACTAAGATCATCGCCCGCCGCCCGCCGCCGGGGGAGCTCCTCCCATTGTGGGGCCGATGACTGATACCCCGGCCATCTCATCAGTCCGCAGTCCAGCTCTGCTCGACGATCTCGCGCAGCCTCCGGTTGTACTCCCGTTTGTTCTCGCTGAACATCCGGGCGGCTTCAGAGTTCGCCGGCGAGTTAGGGTTCGGGTCGCAGAGCAGTGACTGCCGGCAGAGAGGGAGTGGAGGTGGTTTAACGCCGCCGGGGAAGACGGAGGAGGGATGCTGGCGAGGAGAGGAATGGGTTTCTGGGGATTACCTGGATGGATGTAAGAACTGCAGCCACGTCGTAGATGGGACTCCACTGATTCTGCAGGATGTCCAGGCATATGCTTCCGTCTGCGTAGACTAGAGAGAGAGAGAGAATGGAGAGTACACATGTCAGAGGTGGACCTTGGTCAACTGGGGGGAGAGGCCCGGTGGGGGAATGCGCATGAAAGATCTTGAAGAGTAGAGCAAGGAAGCGCCAACAGAGAGAGCAAACTATGAAGGATTGCAAGGCCCGCCAAAAATAAGCATTAAGATAAGGAAGAATAAAGCTGACAAACAACAAGAAGATAGATAGATAAATAGAGAGAGAGAGAGAGAGAGAGAGAAGAATTGATCCAAATGGAAAAGATGAGGACCAAAGAAAGGTAGATAAATAGAGAGAGAGAGAGAGAGAGAGAGGTGAACAAACAATGTAAGCAACCATTTTACCAAAAAAAGAAATTCTTCCACATGGTCTGTAGTTTCCTGAAGAAAATCCTCCAAATGAGGGCTTTCCCCAATGCGATTTGGACAGTTTGAGGACCTCCCTAGACACCAGTTTCTTAGTCAGCAACTCAGATGTCAAAGTTCTCCCACTCTACATGGATTCCCCACTTTGAACAAGCCAGGTTTGAATCCCCATAAACTACGGCTTCCACATGAGACGTTCATCCTACAGATATATCCGTGGGGGAGCTCTTCTCTAGTTTTCAGATAAACATTGTACTCTGTGGTAAATTAATAAAAAAAAACTCACATTGGAGAACATTAAAATAATAATAATAAAGAAACATTCGAGTCAGAGAGTTGATCATCCTTCAAAACCCCCTTCAGCTGAGTATCCGATTAAACCGTCAAGTTCAGAATTATATCTAAAAGAAGCATCCCAGTTTCTACCGACCCAAATAGGATTATAATGTTGCTTCATTAATATTGGTCTTAGAACCGTTATATGCCAAGATATTTCTCAAAAAGAAGGTATACTCATTTCTTAAACCGCTCAGGCCATACTTCAGCAATCCCACTGGAATATACAAAACGAGTGGTAATTATTCAAACTAGACTGAAAATACTCAATGAAGGTCTCCAATAGCATCTCGAGTAAGGACCACTAATGGGTGCACGTCAAGCTTTCTAATGTAAAAGTGGAGGAATATCAAACGAATAAGTGACTAGGGAAGCATCCCTAAGCCCGAGTGATGGAAAAGACTGGCAGAGACAACATCAATTAACATTTTATCGTAACAGAAACTGCTTCTGCAGAAAACATGGAGAAAATAATAAAAACGGTGTCCTGAACAATGTTTGGATCTATCAAGTAACAAGTTTCCGATTTAAACTTGGAACTAAACATCGAAGACTCCAGTTATACCACTGTTTGACCTTCATTATATCCATTATAAAAAATAAAAAAAAGGACAGCGCATGATGAGTCAGACACGGAGATAGTATCAAAAAAGGTTTAAATCAATTATCTGACTTACTATTTGGATGAAACATTCGAGAAACGAAGCGCACATTTGGTGGTTTATTTGGATAATCTTCACTGAACTGAAGAGTTAACTTAAACGTACCTGTAGAGTCAGAAGAGGCAGAAAATTAGAGAGAGAGAGAGAGAGAGAGAATCCATTCATCAGAGGATTAACAGCGCATAAGAAAGATAAAAGCAAAAGATATCCTATAAACAACACAGAACTGAGAAAATGCTTCACATATTGTAAGAACTGATTTACATTAGAATGAACCCAACAAGGGATGAACGGATGAAAAGTAGAAGCAACGTGACAGTCAACGAGGACAAAGCATCAGGAAAACTGATTACTACATTTTGCAAACAAAACTAACAATGGATAATAACATAAATAAGGATGAATACTGCATATCAAATGAAACGGTTTGGAGTACAGAGCTGTGTTAGTGACCCTGGGCACTGTAGATTAATGTGCAACTATCCTGTTCGCCAGTTGCTAATGCTCATGCATTGAACTTATTCGACAAGAAATTCATAGTGTCTAATGTTTTATCTGAATAAATTATGAGGAAAACTAATTACATTCACACGCCATAAATTTAGTATTACATCTCGTGGCGCAGACTAAATATACCTAAATAAACACACACACGAGAATGCATTAAATACTGCACAAATGAACGGCATAGATAAAAAGCCTATAGCTGGAATAACGTCGACTAAAGAATTATGACAGACAACTGGCAATTGAATAGTCATCAACGTTCTTGTAAAATATAACACTCATTTGTTGAATATGAGATAACAAATAACAGAGAAATCCAGTCTAATGGTTAAATGAATACTTTTTTAAAGCAACTGAAGATACAAAAGTCATGAAAATAAGAATAAATTATAGAAAACTAGAATGCGAAGAATAGTCAATATAATACAAACAGTCCTCAAATTCTTTGATAGTGTATAGGAAAAATGAAAGCCCTTAAAAATGGCTCACCTCCATCCCATGGGGTGTCGTCAGGACTGCAATGGTAACAAAAGTACTAGTAAGTATCCACGACCAGTATCAAAGTTCCAACAAGACGATATATGCAGAGCGTACCCAAATATTACAGCATTCCAAAGCAAGATGTTATTGTCCTGGGGAGCACCACTGATACCCGCAGGAGGGTCCTGCTGCAACCGCTTGAAGTCCCTCATCAGCCTCTTCTTAGCAGGGGTTGACATCCTCACCCGCCTAAAGGATAAAAGGAGAGAGAACGGATTATAAAACTATTGAAGCTCGAGAGGCATGGTGGAAGAGACAAAAATAAAACATTTGATTATATTCTCAAATTGTAAAACGTAAGAGACGAGACGTTTAAAAGAAAACTCCGGGAAAAAAAGCTCTATTTCGCTCTCACGGACATGAAATAGACGTCAAAAATCTGGAATGAGAAATGAAATAAAATGCTGACCTTGAACCCGAACACAGAAGAAAAAAAAACAGTTTGTAGATCCGTATAAGATAAGGTTAGAAAGAGAAATGAAGAATTACCTTGTAATTGAATTCGAAGAACGAAATAAGGACTCAAATTCACAAAATTGTCAACACGTATAACCTAAGAAAACAGCAAGTCACGCATAGAATTCAACTCGATGTACCGAACCGACAACTAGGGTTTAACTGACAGCCAGAAACGAGGAATGGACATGAAGTCCACCGATCTACACGTTTATATCCGACCGAGAAACTCACCCACCTCCCCCTTTAACCGAACTTCACAAGCTGATGCAACCAACGCAAGCAGCGAAAAAAATCGAAATAAAGCAGCGAGAGTCACCTGCGAATAGACCCCAAAAGAGTATCGGGGGCTCCTTCTTTAGGGTTCGTCGGCCAGGTCCAGTGCTGCAACCGCCGCCTTGCTAGAGTCTGGCGACCCCCGCCAGGGCGACCACCAACGAACGCCCCTCTAGAGCTCGGCTTCTCCCCCGAGCTGAGAACACTCGCTCGAGCGTTGGGGGCAGTGCGGGAGGAGAGCGATCACGATAGCTCCCCTCACCCGCCCTCCCCAGACTCCTCGAGTGGACGACGGCGTCGGTGAGAGACGTGATGAAGAAGGCCATCCTACGGTGATCCGCCTCAAGAAGCCACCTTCGGAGACCCTCGTCCCCATTTGGGGATCCCATGTGGATCCACCCGGGCGCATATCCGTCTCGTACATCGCGATACGCACCCGATCCCGGCCAGCTCCGACTCCGGCCACGAACCGTGTAAGTAGCAGATGTGGATAAATGCAGACTGGACGAGTAGCAGCAAAAATTATTATATATAATGAAACAATTCGGAAAAAATAAATAAATGGGGACTTTAACTCAATCAATCTCCCACCTCCCTTACGCCGATGCAGTATGGGCCGGAGAAGAGGCCCATTAACTATACAGAGCGACTAGTCGGTCCTCTGCGAAGTAGTTGTGAGGGATCCGTTGCAACGACTCTTTCTCACCATGGGACTTGCGACGAGCAGGTTGTGGGCGTCCCTACCGACTCCACGAGCCCCTGGCGTCGATATAGAGGAGCCCACGGAGGAGGAGAGCATCGAAGCCGGTGGCGGCAATGGCACGACGCTCCTTCTTCATCCGCAGGACGGCGGCGGCTCTCGCACGGTGGTGCGTCTTCGCGGTGGCGGCGCGAGGCCACCGCAGGCGACGCTGGGGCTGGGGGCGGCTGCTGGCGCGGCGGCGAGGGGGCGGCGGATCCGGTCCGGCGGTCTGCATCGGCCAGGTCCACGCAGGACTCGAAGGAGACGGCTGCCTCTGGAGGAAGGGCATTCTCATGGGAGAGAAGTGCCAGCCGCCGGACTTCTCCGGCGCCATCATCTACGACGCCGCCGGCAACGTCGTCAAGAAGCCCCTCCGGTGACGACAAGCTCCGGGGGAGGCCTCTCTCTCTCTCTCTCTCTCTCTCTCTCTCTCTCTCTCTCTCTCTCTCTCGTTGCAGAGCCCCACTGGTATTTAATTTAACCCGAAAACCACGGGCCGCCGAGAGTCCTGGCCTTTAAACTTTGGCGGGAAAACTAGAGTTGGAATTGAGCGGGAAGAACCGAACCGAACCGAGGTAACGTAAGAACGGAATAAAAGCGACGATCGAGAAGGCTCTCTAGGTTTTTTCGACTGGTTCGGTTAGTCGCTGTAGCGGCTCTCCTATCCCACCTGCAAAACCCTAGGATCCAGTCAGTAGGAGCGCGAGCTTGGCGAAGAGGATTCGTCTTCGATTTCCTGGCAATGGAGACGGAGGAGGATCAGCGCGCGCGTGAAGGCGAGGAGGTAGCGGAAGCAGAAGGCGAAGCGCGCGAGGAAGAGCAGGGTGAGGGGGAGGGCCAGGCGGGAGCAGGAATTGATGTGGAAGAGGAGGAGGAAGACGAGGGAGACCAGGGTGACAAGGAAGAAGAGCGTGAGCCGGAAGGAGAAACAGACGGCGTGGAAGGGGAAGACGAGGAGGCGGGCGAAGCGGGAGTCCTTCACCTGTCGTTCCCCCCTGGAAGAGTGAAGAGGATAATGAAGCTCGACAGGGAGATCAACAAGGTGAATTCGGAGGCCGTCTTCCTCATTTCTCTCTCCACCGATCTCTTCCTGACGCTCCTGGCGGAGAAGGCTGGTGAGGTCACCCTGGCGAAGAAGAAAAAGAGCGTCAGGATGGATCACCTTCTCTCCGCCGCACGCAGCCATCCGCCTTGCAGAGACTTCCTTCTGGATTCCATCTCTTTGCCGACTAAAACCCTGCCGCCGCCGGAGGCCAAACAGGCGCCGCCCAAAATTGCGAAGCCGCTGCCCCCGGGCACCCGCCGTATCGATCAGTTCTTCCGCAAGCCATCGTCTGTCGCGCCTGAGTAACAGCGAGAGAACGCAGGATCTCTTCCCGGTCTTCCCCCCCGCCGCCGATCTTCCGGATTTTCATTTGTCTGTAATCGGATTCACTCTCTCGATGGCTTCCGACTCAATTATACATATCCACTGAGCAAACCCATCGACCGATCGAACTAAAACGGTGTGTTCATGTTACTACTCGAAGGGCAGATCAATCTTCCACCAGAATCTCCGAGTGCTGATCCCAGAACTCCTTCCCGATTATATCACAGTAATCCACTCTCACTCTTCTGCAAGTTTCCTCTCCGGGCTTCCGACCTCCGTCGAGCTTCACTCCCTCTTCCACCTGCCATCCGCAGGAGCACAGAGTGAGGCGGAGAATGGGAGGAAGAACATTGGGAGAGAATGAGATGGGGTCAGGCCATCGGGGTTCTCTCACCTTGTCTCTGAAGACGCAAGATCCTTTTCGAAACATAGCAGGAAGCGCGCCGTAGTCTATACCAAATTCCCGAAGTAGTTGGTTCTTTTCTGCTGTCTGAGTGCCCTGTGTGATCCAAGGGTATCATGAGATATTCTCGTTAGGAAGTCAACAAAAACTAAATATTGACGGAGGAAGGAAGTCAACGTGCTAGGCCCCTAGAGTCAATTCGATGACCCAAAAGTCAACCATTTTAACGAAATACAAAGAAAAGAAAAAGAGGCTCCGCATATACTGACTTACCGCCAGGTACTTCTGGGCTTCACTTTTCTTCTTCCCAGATTTGACTAACGTCCAGAAACAAGTGTTGAACTGATTGTTCACGTGGCCTGCAAAAAGATCAAGGTCAAGCAATTAGGAGTGCTGACTCAGGGTGAGTTGACTAAAATGAGCTCAAGGTCAAAGTCTAAGGGACCCCGGCCACCCTAGCTGGGCTCGGGCTGCCCCTCCATAGGCGCCTAACCTAGACAAATAGAGGAGAAACAAGCTCGAGGTGATGGAACCCTGCCATGGGGTTGGGCACATTGTTCTCTCCAGGTTTTGACTTTGCCTAAGGCAGGATTGGGCCTGGCTCTCAGCTGAGCTGGCCCACTAAACACTGGCACAAGCAATATGCACAATTTTCATATTCGCTCTCGAGTTTGCTGACATGGAATATTATTTAATTTTCTCAGCTAGAGAATTCTGGTCGGGCATGGATATGACGGGAACTATACTCACAGTCTGCTTGTCTCCATTTCAGATAATCCCTGACGAGTTTGACTCTTGGATAGCAGATCACACGTCCATCAAACGCTGGAGGGTATGTCAGCTCTTGCGTCGGGAAGAACTCTCCCCACTTCATCACGTAGACAGAGGTAAAGAATGACACACTTTGTGACAGTATTTGGCTGGAAAATGAGGTTTATTAGAAGAAAAAAAAACTCTCATGATACATTGAACTATCTGGGTTAGAACATATTTTTCAACAAGATAACCATACTTTTCCCCAAGGGTGTGAAAGTTTTACAAGATAATACCTCTCCTGCCTTTCACAGAAATTTGTTTTCTCGCTCCAAATGAAACTGCCAAAAAAAAAAAAAACTTGAGCACTAATCTATAAAATTTTCCATAAGCAGTATATTAGAATAAATAGAAAAGAAAGTTTGTTCTTCCAAGGAGGAGAGTGTTATCGGTCAACAGAACCAGGCTACCATATGCTGCCCCAAAGAATGAGCAGGGAAACAAACTGGACAAAAGAGTGGAATGTGAGAAAAAATGGGTAGTCAACCTATATTCGTCACTGTCGCCGTAGGCGAAAATAATATCAGGAAATTTCTCCAGCATTGACACTGCACATGAGTTCATCAAATTCAAGGCGCGTGCATCATTTGGCTTGTCAAATTGATGAACTTCGGAAAACCTGCCAGTAGGAATGAAATACATCGCTCAGTTCCTCCGAAAGAGACAGATTATTTCTTCAATGCTTCAAGTGCATAAGGTGTTAATATCAACTTTGTAATGAATTCTGTTTTTGGCCAATATTAGTGACCTGATGATCAGCATTTAAGTTCCAAAAGATACATTTGCGTAGAAACTTTGCTCCAGCCAGGAATCAGACGTCTAAAACCCACTTACCTAGAATGGGGAAACTTTAATCCACCTATTACAATCTTGTTGCATGCTTGTTTCATTTAACACCAAGCAGCCATTACCTATTGTCATGCGCCAGTTAGTAACATGACATGAGAGATCCTTCTCTCGTAATTTTTACTTTTTTTAACAGTACCCAATGATTGAAGACGGTGTAAGAGTTTCAAAATTCAATAAAACGTCGAATGAATCCTCCGGTGGATCCAATAATTTTCCAAGAACGCAATTCATGAAACCATAAAATGCAGCGATTCCTTAAATCATGACTCTACCGCAACCAGATTCTGAAAACATGGAGAGATGTCCAGATGGTTTATCCTTCTCTTTTACAATGACAGCATGAAGCAGATTCTAGAATTGACGTCGAGGCGATTTTCCTTCGTTACACAAGAATCTTAAGGAGGCTAAATGCGGCGAGTGATGAGAAACCTGACCGGACTTCGAAAAATCTCTTTGCAGCAGATTCTAGAATTGACGTCGAGGCGATTTTCCTTCGTTACACAAGAATCTTAAGGAGGCTAAATGCGGCGAGTGATGAGAAACCTGACCGGACTTCGAAAAATCTCCTTGCCTGCAACATCTTTCTTCCTAACAGGAAACTAAGGAGGACATAGCATGGGGATGCGGCTTCTCTGAAGACAAGATTGCTCTTCTCACCGGTGGAAATGCCAACCATCGATTCTGACGACGATCCAATTGAAATTCGGCAGCCTGTTCCCTCTTTCCAGCTCCCTCACATACTCCAATTTACCCGTCGCCATGTGACAAGATCAGCAATTCTGAGTGAGGAGAAGATACAAGGCCCCAGGATAAGGCAGATTACGGACGAGAAAAGGACCGGCAAAGACTGACCTAAGTCAGACACCGGCTGCAGTGTCAAGTTTAGCCGAAGCTAAATCACGAGGGGAGAGAACGGAAAAGCGAAGATCAGGAGACCGAAGATTCATTGTCTTGCTAGATTTCTCTGCGGAAATCCGCTACTGAATACCATTTTTCCACTTCCGAACTCAGAATCTCGCGAACAACATCATCAACGAGCACCGCAGCCAAACCAATAGCAAAACCGCCGCCTCGAGGGACTACGCCACGAAGACGGCCGGGGAACTCCCTACCAGGCTCGATCTTTCGCCTCTCAACAGCAGAAACACCGCCGGATGCCTTCCATAGAGGACTTCGCCGGGGAGGAACACGCACCTGGAATTAGACACGAGCTACAACATCTCCCCGAGTGGCTTCCGGCGACCGGCGGGTCTTCACCGGCTGCGGCTCGGAACCTCATTCAGCCAAAAGCAACCAGGAGAGCTATAAGGTCTGCTCTGGTCTCTGCCTCTACGGGGCCAATAATATATTGCCCCAACTCACCGGCTTTTAGTGGGCCGGCCCAGATAATATAGAGATCCGCCCCGAGCCCAACTTCCAGGAGTCATTAATTATATACAATAATCAGGTAGAACTAATTGAAAAAAATGTACATTTTTCAATATATCTATTAATTAAAAAATATTATGCATTATTAATTTTTTATTAGTATATTTACCGGTAAATGATGAAAAAATAATAAATAGAAAAGATTTACAATAAGTGAGGTCCCAATTCATGCAGGGTCTCTCCGTCAATATGCTTCATGGGCAAAGAAAGGGAAAGATGGAGGAGGGGTGGGGGGTGAGGGATAGACCTCCCTCCTTCTAGGGTTCCGTTTCGTGTGCTAGGCCATGTTGGAGAGGTTGGTGATGGTGGAGAGGATGGGGACGACAAGGACAAGGACGAGTACGGCGCCGAGGGCGATGGCGATGCAGGTCCACTTCCGGGAGCTCTTCTGGTACTCCTTGGCTGTCTCGAGCTGGCCTGTGCCCCTGCGAACGAAGGAGTTGGCGTGGGCAACGTGGCTCTCGATGTCGTTCAGCTGGTGGCCCTGCGCCTCCACCAGCGCCGCCATGTCCAGGAACACCTGGTGCAGCTCCAGCAGGCTCCGCTCGATGTCCTGCACCGACTCGTGCCGCTCCTGGATCTCCGTGATGGTGTCCAGGATCTGCCCCCGCCCCTGCTCCTGTATGGCCCTCTGCATGAACGTCTCGCTCTCCCCCGTGGAGATGAGCCGCTCCACCGTCTCCTCGTCGGCGTGGCCGCCGGTGACCGTGTAGTAGCGCAGCCGCACAGTGTCCGCGTACTCCGTCGATATCTTCCCCCGCAGGGCCTGGAACTCGTCCATCAGGACCTTGAGCTTCTTCCCCAGCCCGCACACCACGGCGGTGCGGGTGCGGTCGGCGGAGGAGCCGGCGCCACAGCCGGGTAGGCGGCGGCTAGCGGCGTTAGAGCGGTCGAGGGCCTCGAGCTTGGCCTTCACCAGCTTGGCCTGCCGGAGGACTTTCTGCGTGTCGCCGTCCATGCGGGAGCGGAGTGCCTTCATGGCGGCGGCGTTGTGGGCTGTGCGACTCTCCTCGTTGGCTTCCTGCAGGCGCCGGTGCAGGGCCTCCAGCCCGCGGAGATCCTCCTTCACCTTCTCCACCTCCTCGAAGAACTTGTCCAGGTCGTCGGTCGCTGCTCCCGCCTCCATGTCGTCCATCTGGGCCTGCCGTTTCAGGTCCGTGTACTGCTTGAAGGAGCCGGCGGAGAAGAGATCGTTCATCTTCGGCAGAGATGGCTTGCCGGAAACCTAAACCCCTCCCCTCTGTGGCAGAGATGGGCACCGTCGGATGAACGATTCACAGGTTCGCCACCACGGCAACGGCGACGGCAACGAGTCGGAAGATCGCCATTGGTTGCGTACAAAGAGTCCGGAGAGGAAGATGAGAGGAAGACGAGGAGGGAGCGGAAGGCGGAGGACAATAATGGTGGTGGAAGCAGTGGTTTTAGGGTTGCGTTCTTCGTGGTTTGACCTGGTCAATTATGAGGTCGCAAGTTGTGGACACGTGGGAGGTGCGCGTGCGAGAGGAGCCCGGCATTCCCTCTCTCTCTCTCTCTTATCTTCCCTTTTCCGTCGTCCACTAATAGAGATTCGCGTTCTCCCACGTGCCGCTTAAGAGGCGAGGAATAATAATATTGGGGACATTAAGAAGATTTTAAAAATGATTTAATAAACGGGGAAATATTCGATATCTATATGGATTTTAAAAAATATTTCTTGGTCAATAATATTATTTTCTTTTTTTATTGGAAGTAGGTAATACGATGATGTACATGATGTTGGGGTACGTGGAAAGGTTTCAGCCGTACATTGGGAGAGAGAGAGAGTGGACGGTGGATGGAGGCTCCCACGCAAGACCTGAGGAGGCCATCTGCAAGGAAAAAGCAAACTCGGCTCTGTCCTCTTCCCGATCGCGGGGGGGAGAGGGAAGGGAGGGAGTGGGAGGGAGGTAGGGTTTCGGTGTTCGAGGAAGGATGCCGAAGAACAAGGGAAAGGGAGGGAAGAATCGGAAGAGGGGGAAGAACGAGGCGGACGACGACAAGCGGGAGCTCGTGTTCAAGGAGGACGGGCAGGAGTACGCGCAGGTGCTGCGGATGCTCGGGAACGGGCGGTGCGAGGCTATGTGCATCGACGGCACCAAGCGGCTCTGCCACATCCGGGGGAAGATGCACAAGAAGGTCTGGATCGCGGCGGGGGACATCGTCCTCGTCGGCCTCCGCGACTACCAGGACGACAAGGCCGACGTGATCCTCAAGTACATGCCCGACGAGGCTCGGCTTCTCAAGGCCTACGGCGAACTCCCGGAGAACACCAGGCTCAACGAGGGCATCGCCGGAGGCCTCGACGAGGAGGATGAGGGCGCCGGGGATGACTATATCGAATTCGAGGATGAGGACATCGACAAGATCTGAGAAGGAGAAGAGGAGAGAGCCGCGACGAGTAGAAACAAGCGAGGCGGTCGTCATCCTTTTCTCTTCCCTGGCACTTGGTTGGAATCTTGCCTTCTCTGTTCCAATCTTTGCTAGTTATCATCGAATTGCGCGAGGATTTACTCACCGTTAAAACGGATTATTTTGTCTGCTATATTCCCACGATTTACCGCGAACATCTGGAGCATCGTGCCCTGGTTGCGATCAGTTGAAATATCGCTGCACCTTACAGACTTCATTTACTCCCCTCGGATGGAATGGGTGAAGAAGCTTGGAATACTTTTGTTCTTGAGGAGCTACTATCTGCTGAAGCCCTCTTCTCCTGCTGGACGCACTCATGATTTCCTGCTCAATAGTTACTGATTTCTCCTCCTCGTTTATCATTCCTATTGATTTATCTTTATCAGAGTTCTTCTTTCTTCCGGCGAGCCATCTTCCGATTCCTTCCTTGCGATTCTTCAACTTTTTGATCGATCATTCGCCGCCATGGCCCCTCGAATCATACACTATCCTTTAAAAGAAATGCATGGTGATTGGGTAGGACTTCCCTCTATCTAGGTTTCAAGATTTTTTTTTATTTTGTATCTTCCTCTATCAATCACAGGCTCCGTCGTTCAAGATCTTGTGGCTTCATCAACTCTTTGAAGCGTTCCATGTGGTGTTGCCCCTTCATTAGAACGCTTCGATGCCCACTTTGTCTATCCTTGCCAGCATCTGAATTCTATGGCAGTAGAGAAATGATTTGCTGTCAGATATGGGAGTGGAGCTTCCCTTGCTGCTGCTTTCCCATCCGACAGATCCTCGTCTACATTCTGACTAAAACCGATGGGTATTTTGCTGAGAAAGTCACCACCTGGTTAGATGAATTCTCCGTTGACCAAAACTGTTATCTTCAGTCAATGTCTTTCCCCTTGGCCATTCCAGCTTCGGGTTCATTTCTCTGCCTTTAATGTGTCCAGATTTCTGATTAAATTTTCCCATCTCTTGGAATTTTTTTTCCTTTTTTGGGCATGTCTGACGATCTCCGGGTGTCATCTCATTCATTGACTTTAAGAGGATTTTGAGCATGTTCTTCAGTAGATTAGACGAGTCAGCATGAAATACTGAAGTCAAGGTGTAGTAGTAGGTACGAATCCTAGCCAGCTTCATTGTTTCTGCCTTTTTAGTCTCCGCACCCACCTTGCTCCAGCAGTCTATGCTTGCCATAGATTTATTCGTTGGTAGGATATCATGATTCCCAACTATCGGATCTTCCCCTTTTTTTGTGAGTCACAGCCTAGACCCATTAGGGTTCTTCCTCATCCCTCTCTCTTTCTCTGTCTCTCTCTCTCTCTCTCTCTCTCTGTGGTTTTTGGGTATCCTCGAAGCAATTTCCTCTGGGGAATTCCCTTCAAAAATAGTCGTTGATGGAACATCAAAGCCTGGCATCTCAGAGCAGAGCCAGGACAGCGGCGGCGGCGGAGAGGAGGGCGGAGAAGAGGGCGGCCCCGCCGGCGGCGGCGGCGCTGACGATCTGGATGGGGAAGAGGCAGGTCCCGCGGGAGGCGTTCTTGTCGGTGATCTTGGCAAGGCCCTGGAAGTCGCAGGCCCGGATGTCCTGGTCCTGCATCTGGAAGTACATGTTGAAGGCGTAGGAGACATTCCCGGCGGCGTCCAGTGCTCCGCAGGAGGAGCCGTACCCCAGCGAGGTGCAGTCCCCATGCGAGCACGCGTAGTCCACGTTCCCCTCCAGCAGCGGCAGGTCCTCCTTCTTCGCTGCCTTGTCGAACACGCACCACTGCGCCGGCAGGTACTGCACCCCCGCCACTCCGGCGACCCACCTGGCGGTGCCGCCACCCTTTCCGGCGAGGTCCAGCCTGAACTTGGGCTTGCCGTCGTAGCGGAGGATCCCCCAGTGCCGCTCAAACCCTCCCGGAGCAATGCTTTTCAGGTCCTCGTCGATGAGGCTGAAAATGTACACCTCCATCTTCCCCGGCCGCAGCGGGGTCCCCTCCTCCGCCGCCAGCTTCTTCACCAACCCGCCGTAGAACCGCTCCGCCAACGCCGGGCTGGCGCTCTTGTCGCCGTCGGTGGGCCAACCCACCTCGCCGACGATCACCTTCAGGTCGCCGGCGCCGGCCTTCTTCAACGACCAGAGCAGGGTGTCGAAGTTGGCGTCGAACACGTTGCTGTACTGCAGGCCCTTGTCGGCGATGGAGCGGCCGCCGGCGCCGAAGAAGGCGAAGTCGAAGGGGAAGTTCTGGTTCGCGTAGAGGCTGAGGAAGGGGTAGATGTTGACCAGGAATGGCGCGCCGCTGGCGTGGAGGAAGTCGACGATCTGCTGCATGAGGTGGCGGATGTCGGCGCGGAAGCTCCCCGCCGACGGCACGGGGTTGTCGGCCGGCGAGTCGTAGACGTCGGCGTTGAGGGGGACGGTGGCCTTGACCCCCTTCCCTTCCTCGTCCAGCGCCTTCTGCACGTTCTTCAGCGCCGGCACCGTCGTCTTCAGGTACGACCCGTTGTAGCTCTTCAGGAACGGCTCGTTCCCCACCGCCACGTACCTGAAGTCGGAGGAGAAAAACCCTGAAAACTCGGCGATGGCGGCGCCGCCAGTGGTCGCCGTCGGAGGAGGAAAGGGGAGAGCTTTGTGGGTCGTTTGGGGTTACTTGATGTTGACACCGCCGGGGGAGAGGTAGCGGGAAACATTGTGCTTGACCCAGTCCCTGGCGTGGTCGATGTCGCCCATGCGGGAGAGCTGGTCGTTGGGGATGGCGAGCATGACCTCGATGCCGGTGCCGGCGAGGGAGCTCACCGTCCACTCGTCGGCGTCGAAGAGCTTCACCTTCTTGATCCCGTTGGCCTTGAGCATCTTCACCACGTCCGCGGGCAGCATCGGGTGGGACATCATCGTCCCCCAGTTCATGCCGACTACCCCCTCCCCCGGCTCTGCCGCCACCGCCAGGATCACCGCCGTCGCACAGTAGGCCCACCGCCACCATTGCCACCGCACCACGGCCATCCTCCGCCGGCAGGGACGGCTGACGAGCTTCTCCGGCACCTGTTGCAGGTGGGTAGAGAGAGAGAGAGAGAGAGCGCCGGCGGGGGCGAGCGACGAGCTTCTACGGCACCTGTTGCAGATGAGTAGAGAGAGAGAGGGGAGAGAAAGACGGCTGTTTGGAGATGGGGACGGGAGGCTGAGGAGGAGCCCTCGGAAGTCGGGGGTAGGGAGAGGCCTCGGATTTCGACGTCGGAAGGAGGGAGGGAGGGATCTGGGGCCCAACGGTATTCAGTTAAATTTTAGTTATGACATTAGTACCCATGCTATTAAAATAAATAACGATCATGCCATGCCACTGTATGACTGATCGGACGGCTTGGAGGGGAATGATGGGACGGTGGGGCTTTCGGTGTGTCTACCGGGCCTGGCCCGTTAAGGGATGAGCGCCCACAGAGAAGATTTTGTTTTTATAGAAGTGGAGGAATTCGCCGCTCTTCCCTTCCACTGCAACTTGCTTCTCCTACCTCCGGCGGCGACAGCAGCCGACGACGGGAAGGTGATCTGAGGGGAGGAGGGAACTGAGAGGTGAAAATGAGCGGGAACGGCGTCAAGAAGGTGGTGGATTTGGCGGCGAAGGCGTCCAAGTCGGGGATCGACTGGGACGGCATGGCGAAGATGCTCGTTTCAGAGGAGGCTCGGAGGGAGTTCGCCAACCTCCGCCGTGCTTTCAACGACGTCAACCAGACTCTGCAGACCAAGTACAGCCTGGTACTTATCTCGAAAACCCTCCGAAAATCATGGATGCTGGGGCTTTGCTGAATGGGGCGTTCCGATCTAGGGTTCATTGTAGATTGGCCCCCGGGTATAAGTCAGGCGATTTTATTTTTATTTTTTCCTTGACTTCAAGGGATGACGCAGTTTCGGGCGTCTCTAGGTCCCGAATTTCTGACGCGAAGTGGGAGATTGTCGGGTGAGGGAAAGGGGGCGATAACGGGAAATTATATTGGATGAGCAGAGTGTATTTCGTCGTGATGGGACTGACGAAGTCGCGTGCTTCAATGGAGTTCCTAGGGTCTCGCTCTTTGATGAATGGATTGTCCTTGCATTTTGCTCATTTACTTTGATGTGTTTGTAGGAACCGGAGCCTATTGACTGGGAGTACTATAGAAAAGGAATTGGTTCTCGCCTGGTCGATATGTACAAGGAGGCATACGAGAGTATGTTCTATGCCTTAAAACACTAGTTCTAACTGTCAAGTTACCCGTAAACACATCCGATCATTTGGATATGAAAATATATGATCTCTCCATCTTGCTTTATCATGTTGCTTCAACTATCATGTTCTGGGCAGTTAAGAGTAATGAATCAGAAGGATCATTCTCCACTCACATGAATCTTCCACGAGATATATTATGACCAGAAGCTTTCCTTGTTAATGACATTAAAATAATAATACGTGATTTTCACACATTTAACGAGGAAAAGAAAATACATTTTAGCTTGGTGTGGTGACTGATGAGAATGTTGAACTGGGACTCGGAAGTGGCGGCACCAGTAATATTTTTATAGTGTGAAAGATGATTTCCACTCATTTTTCAACTTAAATGAATATATGGCGTTACTATTCGACTGATCCTCCTGTAATGTCTTTCATAGTAAGGAATGCTATCGGATAGACGAGAAATTGTTGACTTATTGATCCCTTGAATCGTGCTGATGATTAGTTCGATTTGTGGTGTTTGCGACCCTTGATCACTAACATCCCACTTGCTGAAAGTTGCGGGAATTGAATGTAGCAACGTAATTTTCAGCTCTTTTGCATGGTTCCTAATTATATAATTGAAAAATGGAATCCTCCATCTTGTAGTTTTTTTTTTTTAAAAGAATTTGGCATACACATTGATACCAATTGGCAATTACTAGGGTAAACTCGTCAGTTTTAATTTTGTGATCTATCTGTCCATGTCAACCCCTACTCTATGTCCAAGCGAGATCCCGTTATCATTCCGTCACATGGACAAAGCGACCAAGGATGAAACCTGGCATGGCTGATAACATGTCAAAGAATCCATGAGCAGAGAAGGTCCATTTCATTTATTTTGACCGCATGTCTAATTCGTTCCTCCCAACGTGTGACTTTTATAGCCATTTTATTGTAGTGGAAAGGAACCTTGAAGTTGTGGTTCATCCATAGAGTAGAAGATTCTCTTCTCTTGCCAAGAAAAAAAAAAAAAAATAAATGTCCAGGGAAATAAAATTCAACCGAATATTTGGGGTCTTCCCTTGATTAAAGCCTTTGTATTCAAACGATTTCCATCTTTGGTCCTGAATACGCTATCAAGGTTTTCAGAATTCATACAGTAATCAGTGCTCACATTTCAGAAGCTTCTCTTTTTATTTAGGTTTTTTTAATCCCAATTTTATTTCAGCTGTTATCAGATATCTGGGTATTATTAAATTTCAGCTTGAGAATTGTTAATTTACATAACTTCAATGTCAAACAGATCGTATTCGCAGCATTTTGAGGCATGTTTTTCTTCTCTTTTCACCTGGATCAGTTTCAGACTGGAACATATTATTTCCAAACAGAAATCAGCTTTTTATCAGTTACCCAATTCTAATGGCTTTCTGACTCCCCCAATGCAGGTATAGAGATCCCCAAGTTTGTCGACAAGGTGACCCCCGAATACAAGCCCAAGTTTGATTCCCTGGTGAGGACGGAACACTACACCTCATCAGCTGAGGCCATTTTCGCTCTGATTTTCCGCCTTAGGCTACTACTATTTATAGAAAAAATTGCCACAGAAAGAAACCAGTTTTCTCTTTGAGAAAACCTTCAGTTAACAGCTTTCCACCCTATATGGGCCATTCCTTTCTCTTCAGCTGGTGGAGCTGAAGGAGGCAGAACAGAAGTCGCTGAAGGAGTCTGAGAGGTTGGAGAAGGAAATTGCAGAGGTTCAAGAGATGAAGGTCTGTGGGGAGAACATGAAAACTAGCCCTTCTCCCCATCTTCTTGTGACTTGCTCGCTTTTAACATAGGTTTCTTCTTCCCACATGACAGAAAAAAATCAGCACCATGACAGCGGATGAGTACTTTGAGAAGCATCCTGAGCTCAGGAAGAAGTTTGACGATGAGATTAGGAATGACTACTGGGGATATTGACCACTCCTGGTCTGAAGCTCCGAGACCAGGTGATCCGACTTTGCTTTGCCTTCGATTTCTAGAACTTGGGTTCTGCATCCGTTCATTCTAAAATAAAAAAGAGTTGTGATACTCTGCGGGGTCGTCTGATTTGGATTCCCGGGTGGGTCTTGGAATCTTTGCTCTCCAATGGCGTTGCCTCAGTTGACATAGCTCAGTTTCACTGTGCTTGGCTTGAACTGTGTTGTGATGGGAAGAACTGTTCATAAGTTACCACAGTCCTCCGGGTCTCCTCCACGATTGGATTATCAGATCATGGTCTGATGCCCCTGGCCTGATCTTGTGAGGGAATTTTGATTCACATCCGAAACCAGTTGTTGAGATCCAATCCCTGTTTTCTGTCTTATATATATATAAAAAAAATGTTCTTAACATGCTCATTAAGTTGCCATCTGGTTGATATGATTTATTGAAATAATTCAAGTGATGATGCTATCAAATTATGAATATGTCTAGACTTACATTCTCTTAGAGACTCCAGTTCATTCCTAAATTTATTAAATAGGAGTTCATTGAGCAATATGCAGATTGCCCATATCATCCCCGGAGATCATAGAAATCTGAGCAATATTATCTTCTGGTGGGCAATACCGAGCAATGTGTATGACATAGTAGAATAATGTCTATAAGTAGGGAGACGACATCATTCAAGGTACAGACCAGATGATGGACATTTTCAGGCCGTCATCTGCGTGCCAAAGGGAGGAAATGAGAGGATCAAACAGCAGAGAATCACCGGAAATGGGGAGCTGGAGGCTAAGTTTCCCCATGGAGAATGGGAAGGGATCATCATCTTGGATGGTGATTATTTGCCCTAATTATCTGGGTTCGACTTGACAATGAAGTTCTGGCGGCGAATTGGGTTCATCACCACCGGTGGCCCAGCTGTGCGAGGCCAAGCTTGGAACTTCTTGTCTGTCTCCTTCCACCACTCCTCGTCGACCACAGTCTTTGGGGTGCTACCTGGTTGATTTCCATGGTGTCGGGTTAGAACAGCCCTCCTCCCCTCCAATTAAAAGGCAATTATATCAGAAAATAATCCCACATTAGCTCCCTGTTTGTGAGATATCAATGTCGAACCCACCTCCGAAGAGCTTCTTGTCTGCAACATACACTTCACAGGCGTAAGCAAACAGGAAAGACGCGGCCACAGATCCTATGATGTACTTGGTCGCCATATTGGATCGGTATCTCTGAAGTCCTGCACAGAGGGGAGAGCACTGAGGGAGGATTTTCTGCGGCCAATGCGTCTGAAAGGTAAGCACCTGAAATCGTAGATATCGATGCATCGGATGGCGTTCATCAATATCTATATTGAAATGATTTGAACTATTTCATTGTCGTAGAATCGGTGGTAGTTTCTCTGAGTAGGTTTCCGAATAGTTTGGAGAGGAACCACCAGAGATCTAGATCCAAGTGTTCCGGAACTAGAAGATGGCTGAGGGCATCGAATCACGATTGACCTATTCGACTCTACCTCTCCGCTTCTCCTCTCGACCGATCGAAGCACGATTCAGATAGAACACTCCCAGAAGCAGAAGGAACAGGAAAATCGAAAGTCACCGTCTCCTTTTTCAAATGGATCTTCCCGCTCCATAGCAGGAGGCAAAACGAGCGTTCGATTCGTAATTCATCGGCAGCGGACGATTTCCCGACCAAGAGGAAGAACCAGACGGAAACAGAGAGAGAACTCACCTCGCTGCCGACGGCGCTGATCCGAACGAGATCGGAGGATTCTGCCAGCCACCGCCCGGTCCTCACCAAGTCGAACTGGGAAGAAATTGAGTCAACGGGAGAGAAACTTCTAGAGCTCGACGTCGCGTATATTAAATTGACCGTTGCAGCCCCGCTTCTGCAAAACCACTGGAAAAGAGCCCGAAACTGGGGGTAGGGGCGGCGCCGCCGTCGCCGTCGCTGGCCCCGTCTCCTCCATCGTCGCGGATGGAAGGAGAAGAATACCTGTGATTGGCGGCGCCGCTGCCGATCCGGCCCGTTGAGATAAAGGAAAACGATTAATTTATTTTAACCCCTCGTTCATATATTGATATTCGTTTTCTCCTTGAACGAAATAAATTTACGGGACACACTCCACTTCATAATATTTAATTTATACTCTTTCGAAAAAAAATTAAAAAAGTAGCGCCAGTCCTGGAGCTTGATAACAGGCCGGCCCAATAAACCTTGGGCATTTAAATGGGCCCGGAAGGACCCCAGAGCCCACTGCTTTTGCCACGTAAGGGGTCGTGGCCACGTGTGGTCACGCCTTATCTGTTCCGGATTTGTGATTCTCCTCCCCACCCCCTCGATTTTCTTCTTCCCAAATTTTGATTCTTCTGTCCGCTTGCACTGGTTTCGGGGGTGCGGGGATCTCGATCCTCTCTCTCTCTTCCTTGGGGAGCGACTCCGACGAGGTCGAAGATTGGGGGAAAGAGATCCGAAGATGTCCGTGGCCTGCTCGATCTCCCCCATCAAGGTCAGAATCTCGCCGCACAGGCCGAAGCCCTACTCCAATGTCGTCAGGAGCTCGAAAGCTGAAGGCCCCCTGAGGAGGCCCTCGGTGCCTACTCCTCCTGCGCCGCAGTCTATTTCCGCGGCGCCGCCTCCGTCTCCCCCGCAGTCGGGAGTGGCGGCGACGGCTCCCAAGGACGGGGTGGTGACGCTGGAATACCAGAGAAGGATGGCCAAGGAGATGCAGGAGTACTTCCGGCAGAAGAAGCTGGAACAGGCAAATACGGGGCCATTTTTCGGCTTCTTAGGGAAGAATGAAATCGCTAATGGAAGGTCGACCCTTAGTCTTCTTCCCCTTCTTCTTCGGTATCAATATATATCGAAGGCATTTAACATTTTTTCTCGTCTTCCATGCACATGGGCCATGTTTGGATTTGCTGTGGGATTGCTAACAGAGTATGCAACTGGCGCGGATTTCGTTCAACAGCTGAGGATCCTTCTCTCGAACTTTGGAATAGTTGACCTGGACTGAAATTCCATTGTTCGGTTTCCAATGATTCCAGTCCTTGTCTATTCTCCATTTCTACTACCAATTGCCCGTGTGATATTCTCTCAAATAGAAAGAAATAGTTACAAATCCTGTATGCCTTTTCTTCTGTCTACTCAAGCAGATCCAGTCAGGCTCTCTCTTCTTTATTTTCTGTGGTTTTTTTTGCGGCATCTGAGTTTAGCCCTGTGCTATGCGTGATCTAGCTGTGGCTTTTGAGTCGAATTTTGGAAGCAGAAGCTACCCTGAATAATTTTTCTTCTGGTTCATCTCAATTGGCTTAGATGATACTTGAATGAAGGGTGTTTGATTGAGAAAGTATGATGACTGTGATTAGAACCTGATGAGATCGGGTGGATCTTAGAAAAATGTGGCATCAACAGTGGCTTGGACCCATCTTCATCTTTATTCTGGAATCTTGGAAAAATTTCCTAAATCATGTTCCTTTGGAAATCTTGCCCTCATGTCTGCAAATGGCTTTGCATACTACTCGTAAATATCAGACATATTTAAGGGTAGAGAGTATAGTCATTTCTGATGGTAAATCAAATCAATGATCTAGGCATCATCATTAATCTTTTGCAAAAATAACCCACATTTCTTCGGGTTTAACTAACTTGTTAAAAGTACTTATTAACGTCTTATGGTTGTTGTAAGTAAATGAAGGACTATTCTTTACACTGTGATGCACCGTTTTTTGTATGATTCTTCATATTATTTTTTGTAATACTTGTTTATGTATATATTAGTAGATGAAATAAATAGAAAATAAGTTTTTTGAAGGAAAATACTAAATAATAGAGATTTGAAGATCAATTTTGAGTCAAGCGGCCAATTATAACTATTTTGGTTTATCTTTTAAAAATTCAGCCAATTAAATTGGCCAGTATCTTGTATCACTCAATTTGGCCATTAGTTTGGGAATGACTTGTACCACTAAATATCAAGCATTAATTAAATTTACTTCAAAAAGTATACAAACAATGCAAAAAAAATAAATCATATCTTGATAGTAGGTGATAGATTATGAAACTCCATGAAACAAATCGCCTACTTGCAAAATAAGCTAGCTACATATATTTTATAAAACAATTTCTTGCCAGCATTAAAGTGACATATTTGATAAATAATCATGACGAAGGAGATAGAGTTTATTCATTGTTGTCAACGTGATAGCTCCGTAACAAAATCTATGGATATGTATACTCACAATCTATCTGAAATTGGTGATGGTGTACATAGCTATATAGGTTGTAATGTTTCATTTAGTTAGCTAATCATATTTGACATCCTCATACATTAATTTTTCTATTTTCTTTTAGTTGTGACCAATGGTAGCATTCATCTTCTTAGGGTTTAATCAAATGCCAAATGTTCCTATGATCATTTTACGTGCAATTCATAGGCATGTTACATAATTAATTTCTCAAAATATAAACAGATTTTTATGAAAATATAACTTTTCTTGTATAAATAACTTATAGTAACGTTCTCATTCCTTACAGTGACGTTCTACATCATTGATAAATGATTATGCTCTTAAAAACAAGGTCTGACATCTTGATTTTTGCTTATGCAACTAATAACTAAGTTACTTAATTGTTCTTGAGAGCTCATGGTAAATAAAAAACTAATTTATGAATTAGTCCAACTCCTTTGCCTTCACTTTTTATAATATTACCTAATATTCTGCTAATGAAAAAAAATGTTGGATATGCTCATTTATCCAAGCCCAGGTTCAGATGGTGCTGCCAATTTAATGGACGATTATTATCTTAAAATTGTTGATGTGAGAGGAACCAGAAGAGGGGTGAACATGTCTTTTTGAAAGTAGTGATAGGCTTCTAGCTTTATACCATAATTTTATTTAGTCTTCAACCCTTGGAAACATAACAAGAGCCATAGCTAAGAAAACTAAATTAGGCTCAATGATCACATGACTATGTTGAGCCCATTCATCTGATTCCTAGTCATGAGGTAGCCCCACATGTTTCTCACACTACAATTATATATATATATATATAAAATAAATTAGTTTAATTAACATTATGTTATTCCATAAAGCACACTATTAATTTTTCATTTAATATATATTTTAAGCTAGAGTATGAGGGGAGGGTTTAGTCAAATAGTTGCCTACTTTTATCAAACAGATAAAAGATTGTCTAATCTGACACTTGTTGTTTGGAGCAGCTCTCAACATGCTAGTGCTCCACTCTCCAACTTATATGCAACAAACTTTTACCTACTCTCTTCTTGATTTATTTTTTTTATTATGCAAAAATAAAATATTCAGCTCACATGATTGTTATATTGAAACAAGGTCTTATGTGTATATTTCTATTTTTATGCCCAATACCTAAACTATATAATTATTCTTTAGATGTCTAAATAAATATAAAGCTAAAGTAAAAAATCAGTCCAATTGACTCCCTCTTCACATTTTCTAACATTATTTATGTCATGTTAATGAAAATAAATGTTGAATATGACATTACTCTAGTAAAACCATAGATTTGAGATGATGATGCCTAGTGGATGATTACTCTAGTAAAACCATAGATTTTGAAGAATATGTAAGAATAACAAAAAGGAGGGTGAATTGGTTTTTTAAAAATCATTATTGGATTTAAAGTTTTTGGAACCAATAATCTATGGTGATTTGACCCACATTCCCCCCCTCCACCCTTTCTTCTTTTGTCTTTGACCCTTGGAATAACACAACATATCTGAAAAAGCCCTTTCATTTACCAATATTTATATACCCCAATTCTTAAAACATGTGCATTTATAATCCCATCTACAAAGTTTTGATATGTTAGTAGCATTTTAAAGTATTTTTTAATGTTAATATTTCATACTAATTGGTGTTATGTGTGATCATAGTTTCCGAGTTTTATTTTTTTTTATTGAAAATAATTAAATTCGATGTGATTGTTAGGAAAAATATTTGATTATGGTTATTAATTAGGACTGGGAGAATTAATTTGGGCCATTTTGCTCGGCACGTGGCAGCCCCACCGACAAAAGAGGAAAAAAGTGCTAAAAATAAAATAGCTTTAATTAAACGATCGCGCACGTCATCAGTTTCCGATAGCTTTTATTCGCGGGTCCACGTTTCACCGTGGTCCCCGGTGTCACGTGGAGCGTCCGCGGGAAGGCGGTAACGAAATATTTTTCAAAGGCTCCCCGGTTCCCTCCCTTACTCCCTCCGTATAAATACCGGGAATTGCCTCTTCCCTCCTCCCACTTCCTCTTCCTTCCCTCGCAATCCACACGAATCCGGTTCATCTTCCGGCGAAAGCGCAGTATCTTCCTCTCCGCTCGGTGATTTCCCATTTGTTGTGCGGCCGTGGTCGCCCTTCCTCAAATCGGGCTTTCCAGTCTGAGAGTTGTGCCTGAATCCGAGTGAGACCGGTAAGCTCTATTTCTTCTGTGTAATTAGTTCCCTGATTTAGGGTTCGTGATTTCTGACTTGGGGTTCGTTCTCCCTCCCTCGTCTCTTTTTGCTTTCGAGACCTCCTCATTCTGCCTTTCTTTTAGACGGTTCATTCTTCTAAATTTCAATGTTCTGGTAGCGCAGGGGAAGCGGTTCTGCTGCTCAACTGTTGTTATCTGAAAAATGCTATATTTATTTTCCAGTTTGTGGCATTTCACATTGCTGATGGTTGATAGTCCCTGTTGCTAGTTTTACTTTTTCCAATCTGGAACAAAAATTTTGTTGGCTCCTCTTGTCTAAATTCAGTTGACGTTGTTAACTGTGTAGCATTCACATGAATAATTACGTATCTCATTCGTCTTGGTTTTATTGTACCATGAATGGTCTGGATATAGATTCACCTTTTATGTGATTTATCTCGTGAACCTGGGATTTCTTGCACTAGAAAAGATTACTTGAGAAAAGTTAATGAATCTGTATAGCGGTCAAATAGGATGATTTTTTTCTCGAGACCTTTTACTTTTTTTTTATGATGTGGGAATTAGAATCGTAACTTAACCGTTACATAGATGCCCATGCAATAAAATTGCTTCTCAAATGACGATTTTACATCTTCATTCATAATTTGATGTTGAAGTTGCTTCATCCCTTGACAGTCATTTTTGATACTTCCTTCGGTGCAAAGAAATTGTGTGTGTTGAAAATGCTCCAATTGGTGCTTATGTATAATTTTTTGTTAAATCTGGCTAAAATATAAGATATTAATAAAAAAAGCAATGTAAATGGATGTGATCGTTTAAAGAATGCATTGTGTAAGGTTCATGGAAATTTCATCTCACCTGCTATCATATTCTTGACCAAGGCATACCCTTCAACCATATTAAGCAATCAACTTACACCGTGTCATAATTGATAACATTATTTGGTAGAGAATGGTAACACATAATGGGCCGTCAATTGATTTATTGCCGATTCAGAGAAAATTTATCTGGTTATAAACCACGCGAGATCTCCTAGTTCGATTCGAAAACATTTTTACCTTATTGGTATCAGCATTAATACTTATTATCGGAGCCATGTTCAACGAACTGGTATTGGACCATTGCCGAAATAGTCTATGGTTTTTGATTCCTAATGAGGTTTCAGTTTTCTCTTCACATAATCTATTTCATGATATGGCATTATTTTTTGCTCCCATGCATATATTATTATTAATCATGTCCTTTTCACAGATGTGATGGTATTAAAAATAAACCCATTATTAGAGAGGTTTAAAAAATGGTGCTTATCTAATTGTTAAGTTATGGTCTCATGATGCCCCAATGAGAGCCGACACCATTCTCATTTTGTGACTGTACTGAAGATGAGAAGTCTCATAAAACTTTCTATCGTTACATTGAGCGTAAATTGGTAGCTTTATTTCTCCCCAAGGAAATCATGATTCGTAGTCTGATTAAAAATGTTTAGCCTGTAAGGTATGTTATCTCGGTTTTTGAACGTAAGATGTCTATGTCTCTTGATGGAGCTCTTGTCGATCTATCACTCTAACTGATATCCTTCTTTGACCAGAAAAGTGTGAAATATTGTCTGGTTGGTTCGATTCTTTTTCGGAAGAAGCGTTTGGGTGTTGTCACCTCTTGACTGGGGATGATCAATTCATCATGAAAAATTCTAGGCAGTTTCTGAACGAGACAAGTGTTGCTTGTACAACGACCAAGGATATTTCTGGAATTTACAGCAAAATATCAGGAAAAGCTAATATGAAGGCAACTCGACAAAAACGGAAAACTACAGGTAAATTCAGGAATCATCTTGATTCGGTTTTCTGGTATGCCCTGTTTGACAAAAGGTTCATTTAAACATGCTAACTGAATTCTGCATTGATTTATCGATGTTATTGGTGTGAAAAATCTAAACCGTACCTTACTTGAAACGATTGTTCCTATTCAAATGCGAGCCGTGGAGAAATGATATTCATCAATTCAATCTTCGTTGTGCAATATTTTTCTCAAGTTCAAGTGGGAATTGTAAACAGGGACCAATGATCAAGTCTCTGCTAGGAAACTGTTGCAAGCATTGCCATCTACAATCCTCCGTCCATCAAGCTCAAGTCAGATCATAACCGAAGATGCTCCCGACATAGCAGAAAAGCATCATACTGTTGAGAGCCGGCAATTCCTGCAGCCCTCTGATAAGTTCAAACTTCAGTTGTTCCCGATCGATGAAGATACCCGCAGAGTATTGCAAGAGGTATTCAGAAATAGAAACCTCGCAGCTGTGATCCTTCTTCATCTGAATAGCCTAACCGTGGGAACATGGATTTCCGCTTATTACAGGGTGACCATAATCCTTACCTAGAGCTCACCCTACGGCCACGAAAGAAGATATCATCAGTGGTGACACATCTCACCATCAAGTGGGGCATCCCCAGGACAGCTTATGAACTCGTGCTTTTTCCACACGAGGGTGGAGAAGTCAGCCTCTTGGGTCATAAAACATGGACGTTAAACGATAGGGAGACCAGTGCAGCCGATGTGTACTCGACAGTTGGACAACCAGAGATATTCCGTCTAAAGTATGTCATCCGCCCTTCACCTGTTATATATACCTTTTTGTGAACAATTAGTCTGCAGATGGGTTCCGCGAATTTAAGTGAGTAAAAGACTTGTATCGTCTGTTTTTAAGGTATGGGTTGTACCCGAATCCAGGGTCAGAAAACTCTCAGCCACCTCCTGGGACATACATTTCAGAGAAGAACCTGCAATCAAGAACAGGCAGAAGTAGAAACACTGTTGAAGGAGAAGAGCAACCGCACCCATTAATCACCCAAGAACTTGAACCAGTGCCTGCCAATGAAGCGGGACCATCACACGAACCAGACAAGCCAGTGGTACTCTTCTGCACCCATTAAGTTTTACTTTTACTTCTGTAGGCTTCTCTCTCTCTCTCTCTCTCTCTCTCTCTCTCTCTCTCTGAGTGTTGGCAATTCACACATCTTTTTTTTATACTGTCAATATTGTCAAGCGCAATACGGCAATGGGAGGCAGCAGCCTGCTCTCTTGGGTTGACTGTGTGACAAGTGTCAGCGTTGGGCAGCTACTCTCAGAAACTTCAAACGCCAACCAAGCCAGTCAACTGCCCACGGAGAAGAACCCAAGTTCCAAGCATATCTCCAACTGCGATTCATTCGACTTCGCCATTGCCGACTTCATCGCCCGCAACCAATATCCACATTATTCGACACAGCCGCCGTCCCTCTCCTCCATCTGGGACGCGGAAGAAACGCGCCACGCCTTCCCCACGATGAAGCCCACTTCGTCAAGGACCAAGACTTCTCCCGCGTGTGATCACACTGCTGTTCAGGTTCGTTTCTCATAACAAGAACAGCGCTCACATTGTGCCAGATTTATTTCCCCAGTTTTATGACCCAATCTCCCTCTCTCTCTCTCTCTCTTCCTCACCAGGATCACAACTCGGAAGAACCAGCAACTGGGTCGACGCCCGACCCACAGACCAACGAGCCACAAATGTCAAATCTAGGGTTGCTGAATTTCTGCTGGGTAAATAGTGTCTCCTTTTTCTTTTTCTTTTCCTCCTACAGCTTAGAGTCTGAGATCGATCTTCTTATGCCTCCGGCAGCAGGATTCTCTGGGTCCATTCGGCTACGGCGCGCCTTCCAAGCAGATCACCGGAGCCGAGGGTACCACTCTCAGTGGCCTGATCTCAAGCAGCCTGGACGCCTTCCAAGGTTGCTCTCTGCTCGCCATGGAGAGCGCTCCGTCCACCTGAGGGGTCGGTCCTCTTCGAACCGTTGTACAGAGGTTCCGGCCCGCCCCCGCCCCAACCTTCGTTATATTTTATTTGCTTTTAATTCGTAAGTAGTTTAGAAGCCCTCGGCCCGCCATTAAATGCACCAAAGAGAGGAACGATCTCCATCTCCGCCCACTTTTATTTAACCCACCTCAACGACGGTGGCATTCATTAAGCACCCCGAAATCCTGGCGCTACTTTTCTGATTTCATACATCAGCGCCGGTAATTGAATCCCTCCCCCCCCCCCCCGTTCAACGTGAATGCACCAAGTTATTGAAGAGAGAGGAGAGAGAGAGAGAGAGAGATGGCCCAGTGCCGTGGTCAGGCAGGTTTATTTGTATAGTACGAAACAATGGGTAGACAGCGTAGCCTTGTCCCTGAACGTGACTCGGTCTACTGGGTTAGGAGACCACGACGGGCCCATCCCTGTGGGCTCGGCATTGACGCTCCGCCATCCGTCCAACCCCCGCAATCAGTCTTTCTCTCTCTCTAGGTATCAATCTATCTCTCTCCAGCTCTGGGGGGGATTTGCATTGAAGACGGACGGATGGGATTCGGTTCACCGGTGAATGTACACAGTGGGCTTATCTTCAATGGGTTGACCTCATTTACTACAGTAAAGCGAATGGGGGAGGAGCCTATAAATAGCTACGTCGTGCGATGTTCCCCCCCCTCATCGGTGTTCGCGTGCAGGCGAAGAGAGAAGAAGCGTCCGGTTGGTCACTTGGCTCCTCCATCGCTCCATTTTTTTTCTAGGGTTTTCTGCTCTGCCCGTGAAGGATGGAGAAGACGATGATTCCCCAGTGGAGCGAGGCTCTTCTTCTCGCCGGGGCCTTCTTTACAGCGGCCGCAGCAAAGGCTAAGGCCTCCCCCTTGCCCTTCACCATAGATGGTAACTACGGTCTCTCTCTCTCTCTCTCTAGTTCTGTCTGTCTGTCTCTCTCTCTCTCTGATCGAAGTTCATTCTCCAATGCAGTGAAGACGATCGACCAAGGGGTGGCTTACGGCCTCATGATCGTGGGATTGCTCGTCACGTATCTCATGCATTGATTCCCAAGGAACATGCAGACATATACGTTATAAATGTACATGCATTCTTCTTGCATGGCAATGAAGTTTACTTGACTGGCTTCAAGATTTGGTCTTGGCCCCCGCATGATATGCGCATATATTCACATAGGGAAAGAGAGGAAGCGACACAGAGAGAGAGAGAGAGAGAGAGAGAGAGAGAGAGAGAGAGAGCGAGAGAGCGAGAGAGAGAACGAGGGAGAGAGAAAGAGAGAGAGAGAGAGAGAGAGAGAGAGAGAGAGAGCGAGAGAGAGAACGAGGGAGAGAGAGCGAGAGAGAGAACGAGGGAGAGAGAGCGAGAGAGAGAACGAGGGAGAGAGAAAGAGAGAGAGAGAGAGCGAGAGAGAGAGCGAGAGAGCGAGAGAGCGAGAGAGAGAGAGAGAGAGAGAGAGAGAGAGAGAGAGAGAGAGAGAGAGAGAGAAGCCAATATTAGCGATGATATAGAGCGCTTATTAGATTGAAGAAGTAGCGGTGATGTCTGAGCATTATAATAAAAATAGGGTTTTTATCGTAGTCAATATAGAAATGAAAGCTCGTCAGCTTGTCAAGACCACCCTCTCGGCTCCCCAGCCTCCCACGCTTAGATCAGTCAGTTCAAGTGTCAATGTCGGACGTGATGTCTCGGGATCGGTGTTGACTAGAAGGCAGGTGGGGAGTGGGGGCAGGACGTGAAGCCACGCGGTTGGAGATCCCTGGTTAGAGGCGTCGAAAGGCCCGGGTCAGTCCGGAGCTCGGGCGCGGTCAACTCAATCAAGTTTGTGTATTCCGAACAGATAAAAATAGGCCCGATTTGATTGATCTCTGTAACCCCGTCAATGCGATCTTGAACCGAAAGTCTCCAGTGACACGCACCCCATCTCTCTCTCTCTCTCTCTCTCTCTCTCTCTCTCCCAATCTCAATCACTCTACCTCTGTCAGGGCTTGGTTTCAACATGCTATCCCAAAATTCCACAGTACCTACAGCTCTCTCGCTTTCTCTCTCTCTATCTCTCTCTCTCGCTCGCTCGCTCTCTCTCCAACTTTCTCTTTCGCTCTCTCTCTCTCTCAACGCCAATCTCTTTACCTCTGCCGGTCTTGGTTTCGACATTCTAGCCCAAAATTCCAAGGGACGTACAGCTCTCTCTCTCTTGTTCTGTGGGTTTGACCCAGAGAAACACCCGAAGGCGATAGGAATGGGAATTAACCGGATCGACGGTGAGAGATGACATGCAAACGGGTCGGTCAGCGACCCGGAGACTTATCGGCGGCCAAGAATTTGTTCTTCAGGGCCACATCAAATGGGATTTGTCGGCCTCCACCGGGGCAAGTTTCATAATGCAGTACCAAGAACGCGCCTTGATACCTGTAAACTGAGCTCCTTATATGCTCCGAGACTCACTCTGCCGCTGGCTTGCTGGCCGCGTGCTTGCAGGCAGGCACCGCTCCTTTCGTTGCCGGATTCTTCAGCTCATCCCCAGCCACGAGAAAAAACGCAGTGTGCCTGTAGAGAGAGAGAGAGAGAGAGGGGGATTATAAGCCAATGAAGCTAGATTTCTGTCCAGAGAGCTAGCTAGGGTTTGAGGGAGGCTTGCCTGAAGAAATTCATCATCTTGATCTTGGAATCCGGGTCGATGGTCTGGGTGCTGTCCAACGCCTGCTGCATGTGGTGCAACCATCTTTCAGCGGCCCGGTGGGTGACAGGAAAGGGGCGGTGGCGTCCGATCAGCGCCGGATGGCCTGTCCAAGCCATGAACCGAAGTCAACGTATGGATTCTGAGATATAAATCTTTACAGGATCTGGAAAAGAAGGCAAATTCCGCTGAAGGTCCCCCCTGAAGGAATAAGATATGGATATCACGAACATGATGAATGATTATCGTCCGATGTAAACAGAAAATTCTAAATATTATATTAATGGGCATCCATAGCGGAAAACCATACAAAAATAATGGAAAAAAGTAGATGTGGTCTGGGCACTGCCTTCCTTAGGGTTTTATTTAGTTCAGTTTCCATCAATGGATAGCGAGAAAGATCTTTTGCCATGGTTGACTTCTGCTGGGTTGCTCTGAAGCGTCTGTCAGAATGCTGCACTACACAAATGGGGAGGTGAAAAATGATAGTACCTAATCGAGGATGCTTCCAAAACCCTTGACAGAGAACATCGACAGAAATATCAATGAACTTGCAAGAAATGGTCGACCAAGATTTCCAGAGCATATTGGGGAATTATGTGCCTTTTCCCTGATTATTTGATGTTGGTATGTACAATATATAGACATCTCTATGTAGACCGAGTATATTAACTATTGGGGGCACCCAGTGGCGAATTCTGAAAGCCACCGCAGACCTGCATCTAATGCTTACCTTCCCCTTAGTGTATCTAGAGAACGGCCAGATTCTGACTTTACATTTGCGACGAGTTGAAAGGCACAGGATGGGAGACCTGCCGTTGACTTTATTGCACCTGGAAGCTTAGGCTCAGACAATTTATTGAAGTAGTAAAAGAAGCCTGCTGAACCAACAGCTACCGACGTGTCTTCATAAAGCAACGGCCAAAATGGGACAAACCAGTCAACGTAATAAAAGGTGGATTGATCCGATGATTAGACACTATTTGAGCTTGAAATCTACAGACTCTTATACTAGGCCAGAGATAAATGACCGAATGTCATCATGGGCCTTGTTCCATCCAAAAGATATCCCTGAAGGATATGAAGACCAATAATTTACTACTAGGCTCGGAAGATGGCCATACCAATGCTCAGTAAATTTTCCTGCGAACGATGATAGAACAATACTAGCAATTTTGATCACAAGTCATTCTCAATCTCTCAATCCGAACAGAGTGCAGGAGCCCACGCATATATTTCTGAGGAGAAACCACCAAGTCTTGCGTGAAAAAATTGTTCACGAAATCTGTTTGTTCGTTCTCGTACCGTTGGGATAATAAAGAGCTAGCATTAGATGCTTGCAACTCTGATGGCGTCTCAATAAATTTGATGGAACCATGTCGTTGGAAAGAACATTAAAAAGCTAACTGTGCTCAGAGTACAGCTAATATTAGCTGGAACAGATAAGGACGGAAGCAAAGCAGGCATAATAATAACGCGCAACGGGGCATTGTAATTCAACGGGGGTCATATTGTCCAAGCATTTGTCAGTAGACACGGAAGATGGCCATACCCATGCTCAGTAAATTTTCCTGTGAAGGATGATAGAACAATGCTAGCAATTTTGATAAAAAATCATTCTCAATCTCTCAATCAGAACAGAGTGCAGGAGCCCACGCATATATTTCTGAGGAGAAACCACCAAGTCTCGCGTGAAAAAAATGTTTATGAAATCTGTTTGTTCGTTCTCGTACCTTTCGGATAAAAAAAACTAGCACCAGATGCTTGCAATCCTAATCGCGTCTTAATAAATTTGATGGAACCATGTCGTTGGAAAGAACATTAAAAAGCTAACTGTGCTCAGAGTACAGCTAATATTAGCTGGAACAGATAAGGATGGAAGCAAAGCAGGCATAATAATAACGCGCAGCGGCATAAAGCGAAATGGACCGGGAAGGAGTGTAGAAAGATACGACAACAGAACCAGGATGATGAAAATTCAGCGTACCTTTCCTCTCTGAGTAGAGAGGAGGTCCTCCCATCCTCTGCACGAAGAATTCGTACTGGTTTCGTATCGCATCCTCCTTCTTGGAAGTAGCGAAAATGGAGCGGAACCATTGCTCCTCGTCGTCAAACACCCTACCATCCCAAGAGAAAGGAGATCAAGAAACTACACACCAGTGTTGCGGGATCGGTCTGATCCGATCGAAAAGTAAAACAGAGTACCAAGACGGAGGTGAGGAATGGGCCAAATCAAGAGTACGATCCGCTCTTGCCTGTTGTAGAAGCTGGTGGAAAGGTCCACGAAGGTCTGGAGGCCGAGCTTCTCGAACAGATTCGTCTCGTCGATGGCGAAGGCGTCCGCCCCCGCCACGCCGCTCCACTCCGACGCCTTCTGCTGCAGGGACTGCATGTCTCTGCCGCGATTCCGCCGGCGGTCACCCACTGGCGCTGCCAATGCGGGCGAGCGCCCGCGCCACCCACTTGCGCAGATTTTGGGTGCGAGTGTAAAAGAGGACTAAGTTTATTTTGTATGGAACAAAATAACCCGGTCCCATGGTCTAGTGGTTAGGACATTGGACTCTGAATCCAGTAACCCGAGTTCAAATCTCGGTGGGACCTTATCTTAATTTTCTTTCATTTTTATTTTATTTATTAACCTTGTTATTTTTAGCGCAATAATAAAAATCTCCCCACCTCGTACCCACTCGAAATCCGCCGACATATATATATTATATTTCACGCGGAAATATCAATAATCCCGCCGTATTTAAATTAAAAATTAAAAAAATCGAAACCACGAATTATCCACGAGCTTAATCTCACCACCCCAAGACTGAGAAACATTTCCGCGGGATATCCACCTTCGGCGAAGCGCCCATGTCGGAAATTTGGCACGTGGAGGAAGCTTCCGGGGGTCCACGTGTAACCCTCAGTCAAACACGCCTCCTCGCGGAGCCCATAAATCACCATTCCTTCAGCCCCCCACAATTCCATATCCTCTGCTGGACTTTCAATTGGTCTCCTCTCTCTCTCTCTCTCTCTCTAGTCTTCTCCACCTCGCCTTCAGCGATCTGCGGCGGAGCAGAGCGGATCGGTGCGGCGGCGATCGGAATTTCCTCGCCCAGCAGCAGACGGAGAATGAGGTTCGCAGGATTCCACGCGCTTCTCCTCGTCGCCTCGCTCTTTCTCTCCGTCATCCTCCCGTCGTTCGCTCAGAACGCCGCCGCTCCCCCGTCGGCGAGCCCCCCGACGAGCGACGCCTACGCTGTCGACCAGGGGATCGCTTGCGCGCTGATGCTGGTGGCGCTGCTCGTGACGTACCTCGTCCACTGATCACCCGCGGAGGCGGGAGGGAATGGAGAGTAGATAGATAGATGCCGGTGGCGCCTCTCGCCCCGTCTTATACTTTTTTCTTCTATATATCGTGACATAAATTCATTTGTTCGCCGCTCATCTTCCCAACTTTCCCTCGGCATATGATCGCATTGCGAGAGAGAGAGAGAGAGAGAGAGAGAGAGAGAGAGGGACGGGCCCAGGCCTGGCCCAAAATATATTTAGGTTGGGCTTCGGCCGTACCAGCCCATTAACAGCCAATTATATCATATAAGCACATTTTGGCATCCTATTAACCGCAGGCACGATGCCCAATTCGAATGAATGTCAGTACACCAAATATGAATGAAAAAAATATATATTTCATTTCTTACCATGAAAAATAAATCAAGCATACTATGCTCCTATATTTGCCGCAGCCTGGTGTTCATGGCCGTCCAGCGAGAGCTACTTAGCCAGTGCAGAAGACGGAGGCCTGCGGTTAGAGCAGTGTCAGACATTCATCCCACGAACTAATCCTCGCCATTTGCTAAAAAACCCAATAAAATTTAAATCACCTCGTATTTACCCATTGAAGAAATAAACAAATTTTCTATATAGTTCATCCGCATCATCATGTGGAATATACAGGACAGAATCCGTGCTTTATCTAATGGTCGCAGAAAATAATCCGAGGAAGGAACCAACCGGGGGTGTTTATGCAACTGGATCTGGTCCATCTGCACAAAGATATAATAATCAGGGTATAAATATATATATATATATATATTTAATATCTTCAGATACAGTTGACCCGCGGTTGTCTTTAAATAGGAAAAATATTTATAAAAAATAATATTCTGCTGGTTCGCAGAATCATTACGCTGTGGTGGTTTGCAGGAAACAGAAAGCATAGAGATTTATACATCACAAAGTCCTTCGAAGAGATTTATTTCATTAAAATAATCCACAAAAAGCATGGTAAGAAGCATATTTATTCGTATTTTAAAGATTATATCCCCGAATAAGATTCAGTACCTTCCCAGCGTTTAGAAGAATCAAGCAATTTGTGAGTCGTTCGTCACATTGAGGCCCACGAGATGCTTCTCGTAAAAAGGCTTGTACTTTGGAGGAACGTAATCTCTGAAGCTGTTGACGAGCATGCCCATTAGTCAACGACTTTGATAGCAGCTGGCCCCATTAACGCTGACTTTGAGACAGAGAATTACACAGAGGTTGCGTACCTTTGGAGAAGAGGGAGCCTGTCGGGCACAGAAAATAATCTCGCAATTGATTCCAAGACCGGTACTATTTTCATCGTTTTCAGCTTCAGTGCCTTCATGAGACCGACAAACTCCCTGTATTCGGCCTCGGTGAGCTTCTGTTTGACCTGAAAAAGTCAACAGTCCAGCTCAACCTAGCCCTCTGAAAACCCACCTTCCCTTCTGCCGGGCTAGGAGATATGGCAAGGATACCAATCTTCCTATAACGAGGACTAAAGCTAAAATGCTGAGCACACAGGGCTGCAGATAGATGGCTAAAATGGGCAGGGTCTTCAGCAGAGATGACCCAGTTGACTTGCAGAAAATGGCAAAAATAGAGAAACAGAAGCGCACCTTCACGAGGAAAGCAGACCCTCTTGTCTGCTCGGAGGAACCGTCCTTCTGCGGATGTGACTGAACGTGAGACTTTCTTCTCGTCAGATCATCACTAGATGCATGCCCAGCCCTGGTTGACGGCATTCATAGCGTCTGCTGCTGTCACACCTGTCATCACCCTCAGATGAAAATGGTCCGATTTGCTGTTTATCTGAACTGCTCGAGAGAGGGTAACGTCTAGGCGGAAATCCTGAAGCTTGCTCTGAATGGGGATCAGCTTCAGATGATACATAACTTTCCAAAGAACTGGGAGCCGTCACTTTGGTCTTACTACTTTTTCTCTCCGCTGCTATGGGGTCAGCGGTCCAGTCAACCACCTTGCACTGGTCATCTTCAAGAACTTTTCTCTTGTGATCAACAGAAAGGGATTTTTTACCGCCTCCGGATTTCTTCCCCATGTCAGTTATGCTACTAAGAGTTGACCTATTTGCGGGAAGTATTCCTTCTATGGAGTCAACGGATATTCATTCGTTGCTGAAGATTTGCGGTATTCCTCTGGTAGTTTCAAAAGCTGAAGATTGCCGCCTCTCAGAATCTTCATTGCTGGTGTTAATCTGCCAAGAAAAAAGATTTGGAAGAATACAAAGGAAAGTTTAGTCGAAAAATGGAGTTAGTCAAAGCCATCAATTGAAGCAAAAAAGTAGGAACAAACGAAGATGTACCATCCGTTGTGGCAGAATCAGATTTTCATTCGGGTGATCTATTTCCTTCCCAAGAACACTCTCTATACAAGAGTGTAGGTTCTTCCTCCCTGGCTTCTCTGTCTCCTTTCCACGAACATTATCTGCATTACAATTCCACATTGGAGAACAATAATTGATTAAAATTAATTTTTCTTTACTTCTATTTCATCAACACATATGTCTGTTAGAAATAAGAAACGACAAACGGTAAGCATCAGCTCCAAGAACATTTCATTTTTCGTGTTTGACTAATTTAATATCTACTTGCAATTTAATTCTAAATTTTAATTCTATGTATATCGTTATTCCATTTTCATACACGGAGTATCATCTGTTGGTGAAGATTCTATGCTAGATTGACTTTGACAGCCAGAAATGAGTACCAAAAAATTATGGAGACCACATTCCTAGTCAACCAGTTATTTGCATATAATTTATAACAACGCCTGGCAAGTTTGATAAAATTAAGCACCTTCGTGTCGACATTATCCATTCTAAATGGGGCACCAGGAGCCTAATAAAAGGTACTAATTTTTTTACCTATCGATTTCGGAATTAAAAAATAGATAGAATCATATATTACCTGTTATCAATTCATCTTTCAACTTTCCCTCGACTTTCTCACAGGAAACTTGGTCACGGAAAAACCCAGTCAACGTAAACACCACATCCCCATACTTGGAATATGTCTAGAACAGCAGAAGCATGGTTAGCAAGAGATCGCTCCATATCAAGAACGTCAAGACATAGTTTACATAGATTCAGCACCTTGACATGTGGCTGGAGCCAGAGCGACATTTTTTCTTGATGAGATCTCTGTGCAAACCTACACAACCACAACATACTTGGATAAGAAACAAGACAGATCAATTACTACGAATTAAGGCAAAAGTAACCATGGAAAATGAGTACGTCCATCAGAGTTAATACAGCATGGTCGAGGTTGGCTCATTTTTAAAAAAAAAGATAATTGACACCATAACATTCAATCTTCATTTCGACGACATTTCTGATATAGTTTTTTTCCTTTGAATCGTCTTTTCCCCGCTGAAAAATGTATTGGAGTACAGGTACGCAAACCGTGTTAATATATTCATATTTTATGCCTGTGGTTAATATATTTAAACCAGATCAGAGACTAGATGTATATCTGCACGTATATCATTGTTGACACCTAGATCAAGCATCTAGACTCAATTAAACATGGACAATTCTTGTAACTCTCTCATCATCCCCATAAAAATCGGCCACATTGTTCATGATGCAGAGACAAGTATGCAGAGGATGCAAGATTTCATCCTTTCAAGTCACTCCTTACCATGGATTACACAAGAAACCTTTCGTTACCTAATAATGTGTTTTCTGGTCGACAGAACCTTGTTCATGTGATACTCCCCGTTTATTTAACAGAATATCTTCATCATAACATTCGCCTTGCGTTCGAAATAATAATAAAATTATATTATTGAAACTTTAAAACATCACGGAAATAAATTAAATATTTCGATACAAAAAATGGATAATTAGTATTTCACAATTATGTGCATCTTTACAATAGTTATCATATTCACAGGCAGGAAAAAGTTGGGGAGCTTTTTATAGTACAAATATGTGACCGCAGGGTTCAGCATGCCTGCTTTCCTCCCATTTTCAATCCTCTATTGCAATAGCCCTGGTGACACATGGTGTTCACAAAAGCAACGACAGGTAGTGCGGGAAGAATCGTTAGAGTATCAGTTAATTTTACGGATTGAAAAGGGAAGCTAGAAAGTTCCTAGTACATGTTACTAAGATGACTCTAAAAGATCATTTGATAAGGACAATAAAACTGTTTCCAGATAGCTCCATTAAAATAGATTCATATCCAATTAAATGAATACATAGAGGATGGTGAAAAGAAATGCATAGTATTACACCTTTCATCACAGAAAATGATTGCTCCATAATCATGGCGATGACGGATGACACGGCCAATGGCCTGATTCACAGCTCGTGTTGCTTGTTGAACATACCATTCCTCCCCCGTGAGAGACTGAAAATTATTGAACTGTAATTTAAGCTATACAGAAGAGGTGACAAAGTTTATTTGAAACATTAACAAAAGCATCCGGAAGGTTCAAAATGAAGGAAGGCAAAACTTGAACACCATTTACATTTATCTTATTCGTGGCTGCATCAGACAGTGAAACGGCATTGCTGCACAAGAACTATAATTACAGCCTAATCCAGATAAAATTGAACTGTTTTTTACCTTTTGGCCTTTCTTCTGTAACGAAGCTCGATGGTCTAAGAAATCCCGCTTGAGACGAATCTAGTAGATATTGATGAGGCAGCCAAGTAAAAAATTTGAAAATAAAATCATCTAAAGAAATTATTCAGTAAAAAATAACCAAGACAAAATCCAGTCTATAAGGTATTTTAGTTATGACAATTAAAAGGGCATAAGAAAACATAACGATAAAATATCCTGGGCTCCATATCCCGTTCCTTTCCAGAAATGAAACTCTTCATTTGAAAAAAAATCTATATAAACTCAATAATCCATAGGAAAATATTGAGCACAGAAAATATGGCAACTCTCTCGGAATGGCAGCTCTCTAGCCGCAGGAAAAGCATGGCGACTTATAGACAAGAAAAATACTGAAAACAGAATCAACTCTCTCTGAATCTGCCGTTCCTCTGCACCATAAACATGTTTTACATTACCATATCCGAAAACGACATAAAGAATCGTCCATAACATAGACTTGATGCCGATGGTTCTTATTCATAAAATAGGGAGAAAAGGATTGAAAGAGAGAAAACGGAAGTTCTCCACAGAACTTCCTACCAAAAAAAAAAAAAACTGGCTGTGCCAAGACACATTAATCATCTTTGGAAATTTAAAATAATTATCTTGAACCTATACCACTGCAGCACAGTGGTGCTGGGCAAGTGATACCAGGAAAAATGGGATATGAAGCCGGGAGCATTATGTCTTAGTACAATATAGGAAGTATTACCTATATTCATTCACTCGGTCATTTAGTTTTCCTATATTAACATCCTCAGAGTCCTCGTTAACACTCTTGGAGCTTGGGTAGTGTCATTTGAAGGTAGCAGCTCTATCGGAATTTCTTCGAAAAGTATTTTGACAAAGTAAAACAGTAATTAAGTAGAAACATGTAAGCAGCAAAAATATGAGATGGGATAAGTCCATGTATAAAGCCAAAATGCATGGGAAAGTCAACTCACTCTTCAATGTTATAAGTAATAGTAATGTATGCTATAGAACTATAGGATAACTAATTGAATAAATATTAATATTTTATTACACGAGTGAAAGGAAATAGGTATCCAAGCAAGAGAAGAACGCAGCCGCAGGTGGACCCAGATGGTTCCGACCTGTATCAGGAAGGAACCCTTCTGAGAACCTGAGAAATGGAATTTCTCATCACCAAAAAAAATAAAATTGACACCATTTAACTTATTCCAATACTCTGTAGAAGTACCAGATCATGATGACGAGGCTTAAGTTGCAATTCAAAATTTCAGTCATCAAAAGTAGTTTGGCATTTTTCTTGTGATCCCCTACCAGGACCATGAACCAGTTAAACTTGAATTGTTAAAACCACCCCAATGGCAGAAATCATGGCAAATATATGTTAGTAGAAAATACAGAGAAAAAGGTGAAACACAGATCAGTCTGAATATTTAATATATGGCCATCCATATACAGCATTATCAAACCTTCGGATCAGCCATCATGGAAAATGGCATTCCAGTTACAATCACAGCTCTCCCTGCATGGTCGGCGAAATCAAGACCCTCACTTACCTGCGAAATTACACGAAAACTGAAGCACACTTGAAAAACATGGCTTAAAGATGAAAGTTTCTTTTAATGTGATAAAGAAGATGACGCCAAATGTGATAAAACAAGCCGATCATGTAAACATTTAGGAGAATCTATGATCAGAAGCAGGTAAAAGCATTTAGCAAAGCAGTTTTGGTAGGTTGCTTCCAACTATTTTTCATTGCTTTCTTATCCTTCCTTTGTACTTTCCCACACTATTTGTCGTATTCTTTCCTCCATTACGAACTACCCAGATATATTCTTCCTCTGATGGCAGTAGTGGTGCCAATGCGTTTTAGATATTTTGCATAGGACAGAAATTTGATCAATCTCACCAGAGATGGAGGACTTCAGCTTTGATTCAGTCCCTTAATTGATTCAAACTGAATTTGGTGACTATTTTAACTATTCAGACGGGATGAAATCCAGATTTAGCCGATTCCTTTAATCATGCCTCTGAGAACAGGAACTACAAGAGTCATGAAGGTCTGTGTCATCATGGTTCAAGCACCAAAACTCTAAAAGCCAAATGATAGACGAAAAATGAAAATGTAGCATGCCATGCAGCACAGTGCATGTGTACGACAGAATTCAAAGGGACTATCACACTTTGAAATGGTTGTTGAAGGTTTTCCTCAAAGAAGCCATCATCTCTAACGTCTAAATACAGGACCCATTTCAAAAAGCAACCCAGAGTAAAAGGATGGAATTTCAACAATACTTTGGAAGTATAACCAATTAGAGCTCTTCATTGAGCATATCTTAATGGAGCACAGCTCGCTTCAACAAGGATATCAAGCGAAGTGTGAAAACATAAGAAATCTGTAATAATCTGTTTAAAAAGGACCTTGCCACGGCATACTGCAAAAAAAACTGCTCCAGAAGTAGATCTGTCATGCAGTTTTGCCTGAAAATCCTGAAACCATTCATAAAAAGTTACTTTCAGAAGTACAGAAAAGGTCACAAGGCTGAATTAAGAAATATAGGCGCAAAAAGTTTGATGAATACTTTTTGATGCCTTTGAGAAAAAGATCACGGAGATAATTAAAAATGGGAGAAATAAGGATTTCTTACTTCAATTGCTGAGCCAAACAGCTGTGATTCCTTAGGTTCAATAACAGGTTGCTTGTTTTTGCATATCCTCTCCCAAATTGTGCTCAAATCTGTTGAGCTGGCATGATTCTGTAATCACAAATATGAGTTAAGCAAGATAAGACTACAAACATTTCAATAAGGTTTTCTCACATGTTACCATACCATATTCCTCCAGCATTCGATGCACTGGTTCATAAGATAGTACGAGGGGAAAAATACAAGTAATCCATCAGGTACGATTCGTGCGAAGTTTACTGCCAAATAAATAGAGCATGGAGACAACGACTGTCAGCCCCTTAGAAATGCCTTAAAATCAATTCAAAATTGTTCACAGAGCCTTCCACCTACCAATTGCATTACCGAGTTCTTGTTTGTAATCCACGGAATCCCGATTGCGATAGGAAGAATTGAAGGAAAAACCAGATGGACCACGAGAAACAACTCCAACCCAAACTTGACTGCGAGATACCACATGAGGGTTCTCCAGCCTGATTGGAAATTCTCTGCATGAGAATGCAAGACATGAAACATGAAGGGAAAGGGAGAAATAACCAGTAACTGAACTTGGAGGAAGAGAGAATAAAAAAACGTCCACCTACAAGCTCATTTCGAGGGCAAATGAATCTAATGGTGACAATGTACCAGATGTCATTATGACAGAACGCACATTAAGACGCTCAAATTCTTTCATGGCAATTCCAGGATTGAAACACCACCAGCTGAGTATCCTGGAGGACTTTCCTATAAGTAAGAATAACAAGGGGATTATCAACCAAAATGTGCCCAGTAACATTCAGGGGAAAAGTTCCTAAATAAACTCAACGTATTGCGAGGATAACCGCTGCTTTGACAATATAGCAAGTTTTACACAAGTCATGCACAGGTGAAGTATTTCTTCCGTTGGTAGGGCAAAAACCTTTATGAAATCAATAGAAAAGAGCTGCAAGGCAAAGACAATTATGGGAGAGAAGAGAAGGTGTAGGGGTAATAAAGTCTCTGACAAGCGCATGACAGACCAATGTTACATCTCTCTCTCTCTCCCTCTCTCACCCTCTCCGCCAAACATTCTCAGCAATCTGATTCCCAAGATTTTTCCATGAAACTTACCTCTGAAAGGTATTATATCCTGCAATACCTGGCAATAACTATCTCAATAGGTACTTCACATCATATAGTGCATATTAAACTCTTGATTGTTTCAAATCAATTTTCATCACATTCAGGAAGGTTGAGTGCACAAAATGTGAAAGAACATATTTTTAGAGATTTATACAATCTAGGAGAACATTTATAACTAATAGAAAATATATAAGTGATGTCCATGTTGAGCCACCAGTAAAGCCCAAAAATTCAAACAAGCCCAGCCCAGCCTGGTGCCCATCTGAGTGAGTCCAGACTTCAAAGTGATGGACCTTAATGGCATCCGGCCATTAACTTGGCCAAGTCAATGGGCACCAGGCTACAGACGGAAACTCACTTCTGGGGTCATTAACACGGCAACGTTAACCCTAGAAACTCAGTTCTTTGCAATATGGCTGCAGGCACTTGGACTCCCTCTTTCCCTCCTCTTTCTTCCCCTACCCCAGCAAGAACCCTCACAACTTCCCACTTCCTCCTGAGAACTCGCCTTCCCAGATGTAAATAAACATCCCCTTAGCAGCACCCGCACCTCCATTGCTCCTATCTAACAGCCCCTCACGCCCACCTCCCTCTGTGAAAAACCTCTCTCCCCTCTTGTATCCCTGAGGACAACTGCCAGGCTGGAGCTCATTTCTCAGGTCCTTCTCCAGGCCGGATCTTGGACACGTATAAAGCCTTCGATCAACTCGACAACGCCAGCCCCAGCAGAGCCTATTGACACCTCTAATAAAAACATAGAAATCAACAAAGGTACCCCCGTACTTCACAAAAAAGGAGGATATATGAGATAGAATGTACGAACAACCGAAATTGCAGAAGAGAGATTTTTTAGTACCTTTCATAGAATCAGAGACATTTTGCTGAGATTCCTGCACGTGAAACTATGGGAGAGAATTTTTAATTAAGAAACTAGAGGTATGTGATAATCAACCTTAGAAAATATTAAGTTACGAAATGACAGTGAGATGAAGTCTATCCATACTTACACGGTAAAACTCTGCATGACTTTTACCACCATCTCTGAAGATAATCTTCAGAATGTCCTTGATAATTTCAAGTCTACAGATCGTGCCCTTCATCCTGTTTATATGGCCATTCATGTGCCCTTTGCATGATATCAACGAAATATCAATTCGTATTGATTATAAATTACGTCATAATGAGCGAATAGAAAATATTTAAGAAAAAAAGAAAATCGTAGATGGCAAATTACAAACAACAATATAAGTCAACACCAAAAAGATAAATGCGACTTTTATACACATAGGCATCATTATATAATGTCTCACTGACAAAAAAGCACACTTTTTACCAAAATAGAAAGAAATAGCAGCAACAAACGCAAGTTTCTACTTACTCTCTTCAAGAAGCTGTACACCACTTTCGATTGTACTTGTAAGCATATTGGCAGTCTCAAAAGTGATGTTCAGTTCCGAAAGGAACTCGTATATGTACAGACCAGGGCGAGTGAAACCTAATTCTTTTGAGTCGATGACCACTTCACAGATTCGTTTTTCAAGTTTCATTAAAAGAGCTGCGAGAATAGCACAATGGTCATGAACAAAGAACTTGAGAAAGAAAATTGATGCATAATCAATCAACTAATCAAATTGCATATACAAAATCTTGTAGAACGCACAATTAGCAAGAGCAGCCAACTGATGATAAAAGTTTAATTTTATTCTGTGTCTCCCACTGATGCTGATGCTCATTATTAGTTCCATAACAATTATGGGCGTCAATGAGCCAGGTTAGCCAGGTTAGTCAGTCAATCAACCAGTACCATTAATTTTTTCAGGGGTGGGAGCAAACAATTCCCAGTAGAAAAATTGACCCGGTTCACCGCTTAACCAGGACAAGAGAGAAATCTAGGAAGCTGAAAAATAAAACCACCTTTGAGAATAGCATAGTTGTCTGGATCATGATCCTTTTCAGCCGATTTCTGAATGGTCCTCCTTTTAATGGAGATACTAACGCATTGATTTGCTTCAGAAATGCATGCAGACAAAGAACCCAAAGGCAAGTCAAAAGATGCCGCATCAGCACATATGCTTTCCTGCATTTTAGATCATAAGGTAGTTATGACATAATCAATCAAATGAGATTTAAAAAAAGAACGAGTTTATATCCGAAGAGAGTGACAATCCTCTGCCATCCTTGGCGATGATTAAATTTGGGCCAGTATTGACTCCGACTACCAAATAATTAATTGGAAATAACCCATGTAACAAGCTACATCGAGTACTTACCAAATTGTGAGCTTCATCAAAAATAAGAACAGCATTATCCCATTGAATACCGGTAAGAGAATCCCTTCTAGCAGGATCTATTAAATAGTTATAAGGAGAAAATAGAATGTCAACCGTCTTGTGAAGATCACGGGACATATAATATGGACATCTGCAGAGGAAATTCATGATAAGTGAATGTGAACCAGAAAAAATATACATATTGTGAAACTTAAAGACTGGCGGATGATGAACTTATAACAAGAGTACTTAAAAAAACATACGGTCCCTCGGTCTTTCCAATATTGACCAAATCTTCAATGTCGAAAGGTTCATTTCCAAGCTCAGGACGGCTTTTCATAAAATCTGTACGAAAGAACAAGTAATTCATAGATGATTAAATACTTTATTTGGACCACTGAATAAGACACCAGGGAACAAAATCCCAGGAGTGAAATGAATGTAGAAACTATCACTACAATTATCAAGTTCTGGTATTCAAGAAAGCCGTGAAGACGTTGCTCAGCATAAAAAGCAGTGTAGAAAAGTTGCATCATAATTGCATATGAGCACATATTTGATGTGTCAGAGATCGTAACAGAGATATTCCAAACCTCCCTGCTCCAATCGCACCTTGTCACCACCAATCACAACCCAATCTCATTACTTACCTCTCTGTGCAATGACCTACTTACTGACAAGAACCAGGTTCAAAGTCCTAGGTTTCGGGTAAGCCATAAATCTAAATTGGGATTAAAATATGGGAATCCTACAGCTATAGAGCTCTTTTTTTAATTTTCAGTCTTCCACATGCATCTTATGAATCAAAAGTATCGTTATAAATGGATATAAATAATATGTACTATCTTAAAATAGAGGTTTCTACCGTGAATTTTTATTTTTTGTTCTTTATGGAAGGATGGCCGGAGGATATACATCTGAGTAGACACCATTTCATCGCTGACTAATATCTATGCTCTCTAAAATGATAAAAATTGGTTGACAACGCAGGTGGTTATAGGCTTTCAGGAAATCTAACTTGATGACCACCACTTCTCTACCTGACTACTATTGGCAGGAATTCATTCACGAGAGATGGAAGGTTTTCCTGAATCCGCCAATGTTCCATGGACGAAAATATATAATCAACCAAAAAATCTACACTCCCTCTTTGATGATAGTATTGTTCCCCAATCAGTCTTGGATCCACTCAGCATTGTCCTTGTAGGAAACGAGGACAAACATAGGATACTCTATCTAAAGCAAGATTCCCTTTTGGAAGCTGAACCGTAACTGATTATTATTTATTCATATGCACAATCCGAGAACAGAAGAGAGGAAAAACTGTCGCAGCATGGGAAAAAAGATAGAAATAACTGATGGACCAAGACTAGCCGATGATGAAATACAATTCCATAGGCAGGAGGACACACCGGAAGCAAGACAGTGATGCCTGCATGAACGCTTTTTACGGAGGTAATAGCAAGCATTATTTTGGGCACTTCCTTGAAGCGTTCTCACTTTGTCATGAATGCACATCTGCTCACGAGAACCCAGTATCCCCATTTTGGGCCTGCAATATTTTTACAGTATAAAAAAGAATATCAAATTCTGCAGTACAAAATAATTCGATTCTAATTATCTTGAAAATTTTCGGTCCACAGTTCACAACGCTTCTACCAATATCAGATAAAGTCAACATGTATAAGTTTCATGGATGTACAGCTCGGTGATAAAAAAAAATCACAAAGAAATGAGCGCCCAAAATCCAGGCCAAGGCGTTGTACAAGATAGACTGAAAAATGCTTCCATACAGCATATGGATTTCAGACCTGTGCATTTACAACGCCAGTCATTTACATATCCAAAATAATACTTCTAAAGATAAACGTGAAATAAACCTGTGCATTTAAAAAAAAACTTGTATTTACAGAGCATTTGAAAAAAAAAAGGTAACTTCAATAGTGATATATTTCAGACCATTTGAAAGGAGCTATTATCCCAGCTTACGTTCCACACAACTTACTTGTAAGAGAATCCTGTTGCTTCTCCATCTTTTCCCTAGTTGCAAACTTTCTACCTGGTTCACATCATTGTTTACCACGAAGGGGGAGAAGAGAGCCGAACAGAAATGCATTATTAGTTTAGGTTTAGAAAAATGATTATCAATGTTCTTAGACTAAAAGTATAAGGTAGCACGGCCACCTAATTGATCCAAATGCTCAGTCACAATCGAATTAGTAATCTTAAGTGTATTTCTTCACCCAAGTAGAAAAAGAAACAGGGGCGTTGTTATGATTCACATCTGCCTCGAGATAAAGTGGCTGACTTCTTGTAATACTTCTGAACCACTCAGAGATCCAGAAGCACTACTTCTGAAACCCCCATTTGAAAGATGAGAATAAATACATCTGTGCGTTGGTGCGCAACGACTAGCAGGTAGCTCAAATGGATTCGGACACCATGACGTGGAGTTTGCATATTTAACCAAATGACTAGTATGCATTGACTTTATAGATAATGAGAAGTCGGCGGTACATATGACGAAAGAAAAAAGCTATGTAGTTGCATTAGTGATCAGCTGAAATGAAAGAGGGAAATAACCTGTAGTTACTCGCTTTCAATTCTCGAATGACTTGCTTCAGCTGGCTGTGGGTTCGCGAAGTATATATGATGGTAGGATAACTTGATCGACGTTGCGATAGAGACGCATCATCAGAGCTCTGGCTGAGTTTCTCCTTCTGAAACTCGCTCGAGAAAGGCCCCAGACTCTTCCTCCAAGCCAACGTCGCACAAAGCAGACACAAAGTCTTCCCCGTCCCGGTTGGACTCTCCAACAACGCATTGCGGCTCTGGAACAGAGAAAAAACCTTAAGAAACTGAATCGTGGGTACAAATGGAGCTCTCAAGAAGGCAATGAGCCGCGTTGAGAGGATGAAGCAGCTTGTTCTGTCGTCACCAATCATCCTGTTGCCACCGATTCAACAGCGGCAGGCCACGGGCGACGATTTCAAACAAGTGAAGATAAAAATCTTCAGAGAACTAGAACGGACGTGGAGAGCGCACCTCCTGCAAGGACTGAATGACCCTCTCCATGTAGACAATCTGACAGTCGTATGCTTCGAAGGGGAAATCCACATCGATCCCTCTAATTCTGTAGATCGGCATCTTTGCTGCGATAAACCGGCGCAGGAACCCTAGGTGTAGTGCTTGCCGAAGAAGAGACCACGAAGAGGCGCGCGACGAAGCAGCGGCGGGTATCACAGAGCTCACGAAGACGGAGAAGAATTCCCGCCAGAAAGGGGTATTTCCGTCAAAATAAATTATCTAGTACTTTTGGGCCTGGCGATAATCCTTGCTAGCCCGAACTCCTATCCTATGTCACACGTCGTCTCTCTCTCTCTCTCTCTCTTTCTCCCCCCCTCCCTCCCTCCTCTCCCACACAGAGCGATGGTAAGATATTACCGCCAAAAATTACGAAATACCTATTTTCAAAATTACCAGTAAAATGAGATATTCTCATAGGTGAAACAAACCAAAATGTCACTAAAGAAACAACAGCATAATTTTTTTGGGGGGCGCACGCAGTTTAAGACGAGGTCGTTCCCCGACGACAGCGTTCATGCGATGTCAATTACTTACAGGCAGCGTCAACCGTGACAAGCTGCTTAACATCCCTCCGTGACTTCCAACGATCCCTTAAGAACAAACAGGCGTAGCTATCTGATGCATCCATAGGGGGGTGAAGTGATAGCCTACCCCCTCCTTCACTTGACCGCCTTGCCGCGGAGCTTGACTTCCAGGATCCTCTCCATCTTGGCGAGCACTACATGGTTAGGCACCGCCTTACCGCTCTCGTACTCTTGCACCACTTGTGGTTTCTCACAGATCGCCTTCGCGAGATCCGCCTGGCTCATCTTCTTCGCCAGCCTCGCCTTCTGGATGGCCAGCCTCATCTCCGTCGGCACCCGATCCAGGGCCGCCGGCTCCGTCTGCTCGTCGAGCTTCCGCGCGTTCACCACCGGCCCCGCCGTCGCCGACGATCCCTTCCGGTTGGATCCGCCGTCGTGCTTCTTCACTGTCTCCACGACGGCCCCCGCCCGAATCGCCTGGTTCACGGCCTTAGGATCGCGGAGCTCCGAGGCCTTCGTCTTCCGCCGGTTCAGAACCACCGGCTCCCAGTCCTGCGAGATGACCCCCGACGATCTGTTCGGCATCTCTGCTCTGCTCCGTACACAAAATGATGAAGACGACGAGAAACAGCAACCATCAAATGCTATTTATAGACCAGTCGAGTCGAGATGCTTCTTGAAGTTTCACGATGCCTTTGTTTCTAGAGGCTTTCTTTGTCGAATACCACGTGCCGTTGAACGAATGAGCCAATGCACGAATCAGGGCCCAATATCGAATCCCGAGGCACACGAGGGCACAGGTCAGCGATTCCAAATCATCCATCGCCGTCCAGGTGTCTCCCACGTGGATATACGTAGTAAGACGGTGTCACCCGCGTAACACACAGGATCCTTCTCACGAAACTTTTGAAGAGCTGCTTCGTTTCTCTCGATTTAGATGCCCAAGATATGTTTTATGCTTCAAGAAATCACATCTCCTCTACCCCATCTGACGATTTTTTCCCCTCTTTTCTTTTGTGGGGTTTGGTAAAAAGTTTGACCGCGGATGGTGGTCGGTCCTCTTGAGATATCAGCTGCACTGAAGTCAACTCAATATGTCCCCCTCATTGAACTTAAGTCAACGCAGCCGCGACAAAACATCATTGGCTTTTTTTCCAAGTTAATTAAAAGAAGTATTATATTTTATTTTAAGATCAGCATAAAATGTGTTCCCCTTATATTTTACATTCATGATTTGCGTGTTAAACTAGTCTTGGAATCCTGTCAAGTCAACTAGTTGTGAGACCGTACTAAGTCAACAAAGTGTGTCTTCCAATCAGGTCAACCAGTTTGTCAACCTAATTTAGTTGATGTCAACCCAGTCTAGGGTACGTTGACCTGCTTACCATAGAACTAATGAAAAAAAAGACATTGAAAGATAGGATTTTTTTGAAAAAACATTTCACTCGCGACAAATTCCCTGCCAATACTGGTATAATTTAATTATTCCAGAAATGTGAAAAAAAAAAAAGAAGCCCTCGTGCATCTTGGATGAGCAGGGTTCCATGTTCTTGGGAGAATTTCATGTGGCCTTTTTCCTCTCTCCCCGGTCAACTCGGCGGTCAGAATCTCCGAGTTCTTCCCTCGTCTTCTTAACCGTAGTAGAAATGGTCAATCACAAGGGGAACCAGCTCCACTTCAGCACACGTAGATCTTGTCTTTTTCTCGCAGAACGTTCAGCTCCTCCACTTGTGAGCCGTCCGCCATGAGGACCTTGCTTGCTGAGATTCCGAACTTTCTCTCTGCATCATGGAGCAAAAGAGCGCGTCAAGAAGATAAGCTGCTCACTGCACTGCAGTGATTGATCGGATTTAAGAAATATCGGATATAAACTTTGCCCATTAATATATAATAATGAACGATCCGAAAATGATATTCCTTCCATAGAGTCTTCCGTGTTCTTCATGGCTAAGAGAGTAGCGTGGCAAAAGTGACAGCATCTCGCACCTGCTAGCTTGAGGAGCTCGCCAATGGACTCCGGGAGAAAGACGAGCTTTCCTGGAGCAGTGCGCGTTCCATCACCTTCATCCGGACGACGCCCATGCATCACTACTCTCGTGGGTTTATCACCTGAAAGAGGAAATAATAGCAGATTTTTGGATTTTCTCACTGTTTCGATATATAAATAGTATATTTTTATAGAAAAGTAGCACAGTTTTGGTCGCTGTGACCGTTGCTTTGTAAAGTCAACGGCTTTAGTTGACATCAGAATGCCATCACATGAGCAGCATGCGTCAACTCTGACTTCGATTACCTCGAACGCCGGCATCTTGAGCTTCTCCCCGTGGTGGAGCGTCGCATTCCCCCAGATTCTCATTTGCTTCAGAGTACTGCCCACATTAGTCATTAGAAATTATAGCAGAGAATATTTAAAATTATGAAAATTTTAAATATATATTTTAATGCCTTATGGGTCAATTGGCCCTCTGGGTCTGACAACAACAGAAGATAAATTTAGTAAATTACTTCGATTAAATCATTTTCACGTGGAAGGAAATATCCGGGGGAGGAGGCTCTTTAGATTCCTAAAATAAAATAAAAAGTGAAAAAATATTTTCCGGGGGACCCGGATTTCGTCGGAATGGCGTTGACCTTCCTCGGTCCTTCAATCAGATATTCATGCTGGTTCGGGGCGCTCACCTGGTCATTCATGTCGGTCAGCAATTCTCTAATGAAAGGTATTTCGTCGAGGATCTCCGGCTCCAAGCCTCTCAGGAACTGCAAGGTGGGAGAAGAGCGTGTTCCTTTTATCATCAGACGACAAACTCTGGAAAACTAGCACTCGCTCTCGCCCTCAGAGCGCCGACCTGCAGATAGTTGTGGATGATCTTCCGCCGGTCTGAGATGTTGGACTGAACGATCTGGGTGAAATGGGAATGGCTGATCTTGATGATCTGAGAGAGCCTCTTGCTCCTTACAGTGAAAGGCTGCGGGATGTTGAAGATCACCCCGATCTCTCCCGCCACTTCATTCGCCCCCAGTTTCTTCAGAACCTGCGGAGTTCTAGCCGTCAGCAGCATCACGAGGTGTCTCAATGCCCGTTGCCATGCTCTGAGGTCGCCCTAACATCTCAGGGCTTAACATACTGATTCTGAATTAACCAGGTAAGTTTCATGCTTAGAGCTTTCATGATGTTATCCGGGTATCCTAGAGAGAGAGAGAGAGAGAGAGAGAGAGAGAGAGATGACAGCCGTACCTGCTCCGTTCCATTCTTGTAGGTCAACACATCCTGCAGCATCCAGGCGGCCGACTCAGGATCTCCATTTTTCCAAGGCATGGTCTCTCCGTGCAGCAAAAAACGAAAGGCTTGGAAGAACACTTACGACCGCCCCGGAGACGATGATGTAGAAATCCGTCGGGATCTCGTTCTGCAGGATGATGTCCACCTTTGGAGGATAAAACTCCGCCTTCATCTCCGATACCTGCAGAAGAACAGACGTACAAACACCTCCATCATCACCACCATCATCATCGTCATCTTCTGTGTCCCTCTCTGTGTTTATTGGGAGTAGAGAGAGAGAGAGGTTACGAGCTGGATGATGATGTCTTCGGCGAGGCCCTTGAGGAGATAGGAGCTTTCGAGAGTCTTCTGGAAGAGGTGCTGCGCGATGCTGGACCTGATGGCCTTGGGGAGGTCGGCGAGGACGCCCTCCTGTTGGAGCTCCGTCGTCTTAAACTTGAGCTGCAGGTGGGCCATCATCTGCTCCCGCAGGCTGTCCGGAAGCCGGTTCTTGCTGGCGAAGCGGGAAACCTCGTGGATGGTGTCCCTCTGCAAGTCAACTCAAGTTAGCGTCTCGCATCGGTAGTCAACACGTGTTGACCCGGGTGGTCAGGTTTATTTACCATGAGGAAGGTGCGCGTGGCGCCGTGGACGATGAGGTTGGTCATGTTCCCGATGAGGTAGGAGGTGAGACCGATGTTGAAGAGCATGTAGAAGATGTTGAAGACCTTCTCTCCCGTGTTCTGGGAGTGGAGGTCGCCGTACCCCACCGTCGTCAACGTAACGATTGACCAGTACATCGAGTACACGTACCCCACCCAGATGCTCCGATCCTTGAAGTCGCTGACCTGGGTGCCGATCCACGTGTTCGCCTCCACGCGGTAGTGGGCCGCGATCCAGTAGTACATGCATCCGGCGGAGTGCACCGAGAAGAGGGTGACCTGCACGGGGGTCAAAGAAATGATTGACTTTTCGACGACGTTTTGGATTGTCAGCGGGGGTGAGAGATCACTCACGCAGATAAGCTTGACGTATCTCGTCCAGAAGTAGCTGAACCGCGTGTCTTTCTCCAGCCTGCGGGGGAGAGGCACTCGTTGACTCAATGATCGGGAGTATCTTTTTGGGGGGCTAACACACGCGTTGACTTGTGGGTCTCCTGCTTACCTGGCGAAGAGGTCGCTGACTCGCCGGAGCCGCCAGAGGCGGAGCAGGTTCATGAATCCGAAGACGGTACCGCCGTTCTGCCTCCCCGTGAACATGCGGTACCCGAACTGGAAGGGGATCGTGGAGGCCACGTCCATGGGGAACCACAGCTTGGTGACGTACCTGAAGACGAGAAGGTTCGTTCAGGTCAGACGGTTGACTTATCCGCATGTGCGGCATTCTCGTCTGCGGTCAATGGGCACCACCTCACTGCGATCTTCTTCGGCTCGTCGACGAGGAGGAACGTGTCATCATCCAGGTAGGCCACGAAGAAGGTCACCACGATATCAACGGCGAAGAAGGCGTCCACGATGAGGTCCGGGACGAAGAGGGAGCTCGAGCTGATGAACTGGAAGGCCAGTTCGAAGGGGGACGCCCACGCGGAGTAGAACACGAGCACGATGAGGAACATCTGCCACCACCTGCACGTGCGCCGACAGCAGCCTCTCAGGACAGTGATGCTCCTCCTCCCATCCATTAAGATAAACAAATGAATAGAAATAATAATAATAATAATAATAATAGTAAAACACATAGATCATAGTTATCTCTAATCTCAAGGAGGGATGAATGATGGGGAAGGAAGAAAGGTCAACGGGTCTCAGTCGGAACGTCAAAGGTCAATTCAGTTCATACGTCCAACCTACTAATAATGAGTCATTAGGCTCCCTGCTGGTCTCTTTCTCTCTGTCTCTCCCTCTGTGTCACTCTATCTCTCTCTCTCTGTATCTCTCTCTGTCTTTCTATCTCTCTCTCGCTGTGGACGCCTTTGAATAGACCGAAATCTGTTCTAACTGCCGATTAAAATCGGATCTCTTTACAAAAAACAAGATTAAAGCGAATAAAAAGCGGGGAAGCTAAAACCCTAAAAATCTAACGCGTTTTGCAGACGTTTTCTTTGGGATTAATCTCAGTTGGGGCCCTCAAACGTTGGTAGCCCACGTTTTTGCTTTTTCAGGCTACGTGGGTCATGAAAAAAATCACTTTTTTAATTAAAAAAACTGTGCTACATACATCAGATCTGCACTTGTATCCTCCCCCTTCCTTCCTTAGAGAACTTGCTGTTAGCTCATCTTGATTATTAGGGTTTCTCAGAAAATAACCTGCACCCTCAACAACCTCGCCGTCTACTACCCATGGTGTGGATGATGAAGGCAACCATTTCTCCTGAGGTCGCCTTCAACCCATGTGCATGTAGAGAGGGAGAGATGGGGAAGCTGACCTGTAGCGGCGGTCGTAAGGGGCGATGATATATCTCCCGAGACGCGGGTGGGCATCGCCGACGGCGGTCCCGAAGGCCGGCAGCAGGCTGCTGGACACGGCGGCGAGGTTCCGGACGTCGCCGCTGGAAGCGCGCCGGACCACCGTCCCCGCTCGCTGCCTCAGCTGCGTCGACATCGCCTCCTCTTCTTCTTCTTCCTCTTCCTCCTCTTCTCCTTCCTCTTCTTCTTCTTCTTCTTCTTCTTCTTCTTCTTCTTCTTCTTCTTCTTCTTCTTTTTCTTCTTCTTTTGCCTCCTCTTCTTCTTCTTTTTCGCCCTCCTCTTCTTCGTCGTCCTCCTCCTCTTCTTCTTCTTTTTCGCCCTCCTCTTCTTCGTCGTCGTCCTCCTCCTCTTCTTCTCCGGCGGCGCGGGGCGTTGCGATTTAGTAACTCCTCGGGCTGCAGCCGGTTCCTCCGCCGGTGATGATCCCTCTTTAGATCTTCCCCTTCACTTTAGGAAGGACCCGCGCGGAGATCTGAGCAGGTGAAGGTTCCCCGTTGACTCGCTCCCCCCCACCCCCTCCTCGCGGATCAGCGCTCACGAGATGTCGCCTACTATATATATTGACGCCCGCCCATATCGGGATATTATCGGAAATAACAAAAGTCAAATCTGGGTAAATCGCGACGGATTTAAAACTATTAACTTTGTTTGACGACGGGTTCAGTGGACTACCGGGGCTTTGATGGGTCCTCTCCGTGTTTGATTGCGATGGACCCGTGAACTCTGAACACATGCATGCAGTCTCATCCACAGAGCGAGAGAGAAAGAGAGAGAGAAAGACCTTTACTGTGTGTGTAAGAGAGAGAGAGAGAGAGAGAGAGAGAGAGAGAGAGAGAGAGAAAGAGAGGCTATGGGCAAGTTTAACACGTTGAAGGGGACAGCTTGCCTTGTCGTCAGTGTTTAGGAAATTACTATAAAAAGTTGCATAATTGGGGCCCGAACCAATCCTCATACGCCACGTATGCCTGGTAGGGACGGCTCCACCGAGGAATCCCCGTCGTCAGCCCATCTTATTTTAAAATCCCTAGAAGAGACCTCATGCGTTCGTTCAATCGGTGGCATCATCACCAGTGGACGGATTTACATCTCTCTCTCTTCCCCCCCCTCTCTCTCTCTAGATCGGCTTTAGTTTATGCAATGATTGGGGCGAGGATATTTCCTTTTTCATGCTTAAACTTTTACTTCGACTTGCTTATTTTATTGGGAAATAAATGACATTTTATTTAATTCGGTTGGTCTTCTCATCTTCTGCTATTATTTATTGGTCCATTAAGGAACGGCACAATTGGGTCGAATAAGCTATCTCAGGCGCAATCTAACCCACTCTAGAACATGGGCCGACTCGTTGGATCAAATGGGCCTTTTAAGGTAGCCCAATACCCTGGCGTGGAGAATCGGAATCGGGATTTTAGTGACTCGGAACGGTCAGACCGGGTCACCGATCTTGACCGTGGCGCACACTGGCAACGTTGCCTTTTCGGGCCGCCATCCGTGACTCGGCATCATTTCCGGCGAAGGAAACTTCTGACACGGTACCCCAGGCGCGGACCGGACCACGGGCCCATCTGACGGTTCTGATTATGGTCCCCAGCCCTATCTGACGGCTCTGCTGGGTTCTGCAGGATGGCGGCGGACGGCAGGAGCCCTACCGACCCACGGGCATCCCGCACGTGCACCTCCCCAACCGCTGCCCTGTTATTTTAATCCAGACCGTCCATTGGAACGGAGATCCCGCTGACGTCAAGAGGCGACGGCAGAGATGAGATGACGGTAGGTAGCCGTTACTGCCCTCCCCACGTGCGGGTCAATGCGCCTCCCTCTCGTTGAAATAAAACAAGACGCCTATCTTATCGGACGCCCTGACCGAGAGCCGGTGCGCTTTTGTTTTTTAAAAAGGATCTCCGTACACGTGGCACTCCGTTCCTCGTTTTCCCTGATCGCCAAATGGGAAATATCTCATTTTTGTTAAATATCGATAATATAACAAAAGATAAATTGTGTAAAGGCACCGAAATTCCCGAGCCTCGGCGAGGCTGAAAGTGGCTCGAACCCAGAGGGGGAGCGGCTTGAGGATTGACGCGTGGCAGATCTAGCGGCGCCACGCTCCATCTGAATGCAATCAGTGAGGCATTTATTTATTTATAGAGCGAGAGCGCAAATTTTGATCAGCTTAATAAACGAGGGTTCCACTAAAAATTTATGTGCGCCAACGGACTGGGTCGAGTGGGTCCCCCCCCTCCTTCCCCGGCGACTCACCCGGCCATCGTAGTAAGAGCAAATCGGGAAGTGGGGCCCTCCTTCCAGTCCAAACTCGTATCCAAATGCAGTAAAAAATATAAATAAAATAAAATATGGCGAATGCATAAATAAAAAATCCTAGCCATTTTTTCTGAAAATGGCAGTAAAGGCACGTACGTACCCGACACCAGGGCCCACGGTCTGCACGCGCGAAGCAGCCCAGTGAGAGCTTAAGAGAGAGAGAGAGAAGTTCGTCGCGGCGTAAGCTTGTCCCTTTCTCCAAGCTTCGGGTAGCCATGGCGTGACCTCGCCTGACGATTTGATCGGCGTAAAAGATTCCCCTCGAGTGCGGGGGTCTTCCCAGTCCTACTGGAGGAGCATTCTCTGAGGGATCGCCGGGAGGTGGAGATGGGTCTCTCCCCCATCTCCGGCAAGGTTCCTCCTCCCCCTCATCTCCTTGTTCTAGCGCCGGCCACCAGCCTGGTTTCTGCTCCTTCTTCTTCTTCTTCTTCTTCTTCTTCCTGCAACGTACGCTGCTAGCCTCATTATGCGTTTCTCTGGTTCCTCATTTGTTTCGGTTTTTCTTTTCTTCTTCTGCCCTTCAAGCTGCGTCGCCCTTGCTGTTATGGTGTACTTTCATTTTTCTGTAGATCCGCTTGTTCTCTCTGCTTCTCCTATGCTGATCAGGTTGGTGCTTGATCCGCTGGCTTTCAGGTTCCAGTGGAGTAAATGAGCGCGAGGAATCAGTCGGGGAGGTATGCTGAAGAAGATGAGCGAAGCGTCTCAGAAGCACGCCGGTGACCGACCGATGACTACGCCGGCCTCGGAGAGAACCTGCTTTTCCGACTTCGATCGTAGATCCAGCAGCGCCTCGTTGTTCAGCCGCCCTGGCTTGTTCATCGGGTTCGGCAAGGGAATGGTGGATTCCGACTCCTCAGGGAGCCCCAAATCTCCCCTCGACTACAGGATCTTCTCCGGCTTCGGCGGTCACAGAGTGAGATCTCCTCGATCGCCTCGCGCCGGGGGGCCTCGCAAGATCTGGAACGGCGACAAGGTCGGCCTCAGCCTCATCAACGAGGGTGAATGCAGGTCCTCCGGTGGGGTTGTTGGTTCTTCCGAGAGCAGGAGCATACTCTTCGTCTCGCAGATGAGGGTCGGCATCTCGAACCCTAAAACCTCCATTATTCATCATCCGCTGGCCGAGGGTTCTGCATGCTCTTCCAAGTCATTGCCCAAAAACTATGCCATCTCCTTCCACGGGCGGATCGAATCGCCGGATCTCCGTTCAGATCCATCGAAGAAGAAGGGATCGGAACTCCCGGTGTCTCGATCCGTATCTCCCCCCTCCGTCGGAGCAGGGGGTTCTATCATTGCCTCTGGTTCTCTGCCGATCACGAGTGGCTTCACGGATTCCCTCTCTGCCAGCGAAATCGAGCGATCTGAAGACTACACCCGCATTATTTCTCGCGGACCAAATCCCAAAACGACGCACATCTTCGGAGATTGCGTCTTAGAGGCTCTCTCAACCGGCGACGCTCCAGATTTTGCTGGGAATGATGGCCGAGCAGAGGAAGAAGGGAGGGAGTCCTTCTGGATGGTCGACTGCTCGGGGGATCCCTTTCCCTTTCCCGCCGACGATTTCTTGAGGATCTGCTTCTGCTGCAAGAAGAAGCTGGATGGCAAGGACATCTACATTTACAGGTACGTACCGCTCTACGACGGACGCCAATCCCTGCTACTGTCTTACTTTGTTCCTCCGATATTCAACCGCGATCACAGTAAAATATCACTCACAAAATCCATCTCGTCGACAAAAATCTCCTCCCGTCGGATTCGCATCAACCTCCGTCACTTTAATTTCTGGATCCTTCCGTCGACGATCTACATTACCTCGCTCTGATTCCCCACGTATTCTGGTATCAACGCGATCTACGGCAGGTGAATGAACAGCCGGAATAGAAATAATCCCGCATCCTCTGGCTTTCTTTCTCCTCCGCAGAGGGGAGAAGGCCTTCTGCAGCTGCGCCTGCCGCTCCCGAGAGATCGGAACAGAGGAGGAGGAGCCTGCAAATGATCGGCCTGGTTCTCCGCCGCCGTCCCGCCCGGAGGAGATCGTCCCTACCGCCGGCGACATCGCCGCCTGACCAGGGAGTTCGTGTAGGCGGCGCCGTTGATCGTCTGTTCCAGCAAGAGCTGCCCCTTCCTTACTGCAGCCATGGAGGATCAACCTGTACATTAGCCCTAGTTTGTCGCTGATCGAGTCTTCTGTACTGGTCGTGGGGTTCCGGGCTGGGCCGGGCCGGACTGAAGTTTTCGGCCCGGGGTCCTCTGCAGGGTCTGGGCTCCAAACACGGCCGGGCTGGGATAGCCTTCAATTGAATCCCGGCCCATTTATAGGTCGAAAACGGGCTTTGCACTAATTCCAGTGACGTGGCAGAAGACCGCCGGGCGTGCCAGGTTATAATGCCCTCTTCTTAATGATTCTTGCGTAATTACCCCTGCAAAGGAGGCAATCCCCACAATAACTCCGGGAGGATAGGCCTCTCAAGTAATTGTGAAAAGTATAGAGGGTATTAGTGAAAAGTACGGAGATCGTCTGGACTGAGGGGGGGATTTCAGTTGTCCTCCATCTTGTTGCAGAGGGGAATTGGATCGTCGGAGGGGAAGATGGGGCGCTGCGCTGTGGGGGGGGCGAGCTTCCTTCCCTCTCCTCTCTTCCAATCCCTTCCACCCTCCCTCTCATCGCCTCTTCGCGGTTGGCCTCCCTCGGCGCCTCAGAGGAAGCCGATCGTCTCGGCTTCCTGGCGTCGAGAGGAGACGCGAGGCACCTTCGGCGGCGATAGGAGGGTCGTTCTGCTCCTCGTCGGTCTCTCCGCATTCCCCCTGCTGGAGCTTCGCGCTATGGCGGCTGCTGCTGCTGCCGTTGAGCGGCTAGAGGAAGGTCGGTTGGCAGCATTTTTCTGGAAATAAATACAAGTGCTGCTGATCTTCATATTCTTTGAATGCCCCGGTTACTGTATTATTGAACTGGACTTTTTCCTCGGACACCTTAGTCCTTCTCATGCCTGTTTAACTCCAGTTCGACGGGCAGCACCACGAACTGATGTCTTGACTGAGACCTACCTTCAGGTTCTATCACAAAATCCTCGAACAACGAAATTAAAATCGCGGTCAAGACGGCTCCATCATTAAGTGGAGGGAGAAGTTAGACGCACCTGCACGCAGATCCCATCGTTACTCCACTTATCGAACTTCTACTAGTTCACCAAGAGCAAAAATTATTCCCTATAGTTCAAATCACAGGTTCTAGGGTAGACTTTCCGGAATCCATCGCTGTTTTGACCGCCGATTTCATGTGCCGTCGTGTTAGCCATAGAATTGCCCCACATCAACACTCCAAAAAAGCCTTTAATGTTTTTTTTTGTCGAAGCTTTGATTGATGAATAAGATTACTTATTGTTACAGTGAACAGAGAAGATGACCTCACAAGCGGAAACGTAAGAAATTAATCTTATAATGACAGTGAAGAGCATGATTTTTTTTTTTTACTGTGGTGAAATAAATTCGGAGTCTGCTCCTCCTTTTGGAGTACGAAGAAGCCATTCGTAAGTGCCATACCTTATTTTTCTTATAAATAGAGAGAAGAGAATAGTTTTACTTCATCTCCATTTGAATGAGAAATATTATTACCTTTTCTATTAATTTCTTTCTGTGATTTCAGGTGAACAGGCCATCAAAAGGGAAGATGACCAAGTTCCTCCGAAGCAAGATAGCCCTCCACTCGCAGAGAAGAAAGAAACTGAAGTTGTCTGAGACTCTCCCTCCTTTCAGATTTAAGTTTACGCAGAAACAGGGTCTCTTATGTTTTCAAAGTCGTGAATTGAGTTGCCTTTATGACAGCAAGCCCATGCAGCAGAAAACCCATTCGTCCCTCTTCTGAGCAGGATTGGAATAATCGGCCCAGCTGTGCTGGGTGGTTTATATGCATCTTCGCTGAGACAGAAAGCAGATGTGGAATCAGAGATCAAATATGTACATTTCTTACTTTTCTTTTTTCTTTCTTTTGCTCGTCGTCTTCTGATCGCCCTTCCTGGGGAGTCTTCAACTTCCAAAACCCAATGAAACAGGTTTCTTCTGGTTTCATGCTGTGGGATGCAGATGAATATCGCCCTGGATGAGAAAGACGCAGAAAGGGTTTCGCTGGAGAAGAAACTGGAGCATGAACTACATAAGGAACAGGAAGAACAGAGCGAACGGATCAGAAAATTGAGGGGAAATGAAGCCTTCCTGAGAAAACTACTGGGTTCGGCAAAGAGCAAAGCATCAGCTTTACAAGACGAGCTTCGGAGAGAGAAAAGATCAGTCAGGGAACTTAAGCTGCAGCTCGATCGAGTGTGCAGGGATGTTGCTCGAGCTGGTGCGGTGAAGAGGTCTCTGGAATCAAAAATCCTGGACCAGTCGGAGACAACGGATCTCCTGCGGAACAGATCGAGCTTACTGAACCTTGAGATCAAGGACAAGGGCCAGACCATAGATGAGCTCACCTCTTCCATTGCTCAAAAGCAATCGGACTCCAACAGCCTGAGACATCTCATTGATCAGCTGAAGATCGAAACGTTAGAATCTAATTCTACACTCTCTGACTTGGAAGCTGAACTCCTTGCAACTGAAGAAGAATTGGGTGCGAACAGGACTCGCATGGTTGACTTGGATGTGAGGATGAGCTCGTTGCAAGCAGAAAAGGATGAGATCGACGTGAAGGTCCATATCCTTCGGAAAGAATTTGACGATGTGAAGTCGAGCTGCGCCGAAACGTCGGCATTTTTCTCAGAACTCTTGTCGGAGAAGGATGGAGAGATGGAACTCCTCGGAGATAAACTCCGACTTTCTCTAGCTGAAGAAAAGCGCAGCCAGGCACTGGTCGCTAGCTTAGAGAGAGAAAGGGACGTCATCAGGGGAATGCTCGAAGAAGTGACGTACAGTCTGAGAACTCTGAGAGACGAGCTTCAGATCACTCAAGAAACTTCGACGGGTTCCAAACAGGAGGTCTCTGATCTGAAGAAGCGAGTACACAACGAACTTGCTGAGGAGAGATCCGCCTTAAAGGACTTGGCCGAAGATCTCATCTCGGTCAAGGAGGTCCTGAAGAGCACGGAAGACGAGCTAAAGGCGGCGTTGGAATCCAATGAGGACTTGGAGGAGGAGCTGAAGGGGATCTACGCGAGGATCGAGATCACGGGGCGAAAGCTGAAGGAAGAGAAGGATGTCGCTGCTGGACTCACCCAAGAACTCGATGTGTCGAGGAAGCGGGCACAGAATTTCTCCGAGGCGAAGAAAACCCTCGAATACGATCTGCGTGAGTCTGAGAAAACCCTAGAAGAGATGGTGGAGGAGTTGTCGTCCCTCTCTGCAGAGCTCCAGGATGCGGCCTCCGAAAACAACGCTCTCGAGTCCGAGAAGGAGAAGCTGCGTCTGACGCTGGTCAGGAAGCAGAGCTTGGCGGAGGCAGCGCAGGAGAACATCGACGACGCCCAGCGCGCCATCGAGATCCTCGGAACGGAGAGGGAGAGTCTGGGGAGGAAGGCGAAGAGGCTCGAGGAGGAGATTGCTTCAGAAAAGGGGGAGATCCTCAGGCTGAGGAGGCGGATTGAGTTGACCAAGGGGAAGAGTGCGGGCAGCAGCAGGATGGTCAACGACCCTCCTCCCACCTCAGAGAACTCTTCCTCTCTGGAGGAGACTTGAGAGGGTGGCATCAGGGGGGGTCTTCGCTCTTCCGCAGTGGGCGGAGAAAAAAAGAAGAAAAGTCCCCTTTGGAAATTCGATTTAATACATATATATATATATATTTGCATTTTTCGCTTATTGGGCCACGCTGCTGGAGTTGGGCCGTAGTCTGGCCCAACACACACGTGGATGGGAGAGAGAGGGAGAGGGGTTGGCATTGGTATCCCCCATCGTGCTTACGACGACCGCGTGGGGCGAGGCGAGTACCTGGTCTCTCCACTTCCACGAGCCACCAAGCGAGGGTAGGATCTTCTTGCGGGGAGGCGTGCCCTGGCCATCGGATGGGTATCGAGGGTCTGATTCAGGGGAGATAGCTTCGGGTTTCTGCCGGATCGGAGTCCGATTCAGGGGCAAAACGGCCCAGGTTTTCGTCGGTCGCGCCAGATCTCGGTTTCGGCTGCTGCGCTCGCTTCTTCTGATACTTTCCACTAGGGTTTCTGCGGAGCTTGGTCGCGTCTCAGTGCCCCTTATCTTCTACAATTATTGCTATCGGAAATCGCTTCTGAATAGGCTCTGCGAACTTCGATCTTCCGAATTGATGTTTGGGAGAGATTGCTGGTTTCGTCACTTATATGTGCATGAGTTCGCTGGAATCATGGAGTTAGGACGGCTCGGCTGGAATTATTCGGCATCGTGATCTGATAATTTGGAATCTTTCAAGCCTCGGAGGGGTGTCAGAAAATTTATACTGGATCGAAATGCTACACTCTTTTTAAATCTTTCCTCGGTCAATTTTTGTTGATTGGGAGGGGCTCAAGGATTTCCCTCGTTTCTTATTCCTGTCAACCGAAAGCCATGTTCTATGGGACGGCGGTTTGGGATCCATGGCTCATTGTTTCCCAAATCGTTTGTCTCCAGTGTCTTTACTATCTTACTCTGGGATTCTTTATGGTCGTACTTGTGGGATCCCGTGTAAAGCGGATGAGCTTAGTTTACTTCTTTGACTTCTCCACACTTACTGCTTCAACAGTAACCGGTTGGTGTGCCATCATTTCGTTCCTCCTAAGCGCTATTGCGGGGTAAGCAGTCATCGTCATTAATTCAGTCCTAGTTCTTTAGTAAATTTACTGGATAGACGCGGGTATCGTGAATGGTTTGCCAATGTATTACTTGTACTGCTATAAACTGCGAGAACTAAGATTAGAAGTAGGGATTGCGTTACTTCTCTGGCTTCTGGATGCCAGGGTTGATGTGCTTCTTTGATGGTTGATTGCGGGTTTTGATATTTGTTTCGTCTTGCATTTTAATTGCCCTTGAAGTTTATATGGATCCTTGCTTGGAATTTGTCGGGCATTTTATTTATGAAATAATGTGACGTGCAGATATCTAGAAAATAAGAAGTGGGATCTTGAAGAATAGATTGTTTCCATTTATTTTGAATTTCTACCTATCTATTTTTACTTATGGCTGATTGAAACCCCTTTTTTTTGGAAGCAAAAAATGCAAGACAGAAGGGAACCGTTACTTCCCCCACCTTCTTTTTTTCGTTTTTCTTTTCTTAAGCGATTCATTTGAGGGGGGGGGGGGATGGTTATCGGTGGAACTATTTGTAGCTTGAGGTGTGGTGTGCGAGAGGCCAGTTTCAGATCGACCAATTAACGTCTTGGATCTTGTGAAATCTTCTTTTCGTTTGTGGAGAAGATTATGTGATATACTGTGCCTCCAAAACTATTAATGTTGGTTGTTTCTGAGCATCTAAGGGTCAACAATGTTAAAAGATCTTATGGTGGGTTGAAGTTCTCACCTCTGATACCAAATGTAGAAAGCTTAGAGCCAGCACCGGTTGCTAAATCTCTTACTTATCTCTATTTCCCTGGGAATGTCTCTTTTTTGAGATTCTTAGTGCATCTTGTAGATTTTTTTTTCAGTAATATGAAAATTGATAGTTAGGAGCCTACATCTTTACTAGCATGGGATTTCCAATCCCTATCTGTTGCTTATTGCACAATTTTTTTTAATCATCTCTTGTCCAGCTTTAAGACAAGCTATAGTAGGAAAAAGCTTTGAGACCATCAGAAATTTTGTCGTGGTATGGTAAAGTACAAAGAGAAAGCCCCAAAGGAGTGTAGATTTTGTCTTCTAGCTGATGTCTGTTGATGTGGACTACTGGAAAGAGTTTACTAAAAATCCAGTGGGGATGAGATATCAAGTCGAGTGTACGTTTCATGAGTGAAGCATCTTAAAGATGCTCTGATGGTATTTTCAATGATTCTGGATTACGGTATCTCAAAATCATTGACTGATTGATGTCCTGTCATTTATCAGTTCTATCAGAGGGATTAGCAAATTGGGGATCATGGGTAATTTACCAGAAAAATGTCGTTCACGCACCAAGGATACATGAAAAAGCGAGCCTTTTGGAAGGTTTAAGCGGATTAATTGTATTATTATTAGGGATACGCTGCCAAGGAAAAAATTCAGTCGACTTGAAATTGATGGATGTTAAAAAGCCTTAGGTGATACTGAACCATCTCGAGCACACTTCATGTGTTAGAATGTTGGAGGTGTGTTCAACATGGAAGCTTACCCTAGAATTTCGGGAAGTTGCTTCAGGCAAATGAGGACTTTGTCACTAGCTTTCCAATGGCTACATCCCCCCAAACAAACTCATTTCTCATACCACCGTTATTGCCTCAAGATCTTTTTCTGTGTTGTAATGAACGTGTAGTTAATCCCTGTACTACATGATGAGGGAGTTGACTGCTCAATTCCTATTGAAGAAAAATAGTTAAGAAAGAAACTGCTATGTCCCTCCCTGTCACTCTCTCACCTCCATCTTTTAAACCCTCTCTCCTGTTCTGCCTTTTCCCTCTCCCTTCCCCATCTGTTTTTGTTTGTGGGTAGATGTATTTGTGGAGTGAGGACTTGTGCACACCTTTTCATATCAGGTTGTTTCTTACAGCCTCTGTAAGTCTGCCCCCCCCCAAACACACATGTACGCACGCACGCACATGTAGATGCACAGTGCACAGACAAACCCTTGCACTCACAGTGATGGAGGGGGACGGGTAGATCTATTATCTTTCGTTTATGGAGCAAACATAAGATACTTAAATATTTGGAACCTCATGAAGTTGATTCGTCATATGGTGGTATTTTTTTGGAGTAAAATGAAAGGAAAAAAAGGCAACTGGTGCCTGCATTGCAATTGCCCTCTTTTCGTTTCTGAGGGGGATAAGAAAATAAGAAGTTTGTTGATACTTGGGGAAATTGATCTGAAAGGAGTGTAAAATAGCGCACAGTTTAGCAGTAATAGATCTTATTGTCAAAGATGCCCATACTTATTTGCTTCACTGAAATTTTGGTGTCTCACCTTCTTTTCCCTTCTTCCCTCAATATGCAGCCCCACGTATACATCCAGTTTTTTCTGCTTGTATTCATTCACCCATGGGAATGGCTGACACGATAAGGGGTTGTCCACTTCACCCAACTCTACACGCGCTGTGTTTGAAGAAAGGTAGTAAGATTACTGAAGTGTTGGGCCCTGCTTGACCCATTCTTGTCTCCATTCCTGTTCAGTAGATAACACCACTAAGTAAGATTGGCTGGGAGATTAGATTTTCTAGTCCCATTCCTGTTAGTAGATAACAACACCACTAATTTTAGGGTTGTTTTTGTAAATTTTAATATCAGGAGAGATAAGAAATGGGTTTCATCAAGTCTGTGTTGCCAGTTCCTTCTAAGTTAGGTTTGTTGTAATCCTTCTATTTGTCTGTCTTGGACATGTAATTTGGCGTTTTATGCCGTTTTCCAGTCCATCTTGACTCGTAGATATCTTTTTGAAATGAGGTGGAGTGGCAGAAGAGTTAGCTGTACTGGTTTCTCATTGTTTGTGTCTAGGAATGCCATGCCATGATTGATTTGACTCTCTTGGCTTATTCCGTTGGTAGTTCAGTTCCTCTGGAGTGAATTCATCATAGAATTCATGTTCCTTCTCCCACTTGTTTGGGATCTAATGGATGCTGTTGTTGTTGCTGTTCCCCCTTCTGATAATGCAAGGATTGAGATCACCTGTGGTGGAGGTCATTGTGCTCAAATCCTCAATTCACATCCGATTCTCAACCTGAAAATTCCTTTATACCTCCTTTATACCCGAAAAAAAATGTGGTGAAGAGCAACTGCGTTCCTTGTCGAATTTAAAGTGTTATGGCATTCGAAAGAAGCATCCCAATGCATTCATTAGCTGGCAATGTTTCAATTCGGTGGAGAATGTAAGTTCATCATTGCTACTTGGACATGACTGCCATTAATCTAGTGTTGTTGTTGTTGATGAGAAAACGTAAATTCACCATGGCTACAGATCCGACAATAAATCTATTAGGGTGTAAATAACCATTCCTGCACTGTTCTCGTCAGGAGCAAGTGCTAAACAAGTTGGAGACAGAAGGAGAAGATTGAAATCATCTGCCAAACGTGGAAAAGATAGAAACGGGAATCCATCTACCCAAATCATTTTTCTTGAGTTGCTTGTGGGATCAGCACACTGCTTTTCTTGCTCCAAGTTCTTCTACCCATTTGATGCTTCCCCTCTTCTTTAAACTTACCGAATTAGGAATCTAACACTGCCGATCTTCGATTTTATTGCTTATTGGTGACTGAACTTTGTCATGTTTTGTGATTTATTATGTTGCAGACTGGTCGATTCCTGTTTCTCGCACAGTTCCATTGTTTCCATGTTTAGCCATATCATGATGCTACCCATCTTATTGCTGTTCTTTGACTTCTTTTCCGATTATTACCATATATCATGCTGATGTGCATTGTTCTTCCTCTGTTCTTGGGCAGCGCCGGTTTTTTACTTCATCTGATCGAAAGGGCCAAGAAGTGCTTAGATTTCTCTGCGACTTTATTCATCATCCACCTCTTGATCTGCATCGTCTATGGGGGCTGGCCATCCTCTGTCACATGGTGGGTCGTGAACGGTGCCTGCTTGGTGGTGATGGCATTGGTCGGCGAATGGCTGTGCATCAGGCGCGAGCTCCAGGAGATTCCCATCACCCGTCTCCGTTCAAGTGAGTTCTTCATCTGCTCGCATGATCTGAAGCGCCGTGCTGGCGTTGACCCTACCTCCCCATCTACTGCATTTTTTGGGCTTCAGTTTCGTGTACCCAAAATTAATTATGCATTACCCATGAATCAATCTTCATTTTTTTGGGCGTTGACCGGGGATCTGTCGTTACCCACATCCTCATGCTTTTTTCTTCAAGTACGTTGACTATGTGGCTATATATATATTATCTTTTCTCATTAGGATTTTAGTGCAGGGTTCAGATAAAGGTGAAGGGTGCCAATTCGGCCCGATTTTCTGATTTATTTGTACTTTTTATGAGAAAAGTCAATCGACGGCGTCGTTGTAAGGCCCCATCCCTGTCTCTTTGCAGATGTTTGACCTGGGCAGTCCCGACCCAATCATGTTGCCTGGGGGCTCCGATCATCAGAAAGTCAACTCATTTTGGTCCATCCGCGGGTCCACCCAACGGACGGCGATGATGGTTTTGCGGCAGCTGTCTACCATCATATATGATCCGTGCCTCTAAGGTGCCGACGGGTGTTGAAGCTCCAAGGCACTTACTTTATTGCCGTCGTCCTCGTCGGGAGATCCCAACGGTCGCCATCCTCATGCTGTACTAGCCGTTGGATTTTCCTTCTTTTTCCTCTTTTTTTTTTTTTGCGTGGGGGGCGAGGGTTCTTGTGACGGCCACGTGTTTGTCTCCTTTTATTCTTCGCACACATAAAACCCTCCCTCTCTCTCTCTCTCTCTCTCTCTCTTCAGGAACTCGTGCAATTGTTTTATAGAAAATGAAGGATATCAGAAAATCATCCATTATTTATTTCTTTCCCCCTAGAAGAAGAGGGTCAACAGGAAAAGTCCGGATAATATAAATAATATATATATATATCTAGAGAGAGAGAGAGAGAGAGAGAGAGAGATGGGCTCTATTGAACCTCTATATGAACGGGGCCGACAGGGCTCTAATCGGGGATAGGTTACCGGCCCATTAACGAATTGTATCTACATGGGTAGCGGCAAGGTGTTGTGGGGGGGGGGGGGGGCACCATCGCCACGTGGCTGTGGGACCGTTAATTCTCACGGCCCATCCGGGACCAGGCCTCCCGCTGGGATTATTATTGGGTCCCTTTTATTGGGCTATCCACGACGCGGTCACAGCTCGCGCCAGCTGGCGCCCTTGGCTCACACGCTCGCCGTGTCCTCCCCCCCCTCTTAGCTGGCTCCCGCGCTTCCGCTCCCCCGCGGTGTCTTTGTCGCCAACGTCACCTTCCTTCCACAGGGCGCCGCCAGCTGCCCCCAACTCTCCGCCGCCCCCCTCCACCTGTTCTATGACGGTGACTCCATCCATATATATATATATATTCGTTTATTTATTCCTGCCTCTATGCGGCGTTGAGGTGGACGGATAAGGGGCGGAGATGGGCTAAGACGGGCCCGCATTCCCGACGGGTTTTACCCGATAAAGAGGACCGAAGGGTGGGTGGGGGGAGGGAGACGGGAGGGGGGAATATATGGGCCCCCACCGCTACCCCTAACTGGGTATGATGGAAAGCCCAGTTGAGAATGTGTGAGGGCCGGGTGGGAAAAGATGGTCACGCTACCGTCCAGTCTTCACAGATACGGCAAGCACCTTGCCAACTGGCGCCCCTTAATTCAGGGGCACTTTAGGTATTTCAAAGATAACTCGGTTTTCTCATTCCCGGTGGGCCCATACCGTGCGGAGCGAAGTTACCCGCGGCACACTCTACCGCGAAGAGAGAGAGTGAGAGAGATTATTCCCGGTCATCGGGGAAGGCCGGTCTTGCGGCGGGCTGCGACATCGATGCGTGAGACCCGAAGCGGGCGCCGGGTCGAGGGGCGAGGTGGCGCGCTGACGCTAGTAGGGGCATTGTAGTCAAATCATACGGCACTAGAAAAAGAAGGCAGTAGTCAGGGTTCGTATGGTCTCGTGAGGGAAGAGGCTGCTGGAGCGCATCTCCTCTCTCTTTAAGTGGAGGTGTCGACGGAGTTCGAGCTGGCTTGATGCTCTCTCTCTCTCTCTCTCTCTCTCTCTCTCTCTGCTGATAGATAGATAGGAACAAGAAGGCCCTCCCATTACCCCATTTCCACACGGAGAAGAGCCTCTGTTTCTTTTCTCTCTCTCTACATCTCTTCTTTATCCCGCGGGGGTGTTTCTCTCTCCTCTGCGTTGCGAGGTCGCCGCAGGAGGGATGAGATGAGGAAGAATAAACTGCAGCCGCTCTCCACCCTATCTGGCCTCGTCGCCGTCGCCATTGTCGCGCTACTCGCGTCGTCCCACTTTGCGGCGGCTTCCGGCGGCGGGATCGGAGGAAGCTTCCCCAGCAGTGGCCTCTCCGACGCCGAGGTCGGCCTCATCCGTCAGCGGCAGCTCCTCTACTACCGCGATGAGTACGGCGACCGGGGGGAGGAGGTGAGAGTCGACCCCAGCCTGACCTTCCTCAACAGGCGCCTCCGCTCGGCCTACATTGCTCTCCAGGCATGGAAGCAGGCGATCCTCTCCGATCCGTTCAACCTCACCGGCGACTGGATCGGGGCGAACGTCTGCGGCTACACCGGCGTCTTCTGCGCTCCGGCCCCCTACGATCCGAACGTCACGGTGGTCGCCGGCGTCGATCTCAACCACGGGGACATCGCCGGCTACCTCCCCGAGGAGCTCGGCTTGCTGACGGATCTGGCGTTGTTCCATATCAATTCCAACCGCTTCTGCGGCACCGTCCCTCGCAAGTTCGAGAACCTGAAGTTCCTCTTCGAGCTCGACCTCAGCAACAACCGGTTTGCCGGCAAGTTCCCGCGGGTGGTCCTCAGGCTCCCGTCCCTCAAGTTCCTGGATCTCCGTTTCAACGAGTTCGAGGGGAAGGTGCCGCGCGAGCTGTTCGACAAGGATCTGGATGCCATTTTCATCAACCACAACCGTTTCTCCTTCGATCTACCGGACAACTTCGGCAACTCGCCGGTGTCTGTGATTGTGCTCGCCAACAACCGCTTCCGGGGCTGCGTTCCGGCGAGCCTCGGCAACATGTCGCGGACGCTCAACGAGATCATCCTCACCAACAACGGCCTCCGATCTTGCTTTCCGCCGGAGATCGGGCTGCTCAAGGAGCTGACGGTGCTGGATGTCAGCAATAACGAGCTCGTCGGCCCCCTGCCAGGGAGCCTCGGCGGGCTGCGGAGCCTGGAGCAGCTCAACGTGGCGCACAACATGCTCTCCGGGAAGATCCCCGAGAGCATATGCTCGCTTCCTCGCCTGCAGAACTTCACCTACTCGTACAACTTCTTCTCTGGCGAGCCACCATCGTGCTTGAAGCTGCGGGCGTTCGACGATCGCAAGAACTGCCTCCGCGGTCGTCAGGGGCAGAGATCTCCAAGCCAATGCAAAAGCTTCCTCTCTCGCCCGGTTGACTGCAGCGCCTTTAGGTGCGCTCCATTTGTGCCTGCTTTACCACCTCCACCTCCTCCGTCTCCTCCTCCGCCTCCGGTGGCGTCGCCGCCTCCTCCCCCACTGGTCTATTCACCCCCTCCGGTGTCCCCTCCACCTCCACCACCCCCTCTTCCGCCGCCTCCACCTCCGCCACCTCCGCCACCTCCGCCACCTCCGCCACCACCTCCACCTCCACCTCCACCTCCACCTCCACCTCCACCTCCACCTCCACCTCCACCTCCACCTCCACCTCCACCTCCACCACCTCCACCACCGCCATCTCCGCCGCCACCTTCCCCTTCGCCACCTCCGCCGCCACCGCCACCACCTCCGCCACCGCCGCCGTCGCCCCCACCGCCTTCTCCACCTCCGCCGGTACATCCTCCTCCCTCACCTCCTCAACCTTCCCCGCCGGCACCTATTTACTGCGTCCGGTCTCCTCCACCTCCGCCGAAGTCTCCTCCTCCCCCAGCATACTCACCACCCCCTCCAGTGTTTTATCCCCCTCCTCCACCTGGATCTCCGCCGCCACCTCCATACCCGTCGCCCCCACCACCTCACTACTCTCCGCCGCCACCTCCATACCCGTCGCCCCCACCATCTCACTACTATCCGCCGCCACCTCCATACCCGTCGCCCCCACCGCCTCACTACTCTCCACCGCCACCTGAACACCACTACTCTCCTCCGCCCAATTCGCCGCCGCCGCCGCCACCACCTCCGTGCATAGAACCCCCACCGCCTCCTCCTCCGTGCATCGAACCCCCACCGCCGCCACCTCCGTGCATCGAACCCCCACCGCTGCCTCCTCCTCCGTGCATCGAGCCACCACCATCTCCAGTGTACTCCTATGCGTCTCCCCCGCCGCCCTCACCTCCTCCACCTTCACCGCCCCCACCGACTCCGATCTACCACTATGCCTCTCCGCCGCCTCCCTCTCCTCGACCTTCGCCCCCGCCCCCAACTCCAGTCTACCATTACCTCTCTCCACCGCCACCTTCGCCACCTCCACCAACCCCTGTCTACCATTACGTCTCACCACCACCACCGCCACCGCCATCTCCTCCGCCTCCGCCGCCGCCATCACCCTCACCTTCTCCCCCTCCGATTCCTTGTGAATCTCCGCCCGCTCCTCCCCCGACCACGCCACCCGTGTATGAAGTTCCACTGCCGCCCATCTTTGGAATCCCATACGCCTCACCTCCCCCTCCTCCCTTCTATTGATTCTTTCAAGAGTTTTTCTCCATCTGAGCATCCATTAGACAGAAAAAAAAAGAGCCGAGCATCCCCATTCATTCGAGCTTCCACCGCGTCCCGCTTGCTTTCTCCGGTCCAGAGGGCTAGTTGACTCCGACACCGCAGCAACAGAGATCCCGCAGGGGAGAAGAAAGCTGGCGGCGGGGAGAAATTCTTTTCCCACTTGATCCAGGTTTTGGGTGCCTCAGTTGTGAATAAAAATCGTCGAGAGACAACGCGGGGATAGTTGCAGTTTCATCTGAATGTATAGATCATCAAACTCTCGAGGTCAACTAGCCGGACTGTGGCTTCATCCTCCCATTATACTCTTGTTCTTCTCATCCTTAGTCACACTACTAGTAGATTATCATCAATCACGGACTCCCACTGCTCGCTCTTCTTCTTCTGTTCGTTCGTCGGATCCTCGTCCGGCCTTCTCGAAACCGTCGTCGTCCCCCTTTTCGATCTTCCGGACCGCCATTTCTCCGCTGCGACGTGTTTTTTGTGCCACCAGCGGAGGGCAGCTGGCTGGGGGGAGGCCTTCCTTAGTAGCTTCCTTACTGAAAAGCCTCGCAAGCGCGAAATCACGCGTTTAACCCCTCTTCTTGGAATTATTGTCAACTACCACGTGGTGGGCCCCACAAGAATTTGGGCCCCACAAGTTCCGCACGTGAACGTCCCTTTCGGGTTCGGATCCTGCTCGCTGTGGTCACGGGTTTTTTTCTCCCCACCCATTTATTTATTCCTCTTAACCCAAAAGGTGGTTCCATATTTCTTTCCCGTCGTCGTCTTAACTTAAACGGCGGTGGTGGGGCTCCGCGCCGCCCCTCTGCGCCACCGCCACCACCATTCACGGGCGAGCGAGGTGAATCCGCTCCACTCGATGGCTTCCTTCCTTCCTTCCTTCCTCCGGCGGTCGGCGGCGGTCGTCTCCATTCCAGGCTATCCGCGGTGAAAGCGGACTCGGCGATGGCTCCATCGCCGTTTCCCGCAATTCCTCACTCACCTTTGATCCTGTTATCTTAGTTCCTTCCTTTCAGGTACAGAACCTCGCCGGAATCTGTGTCCATCCCCGGAGATAGTCTCCTCCTCCGGTGAGCCGCCTCCTCTCTCTCTCTCTCTCTCTCGCTCGTTGTGTTTTTTTCCTGCGACATTCGTCATGTCCTCCTCTGTGTGATCTTCCCTCTGACAGTCGGCCGGTGGCCGTGTGTTGCTCCGCCGTCTTCGCCCTGGCATCGACCGATCCCCCCACCCTTCGCCGTGTCATCCCCGCCTCAGGCCCACGTGTCGGCGCCCCCTGCGGCCCTTGGGCTTGGGCGTCGTCGCACGTGGCCGGCCTCGCCCTAGAGAGTCCTGCCAAGGCGCAGATATTATATATATTTCAAAAAGTCAGGACGAATTAATTAAAAAGCCTCGCCTTAATTAATCTGTTGTCCCCTCAGCCAAGTTGATCCCTCCCCCCTGACATTAAATCCTCGCTTTTTTCCATTTAAATCCCTTCCGATCCCAAAAATAAAATTTTATATGTTCCCAAATCAATAAATAAATCCCCCGACATTACATCCATTTTTACTTTTATCTCTGGCCGCGAATCTCTCCTTCTAACGGAAGGGGAAGCGCCGGCATTTGTGAGGCGGCGGCGGCCCGCGGCCGTACGCCTCGCATGTTCTCAAGTCGTCGTCTGCAAGCCCAGTAGGCCATGCGCTGTACAAGAACCCTCCCCGAGCGATGGGCCGTCGCCGAGACGTACAACAGTATGCATTGATGACGGTCGTCGAGGGAGAGTCTACTCGGCGGAGGAGGTGGGGAGCAGGGGAAGCATCCTGCTGGGTCTGGGCTAGGGTCTGACTATGAAGCTCTATTCAGGGTGATGGGCCCGAGCCGTCTTTGATTGGCTCGAACCCAGGAAGAAGCACAGACCTAGTTCTTGCCTCTGTCGTGGTTCTCGCCTTGGAACTTGCATCGGAAATGGAGAGTTTTGATGTTTTAAAACTTGACCTAAATGCTTGATTTCAGTGCCTGTGATGTTTTCATGAATGTAGGTTCCTCCCAGCTTATGTGGAAGTAAGAGATCCTCCTGTTCCATCATCTCTTCTTCAGGGTGGCCGAGATCTTCCAGTTCCCGAGGAAAGATTCCATAGACGACGAACCGTACAGCAGGTGCTTCATGTGGCCCTCACGACGCCGTCCGACCATAGCAAACGGACGCAACGTAGAAGTCCTTGTCCTGTTGCTCCTGAAAGCAGTGCAGAAGGTCGATCAGACATGGCATCCGAGCTGATGAAGATGGCGATTCTTGTCGTGGAAAGATTTGGACTTTCCGATGCCAACAGGCCCTCGATTCGGATTCGAGCTCGTAAGACATTCACGTGGGATCATCCAAATTCAACTCATCAAGCTCCAGCCCGCATATCTTTACTATCTTGATTCATTTTTTACGTTTTTGGGTCAATTAATCAGTCTTTCACCAGTATTGCAGCAAGCTGGGAAGTCAACGTGGGATCATACTAGGGCTAATGCGACCCGTCAGTGTCAATCCCGTACGTATGTATGGTTCCACTGCCTGGGCTTTTTTTTTTTCCCCAATTGATCCGATCTCTCTCGAAAATTAGGGCAGATGGAAAAAAGAAGGAAGGAAGTAGCTAACCCTGATTCGATTGATCGGGAAAGAAGAGCTCCTCTGCACCACCTGCCTCCCTGATTCTCCCTTCTTCAAGGCCCTGGGTCTCAGCTTGCTCATCACGACGGCCACCTGCTCCATCGTCGCCGCCACCGCCGTTATGTGGTACCCCGCCGCCCATCTCCGGCGGACGCCCTCCGACGGGAACGCGAAGTCGAGCTCGATCACCTTCAAGGAGAAAGAGAAGGGCGGTCAAGAACTTACTGCTTCTGCAAGCTGCCATTTTTGGTCTCTGATCGACGGGGACCTGCTCGGTGATGGTGGAGTCAACGGACATGACGACGGCCCAGCGGCCCCTCGACGTGGCCATGGAGGTGACGACGTAGTTGGCCTTGAGATTCTTGTCCACCCACGAGGAGGGGAAGAGATTGCTGTCTACGTACTCCTGTTTGCTGTGCTTGTTGCCTGAAATGGGAGCAGGACCAGAACAACTCTTCGAACCCTAATTATGCCCACCAATTCCGCAAGAAAAGAGAGTTTCAGAAGGATTTCTGGGAGGAACCCACTCACCCACCTCGCGACATGACGACCAGAGACTTCCCTTCTCTCGACCCTGCCACCGCCGTGATGTAGAACCTGTTCCCCCACTGCGTCTCGATCCATTCCTTCGAGCAAAACCCGCCATGGTTTTGGATCAGAAAGAAGAAGAAGAAGAAGAAGAAGAAGAAGAAGAAGAAGAAGAGGAAGAAGAAGCACCTTAGGGAGGAACTCTGGGGAGATATGGTAAACTTGGGACTGGAATCCGGTGCCGGCATCGGCGATTAAGGCCCACTTTCCGTCGCAGGAGGCGACGCTGCTGATGAACAGCTTCTGCTCCTTGTCCCTGGCGATGAACTGAGGAAGAAACTCCTCCGGCACGTTATAATGGCACCTGCGGAGGAACCACCCGCGTGGCGAGTGAGAACTATTTCCCAAAACGACGAAACAAAAACATCTCTTGGCCATGGCGAAACGACCCACCTCTGCTTCGTGGGCAGCCAAGGATCGTACACGGTGACCCACTGAGCAGCAGGCCGCCCTGTTCTTAGCTGCTTGGTCAACGGACAATGATCATCACGAGAGTCCTGAGATTTGGGAAGACATAATAAAAACCCACCGCGTTCATCAGGAATGAATGAATGAAAATCGTCGTGTTTATTTATACCATTTGAGAGTCGTTGACTCCGATCCTTTCCTGAAAGAACGACTTGCAGTTTTTGTAGTCGGGTTCCTCGTCGAAGCCCAGATTCACGGCGTACCCGAAGAACTTCGTGAATTCCGGGTAGGAAGCGAAGAGGCTCCCGGGAGGGGTTTCCGCCTTCTCTTTGCTGACGAAGAAGTGTTCTTCCTCCTTCTTCTGAAGTCAACCCCCCGCAGAGCGCCAGATGCACGGAGGTCAGAGCTTTAAAAATCGATAAGAAAAGAAGAGGGAAGATGCCGTGGCCGTACCCTTTCCCCGTACTTCCCCTGCCATGGAAGCTTCTCTTGGAGGAGGAAGGCAAGGCTGTAGGCGAGGGACTCGAGGTCGTCTCTCCTGCTCAGAGTTCTCCCGAGGTGGGCGTTGACGCTCGCATACCTCACAGTCCCCCTGGAGATCAGATGAAGGTGGGTGGGAAGGGAGGGGCCTTTTCTCCGGGAGAAGATAGTCAACTAGCCCGTAATGTTTCATACCCGGAGAATCCCAGCTGCTGGTTGTACTCGACGTGACTCCCCGTCCCATACTCCCATCTGGCGGCTGATGATGATCCCCCGCAACAAAAAGAAAGAAAGTCAAAGAGTTATAATTATGGAATGTCAGCGGCCATGAATATCCACACAAGTTATGAACATGTAAATATAGAGGAAAAAGGGTCTCTTTTACCCAATCCAAAGTCCACCAGGAAGAGCAACGGTTCGTTCGGATCATTGGAGCCGAGCAGGAGGTTCTCGGGCTTCACATCCCCATGAATATACCTGCCATTGACGGCTCTGGGAGTGTGAGCTTCAAGAATGGAGGAGCAGCAGGAACCTTGAAGAGAGAGAGGGACAGAGCTCGGAGAAGACGACCCACTTTCTGGAGTGAACCTCCTCCAGAATCGAGATCGCTTTAACTGCAACGCGCATCACCGTTTCGCGGGGAATTCCTCTTGGACTGACCAGTTTGAACACATTCATCAGCAATTTACTTTACTCTGAATAGATACATCTTCATATATATCAAGATGTTGATGAAATTGGAGCTCACGATTGTTCTGCCTTGACTTGCGCCAAATTTCTCCCCAGCAAATCCATCACCTGGGAAGTGAAGAAGAGGATTAAGTCTCTGGGGACTCGCCACAGTGCAGTGCAGTGCAGTGCAGAAGAGGAGGAGGAGGAGGCGTTCTACCAGAAAGGAGTAGCCAGCCTTCTTGCCATATCCGTGTATTCTAGGCAACCCATGAATCCCACCAAGATCTCTGCCAAGATCAAAGCTTGCCCACATTTTTATTGGAATAATCTAATTATGCTCGCTTCTAATAATAATAATAGTAATAGTAATAGTAATAGTAATAATAATAATAATAATAATAATAATATTTGATTAAGGACGATCATACTCGTAGACCTTCCCCTCAGGAAGGCCTTTGTCGTCGCTCATCTTCTGAACCTTCACAGCAACCTGTCGCGTTGTATGCACCGGAAAAAGGGTGTCACGAGATTAGATTGATTTGCATCAAATACGAGGGAGGGAGCGATGACCCGCTCGCCGGTCGCGGTGTCGACGCCGGCGGCCGCCGCCTGATAAGATCCCTCGTAGACTCGCCCGAATCTCCCATTTCCCAGCTTATTTCCCAGCTTGTAGACGCGCTCGCCGATCTCCACCTGTCAGAAGACAAAGAGCCGGCGACGACCCAGAGAGTACATTCGATGAGGGCCACAACTCCGAGGAAACAATGGCAGCCCTAGAGATCCCCAGAAGAGGCGCCGGAATCGATGAAGAAAACCTCTGGAAGAAGGCCAAATTTTCATGAAAAAAACACGAGTTTTCTGCCTGGTAAGGAGCGTCGCGGATGGATCAGAACGGCCGTCGCGGAAAAATCTCTGAGCGGGAAGATAGATCAGAATTGAAGAAAAAAACGGCTCCTTTTTCTTCTTCTCTGAACTGGGTTCAATCCCGATCTTCTCTCGAATGGGCGCGATTCCAGTTCGGATGGAGGAAGAGAGTTGACCGTTTCAAAAGGCAGATCGTCGGAGCCCGCCGCCATCCTCCTCTCGATGAAATCTTCCCTCGCTATCTGCTCCACCCAAGTCGCCTCGCCGTCCGCAGAGCTCTCCGAATCGGGGATTCTTACGAATCGTTGACTAGGGGATGGTCAGCGGTGTTGGCATTCCAAATCATCGGCCGAGAAATCTGACACCAGACTCCGGAAAGAGGGAGTTGACCCCAGCGGGGGGGATAAGGCCATTTCGATACCTAATACACTCCCAGGGAGATTACCGGCGAGATATTTAGCAGTGTCAACGGCATGATTCCCCGAGCTCACCCCGGATATGAACCAAGACCGTAAATAATATATTTTTGAAAAAAAATGTAGAGTCCAGATGGCGCATCCCGCTGACACATATGATCATCTGGCACCTCACCCTCTCTCTCTCTCTCTGAACTCGGGGAATTTGTACCCGGTTCCGAAACCATGGGGGTCGAATGGGATAAGAGAAAGAGAAAGAGAGAGAGAGAAAGAGAGAGAGAGAGAGAGAGAGAGAGAGAGAGAGAGAGAGAGAGAGAGAGAGAGAGAGAGAGAGAGAAGTTTGTATTATAATTGAGATTGAGGAAGTATGAGCAAAATTTATTTTTCCACAGGGGAAAATGGGGACTTTATTATTTAATGAGGGAATATACAAAAATTGTTTTACAGCCCCGCGGATGACTGAGAATTACTTAATAAGCAAGAAAATGTTCTGCAACATCGGAGCCTTGGGCCTACTGGACATGCGGCGGCCGAGGAGACGAAGCACTGGAATTTCGCGGCCCAGAATATGTAGCCCAACATGGTATTGGGCCAACGGCAAACGGGAAGCGGCCCATCAGACCAGCGGCATCTTCTCCAGCGATGGCAGGGGAGCCCAGTCGCGGCGTCAGCAGAAGCCGGCGGAATTTCCCTCGAGAGCTCCCTCGAACTCCGTGGGTAGAGTCCTTTGGTCTTCCCACCGAGCACCGGGGCCGGCGAAGAAGAAGAGGGAGTCATTGGGTCCTCAGTATCAATCGATCTTCTCCGGGGACGGAAGCAGACGTGGAGCTTCAGTCGGAGAGGGCGTGGGCGTGCCAGCAGAGAAGCATGGCGACACAGCGGCCGAGAATGTAGAACCTCGTCTTCTGCTGCTTGAGTACCATCAGGCACCTTTCCCGGGGGGCCTGCTCCCTCTTCCGCCGCCGCCCTCGCTCCTGTCCCGCGACCCCCTCGGGGAATCCAGCGCCACAATACTCACCCATCTCTACAAATACACAGAACAACGGACACTGAGAAAGACGGAGACTCAGAGAGAGAGAGAGAGAGAGGGGGGGGGGGTGTGTCTGTGTGTCTGACTGACTGAGAGGCAAGCCCCGAGGCGGGGGGATAGTTAAATAGGTGAGAGACAGAGGATCGGCTGGCGCCTGGTAAACGACGAGAAACCGCCTGTCGGGTCGTCTTCACCGGGAGAACGCCCGTCTACATGCAGCCCCCCGCCGTGACTGGGGAGCAAGCCACCTCATTTCTTCTTTTTCCCCCTTCCCCACATCCCCAACATCCCACATTTCTCTCTCTCTCTCTGTCTGTGATTTCTAGGGGAAGGGAATCGAAGAAGGCGAAGTCTTTTAAGGGCGGGCAGACACTCGCTCGCCCACACTTGCACTGTCGCCTCGGTGCCCGCCGTCGCGTCTCCTTCTCCGGTGACGACAGCCGCCACTCAAGCGGCTACCTTCATCCCCCCTCGCGGGCTCTGTTCCCCCGCCGGCAGGCCAATCGGCGTGGGACTGTCGGCTCCGGTCGGGTGGGGCTGTCGAGACTCTTACGCTATTAAATCCGGCGGCGCCGCCTCATCCCACGTGGAGAGGAGAAGTCTCTAAATCCGGGCCTCTGGGATGGGAGAAAAAACTACAGCTATCCTTCTTCGCTCAGGTCTCCGTGCAGCACTCACATATTTGTTTATTTATTTACTTCAAGGGTAGACGATGGATAGGTTCTGAGTTGGCAGCATAAGCCCACTCGAGTCCGAGATTGACTTTTCCAAGTGTCGACCTAAAAGTCAAACCCAGGTGAGCTGAGCTGAACTGTGCTGAGATCTCTCTTGCGAAACAGTGTCATTATCTGATTCCTGCCTACGTTGACTCCTCTATATCAGCAATCTCTCACTCTCTATGAGAAGGATATTTGAGATCATGGACATAATAATGAGAGAGGTTCCGGCCGGACGGTTTGGAAACGAAACCGCAGAGAATCCAGAGGATGATGAGGAAGGGGGCGGACCCGCAGCGACCGCAAACCTCGCCGTCTTTGCACACGTACGAGGCCCAGCTGCCCGGCACGTGCCAGTTCAAGAGCTGCCGGAGTTGGGGGGGGGTGCAAGGCGCTCACGTCGAGAGGCGGCGGTGGTAGTGCTCGTCGAGGAGCATCTCGGAGTACTCGCCGAAGGTGAGGGCCCCGCCGAGCGGGATCAGCTGTGGAGGGCAAGCAGGAGAGCGGCGATGGATGAGAGAGAGAGAGAGAGAGAGAGAGAGAGAGAGAGAGAGAGAGAGAGAGAGAGAGAGAGAGAGAGAGAGAGAGAGAGAGAGAGAGAGAGAGAGGGATTGGAGCGGGTAGGTTACCTCTCGATGCAGATGTACTTGGTTCGCAAACCTCAGTTGCTGATCCCTGCGAGGGTCAAAGGGAGAGAAATCAACGCAGAAGAAGCGGAGTAAGAACTGAACTGGGGATCAGTCACATTCTAGTAGACTCTCTCGCATGATTGGAAATGAGGGTCTGACTCTACTCAATGTCAACTGACTATTGACTTGGAAAGGTTGATGATTTGGGCTAAAAGAAGTAAAACCTAATGGTTACTCTGAGACACGACCGTCAACATTAGTTAGTCATCATAATCTATTTATTTCAGCTGTTGAATGAATCCTCATCGTCGTGCTCACCAATCTGGTTGCATGAACAGAGCAAAAGTTGAGCGTTCTACCCCCACAGCTTCGTCTCCTTTCGGGGCCTGCCCATTGAAGAACCATCGCCATAATGATAGACAAGCAGCTGAGCCCTATCATTATGCATGCATATGTATATATATATATATATATATATATAAATGTCATGGTGGTAGAATATGCTTTATAAAAATAAATTAAATATGAAACATGCTATTTTCAAGGAGCTTCCCAAGATTGTTGTACATTCTCTGCAATGCATACCTTTACACAGTGCGGTGTCGCACAGAGATGGCCTCTAGATAGTATCTCAGTTGTTTCCCCAATCTGGTAAGCTATTTGATCTTCGCCGAAGACAACCTAGCAGATCGCAGAAAAGATAACGAGCCTCTTCATCTTACCGAGTGGAGAAAGAATAATGCATAAATGCGGGGCAATGCGGAACAACAAAATGAAGCTTTATTCTTTATGTTCCTGGCACTATTGGGGGTTAGTCAACTTGGGTTTCCGCAGTGTGTGAATGAGGGGGAGGGAAAGGTAAAGGGAGAGAGAGAGAGAGAGAGAGAGAGAGAGAGAGAGAGAGATGTTAATGGGATATTAAGGCATCACAAAAGGTTGAATATTATATCGTAGTAAAACGTGGTTATAATTACTTTGAGAATGATTCCTGCAGAAACCTGACAACATTCTGAGAAAGGAAGGGTCTCTTTCTACTAGGTCAACTAGTATTCAATTCGAAGTTCAGTGATATCACGGCGCAGAATGTTTGACTTCAAAAGGGCATGCATAACTCTCATACTGCCAGATTCTGAAGAAATGAAAAGGCGAGAGGAAGTTACCTTCACAACTTCTTCTTCCCGTGTTCTAACATAAAGACCGGCGGCACTATCAGGAGGTGATATTTCCAGTCCATTTCTCGTGAACATGCCACACGTGAGCCCTGGGTTCGCCAGAGACGCATTAGCTTCGAAACAGGATTGCTAAGAACTCGCACAAACTAGGCAAAACGACTGATACTATCCATGTGGATGCAACCGGCGCGCAGAAAACTTGCACGGAAAAGAAGAACGGCTCTGGGTCCGGGAAGACGAACGGATCCGATGAACAATATGTACGGAAATAAAGGACGAGTAAATGGGAAATTTATTACTATTTACAGCTCGGGTTTTCCAATGTTCCACTCGAATTGGTGCGTCATATATTCTGGACAAGGAAGATTTCGTAAAAGATGATTCCCTCTGGCAAGTAAAGTGCAGACGGCCTATAAAGGAAAGAGGGTCTCGAGTTTTCACAACTTTGTCCGAGTAGCAGATTATGTGAGAAAGGCAGCAGCCATTAGGAGACATATATATTATTTTTAGGCAAAAAAATAGACAAATTTCCAGGATATCAACTTGAGTAAGAACAATCAATAAGAAGCGAGTATTTGGATCTGGGTATGCCGGAATGACAAGAAACGAGAAAAAGCAGACAATCACCAGTGAGAGATCCGAGATCAGTATGCCATCCACACCAGGATGATGCTGTGAGATTTTCCGTTGAACTCCCACTGCAGGAAGAAAGGCCAACATAAACAGGAATTGAGCTTTTCATCGTGGACAATGTACTCATAACAGTTACAACCGGAAGCGGCAGAGGCAATAGTCGGAACAAAAAGACAGTATTTACTGGAAAATATAGCGTTACGGGTCTGGAAGTTTGATAAGAATTCGATAATTGGATATTTTAATCGGGGTGGTAGGACAGGAGATATCACCTCTGCCGCCTTGGAAAGTAGTAAAGCAGGCGGCCTTTATGACAACGAGAACGCCCAAGTATATCTTCCAGAGATTCACCCTGCTGCAATGCTTTATTTTCTGATACTGTTTCGTACCAGTGATAAAAATGTATCAGCGAAGAAAAAAGTTGAACCAAAAACATTAAAAAAACATTAGGTCAATGATCTTAGTCAGAAGCCAAAAAGCGAAAACTGGATGATATTTGTGGTTATGTTTAACATTCGAATATCTTTTTTCTAAGAAATAAAAATATTTGAGATCATCCAATGGTTTTATCAGGGTTGACTGGGGTTCCTTGTCTTCAGAAAAAATGTAAGCCATAATCAATTCCATTATAATATCTTATTTCCTTCCTTAATTTATAGGAGGTAGATTTGGACTGTGAACTCCATTAGACGGGTTGTCACAGAAGTGAAAAGTGGGTTATGATCTTAGAAGATAAAATTCAATGTAGGATAAATTGGATGCGAATATTCTCAGAAATATTTCGCTAGAAAATATAAGAACCCTGAGCTCCGAATACACTGCGAAAGAAGAAAAATACTGAAATTCAGGGAGGAGAGAAGAGTTTTCTGGATAATGAGAGAGTTAAATAGCCTTCCAGTGTGATTTTGGGACTATCTCCGCCACTTTCCAGTCAACAACTTAATTTCAGTCATTTTCAGATCGCTGCATAACCGGCGATCCCCTGGTTCTTATCATGTGGATCCAATCCTGAGGCTGCCCTGAGCTGGTTGGGGTCAAAATAAGGGCTATTCCATATATATATATATATATGCGTATATATGTAGGTACACGTATTTGTATATTATGAATCAGAAACGATTCCAGAAATAAGACTTTCAGTTTTAACAATGATTCAAATACATCTGTAGAGATCAAGAACTAATTAAATCTAAAAACTTACTCAACAGTCTATGTGGGTTATTAACTAAATCGTGCAACAACTTAATCAAGACAAATAGAAGGAAAGATCACCGGACACAATAATAAAGTGGAAGAAGAAAGTCGACACACCATATTTATCACAATGATGAGCCAAAAGCAGTCCAACATCCATTATCAGCTTTGCAAGAGCTTTGAATGCTACAAAATTGGCAGGAAACAGTGTAACAGTGAGGGAAACTTGAATTGAAATATCATATATTTGATCACTATTTGATAAATCTCGTCTATTAGATCACTAGGTAATTAACATTTGGAAATCAGATCAGAGGATCTTCATCTCAACAGTATAGAACAGAAAAAATAACGCTCTTTCATCCGGATTTCAATTACTTGTTAGATCGAAAACATGGTATGCCATGTACATTTCGGTCGTAAAAATATGGAAATTTAAATAAAAAATCAAAATCAAAATCTTTCCAACTGTGAAAAAGATATTCACGATACTAAACCCATTGTAATCTTCATGCAGTCATAAATACTTTTCACTAAATGTGTCATGAAATGCACACAAGAGGATCGCACAACAAGGCAACTACCTACCTCCTTCAAGTTCAGGCAAACTAGTGTTAGGCCATTTATTTGGTCGACAGTAAGATGGATACCTTCATTCAAATAAAAATAAATCAGTAAAGTCATACGCAGGAGTGCATTGGGAAACAAGAAAATGTGCTCTCAAGTTCACATTAAGACGTGGGATACAAGCGTTCTCTTCACTATATATTTTTCACGACCGCAAATAAAAGTAAGAAAAAAAAGAAAAAGAGATGACTGTAGGGCATGATGTCTGACAATTCGTTTGTGCTCTCTATGAAGCACGAAACAGAAAAATAATGTATTATACGAAAAATCATTCTGAATTATAACATAAGATCTATCAACCGACAGCAAATATGTTGAAGTCAAACTCCATTAAGGTGACTTTTCTAATCAAATTGAATATTAATGCGATTATAAATGATTCGTGATATTAGGGTTTACCCGGGGCAAAATAATAATACGGTTATGGAGCGTACTATATAAAGGCCTGCCCTTGGGGTTTTAACGCAACAGAACAATACAACTCGTATGGAGACACTTCATCTATAGGAGAGAGGTTCTGATTGCGGGGATCGAACATAAGAAAAGAGGAGAAAGATCGGAAAATGTTCGTCATTTTCCGCATTGATGGAAAATACAGGTACGTCGATTTCCATCAATAAGAACTTTGGAGGAAAATTGGTTCAAGAAAAACTTCACTAACAAACCCAGTCACACAATACAGGTTACCACATTCCATAAATCCATTCCTTTATTTTTCTGACCATTCTCTGAAATATAATTATAAATTCAATGATGAACTTTATATTATATTATCATATGGCATCATTGGTTTAATGACGATAAGCAAGAAATGTCATGAAATAAAAAGCTTTATAAGAAAATACAGAAAAAAAAATTCAATTGTATAGCAGAAGGCTATGGCAACACCTCTATACCTTTGAATAAGAGAAATATCAGTGGTCGGAATATCTAAAATTGGATTGGCATAGAAGGAACCTTTGAAGGTATCTGCGTAAACAAACAGCGAAAGCAGAATTTCTGTAAATAGGTCAAAACATGGAAAGCAAACAAAGAATCCTTGCAAAGCATGGTTACTACACAGGTATACCTATTTTGGTATGCTATGTGCCATAGAAAAAATTCTCATTAATGAAAACATCCCAACACAAATCAATAGAAAATAAATGATGTAAATGAGTGAATACAAAAGTTGAAAGGAATAAGGAAAAGAAAACGAACGAGTCAATAAATTCCAGTAACGAACATTTTAACTGACTAGAACCTCGTAAGACTAGCATAACTTAAGGATGGAGGACCGGACCAAAATTTCCAGATTCCAGCTTCTCTTTTCCATGACTCCATCCAAAGCTGTACCTGTAAATTAATCACCTTTAAAAATATAAAAATACAAGGCAACTAGACAGAAATTTATTAAAAAAAAATTATATTCCTTATTCCTACCTTGGTAGCACGTATAAAATAATACTCTACAAAATGTTCAAATGAGTATATGTATAATATATCTTTGTAGTTTCTCAGGCCATTACCTACTATCTGGATCTTCAAGCTCCCTTTTCAAATTCTCGGGAAGGTTAGCCAACCTGGACGGAAAAATGAAGTTAACATACAAGAACATACCTCTTGTCTAAGATAATCTCGGGAATGATTACCTGGGGGAAAGGTGGAGAAGATCTTGTCTAAGCAAGGGGAATTCAGGAACCTGTTAGTAGCATGTACCACGGGATATAAGACAATTATCAACGATATAATTAACAAAAACAACTCCAGAACATAACGCCATGCGACCTCCTGACATCATCCAAGTTTTACCACTCACTCCCTCCACAACAGGAAAAAAATCTAGCCTCCTGGACAAGTCAGATTTTCACTTAATCATCGAATAGTCGCTAGCATGAAATAATGTTATCGGATCAATTAATAAAAAGCTAGAAGGCCGTGGAATTTTTCACTTTGAGACAGGACGGAGATTTTTGAGCGGAAGCTTATTACGTACATCCGAAACGGATAGAATTCCCAAACCGTTCGGTCCAAAGCCCTCCTTTATCTTCGCTGACAAATCCGACTTCTTGTCCTGTCCCGATCCAAAGTCAGGTCGGGAAGAAATCCACATAAAAAGACAACGATTACAATTAAATCCGAAAATCGAAGAGAAGATAAAACCAGTCGTCACTTCGAATGTACCTTGAGTTCCGAATAGGAGATCGTGACGGCGCTAGCGGTGCGGAAGGCGCCCCTAGTCGTTTCCCTAGCCATTCCGCGGCACCAACCTCCGGAGGATGAACGCTGCCAGTGGACAAAAGCGTGGGAAGAGGATTCCGCGGGAACTGAGTGCGGCTCGAAGGATCGAGATATCGGACGGAAGAATGAAAGCTTCCGCAGCAACGGCGGGGAGTTCATGGGAGGGTATAAGAAGTTCGTGAGAACTCTCGGTCTTCCCCGTCGAATTCCCTGTTTCGTGGGGCAACTCCCACGTCACTTCTGGCGGGTTAATCCTCCTCCCTAGAAAGAGAAGCGGCGGTGGATTGACGGCGATTGTCCCCTGCTGTTCGGAATCCCAATCTCCAGTCGTTTAACGTTGACGAAAGTGATGCTACATATCCCAATTTGGGGGTACTTTTGTCTGAAAGCATCATCTGATCGAAATCCCTCTGTTTAGCCGTCCAATCCTGGCCTAAACCTGCGTAGAAGGTGAGCTGAGAATGATTTTCCAGGAGCTTCCGCGAACATAATTCTCCTTCCGCCGTCAAATCCTTACGTACAAGAGTAAAGATGAGAGAAGCCGTAGAAGAACAGAGAAGAACGAAGGCTCCCTGCTGAAAGGAGGCCTCAATCTTCGCGGCGCAGAAGCGGCAAGAAATCGGCACCTCCGTAACCGCCGGTGACCTCAAGCGAAAAAGATACGAAGCTTTCAGCGCGGGACCGAAGGAGAAACGATGGAGAGAAGGAGTGCGGTGATGACGCGAGGAGCTTCCCGGAGGAAGAGAGACGAACGCAGATCTGCTGCTGCTTCTGCTCTCTCTCTCTCTCTCTCTCTCTCTCCTGGAGCTGGCTACAGAAGCTCTTTGGGGGACCTTCGGTCGAAGCGGAAAGTTCTGGAACCAATTCCGTTATGACCGTTACAAGGGAAAAGCCCATAATTAGTTACGGACCCGCGGGTGAACTGCGTCGCCTGAGCTTTTTTATGGGCCGACTAACCCCCGCGATGCCCCGACTGGCCCAATAGCAACTAGCAATCTTTTAACCGGGGGGTACAGAAATCAAAATACGATAGAAAGCCTACTGTCCGTTGATTCAGTGGACTTCAGAAGAGGATGGGCCTGATTACGATCCATCCATCCTCTCGCTCGTGCTGTGTTTTGCCATCTCTCTTTCTCTCTCTCTCCTGTCGCTTTTCAAAGCCTTTGTTCAGTATGTGTTGCGCTTGTTCGAGGGATATGGTGCGATCTTCCAGGCGGATCTCTCCCCGATCCTTGCAGAGTTCTCGGGGATCCGGGGGCTTCTCGAGGTGGCTTAGGTTTGGGGACGAACGTATCAGCTCAGCTGACCGGCGATATCTGGATGTTGTAGGTACATTCCTTGGTTCTTTCAGATCTTCCCTGTTCATCTGCAGAGGAGCACTGGGCGGTGTACTTTTACTTTGCGAACTTCCCTGGATGTTGGAGGAGAAATCCACTTCTGATCGATCGTTTACGCCGAAGTCAGTCAGATTTCTGGCAAGCATTTCGTCGTCAGTCTGAATTGCTTCTCTCCAGAGAGAGCTCATCGGCATTTGGGAGCGGTTCCTGCGTCGGTTCGCTTGGATTCACCGCTCTGGGGAGTCCAGGTCCAGTCAGGAAGCAACTAAGACGATACTCTACAGTACTGCAGGATGACTCCGGATCGCTGCAATCTTCTGTCATCTTCAAGCGCAAAGGCATAATAGGGAGGATGGGCGATTAATGTTCATATTTATTATGCATACAAGATGTCAACGGGATTCAACTACTCTTCCTTCCACACGATATCACGCAGTACTGTAGCTTATTGATGCGGGAAGGAAGAAGGCAGTCGAAGTTAAGAGGGAACGGAGATCGTCATGAAGACTAAGACTACCATAACAAAAGACGGCGCTCATGGAAAGAACCTGGTACAGAGGGATCGGTACATCGGGAAGGGTAGAAGAGACGGTCACAAGCCCCTGCTCCTAGGTACATCGTATCTCCAGTCCATCGCACTCCGCTGGTCTCCCGCCGCAAAGCCTTGTCCATCCATCGGCCTACCGCCGTAGGGCCCCCACCCGCCGGGCTGGGCGGCGGCGCGGGGAAGGAACTGCGGATGCTCTGGCGGAGGGGGGACGATGAACTGCTGCTGCTGCTGCCGTTGATTTGTCAGATGGGGCAAGAACGCCTGCTGAGGAGGATGGGGACGCACTGTCTGAGGCCGCCACTCGGGAATATCGTCGTCGTCGTCGTCCTCCCACGGCCGCGCGGGGGTAAGCTGCACACGGCCGGCAACAGCTGCTGCACCCTCGCCCTGGCCATATTTATGTATCAGCTCCCTCATGTGGTACGCCGGCCGCGGCGCCGCCGCAGCGGGTAGGGAGCCTCTGCGGAAGTCGAACTCAGGAAGGTCGTCTTCCTCCCCCGCGCCGGCGCCGGCGGGGCCGAACCCCGGCGGGAGGTCCTCGCCGGCGTCCTCCGCCCTGGGCTTGGGGTTGAGCTCGGCGGGGGGCTCGCGGGTGAGGCTACCGGGGAGGGGGCGCTGTTGCTGTTTCCTAGAAAGGGACGATCTTTTGGAAGAGGAGGAATGTTTTTGGTGGTGGTGGTGGTGGGAGGAGGAGAGCAGTCTGGGGGACTCCACCAGCGCCCTCCGCCATACAACTACGCCCACCAGGCCGCCCTCGGCCGGCGCCGCGGCCTCCGCTGGCTCCGCCACCGCGGCAGCGTGCTCGCCGAGCATCTGCGCGGTCTTCCCTCCCGGCGGGCACACGTAGAGCTCCACCCCCGGGCAGGGCTCAACGTACCCCAGCCTCCCATCCGCTACGTACGACTCCACCGCCTGCAACACCACCAAGGAGGATAGATTAGCGAGAGAGAGAGAGAGAGAGAGAGAGAGAGAGAGAGGGCGGCGTCGTCAACATCAAGGAAGAACCTTAGAAGGAAGAAGAAGAAGAAGAAGAAGAAGAGGATGAAGCTCTGCAAGAGGGGGAGAGGAAGCTCACCTCGGAGATGGCCCTAAGGCCCCCCTCGGGGGACCCCTCCTTCCAGCGAAGATCGACCACCTGCGCACAGAGAAGCAGCCAGGGTCAGTCGCCGAGCTTTCAACAGAATACATAAGCGGCGGCGGAGAGCATCTAAAAACAGTAAAAAGCCCGAAATCTTTGACCTCAGAAACGTAGGAATCAGAGATCCGAACGTACTATATTCCACAATTCTTCATCTTATGGCACTAAGTTTTAATAATACTAATAATAATAATAATAATAGTCAACGGCTATTTGCAACGGCGAACTTATATCTCCTCCTCCCCTCACAAGGCATCATTTGGTCGAAGATTTTCAAACTCTGATCATACACAGAAGTCGCCACTCTGGGGCGAGAAATGACGGCCCTCTTCCGGGCAGTACTCAAAACCAGATGTAGCCGGAAGGAAGAACGAATCGGTGGGTCAATGACAGTGGGGTCAACGAAGCAGTGCAATGCGTCGGCGGAGGGAACTACCATCATAGCACGGCTTTTGGAGAGAGGAAGGTCCCGGAGGAACTTCTCAAAGGCTTCGACCCGGACTCTCCCCTTGACCTCCACGAAAGTGGGCCAGTCCTTGGTGGACACCTTCTCGCCGCTGCCACAGAAGAAACAGAGATCAGAGAGCCGAGCTTGAAACACAACCAAGTATGGTAATTCGTGCATACTATTTTACCAAAAAAAAAAAAAAAAAAGAGGATTAAATGAAAAGGACGCCACAGATCATATTTTTTTAATCATTTAGCGCAAAATAGAGGCCGGGAGATGAAGCTATTAGTTTGTATCGAAGAAGAGCGGAAGTGATGATTCAAGAAAGCAGCAAACCTTCTGAAGACGGCCAAGACGGTGACAAGAGAAGAGATGTTCAACTGAATCACACCCTCCCATAAATGTCCACCATTGGATGCAAGAGTCGGGGTGGGGTTCTCTGCATCGGCCTTGGAAGTTCCAACTGCCGGGTCATCCTCGGCGTCTGCATCCTTTGCTTTAGCTTCGATTTCATCGGGTTGAGACGCAGATGCATCCAAGGGGTCTCCGGCGAGCGTGCGACTGGGAGTTGCATCTGGCTTGCCATCTGGTTTGCCTGACGAAGTATCGACCTGTGCATCTGAGCTGCCGGCTCCCCCATCATCTGTCTGTGGGTGCTGTTCGGCACCTCCCGACAAGTTCTCAAACGGCGGCTCGGAATCAAGGGCTTCCATGAACTCGTCAAGAGACACAATCGGAGGCAGGTTTTCTGCACCTTTTACATCCACTATCAGATCCTGCATGTCGTGTGGAAGAGTAGTCAGGTTGCTGGAGAGTTCTAGTGCTTCAGAGTCGGCATTCTCAGGTAGCCCCGAATTATCAGACCCATCAGCTTCATTTGGTTTCGAATTGCTGACCGATTTTGAATTGCTCTTTGGTTCACTCGCTCTTCTTGGCAGAACTAGGGGTAGTGAATTTGCGCCAATGGCGACCTCCACTGAACCACTGTCATCTCGTTCGACTTCCACTTGAAACTCTCCCTTATGGGTCTTCTTCACCACGCGCCTTAAATCAACATCTGAATCGGGCAGGACCACCATGTGGGCAAACTCCTCGGCCTTGGCGATCCGCCATTCCGTGAGCTCTTTCGAAGCGAGCTCCTCAGCAGACATAGAACAGAGACGCTGAGGGGTTATTTCTCCAGATATTACTCGTTCCCGTAGCTCGGGGTTGCTCGGATCTTTGAGATTAAACAGTAGGGATCTACCCTTCTCCTTGTACTTCTTATTCACGCCTCCAAATAACCTAAACAGTTCTGCTTCGATACTAGCCGCCAGAGCTCGGTTTCTATCCTCTGATTCCTTGGGGTCCACTGCAATTTCATCAGGGTCCAGCTTGGCCCGTTTGGAGGCACCACCGTCCCTCGACTCAGACCTTTCAGGACCAACGTCCGCTACCCAGCAGAGACCATTTTCCTGCAAGAGGTCATCTTTCAAGGCGAAGTCGTTGAATGGGGTGTCCTCCTCTTTTGCAAAAGAATCCCTCGTATTGGCTACGTTATCTGCATTTTCGCCTATGGAAACAAATCCTGCAAAACTACTAGCGTCAGATTTATGGGCAACATCATGATTTCTGCCCATGGGATCCAAAGGTGTCTCCGGCGGAGCTGACGTAGAGGATATATCACCTTGTTGACTGACGGTGATTGGGTCTTTGGGCTTGGTTTCCTGAGCATAGGACTTCTCTACATCTAGAGGCTTGGCTTTCTCACCTGACCCAAGAACCAGCGCAGAAGCCAAGGACTCCCGAAGTTTTGATCTAACTGATTCAAAAGACTCGTTTCGAGCTTTTAGTGACTTCTCAGCGGGCGAAGCTCTTCTGTTGGTTAGAATTGCGGCTTGATGGGCGGAGAAAACATTCTGGGGCTTGGGTGACTTTTCTGTGGGCGATTTTCTTTTATTTTTTGATGCAAGCTGCTGATGACCAAGATTCGGAGGTATTGCAATCTGGGCCAAATTTTCCATCTGGGGTAACCTAAATGTTGACATTATCTTGGTTCCCTGGTTCGCAGGAATCAGGCTCGGGATCTTCGAGGCTGAATCCGGATGTGCCGACTGCTGCTTGTTTGATAACGAAGGCTTCTGCAGCATCAGCTTGCCAGATGAGGAACCAAGGGCCCTCGGCGATTGCTCCATCTGTGGAAATAACTAAACCGTTATTGATGGGGACCCAGAGTATGAAAAACAGAAGCTTTGGAGCGCGGGTAAAGCTCCTACCTGAATCAGCGACGGATTTCTTGAGAACTGAGGGACCCCCATGTTGTAAGGCATAATATTTTGCATGTTGTGCAAGAGACCCACTTGTGCGGGTTGTTCGTCCATCGAAAAAAGTGATACCAGGCTAACAGGCACGGGGGGTTTACTAATATATGCAGGTTGTCTGTTGACAGATGTCAGAGGATTCATATTTACGAAGGATTCTTGGCCTTGGCTGGACTGGTCCATCTGCAATGAACATGTTCATGTTACTTGTAATTACTGGGAAGCCAAATTAATCGAAACTCTGAGAATATGCTAAAAGCACGGGTATTGGGAAAAAAATACGGCATCTGGACTTTAGAGAACTAACAGTCCTTCAAAGTTTATAAAAAAAGTAAATATAGACATGCACCCAGCACCCAAAGACAGAACTTCAAAGTGAAATATAATTTACACATATTACACGTTCTCTGCAATCTCCATAAACATGACTGAAAACAAGACAAAAGTACCAAATTAGAGGACTTGCCCAGAAGACAAATCTCAAACAACTGGTACTCACTCACTCACTCTCTCTCTGTCTCTCTGTCTCTGTCTCTCTCTGTCTGTCTGTCTGTCTGTCTCTCTCTCTCTCTCTCTCTCTCTCTCTCTCTCTGTCACACACACACACACACACACACACCCTCCCCCTTTCTCCTATCCAGGACGTCTCACACCACTGCACAGTTTTCCTTCGAGAAAAGGTGAGGTTATGTCAATAATAAGTAGGAAAAGAGCTCACAATTAAATAAATCTCCCTCCTCATGCAATATCCTTGGACGGTATCTACCAACCTCTCCTTCCAACCCTCCCTATCTACGTTAACTATTCACAGACACTGGGAGAAAAAAGAGGAAGGAGTACATAAACACGTCGTACATAATACTATGTCATGGCTTCTACACACGCTCAATTCTATCTAAGAATCACAAATTTCACTTGTTTCTAGAACGATATGAGCGCATGAACACAAAATTTGAAGTCCAGGGGGAAAACATAAACGCCCTTCATGCATGATGCACCGAAATGAACATCAAATCCTGGTCAAAGATCAACGATTTTTGTTCTTCCCTGATTAGGGCTTGAAAAAAGAAACTGCAATGCAACCATTCTTATTCCTACGATTCTAAAGCGCAAGCACATGTTTCCGCTTTCACAATAAGATCACGATCATCTATATCTGTATTGAACGTATATGAACAGATCTCAAGAATTCTATTGACAAGAAGACTGAAATGATCTGCTTGCCAGCCTGGCAGATTTTGATTCGCACGGACGGTTGTATATTAAGAAAAAATATGCGACAGTTTAGAAAAAAAGAACGTTGTAGAGAAAAAGGTAGAATTGAACATTGAAATTTCTGCCAAAAAGAAAACGATGAAATTGAGAACCAGAAGAAATAAATTTTTAGGTTCAACCAAATGATATTATTTGAAACCCCTTTATCAGACGAAGAGCGTTCCCTTCGTCATAAAGATATGGAAGCCTGCTCATATTCATTAAGGGTATCAGAAGCAGCTTCTGTGTCAACGTACATTTACAGAGAACTTTTTCCCTCTATAGCAGACTCAAGTTCACTTTCTTTTTGAAACAATCCAGCACATTCTCCAAACCAAAGCTATTATACATCTATTGATGGAGAAATAGAACCCGTAAATAATGATGACCGCGATACAGCATAAGAATGAAGACAGAATGACGTGATGACGCACAAATAACGTCCCATAAATAAGGAAATTTGACGTGCAACTGACGTAATGACGCCATTCTGTAAAGTCATTATACCATCGAGTATGAGAGCAAAAGTATCACTTAACATGATGCACAAATAACGGTGACAGACACATGATGATGGATTTTAAGCATCATGAATCTAGTAAAGAATAATGATGCAATCGCATCAAAAATTTGCATCTGAATGCAAAAGGTAATAAAAGCAAGAGATAGGGAACATTTCGAATGACATAAATCAAGACAATCACATGAATGGAACCATAATCAATAATTAAAAAAATGAAGGAATTTGAATTTATTCTAAACATGTGGAGAATCATAATCGATAATGAATGAGGCGTACCAAATTCTTCACAAACATAGAAAAAAGTGTATCCAAATCGGTCGCTGCCAAATACTATGAACAACCATAAACTGAAGTTCACGCAGATGTGATCAATAAAATCAGTGAACGAGTTATAGAAGTGATGATAATGGAGCTGAAACTTCGCACAGTGAAAAATAAAGAAGAATCATAGATTGTCGGTGACATAAACTGAATTGGGTACTAGATCAGTATTGCGAAAGAATATCTAACACCGAAAAAAAAAGATCTACCGAAAGAATAGCGAGGACACATGTCACAACATCGAATATGACAGAACGTAGGCACAAATTAAACACCCCAGTTGAGCAATGGTTGACATAAACGAAATGATAGAGAAAAAAACGACCGAGCGCGTTAAATTAAAATAGGAAAAACAAAGATAGCCTTAGGTATCCAAGGGATCGGGATCGGCTCGAAGTGTGAGACAAACACCAGCGAGATGTACAAATACGTACAAGAAGGTGAACGTGACAGCGGAGGCAACTTCCCATCCATGACCTGGAGTCCCACCAAAGGGATCAACCCAGACCTAACATCCCTCTCGATTTCCTCCCAATCCTTGGTATATCTCTACGAGGAAGAAATCATACAGCAGAATAACCCGTAGGACTAAAAAAAAGAACGAGGAGAAATAGAGGACCTTGCCGAACCGAAGCCCCAATCGCAGAACCTTCCCTTGTCTGAGGTGGAGATCTTTCCTCAGGGGAAGCAGCGGCCGCCCGCAGAGGAGCAACTCCTCGGAGAAAAGACGAGCAGAAAGATGTGATAAGCGATAAGGGCGCGTCGAAACCCTAATAAAGCTCGGTACGCCCCGACCAAGGATATTGCGCCCCCCAACAAAACAGACGTGGCACTAGATGGGCTCTTAATGGGCCCAATGGCGCGCCTTTATAATGGGCCGTAGAAAGAGCCATTTTAAGAGGCAGGCGGTAAGGTAAATCGAACGGGCTGTTAGTGGGCCGCATCGATTCGGCGTGACGTCATATTTTGTCTTCTATAAATGTTCTACAAATAATGGGACTGTTATTTTTTAGGATAAATAAAATAAAATAAAATAATTTAATTAATAATATCTTCTCGATATTTTTGGGTCTTAATATTATTTTATTTGCAATAATTAATCGCGTGCAAAATACATGCACATCGGTGTCGTCATCGTTTTCAAATATTTTCTCTACACATAATCATTTTAAATAATTTGGAGTATTAAAATATTATTTTACTAAAATTATGGCCCACAATACCTTATTGTGGGCCGCCTTTGCCCAATTAAAGAAGATCCAGGAGAAGATACCGTTGACCAGTACCCAAGCCCCCCCCCCCCCCCCCCCCCCCCCCCCCCCCCACCCGCCACGACGATCGACCGCCCCGGCGGGCAGAAGCCTCCGCCGTTGACTCTCTCAGACGACATCATCCCACGGTCAGCGACGCCAACGTTGACTGCGACAAATCAGAGACCGTCGCCGCCACCTAGTACTCACTACCACGGATCGACGAACTCCAAAAATATTCAGTTCCATACCGCATGACACACGGATTATACTCTTTTTCTGCCGGATGAATTGAAGAAATGGGTAGACGACCCTCTCGCGGGGTCATTCATCTCACGGTCAGGGACGACGCCGTTGACTGCGGCAAATCAGAGACCGCCTCCACTATCAACCGCTCACAACTTTGGATCGACAGACTCCAAAGATATTGAACTCCTCACTGCATAAAACACGGATTATATCTTTTTCTGTCGGACGAACTGAAGAAATGGGTAGACGACCCTCTCGCCGGAGCATCGTTGGGTTCCCCGGGTTGGTCGCCGGGAAACACGCCACCGGGAATCGGCCCGTCGCCGGAAACCTTTGGCGCCGCCGGAAGAACGGAGGTTTCGTAGTTGGCGGGAAGTGGTCGGTTACTTCCTCCTCATCCACAAACTGTTCACCAGGAAGTAGCCTAGAAGTGGGGAGAAGGTGGCGGCGCGACGGCGACGATGGCGACTGTCCCACAGATTGCCTTCAAACTTTCGCAAGGTAGAACGGATGAGGTGGCCGTCGATGTTGAACCGTCGGACTTGACGGAGAACGGGGTAGACTGAAGACGGCGGTTCCAAAACCGACCGCGGGAAGGCGACGGCTGGCTGTCCTTCGCCGTTAAGTGCTGCGAAAAAACCCAGAATTCTCAGTGTTTTTTAATGTGCCCGCTGGGGGGTCGGGGCGTAATATTCCCTTCTCTCGTCAAGGAGGCGGGGAGGGAGCACTATAAATACTCCTCACCTTGTTCTCTCTCAACACACAAGCTGCTCCATAATACACAGCAGTTCCCCACGCTCTCTCTTCTCTCCGTACTCCTCTGACCCTCGTTCTAAGGTGTGATCCAACACTGCTTGCCGCCTCGGAGAGGGGAGTTGATCTGCAACTCAGAACACCGTGGAGCTAAAGTAGGAGCGGTCTCAATTAGTCCCTCCTGAGAGGTATGCACTGCTGCCTCCTGCGTCCGAAGGCCTTTCCCCCGGACGGAATTTGGCATCGGTTCTCTTGTAGTGTGGCAACAGATTCTCGTTCCATGGTTGCCATCGAGGAATTTGAATTTATTCGATGAACTGATCGCCATTGGTTGATTTTTCTACTGCTCGGCCTGTTTTCTTTCCCCGTTCTCGAGGCCGCAATAAGCTAAGGTTATTGCAAGTCGGCGTGCGAGATTAGACCCCTGCGGTTTGATTTATCGCGTCCTGTGCAGTCAACTAGTCCATTTCTTAGCGATGTTAATTTATCTGGCTTGTTTTTGTTCTCTATCGGCCTCACCATTTGTCGCGTTCTTTGGGGGGAAACGGGATAATCCCTGACTTGTCCCCCCCTTCCCCGTCTTCACCTCGAGTTTATCTCTCAATCTCATGCGTGTTAGTTTGCTGATTCTTGTATTTTAGGTGCTGGATTTTGGTTGTCGACTGGTATACTCTTGGCGGAGGATACTGTTTTTTTCATACCATGGCAGCCGCCGCCTCTCCCGCCTCAGCTTTCTTGGTTGCCCCTTCTGCCCGTGCTGCCTCAGCCACGGCCTCCACGACAAATTGGGGACCTGACAGTTTGGAGGTTCGAGGTCTCAAGTCCAAACTCCCCATGTCTTCCTCAGGGAGAATGCAGGCCACGGCAAGTGCTCAAGCCGCGCCCATGGTTAATGGAACGAACGTCGCCCTGAGAACTAGTTCCCCAAAAACTGGGGACGACAGCCTGCCTAGCACGTTCTACGACGAATCGCCCGATTGGAGTGTGATCCTTGCGGGCATCACCTCCCTCTATCTGGCAGCTGAGAAACAGCGGGCCATTCTTGATCACGGGCCCAAGGAGGCACAGACAACCGCCGGAGCATCTGACATAGGCAGGCTTATTCAGGACGGGATGATTTTCAGACAGAACTTCTCTATTAGGTCGTACGAAGTTGGAGCCGATAAAACAGCCTCTATAGAGACACTATTGAACCATTTGCAGGTCAGAAGTCCAGATCTCTCTGCTCGTCATGTTCTTGTGTTTTCCTTGCAGTATAAAGTGAAGTCTGAAACTCCCTTTGTATTCTCTGTTTCAGGAGACATCTCTGAATCATGCCAGGGTTGCTGGCTTTCTGAACGATGGTTTTGGTGCTACACCAGAGATGAGCAAAAGGGGCCTTATATGGGTTGTGGCAAGGATGCAGGTCCTCGTGGAACAGTACCCTTCCTGGTAAGCTGCACCCGTCCGAACCGCTGCATTGATTCTCTACTAACCGACTGATTTTATTTCTGCGGAAAATTCCGGTATAATTCTAGCAAGAAGGCGATACTATCCTTTAACTCATCAAAGATTAATGGTGTTCTATTTTCTTCAGGGGAGATGCTGTTCAAGTAGATAGTTGGGTTTCTTCGTCAGGCAAAAATGGAATGCGCCGAGAATGGGAGATACGAGATGCCCGCACAGACAGAATCCTCATCAGAGCGACCAGGTCAGCACCTGTTTCTGATGTATCATCCTCTCTCTCTCTCTCTCTCTCTCTCTCTCTCTCTCTCCTCTCTCTCCTCATGAATGCTATTATCTTTTGAGGGGATTCCTTACCCGTTTCTCTTGAAATGCAGCACATGGGTGATGATGAACAGGCACACAAGGAAACTGTCCAAAATGCCAGAGGAAGTAAGAGCAGAAATACAACCATTTTTCTTCGAAAGAACGTCAACTGTGGAGCAGGACGACAGGAAGGTAGAGAAGGTCGATGAGGAGACCGCGGATTATGTTCGGGAAGGCTTAAGCGTAAGAGTCTTCGATAACAGCTACCCTTGAAGTCTTCATCAATCTATCGCCAGTATGCTTGGGTTGATTCTGTTCTCTCAGGGACTGACCTCTTCATCCATCCCCCTGTTGACCTTGCAGGCCCGGTGGACTGACTTAGATTGCAACCAGCACGTGAACAATGTGAAGTACATCTCTTGGGTCCTCGAGGTGACTCCTCTCTCTCTCTTAACCGTTTACTTTTTCATGTTCTCGACGAGATTCTTGAGTCTTCTCTCTCAAGATCTTTGAAGAATCTCCCCCTCCCCCTCAGAAGCTCTGCCCTAAACTGGGTTTCTTCTCCATTTTCAGAGCATCCCCACCTCGATCTTGGAGAGCCACGAGCTGACCAGCTTGACTCTGGAGTACCGGAGGGAGTGTCAGAGGGACAGCGTCCTGCGGTCCCTCACCACGATCGTCGAACTCAGCGGCGGCGGCGTGGAGTGCCACCACCTCCTCCGCCTCGAGAGCGGGCCGGAGGTCGTCAGGGGAAGGACCAAGTGGCTGCCCAAATCCGCCGGCATCCCGGCAACTCACGGCGGTTGTCAGTGATGATTATAATAATTATTTATTTATTATTTTTTTTCAAAAAATTGTATCTTTGTTTGTAAGGGGGGGTGGGCTGATGTAAGCATTTATCTGCCTATACGACCAGCATATTCGTTGTTTTCTAAGAATGTCATCTATAAGCCAACTGAGTAAAAGTACAACTGGACAATATTCAACATACAAAATTACATTTTTGACCACCTAACCTATATAAGCCAACCAATTGGAATCACTCTCATGCTTTGAGTTATATATCATCTGAATCTTACATACAAAAGTCATAAGGTCTTTTTCCAAGATGTGATATCACAAAAAATAACAAAAAATAAATCATGAAACCATGACTAGAAAAAACTTGAGAAAGTAAATATTTCTCCTGATAGTCAATGAATATTCAAAAGAACATTTTAGATATACAAATCATGGTTAGTGTTTGTATGAGAATGAAAGAAAACATATGTTTGGTAGATAGGGTTCCATAAAATAATAGAAAATAACATATATATTTGAAACAAAAAATATATACACAAAACATCTTGGATAGAACACACCAACTACTACTCCTCATGTTAGTTGGGTTAGAATCTCATCAGATCTAATGCTTTATAAACAGAGCAAACGTTGAGCTGCACTTCAAAAATTGTCAGTGGACAAATGTTTGATGATGTCATCAAAACTTTAGAACTACATCACATTACAAAATTGAAGAAGAACACGATATCTTCAATTTTTGAAGACCAACTTAAGTATTGTTATTACTAAAAATAATATATTATAAATTTCTAAAGGTGTTTTGATTACGATGAAATTAAAGTTGTTTGGTAGCCTTTATTATCTATGGTAACATCATAGTGCTAAATAATTATACACAACTATTGTACACATGTTTGTGCCATATCAATTGAAAAGAATGAAGTTGAAAAATCATAGTTTACTTAATGACCAGAAGATTAGAAAATTAGATTTATAAGTGTTATGTGTTCATCAAATAATATAAGGTGAAATTTAGTATTTTGGGCCATAGGACAAAAGACATTGTTGGTTATATTTACTCTAACTTTTGGGATCTTACTCTAGTTACTTTAGAGGACAAACAAATTATTTACTTCTTTTTATTGATGTCTTCTCATAATAAGTTTGAATTTATTTTTAAAAAAAGAAGAGTGAGGTATTCATCACATGTTCAAATGAATTTGATGAATACAAGAATGAAGTCATTGTTTGACATATTACTACAACAAGAATGTCACAATATAACAACATGGCAAAATGAATAAATATGACTCTTAAAATTTACAAGAAATATATTATCTATAGTAAGCCTATAAAATGATTTTTGGCTTAAAGCTATTAGCATGACATGTTACTTAGCGAATAAATTTTCTATTTACATCTATTAACTTGAAAACTCTTGAGAGGTGTGGTATGATTCTCCTTCTAATTATTCTCAAATTAGAAATTTTAATTGTCATGTCTATGATCATGTTACAAATGACAAGTTGGAGTCAAAGATAAAGAAATATATTTTCAGGAAATATACATAAGCATGGAATGTAAAATACTAATTATCAAGTACTTAATTTTGTGATTGAGAGAGATGTAACATTTGATGAATTTACAATGCTCTGAATGAGAGAATTCAACAATAGAAAATAGAAGTCAAAGTAATAGTAAAGGGAACTAAAAGTGCAGCTCTAAATAGATAATATAGTGGAAGAGGAGGTAGTATATGCCCACAAAGTTGTTGTAAGCTAAGTTTTTTAAAGGTAGTATAAAATTATAATAGACAGGTAACAAAGAATGATCATACAACTTATCAAGTATTCTGACATGTGCATTTTTTCTATATGTTACAAGTGAAGTTAATGAGATATAATTATGGTCATATAAAGAAGTTATTATTTTATATGAGTCATCTAAGTAATAATTAGTCACAAAAGAAGATATTGAGTTTCTAAGAAGCACAATACATAGAAGTTAGTAAAAATACCATCCGATTAGAAGATTATGAACTGCAAGTGGATTTTAAAAAGATGGAAAGAATCATAGTTGATAAAGGTATTAGGTTCTAAGTATGTTTGGTGGCAAATGATTTCACATATTGAGAGAGTATCAATTTCAATGAGACATTTTTTATATTGGTGATGCTCATGTCAATTTATATTCTACTTGCTATAGTTGTTTTATTAAATATAAGATTTGAGTAATTAGATGTTAAAACAACATTCTTATATGACAAACTAGAATAATAAATCTACATGCACCAACTAAAAAGTTTCACAATTTTTAATAAAGAAGATTGTAAATGTTGTAGAACTCTTTATATGACTGAAAGTAATCTCAAAGTTATTGGTACAATAAGTTTGATATATTTATGTTAGAAATACTTATAATGATCGTTTTGTATATAAAACTTCAAGATGGTTCTTTTATCTATTTATTATTATATGTAAATGAAATTTATTTTTTTTCTAAGAACATATCAGATATTGATCATTTAAAATCTTAATTGAGTAGTAAATTTAAGATGTAAGATCTTAGAGTAAAAAAAAAAATTGTAAGTATTGAGATATACAAAAACTATAGTGCTTAAAAAATGTTCTTGCGTAAAAAGAAAAGTGCTAGAGTGGTTCAACATAAAAGAAGGCAAGACTGTAAGTACTTTAGTAGCAACCCATTTTTAATTATTTAATGAAGATTCATTGAAGACAAAGACATGGAGTTGATGAGTAAAGTTTCATATGCACACACAATTAATAATATTTTTATGCTATGGTGCTGTTGACGTAACATTCTTCATATTGCTAGTATGATTAATAGTTACATAGGAAACACTATAAAGATCTACCAAGAGGCTATAAAGTGAATTCTTTGTTACCCTAGAGATGCTTCAAATTTGAGCTTAGTCAATTATTTAATTGGTTATATCCATTCAAATTATGTTACTAATTGTGATAAAAAAAGATAATTTATAGGTTATGTTCTTACTCTTTTTGGATGTATTATTAGTTCAAAAGTTATTCTACAATTTATTATAACATTGTTGACAATGAAGACATAATATATAACATTGAGAAAGGGAATGAAAGAAGTTTTATAGCTTAAGGATTTAGTTGATGATATAGCATTGACAAAGGGAATGAAAGAAGTGTATTGTGATAGTCAAAATGTCATAGTATTATGAGAGGATCAAATATATTAATATTAGATATCACTTTGTTAGGAATGCTACTTTATAGAATAAAAATGATGTAAAGAAGGTTCATGGGACAGAAAATTTCACAAAGATTATTTTTTTGAAGAAGTGTATGCCATGCTTGGACTTGGTTAACTTACAGAGTATATGAGGAGTCCCTCAACATAGATAGACTTTTATGATGATTGTGATGAAACTTAGTGTTGGACATGAAAAGACAAGTCAAAAAGAGAATTACAATTAATGTAACTTGCCTTTTTTGAGGAATGTTTTGATGTGGAAAAGTAGAAGTCGTATGATCATGAGAGGAAGAAATGATTTATAAACAACTCATTTACTAGTAGATTGGATCAAATATAAACAACCCAAGAAGGAACAAACTAAATGAGCAAAAGATAAATAAAAAATAGATTAGTTATTTGTTTAGTGGCCCATCATAGTGTCTGAGGTCTCTCAAGGTGTCTATGAGTTGGGAGAAAATCTCATAAGACTAACTCAAGGATTTAGTTTTCGGGTTCTTGTGAGAGTTCTTTTGTATACTTACTCATCTAGTGAAGCCTTTATTATCATTAAACGTAGGAGGTCAACCTTTGTACAATATAAAAAAAAATTGTGTCAGTGCTCCTACTATGAGTTAATCATTATTCTCTTTCTTACTTCACATTATATGGATTGTAAGAATATTATTCCACAAGTCTAAGGTGGGCTTATGCTCTTAACTCGCCAATTCAAAAGTTAATAAGATAACAAAGACTAATTTAAAACTAGGCTCCTAAGTCAACAGTTCTATCATTATAAATATAACTTCAATGGTGGGCTTATTATAAATATAACTCGGTCTGATACTACCTATTTGGGTGGGGTTAGAGGTCAAGTCCATCTGATACCCTACAAGGTTTATCATCACTTTGACCAAATGGATGGGGTTAGAGATTAAGTCAACATGACCCAATGTGTGAAATATACATATTTGATGAAATATATTGCTTTGGAGCATTGAGAAAACTTGAATAAATACACTATGACTTATCTATGAATGTGACCCACCTATATGGAACTCTACACTAAAAGACCCTCATGACTGCTAACAAATTCAGTCACCATCTTTCTTAGTCTGTCTCCAAATCAAAAGTGTAGCGAAATCTTGTAATCTCACTGGATTAAGCAGAGGGCCGCAGTCAACCACCCACCTAGCTTCATAAATCAACCTCACGTGACACATCAATCCCAAAAATATCTAATTGGGTAATCCTCCAAGTTTAGCATACGACAATAATTTACGGATCCCACCGAATTTACTTCGGAATACATTAGAATTGTGTAATATATATATATATATATATCAATATCACTTGTGGATTTGAAGAACTTTAGTAGGCGAAGCTCCAAAAAATTTCATGGGATTGATAGTACTGTTAGCGCATCTGCAGAGGCAACCATCTGAGGAAGGCAAGGAATGGGCTTAGAGAAACAAAGATCGGCAAGAAACAGGGAGTTGACCATGAATCGATTCATATGCTTTTCATGAAGTCAAGTATATACACAACTCAAAGTGGGAAGTCAAAGCAGGCGGAAGATATAAGAAGACCTAAAGTCAGTCAGCAGCTCCTCCATTTCGTCTCCCCACGCGTTGGACGCGGCGGTGGAAACATGAAGTGCGGGAGCTGAGTCAAGCCGCAGGAGGCCGCGGCCTCACTTCCACAGTTTCACGAACTTATCGTGGCTGGCGGAGGCCACCAAGCCGTTCACACTGGACACCGCCAGAGACGCGATCAAGCCTTCGTGAGCTGAGAGCGTCATCGTTTTGTTTTCCACCATGTTCCAGAGCTCCAGAGACTGATGAAGATGTGCCCAACAAGCGAGAGAGAGAGAGAGAGAGAGAGAGAGAGAGAGGGAAAATTATTGTGAGCAAGACGGGACCACCCATCACAGAATAAAGAACCTATAGTTCACTAAATAAAAAGAACTCATGTTGTATGATGCAATGTCTCGATAGAAGATCGCGCCATTTTCAACCATGTTCCAGAGTGTAAGAGACTGAAAGATGAAGATGTGCCCATGCAGAGAGTTAAATGCTGTAAAATTATCGTGTTAAAAGATCAAATACACCAGCAGACCCAGACTGACAGAGTCGGGTTTTGCTGACTGCTCGTGACAGGGTCGGTGAGGGGCAAATGAATGAAGATGAAGACGACGAGAAAGGCAGGGCAGACTGCATGTATATAAATATAAATAATAATAATAATAAAAAAACTGGGAATCCATAATTTATAACGTGAAGAGATCAGAAATTAAGCAAGACCCACAAAGTCAAAGACTATGCGCTGTCAAAGTCAATGAATGAAACCATCCAGATTAAGAGGGAAGGCCAATAAAAAGCCATAGAAAAGGGAAATGAAGGGTGAATAATTAAGATGGAAGGGAAATCAAGGGTTATTCAAAGCAAAGCAACTAAGGTATGAAGAAAGAAAACGTTGAACCGCTCGCTCACCTGGTAACAGCCGATGACCAACAAGGAGGGGTAGGTGGGGTGGAAGACGCACGAATGGAACTTGTTTCCATTGCAGTGCAGATCGTGGATGCACTTCCCTTCACTCCCAGAGCCAAGCGTCCACACCCTCACCGAGTCCTCACTGACAGACGCCACGTAATCACCTGTAGGGTCCCAGCAGACAGAGTGGACCGGTTTCGTGTGCCCCTGAAAGAAAAATACCGAGTTTTAATTAAACAATAAATCGGTCCCATTTCATGTAAAAGCACATTTTCTCCTTAGGAAAACCGGGTCCAAGAGCACTTAAGATAATCCATTTCAGATTAAAATAATTTTAAGCTTGATGGCATCCAAAAATTTGGAGGAAATAGCAGAATCTGATCGATTTTTCCACATAAAGAAAGGTTTTTTATACAGTCTCGTCAGAAAGACTGCGTGATATTCCCAATTTCCTCAAGGAACCACTGTAATTAAAATCCCGCATCATCAGCCGTCACTGTTTAAAGCTGTGTAAAATGGTGCAGAGTTCTATAAAAAGTAACTAAAAATTTCCACAGGCAAGTGCTGTCGGATCTCCAACCTGTAACGAATGGCAGCAAGCTTGGGTTTCAACATCCAATATGGAAACAACATTCTCAGCGGCGGCGGCAAGATATCTTCCTAGACGAGGTTGAAATCTCACTTGAGAGGTACCACCCTGAATTATAGCATAGAAAAGTTTCCAATAAATGAGAGCCCAAAAACCAAAAAGGTCACAAATAAAAAAATTCACAACATTAAGAAAATAATAGCCCCATGCAAGAGAAAAATCACAAAAAAGGCAGTAAACGATCCAAGGTATATGACCAAATCTAATCCTAGTGGAGACATATCAAAGTTCATAGCTCCAACTAGATTGGGAGGAGCTCATATGAAGTTGCATACCTTAGAAACTCGAGTGCAGCTACCCTTATTGATGCTCCAGTATCGTATTTCACTATCCCCATCACAAGAGCACAAGAGATCCTCCTTATTCGGGTGAAAGTCCAGAGACATCACAGACGCAGAATGACCAGTAAAAGTACGAAGGGAGTAACCCGGCTGTGCACAGTAGTCAGCGAGTCAACAACCGATTGCCATGAAACAAGCTTAGAAACCACAACGCATATAAACACAAAATACTTGTAGAACAATATCCCCATAATTTAACACACATATCTTGTACGCTAATTTTGAGGATTTAAAACATTTGGAAATTAACTCCAGAAAATAAATGAAAAGGAGGATAAAACATAAAAGTTGCATACATTATCTGCATCCCATACTCTGACACTTTTGTCAAAAGATGATGTAGCCAAACGAGGCATACTCGGGCTAAAACGGACGTCAGTGATGAGCAAAGCATGTTCTTCTAGTTGAGTCTTTGGTTTTAATGAATCTGTGTACCATAAAACAGCCTGCATTGAAAAATTAACATAATAAATGAATAAATTATCAATAACAATCAAAGAGAAATTAACGTGCAAGCGCAAGTGATGGTAAAATATGTTAAATAGAGAAAAATTAAAATAATGAAGGTCTTCTACGAAAAAAAGGAATTTCTTCTCATCACCTTCTTATCATGGCCACCAGTGGCAAGGAGTTTACCATCTGAGGAGAAATGACAACACACAACCTTACTGGAACTTGCATGGATGGCCCTGACCTCATTGAAGGTAAATCCTGGTATCAAAATGCCAACGGTAGATTAAAAACCACCAAAGAAACTTCACTTATCCAACATAACAGTAAGAATCTTTGGTTTCATGTGAATGTAACTGCTTAATACATATATACAAACCTTTGCTCATATCCATCCCACAACCAACAGGATCTCTGGCATCAGCATCATCGTGAGACAAAAAAGATTCAACATTGTCGTCCAAAGATCCATCCTCCACAAGTAATTCACCTTTATCATCCCACTGCAAAAATAAGTCCCTCGTAAGATATGATATACCTAAATAATCACCTTAACCTTGTAAAGAACAAGATAGACCTGATAAAAAAGACCTTCGATTCATCAAGATATCACACACCAAAAGTACCATAAAGTTATAAACAGAAACAATTACGTAAGATATGCAAATCATTACAGCAGGAAAACAGTAACCCACCAAGTGATTAGAAGGCGATGTCAGAGTACCAGCGCCATCAGAACCAAACATAATCAAGGGCTTAGACGAGCTGCCAGTATGAGGTAAAGATGGCATTGATATTACATCTCCTGGTGTATGAGTGGACGGAGTTGATGGTGCAGAACTTGGGGAGGGCCCAGCAGTATTTGCAGTTCCTGAACTATTTGCAGGCCCAGAAGAGGAGACAGGTTGTTTCCTTTTGCGCCCACCCTGACTCTTTGAAGTCTAAATACAACGAAAACAATGAGGAGCATGATTACTAATTGGAACTGGATACACAAGCTAGAAAAGGCTACAATTTTCGGCATTCAAAAGCTTAAATTCTGATTTAATTAGCAAAGAAAAGTATTCATATTCATTTATTTTTATTTGATATTATCTGAGAAAGGTTATTATTAAAGAAACTGCTTCATTTCAGTATCTAAATATTATACACTAACTCTTCATTGCCCATGGAGAAACAGAGAAAACCACAAACCTGATCATTCCCTCGGAATGAATTAGACATGCCACCGTCCACTGTTACACTACCCGTACCCATTTTATCCTGCTGGTGAAGATGGTGGTTAGAACTCTGGGACTGTTGACTCGACATTGCAGCATTTTGAAGCTGCTGCTGCTGACCATTGCTCTGTTGCTGTTGTTGTTGTTGTTGCTGCTGCTGCTGCTGCTGCTGCTGCTGTTGTTGTTGTTGCTGCTGCTGCTGCTGTTGCTGGTGCTGGCGCAGTTGTTGGTGCTGTTGAAACTGAGCTACGCTCTACTACACAAGACCAGGTTTAAGTAAAAAAACGAGGACTACGGCAACCTTAATCAACTGGGTGTTGACAAATAGGTTTACTTAAAGGAAATATAAAAACTAATCAAGTGGCTTTAGCCCTAAAGCCCTAGGGAAACTAAGAAGCTTCAAATTTGCATTGACTTCAAACTAGGTACATGAATAGACAACGTTGAACAGCACATCAGAGAGGTATATGTGTTTATATAAACTAATTTGAAAGCATTACGCGAAAACTATGTAGTTTCAAGTAGCTACTGTTTACAAGGTTACCAAAGTAGAATCAGGATGTCATCATCTTTTTGTTGCACAAACAAAAATCATAGAAGCTAGCTGAAGAAAAAATAATGAAGCAAGTGAAACCAACAGGAAAAATCTAATAAGTAAACAAAATACAACTGGATGACAAAAAAAAATATGTTTTAAAAAATTAAAAAAACCGCACCTTAATCAACAAATCTGTGTCATCACGAGCCAAAACAGGGCAACTTGTTGGCAAGGCAGAGCCAAAATTTGGAACATCCCCAACAGAACTAGAATGGTTATCTTTTCCCAGAACAATATTCCTGTTGCCGAGTAACATTCTAAGTCTACGGCTTTCAACGTCTCCTGCTGATGAAGATGCCAGATTCTGTTGTGCTTGAAGCAAGAGCTGCTGCTGCTGCTGTGGAGACAAGTGAAGTTGACGTAATGATTGAGGAGATTGCATAAGTGACTTCTGTTGTTGTAGAAGCCCTGAGCGGATCTGATCAAAACCCTGCACACGAAGTATGCACTCATATGATTAAAGCAACATAAATAAAGATGCCCAAAATAAATATAAAAAGAAGTAACAGGATATACTTCATTACTACACGTAATTTCTACGAGTATGAGGCACAAAATTCAAAATATTCAGAACAAAATCAACAAGTATCTAGTGACAGCATCATGTTTCACCAAATTTTAATGCTACCAAAAGCCATAAACGAAAATATTCGGTATTCGTTTACAGCAGCGTCTACCAAACTGAGGAAATAAGAAAACGGAATAGGTATTTCTTCAAAGGCAGGCTTGAAATATCATCAAAGAGGTGTCATAAGAAAACGGAATAGGTATGGTTCATCTGCTCTAGTTGTCACGTAGAAAAAAGAATTCACACAAAAAAAATATATGCACTTGCAATCAACCAGAGTTTGTACAACTCAACATTCGTCACACCTAGAGGAATTGCAAAATCCTAGATATGTTTATGAAAGAATATACAACACGGAAAGAAACTCCAAGGACCAAGCTGTACAAGAGAACATTCTCTGCATAACATACCAGACTATCACTGAAACTAATACCAAAAGAGATATCATGTCTCCATTCTCCAGCAAACATAGCAGCTTTCAAAAATAAATTGAAACTAACACCACAAAATGAAACAAGTTTGCAGGATACTCACAGTGAGAGGCCATCCTTTCAACGTTAAATTATTGCCACCTTGATTAGAACCTGTCATAAAAAGCTGTCATTGACCACTGTAGCGTCAAAAAAGATTAACTTAAATTAAAGCAACTTGCAGCCAAGGGCAGAAATTTATTTTAAAACAGTTCCTTAAATATTATAGTTGTAGATGGAAAAAACAGACAGAAGGTCCGTGTCGGAAAGTCAAGGTATAAAATTCACAACTTCATTAAGCACAGGCAGATCAACCTGGCTCAGTATCTACGTCCATTCATTAAGAAACACATGCTGTCATCTGTTTCATGTAGGGCTCATGCGTGTCAGGACATAGACTACACAGCAGAAAACGTGTTTGGCTCCACATTACAGTTATAGTATACACACCTTCATTACTTTGTTTTACAACGAGTCAAAAACATTGCAAAATATCAACGTGCTCGGCCAGTCATCCCCCAATCAAGGCCCGAATTGAATCGCATGCTTACAATGCTCAGGTGGAAATGCTTTTCTTAACTTTTGTTAGTGCGACATTAGCTATCATTCAGGTACTAGGGATAACTCGCAACTAAATCCTTAGGATATATCACCCATAATTATCTGTTAGCCAGGTGTTTACTAAAAAATGACAAGCTGAAATGAATCTCCGAAATATGAAATAAATTTAGTTGGGAATCATATGAAATCGTGTTTAGAACACAAAATCAACAGTAATGCAGAGGCAGAAGTTTAGGTGTTTTAGCCTAGGCAATTTGCTACTCTGAGGCTAATCAGACTTCCACAGCAGCAGAGAATGTCCACATACAAAAACTGACAAAGAAATGAAATTTTACAGTAAAATACAAACACTCAATGATGGAATACTAAGTGATCAGTACCAGGAACTCCAATCAATGATCCATCGGCTACCGCAGCTCTCGGATTCAATAGAGACGTGATCTCGCTCTTTATGTCCTGCAACCGATTTTTAATTAGAACAAGGAGAAAGAAAATAAAGGCTGTAAAAAATAGTCCGAGTATAGAAACCTGTGTAGTCCCTGGAAGTTGCTGGTTCCGCGATTGAACTTGCTGAAGACTCCCTGGCATACCAGCTGTACCGTGCAGAACATGCCTGAAGAGAAAATATACAGGATACATTCTTATATAGACGTAAGCAAAGATAACAATACCAAGATAGAAACCTGAAATGTATCTCTGGAGGAAAAAATAACTAAAAAAATACGCAGATGCTTGCCCACATAAAGATCAACCCCCAGCATTACTATCAAGTGTTCTGCTCATAGGTAATTATATTAGCTTCTTAACCCATTGTGTTACAACAATCAGCTGTATGGAAGATAAAGCTATTGGAAGGGTTACCCGGAGGCCTGTCCGACTGATGGAGATGACTTGAGCATTGATGGGTGATTTGGGTCCAAAAGCTGTCCCACATTATCACCAAATCTTTGCTGAAAATTAATTTTTCAAGATAATTACAAAAAAAAGTCAAGGGGACTTCTCTTTTAGGGTGGAGAAGCTTAAAGTGCGGGATACCTTTTCAGAGCGTACCTTTATGGACGTCTCATCCAAAGAATCCTTTTGAAGAGGCATTTTCAGGCTTTCCTCATACATCTTTGATGCCAAGGCATTAGCAGTCCCAGGACTCTGACGCATTAGAGGATCGTTGTTAACCAAACCATTTGGAGTTCCATTGAGCAAATGGGGCCCATCCCTGCGCTGCGGCTGCTGCTGCTGCTGTTGCTGTTGTTGCTGTTGCTGTTGCTGTTGCTGTTGTTGTTGTTGCTGCTGCTGCTGCTGCTGCTGCTGCTGCTGTTGTTGTTGTTGCTGCTGTTGTTGTTGTTGTTGCTGCTGCTGCTGCTGAACATGCCTCTGTAACAGAAGTTGCTGCATTTGAAGTTGGTGCTGCTGTTGCTGTTGTGCTTGCAGCGGAAGCTGCTGCTGCTTCTCTCTGGACTTGATTAATTGAGTCTTCAATTTGACAGATTTTCAAACATTAATAATCATAATAAGATCCCAAAACAGGTATATCAATTTTACAGTCAGTTGAATTATATCTATTCAGAATCAAGATTTAAGGAAACAATGAAGGAAGCAGCCGAGAAAGGAAGCAGCTGGGCAAGGATCACATAACCTCAACCATCAAGAAATGTCTCACGGAACAAAAGACTAGGCTTTTACCAATAAAATAAAAAGACACAGCATAAACAGACAAACTTCCCAGAAAAAGAAATAATTGGATGACTCATATACGATCTCCACAAGAATGGCCTACCAAACATTAAGAATAGCTTATAAGCGGAAATTGAATGATGACGTTTCATCTAAAATTGTTACATTATTTCCACTAGCCACATTCTGTAAATTTGATTAATAACTCTACAAAATATTGAACAGAAAACACAAGAATCCGTCAGAAAAGAACAAAAGGCAACTAAACAAATCCCCAACCTCAATGTATGAAGCAGCAACATCAGAGTGCTTCTCATTGGTCCTAGCAATGAAGATATCCCAAAAGACAGACCACCATTCGAAGAGGAAACCACCAGGAGCATCAATGGCTGAAGAGGGTGCACAATCTGACGTCAAGAAAAGCTCTATGCGGAATGAAAAATTGGAACAGTAAATCACTCAATCTTGAATATGAACTGATGCTCACCAACTGGATCTGAAGATACATTTCCTTCAGATTGAAATGCCTTGGCAGTTGCCTGCAAATTTCGCTTCACCAAATAATCATATATGTAGACGTCTAACCTGCACATATCGATAAAGGATAGGACTGAATCAGTATCATTTCATCATTCAAGAGCATTCATGTTAGCGATAGATTGGACGGGAAGAAATATTGCCAGCTTTATCCGGGGTTAAGTTGACAAACTCGTTTCGACAAAAACCATGGGGAGAAGCAAAAAACAACACTCCAACCAAAAGTCAGACGGCCGGTATGGGTTTAGGGGGAGCGAAAGCATACCGGCAATTAACTCAAATAACGAATTAAGGCAAAATCAGAAACTTCGGGCCACCATGTAAGAAAGATAAGAAGTCGCCCAAAGGCCCAGTAGGAACACACGTCGCCAACGAAAGCAAACGCGTGATATAGTGGGAGGTTTGAGGATCCATATGAATATGCTAGAAAATGGACGAGGAAATCGGAATATGACAACATAGGCAATCATAACAACAGGAGGGGAAAAATTCAAACAGAAAGATAAAAAAACGACCCAATGAGGAAGCTGCAACAGCGAGTTATAGGATCACCGACAACACAGGGAATAACAGGAACCCTAGCTGAAGATAACGAAAACGAGAGAGGGTGGGAGGACAAGAACTATAGCAAGTGAGCAAAGCACACTTGATACAAGGTAATATTAGACAAAGGACCACACTTTAACCAAAATAATAATAAGTTCTCACGACAAAAGCAATTCAGATAACGGGAAGACAAAGAAGTTGGGAAGTGTCTTCGTTGAAAAAAGACCATATCAGACGGGAGAAAGCGCCGAAACCCTAGCCCAAGCCTGGTGAAAACTTTTATCCATAAAAGGCTTTGCAAGTTAGGGCCAAACGAGTGACGAAAAAGAAAACAAGGATGACACTTCAAATCGCAGAGCTCTCACATTTTATCGGCCTCCCAGTTGGTCTGCGACATGGTTCCGCTAACCCAACAGCAACTTCCGGCCAACAACCCGCCAAGCAATGTCAAGGAATCCCCCGCCGCCGCCTACGAGTATCCAGTTCTCCCGGGAACATTCCCCCTCCCCTCCGCAATCCCTCCTCAAATCTCCTGCTTCGTCGCCCTCCTACCAGAACACAAATCCACCCAGCCCCCAAAGATACGAGCTGACGGCAAGAGAGCAGAAGAGGGCAAAATCACAGAGACACAGCGAGAGAGAGAGAGAGAGAGAGAGAGAGAGAGAGTGGACCAAATAAGGACCTCGCTAGGGCGGAAGGCAGCTGAGTAGGAATACTGCAACCAGGTTCATGATTTCTCGAAAAATATTATCTTACCCCCATCTCCATTAGGAATTGCAAATAAACACGCACCGTGTGATTGTTGTGCGAATTTGTATCGTCCCAGATCTCCCTCTCTCTCTCTCTCTCTCTCTCTCTCTCTCTTTCGCTCCTCTCACTACTCCGTGCGGTTGACGGAACCCAACGCAGTGATCCGACGGGCAGGCCCACGGATCGGACGGTCGAGAACGTAGGAGCCATTGGGACCGCAGCAGTCTCTGCCATCTGGGAGGTCAATGTGGAAAAAAACGCCGTTGATGACATATTAAATAGCTCCATTAAATAGCGGGATATTTTAATGCGTCAACGTCAGCAGCCAAAATATAAACTTTATCTATTTTTTTATATTTTGAATATTAAATATATGTGACGGGGATACGTCTGCTTTTCGGAGGGTAGAACATCAGATTCTTTTCTTTTGGGGGGGGCGTACTATAAAAAAGGCAGCCTTTTTGCCGCCCAAAGGTCTGATCCGGATCTAGTCCGGTTCGACTAGGACCGACACGTGCGCCGTCGATCTCGTCGGCGAGGAATATTCTCTGCATTGGTGGCCAAACGAGGCCCAATACAGGGACCGACACCGTCAGGATCCGCGTTGTCGTGGATGAAACGATTCCGTCGGATTTCGCGGTCGAAGTTCGGATTCGAAGTCTCTGTGACCGTCTTCAACGTGAGAAAGTCAAAGCTGACGTTCCCCGCCACTTGCTGGCCATTATAAAAACCGCTAGCTAGAGGTCGACCGGGTGATCTGTCCATTGAAACCCCGAAGAGAATGTGGGAGATGGCTGAGAGGAAGCAGACGATTAGCGTTGACTTACTCGACCTACGTGGGGATCCACCTTTTAGGCTTACGACATTTCCTAACCCCACAGAATCCATCTGTCACCAGCCCGGTTTGACTTTAGGGGAGGCTTCGATCGACTGTGGGTCAACGGGCACAGCCCATTAGTTCACGTGGATCGGATGACCAAACGGCGAGAAAGAGGGGGCTCATGGCATTCCCCAATCCCACAAAGCGGTCACCAGCTGGGTTTGACTTCAGGAGGCGCCAATCAACTGTGGGTCAACGGACACAGCGCATGAGTCCAAGTGCATCGGATGACCAAATGGGGAGAAAAAGGGGGAATCTTTGGTCAAACCGCAGTATCTTATTCCCATATTTGGGCTAGCTGTAGTCAACCAGTTCAAAAAATCCCTCAAAAAAATAAAAAAAATCCGGGTATCATAAATTACACACCTCTGCAAAGAATTCGCGGGAATTCCTCCGAACAAATGATGAGCATTTGCGAGAATTCATTCCTGGAATAACTCCAAGGAAGAAGAAGAAGAAAAAACAAATCCAGGAATTTATTCCTGGAAGTCATCCTTGTCGTTCTCCGGGACGGGTATGTTCCTCCAGAAGACAGCGAGAGCACTCCCACCAAGCTGTCATGGTCAGACGGCCCGTCACTTTCAGAGCTCGTTTTAGGAAAGCCTCGAGAATGAGACCGCATTCAGAGAGTAATGCATTCACAAATTTCATTGCGGAAGAAGCAGGGTACGAAGAACAGCAAGCAATGAAAATGACAATATAGGCGAAATTAGTCGGGAAGAGGAGGAGCCCATCCTCAATCACAGCAAGTTGAGAAGTTTACCGCCATGCACACCACACTCACAGCCGAAGGGACGGCCACAAGAGGATCCGTGAAGTGCTTCTGTGCAAGCAGGAATCCAAGCGCAGAGCTCTGGCACAGAGAGAGAGAGAGAGAGAGAGAGAGAGAGAGAGAGAGACTAGATTAAGAAGAAGAACATAAGCCACTGATCTCCTCTCAGTAGTCTAAAAATAAAGAAAATAGAAACTGATTTCTGTACTGGAAAAGTACTATCATCCTTTAAAAATTTCGGATAAATCCAAGTTCAGACATAACGTGTTCTTCCCCACCAGCCCATTGGTATAATTATATTAATTGAAGTTCAGTCTTAAATTACTACAGAAATAAGCACACGCGAGTAGAACAATGGGCCTAATCCACTCATCGCCAAGTCAGTTCAATGCAGATGGACCATTAAATCTAATAGCATGCTATCAGAAGCCAGTGGTTGCTCCCAGGCTGAATGTACTCCACTCATGCTGTCCATGGGGCAGAGCCCAAAAGCTGACCCACATCAGACGGGGGATGCTAAAAATAAATACATATTGGTTATTATAGAAATAAATTGTGATTATAGAAGATGGGCCCACTCCACTAGTCGCCAATTGGTTATGAGTTGGATGATCCGGTGACTCTAGCAATTACCCAGGCTAAATTATGCGAAAATAAATACCTGCATCCCACATTCTATGGAGATTGTGCGAGAAGTGGATTCCCCAAAAGATGAGAACTTTGAAAACCAGTAACCCAGCCCAAAGGCAGCCGCATGGAGGAGAGCCACTGGGGCAATAAGCTGGGCTCCTTGCGTCTTCAGAACCTCGGCGACTTGTCCGATCTGGCTCACAGGAAGAGGAAAACCAAGGAGGGGGAGGTTCAATTAGTTGGGAGCCTCAGCTCAAGCTTTGATCCAGCTCAACCTGAGAAATGCTAACTTACAGGGCTTGCGCAAAGCAGCGTGGTGAGGATGACACCGATCAGCGGGGTGAATGTGATGATCCGTTCAGTGACCTTGGGGAAATACTCGTGAGCCAGCACTGCCAAAAGGGAAGAGAAAGTCAAACCCATCTCCTTCGGTAAATGCGCATGAAAATGCCATGACAGGAAGAAATGCAATCTTCTGCGAATGTCTTCCGGTTACCTCCGATGATGGTTGGCAACAAGACGACTTGGAATGTGCTGAGTGCCAGGCCCTGCAAGTGAGAAGAAAATAAATATATCTTGGTTTATAAATATGTAAATTTCAATCTTCAATAAAATTGAGGAAAATATGAGTCCATACTGCCGCATCAACAGGGACAAGCTGTCCAGCAAGAAGCTTTGTGAGGAGCGGCGTCATTATGATAGCACCAATCGTTGAACACCTGAGATAGAACAACAAATATTGTGGCTTCATTTTTAGAAAAAAAAGCAATTTTTTTTAAAAAAACTGATCTTTCGATGGACCCATGCAGTAGCTTGTACACACATGATCAGTGCATCAGAGGAAACAAACAGCAGGATCAGCATTGGAATCATCAACTTTATAAAGGTAAAATATTGTGGGTAAACTCTTTCCAATAAAAACATTGGAGCAGAGGAATAAAATATTATGATAGTACGGAGGATTGCTCCACTGACTCCAGACACGAGCCAGGGGTGGTTCTATCTTCAATTAAGGTAGAAAATATCCAATTTAATAATTTCCAATTTTCCACATCAGATACAGATGCCAGTTATAACACCCTTTAGGGTTTGCCTAATAAGATTAGTTAAGAACATAGAAGCATATAGAGTTGAATGAACGTCACTAACAATCAAGACTCTCAAAAAGCAAGGCGGTGACGGCTTCACAGGCATCTCAGGGAAAATTATGGTAAATTTTGTCTTCAGTAGATTACTGGTTACGTGGCACCGAAATCTAAATGATCAGCGATATCATGATGTAAACTTACGTTGTCATGAGGACAGAAAGTGCAACATTTCCTTTGGATATATACGTAGCAACATTAGACGCCTGGCCTCCAGGACAGCAAGAAACCAAGATGAGACCAGTTGCAAGAGGAGCAGGTAATTTTAGACTCTGCAAATCATAGAAACCAGGTAACTTGGAAATAGATTATAGAATGCAAGGATGAGCAAGATGGCCCATTCCCCCTCGTGTCAGCAAGTAACAAAGAAAAAAAAAAGACAAAGCACATAATTTAATGCCTGCCGACGAGACATACAATTCCGAAAGAACATAGGGCAAGAATCAAAGAATTTCAATCTGGAGTGTTCAAGAAATGTAGAGAATTGAATGAAAGAAAAAGAGTAGAAACCGAGAGAAGCAACCAGGAAGCTAGTTTATAAATATGCGGCTATGAAATCTAAAGTCAGAAAGTGATATGGACAAAAAGGTGGTTTTGTGTATCTAAATATTCAAAGCACAATTTTTGCATCCGTGGGTATGACAAAGAGCCCTTGTTTATTTAATTGGATTAACATTGATTAAAAATATCATCATTGCACGAGATTTTTTATTCAAGAAAAGCAGCGAGGATAAAAGCTTCAGACAGGAAAGGAAGATAGAGCAACAACAGCGAAAGTGTAGGTGTGCATGATTTTTTTATTCAAGGATCAAGTGCCCCAGTAATTTGGCATATTTGCTTGGCTCCAGGAGACTTCAGATTTAATTCGCACTTTTATTATAATTTTCCGCGCTTGATGTCAGATCATGGTGCAGAAGAGTCATATGTCCCGGGTGAACTGTTGCATTGCTACTTCAAGAAGCCATTGAAGATCATATATTAAAAGAATGAGACATTAAATGTTTTTCCAGGAAGGACCTCGGAAAAAAGCCCATCAAATCAGGGTTTTTATTAATGATTTTTTACAATAAAATTTTTACCAACTACTTGAAACATACCACTGAAATGAGGAACCCGAGCAATGGTTTGACCAAGTACTGCGCAAGAAAACCCACACCAACCTGCCAATAAATGGTTCGTGAGAATAATTATGGTGAAATCTGTCGGAACACATGGGTAAAGATAGGCCGGCGACAGTCTCTTTTCTTTGAAGGCGGTCAGGGTTGCATCTTACAGTCCATGGGTTTCGCATACATCTTCTGAAGTCCTCAAAGGTCAGAGTCAGGCCCATTGAGAGCATAAGAAAACCCAAGCCAACAGTGAAGAGGTCTGTTTCCAACCATGTAACCTGCGTGAAGGACCCAGTAGTTCAAACTGTAAGCAACAAGAGGTCATTCCCCGTGCTGTCTTTCCAACCAAATATAAAGAAAAAGTTCTCCATATGGATTATCAGAAGATCAAAGAGGAAGCAATACCGCTGCTGGCTTGTATATACCAAGAATTGTCCCCAACATGACCTGTCCAAATAAAAAGCCGCTTCCTTGAGAATACTCCAAAACTAACCGTTATCAAAGAAAATTAGAGGATCTTATAGGGGAGGGAGGGAGGGGGAGAGAGAAAAGTTACCCAAACTGGGAAAAGGGTAGTAAGCAGTTCAACTATCCTCTCGTACTGGCTTATTCCGCTAGGACTAATGGGAACATCTCCAGAAACATCTGCTTCAGCTCGGCATAACAGTCGGTGGTTCCTGCTGAATTCGCACACAATGGGTCATTCCTCAAAACGCATTCACTATTCAAGCTATTCAGAGACTCACTGGAGCTATTTGCTACAGCTTTACCTGGTCAACGTCATCCTGCAGAAATAAAGTGGTCGATGGACAAAGTTTTCGCCGCAGTTTAAACGAATAATATAGGGAGATGAAACGAATGATATAGGGTCAACGTCCCCGCTTCTTATTTTGATTTCCTAGCGAAGATATACCCCATATTTCCTTATACCAATTTACAAACACGAAGAGCAAAAAAACATGAAACATGAACTCGGGTAATGACCACGGAAACGCGAGCATATTTGAATATTAACCTTTCAAGGAAATTAGTATCGTATCAAAAGCATCGTTAGCTGGCATGTACCTGGGAACAGGAAGAATGAATGAAGGTGTCGACCCAGCAATTGAAGAGCTCAAAGTTCTCCCACCAGGTAAGGAAATCACGCTTCTCGGACCCGCCGCTGTCGCCCAATACACGTCCCAGAAACTGTCAACCATCTCTCCGATCCATACTCGAGCCGAAGAAACAAGCAAACGGCACCGCGGATCGAAAACCCGAACAAAACCCTGAACGCTTCCTCAAACCAAAAACACAAAGCAGGATACGAGAAGCAAGGTAGGTACCCAGAGGCGTTGCCATCTTTCTGACGGCAGCGGTGGCCGCACAGGAGCTCCTACGGGCGAACCCATCTCGAGACCGCAACTTGAGGTCTCTGTGCAGGACTCTGGAGACGGAGGCCATTGTAGACGCCATGGGCGACGACCCAGAAGCCAACGGACGAAGAAGATGAGCGAGGGATGGGCGTCTTAGCAGCACCCGCCGCCCACTGAGAGGGATAGACTGTAGAGCTTCCCCAGACAGCGAGAAGACGCTACTGACTGCAACCTCAAGGGAGTAGCGAGTGGTGGAGATTTCTGGGTACCGGCGTGGATTCCGATGACCGAGCTGGGATGACTTCATGATCGGGCCTGGCCCGTAGAAAAAAGAAAAAGCCCGGGTACCGGCTACTGCTCCCTAACTTAGTTCAGGAAGAAAATGGGCTTCGGGTCGGGCTCTAGATTCGAAAGCTCAGCCCGTTTCAGTTGTCAGAGGAGGGACTGCGTCTCGTGACTGCCCCTCACGCAGACAGCACGTGCCTACAGGAAATCGCCGCCAAACGTCCACGGAGCCTCCGAATCGCTTTCTTCGCTCTGGTGCCGGTGTCCGGTTCGGACGTCGCCTCCCGATTCCCAGGAATCAGGATCTGCGGGGAATCGACGAATGGACGGACCAGAAATCTCAGAAACATAGTTTTTATTTTTATTTTATGTTTTCTGAAACTCTCATATTTCTGAGCCCAATCCAGGCCTTCTTAATTTATCTTTTTAGTCACGTGAAAGGGTACAGAGAGCCTGAGAGTGAGAGAGAGGGAGAAGAGAGAGAGAGGGAAGAGAGAGAGAGGAGAGAGGGAGGGAAGAGAGAAGAGAGAAGAGAGGAGAGAGAGAGAAGGATTTTACTGTCACTGACGCGAGGGATGACTGAGTCGCGGGTGGTCCGTGGGTGGTCCGTGGCCCTGGGGCAGTGGGTCCGTCTGAGCCAGCCAGCCCGGCGTAGATGCCGGCAGTATCCTTTGATCGGACGGCTAGGAGGGACTGTTCGCCCATCACGATCGCGTGGATCAGTAAGTGTGGTGGACCCACCCTTTAATTCCGTTCCGTCACACCAGACGGGAGGGGTGGGGCCATTCGACGAAGCACGAACCTCACATCAGAGCCGTCGGTGAGAGACAGGGGGGGCTGATCTTAGATCCCGTCCGTCGGATACGATCGGCCCCCACCGCCGTTATTGCCCCAGTTTCGAACGAGACGGATCCCGTTCGGTTTATATTTCTATCCCGCTCAGAATAACGTCCCCCCCCCCCTCCAGCTTCGTCAATGGCAGAGTTCCTCCGGTGGGACGGCCTGAGGGAACCGCCACTGTCATTGCTCCGCTCGCTCGATATTAGATGCCCAGTACCCGTTCTCTAGCTCCTCATCTGTGGGATTTCCCGCCGGGGAAGCACCAATGGCGGCGGCCCGCTGCGCGCTTTCTCTCGCCTTGATCCTGTGCTACTTCGCCAGCGGCGCCGTCTCCGAGCCGACGCGGGATAAGGCTGCACTGCTGGCCTTCCTGAACCAGACGCCGCACGAGAGCAGGATCCAATGGAACTCGTCGTCCTCCGCCTGCGACTGGCGGGGGATCTCCTGCAACGTCAACCGCACCCAGGTCACTGGCCTGCGGCTCCCCGGCACGGGGCTCATCGGCCGCATCCCCCCCAACACCATCTCTCAGATTTCTGGCCTTCGAGTGATCTCCCTGCGAGCTAATCGCCTCTCCGGACCGATTCCGGCGGATTTCGGCAACCTCACCGCCCTCCGCGCGCTGTACGTCCAGGGGAACGTCTTCTCCGGCGAGCTCCCCGCAGGGATGGCCAGGCTCGCCGGCCTCGTCCGCCTGGATCTGTCGGGGAACAACCTCACCGGCGAGATACCATCCTTCCTGAACGAGCTCAGGAACCTCACGGGGCTGTTTCTGCAAGGCAACAGCTTCTCCGGCGAACTTCCGTCCATCGACCTACCCGGGCTGACGGGGTTCAACGTGTCGAACAACAAGCTCAATGGGTCCATCCCCGCGGCCCTGGGGAGGTTCCCCCCGTCCTCCTTCGCGGGCAACCTCGGCCTCTGCGGCCGCCCGCTCCCACCCTGCAGCCCTACTTCTCCTGCTCCTGCTCCTGCTCCTGCGCCACAGGCGACGGGGGAAGGGGGGGAGAGCAGGCCGAAGAAGAAGAAGGAGATCTCGAAGGCGGCAATAATCGCCATCGCCGTCGTGTGCGGCAGCCTTCTGCTGCTGATGCTACTGCTCCTCCTCCTCCTGGTCCTCAGGGTCTTCCGGCGGAGGCGCCACCAGAGCGCCGCCAAAACAGTGAAAACCACCGGGGTGGCGCCGGCGAGCTCCGCGGCGGCGGTGGGGGAGAGGGGGGCTTCCTCGTCGAAGGAGGAGGAGGCGGGGGGGCGACCTGCGGGGGAGGAGCCGAACAAGCTGGTCGTGCTGGAGAAGGGGATCTACAGCTTCGACCTGGAGGACCTGCTGAGAGCGTCGGCTGAGGTGCTGGGGAAAGGCAGCGCGGGGACGTCGTACAAGGCCGTGCTGGAGGACGGGACGACGGTGGTGGTGAAGCGCCTCCGGGAGGTGGCGGCGCCGAAGAGGGACTTCGAGGCCCACATGGAGGCCCTCGGCCGGATCAACCACGACCACGTCGTCCCCTTCCGCGCCTTCTACTTCTCGAAGGACGAGAAGCTCCTCCTCTCCGACTACCTCCCTGCCGGCAGCCTCTCTTCCCTCCTCCACGGTGACTTCTCTCTCTCTCTCTCCAGGTCACATCACATTAATTCTTTTCATTTTCTTTCTATTAAGTAATTAGTCTCCCGCCGCCCTCGATGGGTCGTTGTGTGAGTGGGGCCCAGATGGGTCAGCACCGACTTGACTAGGAAGACGTCGTTTCTGATGAGCCGCTGTGGGACCCACGCCAAGCTGTCTTCCTGTTTGACGAAAAATTCTTTTTTTTTTCCCGCAGGAAGCAGAGGGTCCCCGCTGGACTGGGACAACCGGCTGCGAATCGCCTTAGCCGCCGGGCAGGGCCTCGCGCACCTCCACAGCGCCGTCAAGCTCGTCCACGGCAACGTCAAGGCCTCCAACGTGCTCCTCCTCCCCGACCCGCTCGTAGCCGCCGTCTCCGACTTCGGACTCTCCTCTCTGCTCGGCTTCTCCGCCCCGCCGAGCCGCTTCGCCGGCTACCGCGCGCCGGAAGTGGTGGAAACGTGGAAGCCCACCTTCAAGTCCGACGTCTATAGCTTCGGCGTGATCCTGCTGGAGCTGCTCACCGGCAAGGCCCCCAGCAATGTGCCGGCGGGGGAGGAGGCCACCGATCTCCCGCGGTGGGTGCAGTCGATGGTGCGGGAGGAGTGGACGGGAGAGGTCTTCGACGCGGAGCTGGTGAGATACGGCAACACCGAGGAGGAGATGGTGCAGGTGCTTCAGATTGCCCTGGCCTGCGTCGCCATCGTGCCGGATGCGCGGCCGGCGATGGAGGAGGTGGTCGGGATGCTGCAGGACGTCGTCCGCTCAAAAGGGAGCTCCTCCGGCGGCCCCACCCCTCCCGCCGCCGCCACCCCGTGAGGGGAGATGGAGGATAGGAAGCTCTTCGTTTTCCGCCTAACTCCAGCTGATGATCGCCCGGGGAGGTGAACAGAAAAGGGTCGCTCGTGGTTGTTATTATTATGATTCTTTTACGGGGAGATCAATCTGTTGACATTTGTGTTCTAATCCGGGCGGCGGAAGGTCGCGTGGGTCCAGTTGTTTCATTCTGCACATGATTCCCAATAATCCCCGTCTGTCTCCCTATCTGTCTCTGCTGATGACGGAAAGTTTCTACACCACCATATGATCACACGGTGGGGAGATTTTCATCTCTTCTGGAAGTTGAACATTTTGATGCAGAAGGCGAAGACGAAGGCGAAGACGACGTCGAACCCGACCGTTGCGGCGGCGGCGGCCCCCACAAAATCCTGCCTGTAGCCGAAATACCTGTTCAGGAACTCCTGCACTGTCTCGCCGGTGTCCTCCATGCGGTCCTCGTAATCGCCGAACTGCGAGATCACCAGGCCGTAGACGCTCCAGGCGACTGGGCACACCCAGTAGTACCATCGCCACCAGATGGGGATCCTCTGTGACAACCGAGAGATGTTCAGTTCCTTTGTATTCTTATCAGGGTCTGGAGAGAGGTGACGGTTCGGGGTCTCACCCTGCGGGGAATGACGAACCCGCTGAAGGCATTAAACAGGTTGTAGAAGGCGGTGGAGACGACGGCGGAGATGTTGCTGTTGGGGGTCAAGCCCACCGCCATCATCCCGTAGAGTGTGAAGTACAGGAGGGTGGTGAAGAAGAAGAAGATGAACCAGAAGAACTTGGCTGCCGTCCAGTGGAAGTTGATCATGCCGTAGATTACAAACCCGCATATCAGTGTCTGGACGAAGATGTACGGGATCTCGACGACCACCTGGGCATGACGTGGTTGGGGGGGGTTCTGTGTCAGTTGGAGGAGGAGAAGAGGGAACGTTAACCGACGAATGAGATGGTCACCTGTCCGAAAGCGTATGGCAGCGCGGAGTACATTCCGGCGGCTTTCTCTCTGTAGAAGACTGTTCGTTCGACGTCGACCACCGGCTGCACCATCTGCGCATTCTGTATTCCGATGAACATGACTGAAGCGTAGAGCGCCCCCACGGCGTTGAACAGATCCTGGCGCGTTGACCTGAGAAGAAGGAAGAAGAAAATGATGACGATACTGAAGGACGTGGCTCTCTCTCTCCCTCTCTCTCTCTCTCTCTCTCTCTCTCTAATTATGGGTACCTTCTTCGGCCCAGCCGCCAGAAGATCGTCCCAAAAAGAAAAGCCGAGATGGTGGTGAAGAAGATCCTAATGGCGGTGTAGGACGGGTTTCGCCAGTAGGACTTGTGCTGCTTCCACAGGCAGGCCATGCACTGCGTCAAGAAGGGCTGAGAATGCTGTGTGGGGAAATACAGATCTTCGGAGCCCGGCGCCGGCTTGCTCAGCTCCCTGATCAAGTCCACGTTCCTCCTGCAATAACCACCCAAATTCGGCAAAAAAACGCCCAGTTCTAGTCAACGGGCTCAGCGCCGACATTCAGAAAGCGAGGAATCTGCGAATTTACCTGAATAACTCGGACTTCTTGTAGATCTCGGTGAAGTCGATACCCAGGCTCTCCTCCTTCTCCTTGGCGGTGATCTCCAGCATCCACGTGGAGGGATTGTAGCCCTGCTCTATCTTCTTTACCCCGTTGATCCCCTGCGAGAAGGGCAAAGCCAGTTGGTCGACGTTAAATTAATCATGAGAATCATCTCCTTCCTCCCAGCCTCATCATCATCGCTCATAAGAAGTTCTTATCTTCTCACCTCGAAATAGCTTACAAGCTGGCTGGAATAGTGGCCGACCGGGCCCACGTATATCTCCTCTCCCCCTCTCTTCATGAGGAACAGCTGCAGTTCATCAGAGAGAAGAGGAGAGCGATTAACCCGGGAATTAAAAGCTTAATTCCGCGCAAAGAACAACAACAAAGACAGAAAACATTAAATATGGTCCGTCCGATCGATGCTGACCTCATCGAAGGACTCAAATATGTCGATCCCGGGCTGATGAATCGTGCAGACGACGGTTCTTCCGGTGTCCACCGTGTTCCTCACCGTCCTCATCACGATGGCGGCCGCCCTTGCGTCGAGACCGGAGGTGGGCTCGTCCATGAAGATGATGGAGGGGTTGGCGACGAGCTCGACGGCGATGGTCAACCTCTTCCGCTGCTCCGTAGACAGCCCGGTGACCCCCGGCAGGCCGACGATCGCCCCCTTGAGGAAGGTCAACTCCACGAGCTCCATCACCTCCTCGATGAACCTCTATACAACCATTGAGTAACTCGATATCATCACAAACTGCGAACATCATACCCTTGATCACGAGACAACCGGGTCATTTGACTCAAAGATAATTGGCCCGTCTACGTGATCCTTCTGACTATGATATGATTGGGTCAACGTTAGTGCAAAGCTGATCGATGAATAAATAGAGCAGAGGCCGATTTACCACGTTTAGTCAAAACCGATGAGTGCTAAATAGGGAAAATTCAGGACCGATGTGTTTGATGCTCGTGACGTATGCCGAGACTGCACTCCTGATTATGAAATAATTGAACGATTTAAACCAAACCAGTTGGGAATAAACAAAGAAGACACATCAGTCGACTTTACGTCTCAAATAAATTATATCATTGATCGTGAATTAGTTGACTCGTCGAAAGAAGAAGGAAGAGTATTAAAACGGAGAAGAACTGTCTGAATCGCACGGTCCAATCAGCGGAATAGGCCTAAAAGAAAATCAAACACCAGCGATGTTCTTCTAAGAAGGCAACTGACCTTTCTCGTCGTCGAGTCAACCTCAGGCGCCAGCCTCAGCCATGCCGAGTAAAGGAGGGACTCGTAGACGGTAACATGAGGCGAGTGGATATCGTTCTGCTCACAGTAGCCAGATATTCGAGCGAAGGTCTCCTGCTTCTTTGGGAACCCAGAGATTCTGATGCTCCCTTCTACGTACCCCCCGGTCTTTCTCCCAGCCAGGACGTCCAGGAGGGTCGTCTTCCCGGCTCCGCTCACACCCATGAGGGCTGTGAGGACCCCCGGCCTGAAAGCTCCATTCAGATCATTGAGGAGGACGAGCCTCTCCTCGGTCACCCCCTGGGCCTTCATCTCCTTCATAATCGAAGCATTTCTCAGATTCTCCAAGGTTTAATTAGCGTCGGTGAGTTTATAAACTTACTGCCGGCATGTTCACGGAGTACTTGATCTTCTCGAAAACGATGGAGTAGGGAGCGAAGGGCAGGATCATGCCCTTCTTGCACTTCGCATAGGCGCCTCTCTCCGATTCTGCGGTCCACGGGGGAAACTGTTTATCCAACTTCTTTAAAGATTCAAGAGCAGTTGACCTACTGAGGGAGAAGCGGACCGTTCGAGAGGGGAGTCAGCTCAAAGGGAGCGCCTGTTCTGTTGGACTCTTTCTCTCTCAAGGTCTCCTCGGAAAGAACTCGCCCATTCCCGAATGCTGAACAAAATTTTCACGTAAAGATTAATATTCGTCCAGAAGAACCGCAGGAAATCGATGGATAATGGGGCTCGTCCTTACGGTTAAGATAGGTGAGCGCCAGCGCGAAGAGGCCGTTGAGGAGGAAGATGTACCCGAGCAGACCCCCCACGCCAATCCAGTACCAGTAGGCCCCTGTGAAGAAACCTCTCGCCTTCAGCACCTGGACGCCCAGAGTCTCTGTGCTCACCCTGATGTCGACAACCTGAAGAAGATGAACAAAGTCAGCCCTATTTAACATCGCAATAAATATCCCGAGAGAAATGATGGGTTATTATTATTTTCATGTGAGCAATGGAGGTTGTGTCCAAGCCAAGTCAACTCTAAGAAAAGGAATTAATTGGTTTTGATTTCGTGAGCTCATGAAACGCTCACATGATTCCAGCTGTGCCCCAGGAACTCGTTCACGGAAATGGCGCTCTGGGCATACATCATAGGCGACGACCAATAGGCCCAGATCCACCACTTCTTCACATCCTCTGCGGGGAGAGCGAAGATCAAAATCAAAATGAGGAAATTTTGGATGATATTCCCTTGGTTTATCATAGTTTCTGGGAGATCACTTGCCTCTGGAGATGACGAACCCGCCGAGAACTAAGAGGACGACCTGAGCGAAAGACCCAAACGTGCTGGCGATCACCATGGTTCTTCCCAGAGCGGCGACGAAGCGGAACAGGCCGAACGCCATCTGGCTTAGCAACACCAGCAGTAGATAGTGTCTGAACATCCTGCGGAGCGAAGAACATGTCTTGATAAGAAATCTCGGCATATTATCTACGACGATATATTTCCGCTCTAAACGGCGTAGTCTGATTATTTCAGAACCCTTGATTACTCCAAAAAAGAACTTATTTGCACCTACCACGAGGTCCGAACCTCGGTTTTCAATGGTGGAACACATTAGAACAATCCTACACTGATTAGAACAGGCTTCATTCGTCGTTAATTGGTTCTGAGTTGGACGACCAGAGATTTTACCACCGATAGCTAAAAGAATCGGGTTTCTTTAGATCGATCGATTAAGAGAGAGAGAGGGAGGGAGTGAAGAGATTGGATTAAAGGGGATCGATTTGACCTTTGAATATTTGGGTCGTAGCCGATGACGTAGTAGGTGAGTGAAGTCCAGAGAGCGCATTCCACAAGCGAGATGGGGATCTTGAGGAGCCACGCGGGAAGGGCGTAGGCCCACGACGGATAGAAGCGGAAGTCCCGTTGCTTGTAGAAGACCGGCAGCCTCGCGATGCTCATCGCGAGCTCCGCGAAGCCGTTGAACATGTGCGTGATCAACCCCATGAACAGAGCTCCAAGATAGATCACCCCGTCTTCTACGTTGTCATGGTTCATCCTCGTCCGTATGAACAGCGTCATCGTTACCAACGCAACCACAAATAGCTGAGGATAATCAAAGACATACGCAGGTTTTAGCGAGAGAGAGAGAGAGAGAGAGAGAGTATTGTGAAGTCGTCCCATCACCTGGATGAGCTTGAAGATGTAGACGAATGAGTTCCGACGCATCAGGAGGAGCTCCCTGGAAATGCAGGCCTTCAGCAGCTCCATCTTACTGACGCCATAGATCGAGGTAGACAGCGCAGAAGGGTGGCTCTTGTCTCTGTCGAACGGCGTCCGCAGTTGCTCCCTCAGCCTGCGGCCGACGTGGAAGGTCTGAAACGCCTCCGAGAAGTCTTTCACGGAGACAAATTGGTAGGGCTCGTCTAGCCGCGCCCAGTACTGCTCCTGGTCTTTCCTCGACGTCACCTGTCCAAACATTCAGACAGAGACCGTAATGTCTGTGTCTTTGTGTGTCTGTGTAGAGAGAGAGAGAGGAGGGGTTTGACCCTCTAGATGTGCACCTCTTGGAGAAAGTCAGCGACTCCTTTCCTGTCGGGGCATTTGAAGCCCATGGATTCGAAGAACTCGACGACGTTATCCCGAGGGCCCTGGTAGACGATCTGGCCCTCGGAAAGGAGGACGATGTCGTCGAAGAGGGCGAAGGTTTCCGGCGCGGGCTGGAGTAGAGCAATCAGCGCCGTGGTGTTGAGGATGTGGACCGACTGCCGGAGGGAGTTGACTATCTGGAATGTCGTCGAGCTGTCCAGCCCTGTGGAAATCTCGTCCATGAACAGAGCTTTGGCGGGTCCGACAATCATTTCACCTGTTGGAAAAATCCAACTTCAGCCATCTACCGTTCTGTGAGAGAGGGAGAGAGAGAGAGAGAGAGAGAGAGTTATATTAATCAGAATGCGGCTCCACCTGTGGTCACACGTTTCTTCTCTCCTCCGGAGATCCCCCTCACCATCTGATCGCCGACCAAGGTGTCGGCGCACATCTCCAACCCTAGAACCTGCCAAAGAAGAGGAACAGACAGAATGAATCACTGAATCTAAAATCGGAATGAATCAACATCTTCACTCCCTGTAAATTAAGTCACATAATTCCCCACTGAGAATCCACGGGAGGTCCCGGGGCCCAGATAAAATCTCCCAACTAGTGCAGCCGCCCATTTCTTTCCCTCTCTACTCTCTCACTCCTCCGGAAAGGTGGACGAGGAGGGCCCCGGGGGACCTTATCCATGCCGGGGTTCTGATTGTGGTCGACATCTCCCTAAACAGTGGGCCCGATCTGACCCGCCGTCATAAATTGTAACAATAAATATGGGACAACCAGTTCATGGAGAAGAATCGAACCTTCAAGATGTAGTCTGTGACCACCTCCTCCTGCCCTTTCAGCGCCGAGGCCTGCGTAATCTCGCAGAATAAGTACCGACATCCTGACGGCAAGCCAACGGCAGCAAATCCGAGCGCCTACCTTCATATAGAGGTCGATATCAGGGTCTGGCTTGATGTTCTCTTCCTTCTCCCTCCTCGCCAGCTCCATCAGCATCTCTGGCATTAATCACAGATACAGTGATTCAGTCAGTGAGCAGAGAGAGAGAGAGAGAGAGAGTAGAAGAAGAGCTCACCGTAGCGAGTCCCGGATCCTTGGCACCTGGCTGAGAACTGGAGAGTCTCCCTCACGGTCATTTCTCTGATGTGAACATCGTTCTGGCCTATGTAAGCGGAGGTCCTCTGGGGAATGAACTCGTCCAATCCATGGCCATTGTACGTGACTGCTCCGCCGACCTGTTCACCGGTTCAGGTTTCTCACTATTCTTAGGATCCTAATCCTCGACTTTTAGAGAGAACCTATCAATGACGAGACCAGAATTTGTAGCTGACCTTCAGTTTTGAGTCCAGCTTCCCGGCCAATGCAAGCAGAAAGGTTGTCTTCCCGGAGCCAGGAGGACCAAGGAGCAGGGTCAGTCTGGAAATCAGACGACGGGGGACAGGGAGAGGGGAGGGTGTCAGGATTTCCGTACTGGGTCAACTTCGTTATGTGGAATATTTCGAGTTGTCGGGCTTACCTGGATGGCTTGATGATCCCGCTGAGATCATGGAGAATGGTCATCGGCCTTTTTCTGCTGGGCACAATCTTGAGGAAGTTCAGAATGCCCTGTTTTCGTTTTGCATAATTAGAAACACGGGAAGCAAAGGAGAAGGTCAACGCTTCAGAGGAAGAGTCTTGGAGGAAGAACACGGGTAGGTCAGCGATTTAAAATCTCCGTAGTTCGAGTAAGAATGATGACAAGATGATGATGGTCTCGCCTCTATCTTATTAGTAAAGAAATTTATCGTCGTTGGAACTCCGCTGCCTCCGACGTGGGTTTCCGTTCCGACGCTTAGATTCTCGTAGCGGACTTCGATCGTCGGGCTCTCGATCCCGACGCTAGATCCACCAAGAACACGGATTAATCGAGAATCGAAACAAAATAAAGATCGAAATCTTCAAATTTTCACAGAGAGAGAGCGAGAGAGAGGAGGGAAGAAGAGCGAGCGGGCGATCTCACCGGTCCATGCGGTTCTTGAGCTTCCAGAGGAACCTCTCGTTGTCCTCTGCGAGGTTGCTCAGCTTCTTCAGGAGAAGCCTCCTCTCCTCCGCCCCCAGGCTCTGGATATCCACCTCCTTGGGCTTCCCTCCCTCCACGGAGAGGATTCCTCGCCGGACCCGGCTGAAGGTGGGGAGCTTCTCAATGGCGGCCCACTTGAGCGCCTCCTCGTCCTCCATCGACCGGGAGGAATGGGAGAAGACCCTGCTCATGCTGTTATTCCTCCACCCCGAGCTCCCATGTCTCCGACTACCTGAAACCGCCGCCGTTGCCGACGGCTTGAGTTCCTCCTCACCGGCCATGGTGACAGACTTATCAGTGCCACGCCTTTTGGATCTCCTACAAGCCCGCCATAGCCGCCGGCTTTCTCAGGCTCCCCTTCTTGGAGAAGAAGAAAGCGAGCCCTCGTTGAAGAAGAAGAAGAAGATACTTTTCTTAATAACTCAACTGCCACCGCCTGTTCGATGAAGGTGAGAATGATCGTCTACTTGCTCCCGCAGATTGCAGCATCTTCTGGGAAAGGGACCCGGCGTTGACATCACCAAGCCATCTACCGGCTCTCCCCGCCGCCACGGCAGCGATCACGAACGTGGGGAGGCTGTTCGTCTGGCGTGCCCGATTTGGAGCCATGCAACAGAACGGCTAAAGTCAACCCTCCCGCCTGGGAGAGTAGAAGCGCCGCCCACGGCAAAACCCAGACGACGACAGAAGAAGGATAAGGCTCCCCGCGCCCCACGGTCAACGTGTGAGGTCCTCGCAGATGCAATGGCCCGGAGTCAACGTCCCACCAGTTTCAAACCCACAATTGATGGAAGCGGGAAAAGGAATTGTTTTTGGGCCCAGGATTCCTCTAAAATTGGGCCACTGTGTACAGACATTTGGCCCACATGTAAAACCACTTGACCGGCGAAAAGCAACGGGACTATTGACTGTCAGTAGTTACACGTCATCGGGACGTTTCTCGAAGTCAACAGGTCATAATCGTCGACTCTCCCACCGACGGGCGGTGGCGGAAGCGGCGGTCGCAGCGAGAGCTCCAGTGAAGGCCCGTCGCCGCCATCTTCTTCCGCAGGCACCGTGTGGGCGTTTGGGCAAGTAGCCGAGGCCGTCGTTGCGGCGGCGCCGACGGTGGACGGAGGCTTTCCGCAGGGAGCTCCGGCGCCGTCGCGGGGCAACCACGAGCCTTCTCTCCCACAGCTTGCCTTCGCCGGAGGTTCGCACGCATGCCACTGCGCATCCATCTGATGTATTCAATGATCATACGTAAGATAATATTTACATAGAGAGAGAGAGAGAGAGAGAGAGAGAGAGAGTTTTGTTATCTCCGAGTCCCCACCCGCTGGTGTAATCGATCCCTCAGAGCTATCTCCCTCTCCTCAGGATTTCTCAAAAAAATCCATATTGATCGGGATTACGATCTTGAGATTGATGGGAGGGTGAATACCTTGCGGTGGATGGTGCCGTCTTCCTCGACGTGCCAGCCGGCCTGTTGACAGAGGGCCTTGAGGACGTCGTTCTGGTCGGGGTGTTTGGGGAGTGGGAAGCCGCCGTGGGTTCTCAGGCTGGAGAAGATCCGCGCCGCCACCATCCGACGGCGACGCTCACGGGCAAGGTTGTTCGACCTCTCCTGCTCCGACGGACTCCTCAGGGACGTGCGCAGCACACCGTCTCGCCCCACCCGCCTCACCACCCACGGCCCCCGGCTGGCTCTGATGCACCCCTTCCTCCCTCTCCCTCCCTCCATCGCTACACCCTATTTTCCACTCTCTCGCGCACGCGCATACTGATCCAGTTGCTTCGTCGCTCGTCCTGTAGAGAATTTATACCGGTTCTTCTCGTGGCATCTACGTTCATACCTCTCTCTCTCTCTCTCTCTCTCTCTCTCTCTCTTCATCACACACCTCTTCGGCCGCTTCTGTGCTCTTCTCACGTACTCCGCATGACTCAGAGGCGAGAACCAGTGAGACCGTTGGGCAACCGGACTCGGCAGATTGGACGCAGGGAATCCTCTCTGACACCGCCAATCACAGACCGTTGGGCGAGAAAACTTAAAATGTTGGGCGCCGCGGGAATCGTTTCCGCCGGTGATGGCCCGGAAAGAACCTCGGCCCTGCCGTTCTTGCTTTCTAGACGATGTTCATGAAAGAAAGACGAGGAAGAAGAACCTGCAATAGTTTGGTAGTTACTGCCTCTTCTCAATTGCGTGTTGGCTGGTCTTCACCGGAATAGGTGCTCTCTTCGTTCTCGTTTCTTTCCACGGGTGTTGACAGTAAGAGAGAGAGTAGTAGAATATGTTGACTAGATAAGAGAGAGAGAGAGAGAGAGAGAGAGAGAGAGCTTGGGGCTGCCAATGGGCTGAAACCTGAGACCTGTCTTGCGGAACCAATTATTTTCCAGTCTTCATACTCTTAATAAACAAATCAAGCTCAGTAAGCCGCACTTAACCCACTCCATATCCTGACAGAAAGAGTCTGACAGAATTTAAGAACCTAATTTTCTTGTCACTTGTTTGCCTTATGATCAGCCTTTCTCTCTCGCTCATTCGCCCACCTTACAGTGCATTTGATCAAAGGCTAGATGTTCATAAATGGTCGGCAAGAAAACCACGTGACTGGCTTTTCTCCGAGCTAGGGTAAGATCTAGACCTCATAAAGCCAGAGGGAATGGCCTCGCCTGGGCACCTGCGCCTGACCCATTGAGACTCCTAGATGAGGCTCCCTCTCAGATAACTCAAAACTAGAGTTGGGATGGGTTTCACCTCGGCGAAATCTGCTCTTTCATGGCAGGAGAGTTCGGAAGACCGCTTCACAGTCTTTCTAGAGGGCGATTACTTCGTTTAGGAGATTTGGGTGCGAACCGACCGATTTCTTGTCCAGCAATGATCTTAGCTATGACCAATAGAGCGGTTCGTTTCGACGTTTCTATCTCTAACTATTGCTTTGGACGTCTATTCTTTGATGCGATAGCCTCATAAGTTGATGGCTGGAAGCCAAATTATCTTCGTGAAAAATATAAAAACGAGGAGCTTCCCGATGTGCATCATGTCGTGGGCTTCTATCTCTAATTAGGGTTTTTATTGTCTTAGTTTTGATCTCACAATTTCCCGAACCAGTATGTGGAGGCCTAATTAACCTCATGATCTTTGTATAATAATACACGCATGGGCTCGCACAGCTCCTCGATGGGTAAGATCTCATCACAGATGTCGGAACGAAGTGTTTAGATCTCATCCAAAGATCTTATTTCGAACACAAGATCCGTTCTTCCAACAAGGAGAGAAAAGCTTGGAAAGAAGAGAAAATGGGCCATCCCGTTCCTCCTAGAACTTGAGGCGGACTCCGCTCAGCTTCCCATCCTCCCTCAGCGTCGCCATCGCCTTCTCGTCACCTTCCTTCCCACTCGCGGCCTCAGAAGGCCTCCCCTCCTCTACGTAGTCATCGTCGTCGTCGTCGTCGTCGTCTCCCTCCACCTCGTCTTCCTCCGTGCTGTGGGTGCTGCTGGGGCTTCTCCTAACCTCCGACTCCAGTGTCTCGCGCTTCACCTCGTGGGGCGCCGCCAAGACAGCTCTGGCGGCTGAAGCCGTTCCGTGGTGGTGATAATGCGGTGGCTGTAGCGCCGGGGAATAGAAGTCCTGTTGCACAGCGGCGGCGCAGTAGTGGGCTGCGGCTGCGTGGCCGCCGTAGAAGAGCTGCCCTCCCTTCGCCGTGGTGGACGACGTGGTATATTCCGGCGGAACCCATATGCCTCCGAGCACCACCAGCTGGGGAGGCGCCGCCGCAGCGGACGTCTGTGGGGCGGAGATCGGCCGCCTCGTGTGGAGCCGATACTTCTACATCAACCCAACAAGATTCGAGTACAATCAGAAACGCTAAAGATGAATGTTTCAAAAAAAAATCCAGCCGTATTATCAACCTCAAATTACGAATTCCGTTCACATTCAAATTTATAAAATATAAAAAAATAACTGTATTCTACCGTCTCATTATCATAAGTTCGCCAATTTAACTTGTTTTCACTTCATAAATTAAATATGGTTAATTTACAGGGGTGCATAATCTAGGACGTACCGATCCAGATCAAAATCGGCCACAATCTGATCGGGAAGGAGAAAGATGATCAAAGTTTATGTGAACCGATTCTTGGATAATCTGATGTAATCGATCAGCATGTGATTTAACCCGTTGACATGGTTTAGAGCACAGCGAGGGAGGATAATGATACCTGAAGGTGGCTCTTGACCTCGTCATTAGTCAGCCCGTCAACGTTCATCAGCTCCCTAATCTGCTTCGGTGTGGCCACTGTTGTCACAAATATGGGGATGAATACATTTAACTATATTTATTGACGAGAAAATAGGAGGCCACAAAAGAAGAATTTTTCAGGGATAGAAATGAATAATTTATCTGTTACTTTATTTTATTCGTTAATGGGTACCATGCAACGTCGTGGGGCATTCACCTTGGGAGCCGCCGAGAATCTGAAGAGCGTTCACGAACCGCCGGTGCAAGTCCGGCGTCCAGCACCGCCGCGCCTTCCTCTGCGTCTGTGCCGCCGTCGCATGCCCACCGTCCACCGCGGCGGTCTTCGCGTGATCGGCGCCGCCGCCGCCTTTGCCGCCGTTCTCCGAATACGGACTCTTCTCGTCTTCCTTCTCCATGGGAGCGAGGGCAAGCTCGGGAAGGCCACTGCGTACCCTTCCGTCCCGTTCTTTGGAGAACGGGAGGAAGGCCCCGACAGTCCGACGCTTGTCGTCGGTGGCCTCCGGCGGTGTAAGCGTTCTCTGGACGGCGGCGCCGCCCTCGACGGTGGTGCCCCACAGCTGCGCCGTCGTCATCCAGCTCGTCTTCTCCGATAAGACATCATCAGCTGCCGCAGGCTTCTCCGGAGCTTCCGCGGCAGCGCTCGGGTTCTTGAGGGGTATGAACTCTTCGAGGACTGGCCTCGGGGACCGATTAGTGTGGTGCATGTCAAGTTGCTGTCTGTAGGCTTCCATGGCTGCAGGCAGCAGAGAACATGGAGAACGATCAAACCAGAGGCCAATTCTGCTGACGTAAAATTAATTATCTAATCGTAGCAGCCAAAAGGAGAAGACCCAGACGAAGACGACGACAGCAAACAAGAAGCGGAAGAAGAAGAAGAAGAAATCATGATTACCGTTGTTGAGGAGCTGCATGCAGAGAGGAAGCTCGCGCTTGAAGGCCTCGATCTTGAGGCGCTCCTTCTCGAGGCGAGAGAGGAAGTCTTCCAGATTCTGGGTCTGGTCAGACTGGTCAGCGATGGCCCTGAGAGCTGCTGAATGGCCATGGGGTCTGAAATCCAGGGTCAGCTCCGAAGGTGAGCCCATCTTCAACCCTCAGCCAATTAAACCCCTAAAGGAGTCAATCTCTCCACTGTGGCCGGGATCTTCTCTGGTTCTTAGGGATGTTCACGTCCAACTGGGGATAAGAACCAAGGCTGAGAGAGAGAGAGAGAGAGGAGGAGCAAGGTAGGAAAACTCTGCGAGCATGAGTATCAGGAGGGGGATCGTCTTCCCTTTCTAGGGAGGGAAGGAGGTACAGAGAGAGAGAGAGAGAGAGAGAGAGAGAGAGAGAGAGAATAAAGTGAGAGGTTCAGAGAGAAAGGAAAAGCAAGGTAATAAAGCAAAGGCATGTGGTAACTTCTTGCAAAAAACGAAGGGGGAGGGAGGAGGAGAGGGAATCAAGGTGGACGATGGAGAAAAGGAGAAGAGCCATGTACATGAGATCCTCTCAACGCCCATTTCTATCGCTAACAATCATCTACTCCCTCCTCTGGGGCTCATAAACTCGAGAAGTCATCACTCAATCTCTCTCTCTCTACCTCTCCCTCTCTCTCTGTACAGGACATTATTCTGCCATTATCAATTAAGGAAGGCCATTGAAATAAGCCAAGCTTCCTAGCAAGATATGCGTGGATTCACCACAGTGCAGGCGCCCACCCGCGCACACAAAGCATTCAAAGAAGAGGGAGAGATAGAGAGAATCCGCGTTCCAAAAGGAGTTTGACAGCGAAGAAGGAGATGCCCTAAAAAGTTGTAAACTGCAGCCCTCTTGATAGAAATAAGAGGAAGGTAGAGATAGAGGGAGAGAGAGAGAGAATTAGGAACGTAAGGAAGGAATATCTTGTGGATGAGCCGAAGAAACAGCAGCACCGGTCACAGGCTCCTAGTATTTAAGAGAGAGAAAGGGGAGAATCAACCCTGCGCACCAAAGAATAGAGGTGTGTGGGAGGTGGAAATCCTCCTACTCTCCCCGTTCTGCTACTACAACCCAGCTTTTCTGAAGTGGGTCGGAAGCTAAGAAGATTCTCCAGAGAGGGAGAAGGAGAGGGAGAGGTGCATCGAATTCCTTGTGGAACAATGAGTGATAGTCGCTTTCCAGTCTCCTCATGAAATCTTCAGGTACAAGCCTCCAACCCACGCCTTTTGTGAGGATTCTCTCTCTCCATCTCTCTCTCTCTCCCTCTCCCTCTCCCTCTCCCTCTCTCTCTCTCGCTTTAGACAGGATTCTCCTCGTGACACGTGTCGTATGTCTCCAGGCCACGCCTTTTGGATATCCCTTTTGTCCGGGGGCCGGTGACTAGGCCGGGAAGACTCTGCTGCGCCGAATCGATTCCTCCCTCAGACGTGGGCTCCCTCAAGAAAGCAGAGGAAACTCGAAGCCGACAGACATCAGATTCCCCACCTCCCCTCCTCTCTTCAAAGGAGTAGAGGCAAGCAACGGCCTTCTGGCTTCGTAGAAAGCAGCTCCTCGTGTGGGCCCGCGCCACATCGACAGGGTTACGTCCCGGATTTCTATTGGTTGACGCCTCTACACTTGACCTCAAATATTGCTTAGAGGACCAACCTCAAATATATTATCTCTCGAGGACCTCCCTCAAATTTATTCATTTTTAATTTTATTTTTATGGAGCTATCATATTATCAAGAAATACGCTGATTTTTGCCGTGGCTCGTGGAGAAACAATGCGAACTTGACGTGAACATCTCTTCTTGCGATTTTAGTAATACTTTCGCTCGTTACGTTTTCTATTATCATAATACCCCTGAACTACTTAAATATTCGTCGGTATCTTATTATATTTGGCAGGTGAACAGGCGTGGAGGCTAGTTTGACCGACTGCTACGTTTAGGGGAATGAGCATCGTCAACGCACGTGAGAAAAAGTCCTTGCGCAGACGGATTCCATTGACCTGTCACTCTTGGTCAAGGGAAAATCAAGGCCGATAGAGTACAGGGGAAGCAAGGAATCGGGCTACTCAGTTGGGCCAGGCCCATTACATCCGTAAAATGGCCGACATGGCCTGCGGGCTCCTCCAGGACCGTGGGGCCCAGTTCATTGAAGAGCTCTGAGCCGTCACGACGCGCATATGAATCTTAGACAACGGCTACCTCTCCCGCTGTCTCCGGTTTCAAATTATTCGACCGTTGCAGCGGCCGCCACCACAACCCCCACCCATTCCCCTACCTTCTTCCTCGCTCCACTCTCTTATCTTCCTCCTTACTTCCCAAACCTCTCTCTCTCTCTCTCTCTCTCTCTCTCTCTCTCTCTCTCTCTCAGTTTCTCGGAATTCTTCCTCGAGTGGGGGGAGAAGAGGAATGACGGCCATGGCGGGGACGTTGGGCTTCAGAGAGGGAGAGACGGTGGTGGACGAGAGCCTCGGCTACCCAAGAGCGTACCCCAAGCTCTGCAGGAGCACCAACACCTACAGCCGTGGCCCCCCGCACGTCTTCCAACCTTACGCCTTGCAGCCTCAGGAGGTCCGGCTCATCCCGATCCACCGCTTTCTGTGTGTTTCGTTGCTTGTATCGTCTTTATTTTACCAGATCCGTTCGAGATTCGTAATCCGCGGTTTCGATCGGATGTTGATCCTCTCCTTCTCTCCGCTGAGAATTCTCGATCGTGTCTGCAGATTGCGAGTATGAAGGAGTTTAACCGAATGTTCCCAGTTGTCGATCCAGAGAGGAATTCTACTGCAGATCCGGAAACCTACATCAATCTCCTGTGGAAGCAACTGAGCCATCTGGGGTGGGCACTCCGATTTCCCCCTTCAATTGTTCATCGGCTTTCTATTCTAGATCGGAGTTTACATTGTGCTGAAATATTGAATAATGTTTGCGGTTTTTAGGAATGCCGGCTTCGATCCGGCTCTATTCAGGGTGGATCCCTATGGAAATGTCCTCTATCTGCATGCTGATCCTTCTTCTCCGCTCTCCTGGGGCGTCGATCACTGGTTTCCCTGCAAAAGTAACTAGCCTTTCGCCGAGATCATCATTTCCCCGGTTGCAGGCTCGTCAGATCGATTTAATCTCTCATCTCTGCTTCAGGGGGAGGCAGAACAGTTCTGAGCAATCTGAGACTAGTGCAATGGCAGGTGTGCAAGAAGAAGAAGAACAAACTAGAATTTCTCGTTCCATGGTGGGATCTGCAGCTCGGCGTTTCCGTGAATCAGTTTCTATCCATTTTCGCTTCGAGCAATTCAGATTTCCGGTACACTAAAGAACCCTATTTGCTTTCGAACGTCGTCGGAGTAGAGAAGATTAAAATTCCTCACATTCTGGCGTGTGATCTTACAAAAACTGGTTCATTCATGCTGCAGGAACAGAGCATTCTCGTTTCTGTTCAAGGGAGGTGAAGACGAAGTGTTTAAAGAGTTGAATATCACAGAATCTCCCTTTACGCAGCAGTTCCTCGAGAAGAAACGCCTGATTGGCCTCGCTCCAGCTGCTATAACTGGGTCTCAGAAATATTCCGATCGATCTGTGCTGAAATCCGTCAATCACAGAAGCAGCAGGCTCCCGTGGCCGAGTTCTCCATCGCTAGGTGAGCTGTAGATCTTCATCACCTTGATTCATTTAGGGAAGCTTCCTCCTACGCGTCATCGTTCTTATCTGGTTTGATTCGACAATTTTCTGCTGAATCTTTCAGATGATGGCGAAGGTTTCTGCAAGGGGATTCACCGGTCCAGGGCCCGCATATCCAAGGAAAACGAGGATCCCAACATCTACAGCAACGAGTACCTCTCGATTGCGATGGCTAGAGATTCTCTGAGGGAGATGGAGGAAGCTAAGAGAAAGCAGGCGGCCATACGAGGATTGGACGAAGAGATGAAAGATTTGAGTGGGAGGAACGAGGAGGAGAGGGTCACCCTTCAGGATCTGGAGGTCTCACTCATCAGAAAGCGGAGACGAGTTGAGAAATGCCGGCGGCTGGCCGAAGCTCAGGCTTCCTACCGATCCCAGCTCGAGAGGATGATCCGAGACGCCATGCACCAGTAAGACTGAAGATCTCCCACAGGATGATGGCCCAGTTTTTGTTTCTGAATTTTGTCTGATTTTTTGATCGTCAATCGAACGCAGGTGCGTGGTGTACAAGGAGCAGGCCAGACTGAACCAGGCAGCTTGCAGTGCACTGGCGGCAAGATTAGAGGCGCAGAAGGCCATGTGTGACACCTCCGAGAAAGAACTACTGAAGAGATTCAAAGTGAGGGAGGAGCTTGAGAGGCAGATCGTGCCCGACTGCGACGAGCAGCAGCAGACCAGGAAGAGGCCTTTGGAAGAAGAAGAAGAAGAAGAAGGAGAAGAAGAAGAAAACAATCACTTGCTCGAAAGAGCGGACGACGGGCGTGGTGACGTGTCGATTGGACTGACCCATTCGAGCAGGAGGAAGATGAGAAGAGCCCTGAGGAAGGAGCTCAGGGTGTTCCTCGAGGAAGAGCAGAAGGCCTCTGAGGCTGGGATCTCTATCGACGAAGATATCTACATGGAGAGGTGCTCCGCTCATGGCGACGAGCCAGAGGAAGAAGAAGAAGAACAAAGGATGAGCCAGATTGGAAAAAGGAACGTGGAGAAATGGCTTCAGATGCTCCTCGAGAAGTCGGAGAACCAGGGCTCGCCAACTCCTCCTCCTCCACCGGAGAATCGCACAGATGAGATCGTCATCCATCACAGGCTGAACTCTGGAGAGTCCCTGCAGAAGCTAAGGCTCACGCCGAAGCGCGACAAGGGGGAAGAGAGCGCGGGGGATGTAGAGAGAAGCAGGAGCTTGGTGGGGAACAAGAGAGTCGAGCGGAGGGTGATGATTGCGAGGCCGGACAGCCCCAGAAGCTCGAGGGTCTCCTTCCCTTCGTCCCCACTGAACCTGAGGAGGACCATGGACTGCATCCGCAAGAGGTCGTCGGTAGCCGGAGACGACGACGACACGAACTGCCCTAACAAGCTCATCACACAGTACTCTAACAGGGCAGCAGCAGTCAGGAGGGCCTGATGTGCGCTTGCTGTGTACGTAAGCTGTTTGAAAAAATGTCCAAAAGGGAAGAGTATTCTCTATTAGTTGCTGTAGTGTACTGTATGTATCATTGTGGGATGCAGTAAAGTGATTTTCGTTTAGTTCTCTTCATTACACAGTCCTCTCTGATAGGGCAGTCAACACTACTAGGGAGAGTAGTCTTTCAATCATATTTCTAAATTAAAATATTAAATACGAGATAAATCAGGAATAATGTAGATATTAGATCTTAAAGTGGTTTGACAAAATTCTTTTGATATATATCTACTTCAGATGAATATACTATGAAAATTATGTTCTAATGTTGAAATAACTTTTGATATTTTTTATGTTGATCATTTCTATGTTCGAGTGAGTACTTTAAACTACCAAGATGGTAAATTTGAGAATGAACTTGTTATGTCCATTGGCATATAAGACATTAATTGTTAATCGACTTTATGTACATTTATAAATTAAATGAATGCTTGATGAAACTTTAAATCGATGTTATGATCTTTTTTGAAAACGATTGTGATACATAAATGATGTCTATCTATTTAATAAACTAAATTATTAAAATTAAACTAAGGATGTAGTTAGACAATTATCTATTGAAAGTTGAATGATATATAAAAAAATGAATGGACAGAGTTTTCAATTGAATCAAAATATTTGAAAAGAAATTTTCAAATAGAAGATAGTACTTCATTAAACTATTTTTGGTGGAATAAATAGATGATAGTAAGATTACATGAATTGTATGATATATGTATATATATTGGTTGCTTTATTTGTTTTATAGGAAATGATCAACTTTTTAGAGGATATCAATGGCCAATAATGCTGCAACATGATTATATGATTCCACCAGATTGTGAAGTTGAAAACTACAAAATATAGTTTATTAGTTAGAAGAATTTTAACTACATTAATCTTTATCAGTTTGAGAAAAAGTATTTTTCTCATCAGCGACATTGCTTTAATGAAGTACTTTGTATTTTCAATTCAATATTTTCTAAACCTAAATGTCAAAGCACTTTCTATGAAATCGATGTCTCCATTTCATTTTTGTAGTAGAATGGAAAATCTCACTACATCTCATTATTTTAGACCTCTTTGTACACTGGTCAACTAACTAAACTTCAAATCAGTCATGTTTTATTTCAAAAATATTTTTTTATCTAATCACATGGCTGATTCTCAAATTCAATAGTGTCTAATTATGAAAACATCAAAATTTAAAATTTTAGTTATCAATGTTAAAACATTTATATCACTTTATCCTCAAAGGAACTGTCAAGTAAAATCTGTTTGAAGTTGATGACATTACAAAAACTCAATTGATTGTAATTGAGATGAAAAACTGTTGATGTTATCTTAGTTCACAAAGTTTTAAAATGAATATGAAGTGATGCTTCACATGATATTGATTATTGAGTGCATGATGCTAAAATATAGATAAGGCTTCAAGCCAACATATGATGCATACAACCCAAAATTTTAATTTCATATTATTTATTTTTTACGTCTTAGATGTTAGAGTATAATTTATAAGTGTTTCATTCATTCCTAAGCTTTTCATGATTACAAGTTAAGAAAAAGAAGAATAATATTAGGAAAAATAGTTTATAAATGGAAGTAAGCAATAGATATATCATGGATCTTCTCAAGGGAATCAACATAACAATTTGTGATGTATCGTACATGTCTAATGTTGTGCTGTAATAGAAGACTCTATTTTGATAAATCATTGATCATGTATCTTCAATTATCATTTGTTATTATTGTGTCCTCTAATTTCTTGTGAAACTATTATAAAAAAAAATCAAATATCATGTTTCATATGAGTACACTGATTACTATAGTTATGAGGAAAAATAAGAAATAAATCTAAAATCTAAAGTTCATCTTACTAGAAATAGTCTTTGAAAATCAAATATTAAAGTAGCATCTTCTGATTTGATTGTTGCAATGTTTAAGTTAACTTGGTACAACATTGAAACTTGATGCTTATCTATGGAACCTTTCATCAATTGTGATCTACACTATTAGCCCTTGAAAATATTAGAATAGTTGTATCAATACTAATCTTTAGCCCAAAATATTTAGGATATATTGGCAGAAAATAACTAGATATCATTACATATATGTGAAAAACATTTATAGCAAACAAATGATAGCAGGATTCTTGTTATTTGTCATAAGGAGAATGAAAAATTCAACCCATCATTCATTGAACTATAATATTAACAAATCTTGTTTGTTTTACTACGAGCGAGAAATCTTTTGAATTTGACACAGGGAGATATGTCTTTTTATGTTAAAAAGGGAGATAAAAATGACGAAATTTTATAAATTGAGGGAAAGTCATTAGGTTAGCGGGAGATAGTGTCAAATATTAGAGTGAAGAAAGTGAATCAATTTCAAGATGTTTTAATTGTTAAAAAAAAGAGATTATTGAGTTATAATATTACTCAATATAAGTATGATGATATTTAGAGATTAATTTTAAATCATTTAATTGATGATATGAAATATAAATTTGATTAGAGATTGAAGTCTTTGATAAAATTATAGAGTTTAGATGATTAATAAATACATTGAAGGTCATTTGAGTTTTAAAGAAAGGTGTAGAAGGATAAAATTGGTGATCTTGATCAGATATATGTATGTATGTATGTATGTATGTTATGTATATTTTAAATTTTCATGAGTGACATAAACATTATAATTATTTGAGTATAAATGCAATAGGATGTTTGTATGAAATTAATCTCTTATCATCCTTTGCAAAAGCCTTAATGTTTTGATTTTCTATTTAAAATTGCATCATTAATATAAACATATTCTAACTATTAGAAAGTTCTCTTGAAAGGAGTCAAATGTAAAAACATTCAGATACAATTATTAAGACTGAATTTCTACTGATTTTAAAATTATTTAAATAATATTTATTACAATGGTAAAACAATTCAAAAGTTTGAGCTATCTAATTTGAGTGATTTTTACTTGAGAGATTGTGTCACAAATATAAGCATGCGACTAGTCAATAGAAATATAATCTACAAAGGAATAAAAGGCTGAAAAATCACACCTTAAAATTTAAATATTAAAATATTTATGAGTTTTAGAATTATCATGTTATTTTTTCTAAATTTCTTAAAATTTATGCACACCCAACTAAGGTCTGCCTAAACCCAACTATTATACTTGATAAGGGTAAAAGGACAGTCTAACCTCACTTAAAAAAGGGTCATTTCGTTCAAATTAGGATAAGGAGAAATTATACACTATAAATGGTGCCAATGCTTCAAAAGGTGTTTATCCTCTTTGTCACCCACTCTCAAATCATAAAAATTGAAGGACAAGATCATGTCAACACAAGGGAGATGTACATGTCAATTAGAATTTTGAGTACTTTCTTCATCAGCCTAACTACTATCAAATCTTTCAACAAACTCATAATACATCAAAATGATAGGTTGAAGAAGATGGTGACAATCTCATTCTAGTTTGATTTCTTTTTTTGAGGGATTATTATATGTGGACTAATTGAAACACTTATGGTATGTCAATAACACAATCACATAGGTTGTTGAGGCACTTGTGGCATGAATATAACAGAGAGATCTAAAATTATTATGATTAATTATGAGATAAATTAGTAATAATCTTAATAAAAAATTTAAGAATTATTTGGTCAAATTGTAAACAGCTATGTTAAACCCTTTCTGTGTAGACATAATCTTCAATGATAACCCTCACAATTTATAATGGATTAGCACTCAAGAATGCCTCCATTTCCTTCAATGTGTAGATTGTTGGCCCCTTACATATTCAACAAGAAGCCAAAGTTCAGTCAACTATGTTTGAAGAAAATCAATGACTCAAGAATAGTGATGCCCCTAGAGAAACAAAGCTGGTATAATCTCCAACATCTGTCTATTTCTAACAAGTCAAATATTTATAATCCATACAAAAGGTGTATTTTTCTTTTGTTACCTCAAACAAGAAAAATACATCAATTTCTAAAGTTTTTCACTAGAGATATGATATTAATTTCATGCATGATTGATGTCTAATCACCACATAAAACTATGTTCACATTGTTGAAACTTCCCAAAAAAGAAAAGAAATCAAAGGGGAAGAAACTAAGATGGATAAATTGAGGACAAAAGAAAATAAAATTATAAGGTCAACTTACAAAAGCAATGAAGTTGTAGCATTGCCTTTTGAGGGAATGGCAAAGCTTGCTCGTGAAGGAGGGCTTGTTCAGTAAGAAGGCGTTGTGTGTCATTTAATGTGGCAACCAAAAAAATGTGGCTTGCCTTCTTTTAAGGCTGCCACGTTAAATGCTTACATTTCATGTGGAGAGGAGAAATAGAGTAAAAGAGAGAAATGGTCAGCTAGAAGATTGATTCTCAAGAACTCAACGGCTCATTTATGGGCTGAGCAAGCCACAAAGCAAAATGGTGTAGGCAGAAGAAAGGAAAAACGTTCTATATTTTTCGATGTCCTTGTTGGCGCAATTACTAAGGTGCTGCGAGGTACTTATAAATAGAGGGTGACCTCCCCTCATTCAAAATGGCACATAGCAACCCCCTTTTATCCTTATTCTACCATAGAGAGAGTGTTTGGGAGAAAGCTTTCAAGGAATATGTCTCGAGTTGATGGGTGCATAAGAGGGCAAAGATTAAGGATTCATTTCTTGAGATTTTGAAAGGTTCAAGATTAGAGATCTGCTCTTTGGGTTTTTGAGGAGTGATTCTCTTGTACTACTTTTCGCATCTAGTAGAGTTTTCGTTGTCGCTTGTGGACGTAGGAGGCCAACTTTTAAACCACATAAAATCCTTGTGCTGGTACTCTTATTGTGAGTTGTTCTTTCTTCTACCTTCATGCCATGAGCATTGCGTCTGTTGAAGTCCATATAGGACGTTTTACTTGAAAAAATTGGTATCAAAGCTAGATGTACTTGTTGAAAGAAGGCCACTTGACCTATTCTTGTTGATACAATTTAGCAAACATTTCCTGGGTTGTATCCCATAATTTACAACATGAGCAAGAGAGACGCTCAGAGGGCTTACAATGGAGGCTGGTTGAATGGCCTGACCCTTGATGCATCTAGGATGATTCGTGTTGTTGGCAGGACAATCATCACATAATAAGCCGACTGTGCAGTCCTTGTTGGAAGAGTAGGGGTCAAGCATCTGCAAAGACTCACGAATGGAAGTGGGTCAGGAAGCAAATCGCCTCTGACGAGTACACAGAGAGAGAGAGGGAGCAAAAATGGCACTTATGGTTTGAGCAGAAAGTGGAGAGCAGGATCACAGTAGCAACAGCAATGGTGAGTGACAGCTAGAGATGAAGGAGGAGCCTCCTTGGCATGCTGCTGCTTCGGTTCTTTGAACCTTCTTGCAAGTTTACCCTCCTTCTTCATCTTCTCAACACCACCAACACCCCTTAACCCACTGCAAGATTAGAGAGATCTCAGAGACAACAAATACAACTAACTCATTGACCTACAAGTGATCCAGACGGCGTGATCGCCGCTTGGGAGACTAGAGAGTGAAGGTTGGCGACAATAGCAACTGGATTTCTCTTCATTGAACTTCCTAAATTGCCCATGGAGATGCAGACATAATATTTGTACTCATGATACTTCTTGCCCAACCTCCTTGGCATTAGATGAAGAGTTGACCTTCTAGGTAATAAAACATCCGTCAAGAAGTAATAAAAGAGAAAAATTCATATTTTTAATAAACATGTCATCTTCCTACCTTATGCCTGCCTATTCTCACCTGTCCTAATTTCTTAAATATTAGCCGAGATATATGCAACAATTCAAAACATTATCCAATCTCTCCCTGCACTTAAACGCCTGCTAATTCTATTACTATTATGTGGTTGTCTCCCTTTTTAATGGCCTTTTCATTTGAAGGTATCCCTTCTACTTCAATCTAAGTAGATTTCCACCCTCCAATATTAGCTTATGCTTTTATTAAGTTTTAACTTTTCCCATAAAAAGGTTAAGGGAGAGAGTTTCAATGGTTAAGAGATTGCTTTTGTTATAATGTCCGAATAAAAGAGTTACGTCTGACTGGCCACATGTCTTAATCTAAAAGCAGCAACGTAATGCTAGAAATCTAGAAAAACTTGAAGGAAAAGCCCTTAGAAGACCATAAGAAATAAGAATAGCAAGTGAGTATAAAAGTTCAATATCTTTCTTACCTTGCACAATGAATTTAGTCATTGATTTATGAACATCTAAATTGAAATAAAGAGATCTAGCATATGCGGAAAAAAAAGAAAGACGTCCTACCATCTTAGTTCCCCCTATGGCCCATTTGGAGCTATTAATATTTTAGGTAAAGAGCTTAAATGAAAGATATAATCTCACATTTATCTCACCTTTTTCTCATTATAAATATGAAGGATATCACCATGGGTTCTTTTTCAGAAGATAATTTTATCCTAGAATACCTCTAAAATTTTGATGAGGATAATGATGATCATAACTTAATATTTGTTGTCCTCTTTTTCGTAAGTATTTGTTGACACAAACACCACTTGTGTTGATGGACCTTTTTGTGTAAGAAATCACCTAACAGTCAAAAAATCTCATAAACTTTTAAAATCTTAATTCGCCCACTCTCTCATGTTTCAACTTTAGATATAATTCTAAAAATAAATTTCTTTATTTTTCACTGTTAATTTAATGTTAAAATCTAAAAAGTAATTAGAAATGTGAATGCTAATAAAGTAATACAATATGACATTTAATGGTTTAGATATCCTCTAAGAAAAATCAATACATATATTTTGAAATAAATTAATAATCTCACATTTGAAACTAATCCAAATGACTGCAAATTTATTACAAATATCAAATAGAGATATGACCTCAATATAAATAATCTTTACTTTGATGAGTTATGATATTTTTAATTATGACTAATATTGGTCAATATTTTAAAAATCTCAATAACCAATGTAAGTAGTTAAAATTCAAAAAATTAATATGGTGTGAAGAATAATTGAAAACAATGGTTTTTTAATGTATCTTGACTATCTAACATACAAACTAATGTTTCACACCCATTTTTGAAAAACCCATTTTTTATATCTATAATGTTAAATGATTATGGCATGTTAAACATTACTTTTCATAAGTAATAGTATTTGTAACTATTAACAATCTTCAGAGTAATGACAAAAGTAATAATTTGTAGGTTTAATCAACCAAAGTTCAGAACTAAAAATCATGAGAATAAAATGAATTCCTTGAGTTCCAATTTTGATCTTTAACATTATTATTTTTAATTCATATTGAATTTATACTCAATTAATTTCATACTCATATCTAAATAATATACATATACATATATTATTTGTAATGAGGAACCAAAATAATTTAATTCATTTATTGATCATATGTGTTTGTTATTATCAAAATATTATTCATTAATGATTTTCTAACTTAGACATTTAAAATAGTAAGCTAAAATGGTAAGGTAATGCCAAACCTTCAGTGTTTGATCACCTGCTCATAAATCTAGAAGTGAGTGATGAGGGCATTTAGGCTGCTAGAGTCATAGATCTAGTGGAGGTATGTTGAACTCTAGTGTTCACCTATTTTTACAATATGTAGATAGTGGAATGCAAGTATCTTTAGAATGGAGTAATCCAAAAGATTCAAACCACTTCAAATTATTTCAATCTTGGTCATCTCTATTGTTCATAGGTAGTTGACTCACCATAGTTCACAATGTCCCTCAAAGTGCTGCATTTGAAAAGAGGATCAATTCATACATATTAAATCATATTCTTAAGTCATTAAATTACATTATCTGTGTATATCTTCAATAGTCTATTGATGTCATTCTTTATGTGTGTTAATATTAAACTTTTTATTACATTTGAAAACTTAATTAAGAATAGATCTCAGTGGACTAAAATAGTAAACTAGCAAGCTTAATTTGGAGATTTCTTCGAAAGCCCTATTCACCCCTCTATATTCATATTCTATTCCATCTTGGACCTTCCAAATGAAATTGGTAGATCAAACTTTAGATGTAGAACCTTTAAACCACATGAGTGTTGTATTTAATACAGCCATTTTCACTACTTTCTAATTTAAAATTATTGAAACATATTTTTCTCTAAGAAATCCCTAAAAGAAAGAATACTACTATTATTGTGGATTCATGTATCTCAAGGTTTCTGTGCCCAGAGAATAGCACAGTTCATATCAAAGTTACTTCTCACAACTTCTACAATAAAGTGGATAGATATAGAAAATTTGTTGTCTTTTAAAATTTTCAAAGGTAACCAAATTTCGATGGTGAACACTTTGGGTTGTATCAAGTTGCAGTGATAAACAATAGTAGTAAGTTTGACAGACGTGCAGCATCCAAATAAAATATATTAAAGCTAGTCACAATCATATACACTTTGTTTTTGTGCTCGAATACACTCCCCCTTTAATAATATAGACTCCCTCTATTTCTCTTACCATAACTACCCATATATTTGCAGATTCTTCCTTTTCCGACAATTTATCTCTCTTTTTCACAGAATCAATAAAAAATTAACGGCATTCAAATGAGATTCAGCTAGAGTAGCAAAGAAGCTTCTTGTTGAACTCATACAATTCGATCTAGAGAGGAAATTGCAGTCCCGCTCCAAAGATGTTGCCGAATCTGCTTCCCGCTTTCTAGCTCTCTGATAACTCCCATCGGCGCACTCTGTTGACTAGCGACAATTGAAGCCGCCAACTATCCTGGACGATAGCAACTACGACTAGACACCACCACCCACCACTAGACCCCACCAACCACCGCTGTACAACAATAGAAATCTCTTCGTTGCTATGAAAAGCTTGACTCTTCTAAACGTAACCCAACAGATCAAATTATCTCTTCTTCTTGACGCTGATGCAAAAGTTGGACTCTTCATGGGCACATGAAATCTTATTGGCATGATCAGTTCCTAAGGTAAAGTAATGGGTAACTCTCCTCGGATAGTCTCCGGGGTAGGTGATACAACAGGCGGAAGGTGAATTTGTGGTCATTCAACGCCCGGCTGGGGAAAGTGCCTGCGTAAACTCCTCGTCAGATTCTAGCGAGCTCATGACGTCGGGTAGAAGGCAGACCTCCAGGTCGACGCTGCCGCCACCCTCCCGGCCGGGGTACGCCGAGATCTTCCCATCAAACTTGTTCGCGCTCGCGCTGCGCAGCGCCGCCGCATTCCCCCCCCCCCCCGAAGTCTCACCCGTACATATCGAACTGCGGGGAGCTCCCCATCATTATGCTGTGTCGGTCAAACCCGGAGAGGGGGTACACAAATGGGGACACCGTCCACTTCTCCACCATTCCCCGAATAGCCGCGTCGGTTTGCGAGGGCACGGCCTGATTGAGCATCCCCGCCGCCCAGTCCAGGTCGTTGGACAGAAGCTCGCCGGCTGTGGTCGTGACGGGGATGGCGTAGATCGAGTTGCCGAAGTATGCCGGCGGCAACTGCGGCCGTAGCCTTCTCTGATTCTCGGCCGCCAGCCTGCATCCCACCTTCTGGTCGTCTGGGAAACGTCTCAGCCGGGTAATGCATCTCCACATCAGCGCCCCGAGAGCCTAGAAGGAGGAGATTTTGTCCGTGCCCCGCTCTTCGTTGGCTCTCGCCTTGAGCTGGGATAGGGACGCGCCCGTGAAGTGGAACATCTTCTCCCTCAGCGGCGGCGGAGAGAACATCTCGATGAACTGATCTTCGTGGGTGAAGGGCATCTTTGATGGGGGACCTACCGTCGGCGAACCACCTCTCGAGCACCGGCGGCTTGGAGAGGTGGCCGCTGCCATCTTCCTTGGAACACGAGATCTCGGCCCATGCGTTGAAGAAGCTCCAAAAGGAGGTGCCGTCGCCAACGACGTGGTTGAAGGAGCACCCGAGGAAGACACCGTCCTCCAGCTTCGTCAGCTGGACAGCGAGCAGGGGAAGGGACCGCCCGTCGTAGTTGACGGCCCCGTCCAGCAGGAAGAAATCCCTAACGAAGCTGGGCACGTCTTCTGAGGGAGACAGGACATCAGCTAAGGTGACACCAGCGGCAGCGGCAAGGAGAAATCCGGCCCCTGGACGTCGCAGTCGATGTGAACGAACATCCCCCGCCCATCGGCATCCATCTCAGTCGCAAGGCGACTGGCGAGGGGGTAGAAGTGCCAGGGCGCGATGGACAGAGAGGACTTGAGGCGCTCGACGATAACTTCAACCGGAGGATCGCCGGAAGGAAGGGAGAAGAGATGACCCTTCTGGATATAGTGAACTGAAAACATAGACAAGTCCCACAGCGACAGCTCGCAGCGACGAGGGTGGTCCGCGGGAGCTTCACCTCCGGCAACCGCTCCTAGACGGGGCTTAACGATGCCCTCGGACAAGATCCGGACAACGCCCTTTGCCGAAAGCATGATGAACCTTCTCTCCGCCCACAATCTGCAGTAACAGAGACAGAGGAACTGTGGGAGGCCGATGGATGCCACATAGAGAGAAGTTGGCTTAAGAAGGACGCAGCCAGATAAGACCCAGTGTCGACGGTATTTTCCAAACCCCTTTCGGAAAATTCTTAATGTTTAGCTTCTTAATTCGTTTATTCCGACTTTTCACTGGTTCAGTTTGACCATTTCAGGTTTATAACGCGTGATCGAATTTAGTAATCAGCGAAATTGTCTGAAAGACTGAGTTAGAGATGTTTGAACGAAAATATTTCATAATCAAAGATATCAGCAGAAGATATAAAGAGAGACGGATAATGGACTTCGAAAGAGATACGTGATTAAATTCATGTCATATCGATTTTTCTTCATTCATTTCGTAAATTTACTAAATTTAATAAATTATTCATTTTCGGGTCTCACTTCCACCTCAGTTTTTCTTAAAATGATTATCCTTTCGTTTGAAACAAAAATTCGATATCACTTGCTAATAGTAGATACTTCCTTTTTTCCATATCAGTTAATTCATGAACGGCACAAACGCTGGCATTCAGGATCATATTTGAATATTCTGAGCTAAATATCGCACAAAAAGGAGTTATTTACGTAAAATTACTTTGCCATCTTGATAAATATTTTCTTCTCCATGCAGTATTGGTTTTTCTAGTGCTAGTGCCTTGAAAAACTTTCAACTTAACTGAAATTATTCGCGCAATTCGCTGGCAATGAGTAGTGTGGTTAGGTTACCAAGTAGACGCATGTCATACAACGCAAAGAACTTCGCAACCCAAGAAAGTTGTGCTCAACTCGTTTGAATGTTCAAGGTCAAATTTGGCAGCTCTGTGGAGTTTTGTCAACGCAGCTGTGTTTCAGGAATATTAAATTCTCAACATCGACTAATACCCATCAATGGGCACTCCTCACGAGGCACAACCGACACTCCACCGCATCCCCCAATCCTACAGCAAGTCAATGGATGCCTTTGCCTCCCCACTAGCGAGAGCTGTTCAAGCTATCCATTTCATGATAAACAAAGTAGAATGCAGTGTGGACTATCAGAGACCGTGATGTAGTGCGGATGACATTAAATATTAGTTAAACAATGTGTATAGCTTCGTAAAACATTGAGATAAATCGAATACCCTGAAAGTTTTTTCCTCGTGAGAGCCACAACTTACGATCACGTAGAATGACATTCAATATCATATGTTCTAGTAAGCTTTCATATTTTCCAAGAAATGGAAATGGATCCTCCTTGGAGAAGGCACGTTTGCATCCCAGATCTTCCAAACGGAGTAGCAGTGGGACGATTTGTACCCATCTAGAGTAGTTCTGTGAGCAGTCCTTCTTGCATCCCACATCATCTTCAAGTGGGCGATTTGTATAACCTAATTTAATTTATTGGCAGCCGGTCATATCTCAAGCTTTATCGCCCACTAATAGCTCTTTTTTTTTTTCTCATTTCATCTCATGATAGTTAGAAATCCTTAGAGTACGATCAAATTCTTCCTGACGGATATGACAATTTTGTGAATAAAAGCATATTAATTCAGTGTCTCTTGCAGTGGCCCATTTTCCCTGTGAGCTATCCTTTGCAGCAACAGGGGGCTTAAACAAGCAGATCTAACACTTCCATACAGTAGAGTAGGAGCATACTACGTTTAGGAATTTTGATGTGGGACAAGGAGGTAAGAAGAGACCCCTTTAAAAAAGAATTCACATTGGGCTTTTAAGATCGACTTTGGTAGGAAATACAAGGGGCTTAATATCTAAGAAGATCCCGTAATTTAGAGGAGAATTAGGATCATTATTTATTTATTTAGGATATCTAATTCAAAGAATCAGATGAGGCTTCTCAACCATGATTTAGATCACCAATTTCTCATACGAAGGTGGCTATCCTATGATCTTCACAAGTTCTACGATCAAGGATTTGAAATTAATAATCAAATCCAGAAGAAATTGAAAAATCAACACACCTTTGAAATGAAGATTCTTGATTGCTAGGATTCAATAAGCCTTGTTAGAAAATTTTCAACTTGAAGAAAAGAGGGGAAGAAAGTCAACGACGAGGAGGAGGAAGAGAATGGGGGAGGAGAAACAAAATTCTTCTATTCCAAAGAGAAAGGAAAGAAAGAGAAAGGTCCTGTTAATCCAAGAGGGCAAGAACAAGAAGATAAACCCTTAATCTAATTGGTGAGTGAGAGAAAAGAGGGACCCCTAGTCCAAGAGGTGAGAGAGAGAACAATAAATTTTTTTATTCTAAAATCTAATCCCCCTACAAGTCTTCTTAAGTTTGAGTTTTTATAGGAAATAGGAGTGACGAGAATTGAAGAAAAGTTAGTTACAAACGAGAGAGAGAGAGAGAAGGATAAGGAAAAGGTAGTCAGAGGCACCCCCTTCCAAAGGATGCCATGTGGCATCTCTTAGAAGGAGAGGCACCTCCCTTAGGGAAGAAGGGGTGCGTGAGTGACATGGCTTCTTCTCTACCTTCCTCTTCCTCCTCGTGGACCCACCTATGGGGATGAATCTTCTTGTTGACTTGAATGGGCCTATTGGATATGAATCCAATCTTCCATGTGGGATCCATTAGAGGTGGAAGTCGTTGGTTGACTTGAGTAAAGTTGATCTTTTGATGAAGGTGGACTCTAATTCTTGTAGTCCTCCTTGGAAGAGTTCACCGTGAAGGAGGTGGAGGTGATCGTTGTTGACACATTTGATTGGCTTGGGGTTGACTCTCATTGACCTGGATGGATGGGGCATTGATTGGCCCGTTGACTTCATCAAATTTACACATCAGTATTTGGAAAAGTATGGTATCATATTTCAAGGCATATGGAGTTCCCAACTAGTAGTAATTTCTGAAAGTAGTCCTAGAGCTTGTTGTAGCTAGGAAATCAGCTCAATTTTTTTTCTAAATTTTGGAAAACATGTGTCAACGTCATATTTAGATTCACTAAAGAAAATCTAAGCAGGTAAATCAATAGCTTATTTATAAACCTAAAATCTGAAAAATTAGGTGTTCGATAAAACATCAAAAATTCATAAAATAGATGTCCACATCCTTTAACAAGTTTATGAGTCAAATAATACACGTCAGCAACCAAGTAGCATGACATTTTTTATGATTCTAAAGAGTACCCCTCTTAGAAATACAATGCATCGTAAACTACTACAATACTAGAGATGATGGTAAATGCAAAAAAATAATAATCAGACATCTTCATTACTTCAAGTCAGATTATAAGAAACCAACGAGTCTCATAAATCTTCCTCTTGAGGTTTTCCACTAAGCTTTTATAATTCTAATTGAAACCCAGTAGAAACCAACGAGTCTCTTGCCATTCAAGCACAAAAGCGCCCAGGGAAGATTGGAATAGTGGTCAGGATTTGTAACAATCTGGCCAAATTGGAGTAAGGATCTTGGATGAGACTTTCTAAGCATGGAAATGTCTGACAAATTTAGAGGCTGCCGACTAACATGCACACATCACCAAGAACTTAATCACACAATTTTTCTCAAAAAAAAATTCACAAACGAGCTAATCATATTTATGTCTCGTATTGAAATATATAGCATGCAATCGACTTGTAAAAGGGTATTTCATTGCGTACAAGATGGAAAACACCGGAAATATTATGGTGAAGATCCACCCCATGGGAACAGATCTGATGGAGGCCAAATATTCATCAGGTTACTTAAGCACTTACGTTCATTTTCCAGCAAATATCTCCACTGTAAGGCAATCAATACCTTCCTCAGCAGAATTTGATGCGTCAGAGGTAAACACTAAAAACCAGTGATTTTTAGCAACCATTTCCGTGACAGACGGCCAATCTCTCCCATTTGTTGGCGTTTCTGAAACTAGATACCAGAACTTGAGGAGGCCAGCATCAGTGAACAGCTTCGTTAGACCCTTTACTGCGTGGACATAATCTTCAATAATAATTGTCACAATTTCTGATGGATTAGCACTCAAGAACGCCTCCACTTCCTTCAATGTGTTGATTGCTGACCCCTTACATATTCAATGAGAAGTCAAAGTTCAGTCAACTATCTATGAAGAAATCAAAGACTCAAGAATAGCGATGCCCCTGGAGGAACAAAGCTGGTATAATCTCCAACTTATCTCTGCTCCTAACATGTCAAATCCTTATAATCCATACAAAAGGTGCCTTTTTCTTCTGTTACACTGAACAAGAAAAATACATTGATTTCTAAAGTTTTTCATTACCGATATGATATTAATTTCATACACAATCGATGTCCAGTCACTATAGAAAGTCACATTCACATTGCTTAGACTTCCCAGAAAAGAAGAAAAGTCAAAGGGGAAGAAACTAACATGGGTCTACATCCAGTTCCAAACAATTCATCTCAATTCAACTATTTCATAATCAGAACACTTTATTTTTCTGGGATAAAAAACAATTAACATCAATAGGCTTCACAAGCTTGTGATCACTCCACCTAGAACTCTAATTCTAAAAATCCTAGATATTTTCATTAGATGCACACCGAAAATGCTTCAAATGATTTATGTGACTACGTTGCTGACATACCACATGTCTCAATCAATCTACATATATAATAAATATAAAAATATGTAATCAAATCCAAATGATTTTCATCACTTTCAAGTTGTTGTCTTGATGTACCATGAGTTTATTAAACATTTTTTTAGGAGTTGGGCTGATAGAAAAATTGCTTGAGAGTCTAATTAACATTGGAAAAATCCTTTGAATCATTTTGATCTTGTCTTTCCGTCTCCAAAATTTGAGACAAGGTGAATACATTTACGTCTTTTAATTGACAATAATACCTTTTGAAGCAGCTACCATCATTTATATATTTTTTTATTTCTTGTTGCCATGATTTGTGTGAAATGCCCCATTTTATCATTAGGCTAGACCGCCCCTTTTTGGTCTTTATTGGGTCCAATGGTTGGGCTTATTTGAGCCCTAGTGGACTGTACATAGGTCTTAAAGAATATAGAAAAAATAACAATAATGGTCATGAAACTCATAGATTTTTCTAATACTGTTGATTTTGATGTAGGATTTTTTTTTTAGGATTCCTCTTTGGCTCAGATTTCTATTGATTAATTGCACGCATGTATATGTGACATACTTTCTCAAGTAAAAATCATTCTAGTTAGATAGGTTAAACTTCTGAACTATTTTGTCATTGGGTAGAAGATATTAATTCAGTAAAAAAAATTAAACTAATAAAAAAAATGGCATTAATAATTTTCACCAAAGTTTTTTGCATTCGAATCCTTATCAAGGGATCTTTATAAAGATTATCGAGCTGCTCATCTTCCACCATTCGTAGCACTACTCAAGGGTCCTTTAAATCCTCGTCCTACTGCTTGTTCCTTCCTACAAGCTTAGTCCTATGTGTCTCCTCCTCCCCTATCGTATTCCTCTATTATAGAAGATCAAGAGAAGGAAGAGGAAGAGTTTCTTAGGAATAAGAAGAGGCTCAAATAATAGCATGCGATAGAGAGAAATAAACACATAAAGAGGAGTTGCCACCCAAAACATGACGAGAGTGGGAAGATAGAAAGATGTCATAGAGAGAAAGCTGCCGTTAATGTTATTAGGCTTAGTGAAGTTAAAATATGTGAAGTTAGACTATCAGTACCATGCTTATATTATTTTAGTCATTTGATATAGAAAATCAAAACATTAAAACTTGCACATAAGATGACGATATATTTACTTCACATAGACTTCTTATTACATTTATACCTAAACATTTAACATTTCTACTCGTAACGAGAATTTAAATGATATGAGATATTTCTTACAATAATTATTTATTACAATGAGCCGTATTACATTCCAAGCTAAACGTTAAGAAGTTTAACATTTTATATAATTAATAGAATATTTTAATATATATTATGGGAATTAATTTCGAGTGGTTCACTATTGATTTTTCTTTGAGTGTAATAATCATTTAGTGAAACTAGAAAATGGAATTGCCTGAGATTTTATGGGTAGTATGCATTATTCGTGTTGTCATATTTTTATTTTTAATTAATTTTTAGCACTTTAGCGTCAAAGCAAAGGCCCAATTGAGAGGGCGGGAGGGGAGAGAAAGACTGAGCCGAACCAGAAGAAGACGGTGGCGGAAAACCATGGCAAAATACTGAATCGGTGCTAGTCTCTGGCTGACGACCTGAAACCGGAAAAGACGAGAAAATAAAACCAGACTCCTTCTACGGTTCTCCATTCCTCCGATGGCAGAAGCTTCTACAGACGCTAATGGTGGTCACGTTTTCCCTCTCTCTGAATACGCCGTTATTCCTCCTGCTCTCTGCGCAGCTGCCATTGATACCGGGCCCTCTCTCTCTCTCTCTCTCTCTCTCTCTCTCTCTCTCTCTCTCTCTCTCAACAATCTACTGACTGTTCTCCAGTGGAAGGGACTGTTGCTCGTTACTACAGAGTGGATGGTGTTCCACTGTTATTTCCCAGGTAATGGGAGAAAAGATTGACCTAGTAATTACAATATAGAGCGTGAAAGAAGAAGAAGCAGAAGAAGAGAAGATGAAAAGAAAAAACGAGACCGGGCGGTTAGGTGACGCGGTGGGGTTCTTGGTTGCGGGGGTTCGTCAAGACAGAGAGTTCCTCCACCTCGGGGTGGGAGTCCTCGCCGGCAACGGCCTCCCCTTCCTCCAGACCAACGGCGTATGGCTACTCACCACGTCCTGCTCCTCCGTCATGTCGATCTGCTTGAACAGCAGCGACCGCCACTTGAAGATTCCCCCCCCTCTCTTCTTCCTATCGACCAGCCTGTCCATCTGCACCTGCAGGGCGTGGCATTGCAGCTGGAGCCTCCCCACGTCGTCCCGCAGACGGCGAATCTCCTGCTGCTGGGCGATGACCTCTCGCTTGGAGGGGCACCGCGCCGGGAGCTCGACGGTGGCGCCGCTGGGGCTGCGGGGACCGCTGAGGGACCCGCTCCAGTCCGCGGGTCGGCTCAGCTTCCCGTACTCGGAGAAGAGCACTTCCATGACCGCCCGCACAGGGAGCCTCTGGTTCTGGGTCGCGTGGAGGGCAGCCTCTGAAGAGAGCTTCCGCGTGTCTATCAGCTTCCACAGCTCCCTCCTCTCCTCCTTCCCCGTCCCCGCATGCGCCTGTATCATACGAACGCCTCAGAGAATGAACAAACAAAGAAAGATAGGTAGAAAGAAAGATAGAGGGAGAAGCGGGGTGGGATACTTTGAGATAGGTGTCAATGGCGCGGTAGAGACCGTCGTCGGAGGCGCGGGAGTGGGCGGGGAGAGAGGCGGCAAGGGACTGGAAGTCCGGAAGGGATAGGTTAGTGTCGATGGCGGCTTCGGCGAGGTAAGCGTCTAGGAGCTTGGAGACCTTGGCGATGGCGGCCCCGCTCTTAACGGCCTCGTCCAAGGAGACGAAGCCCCTGACCAGGCGGAGCACCAGCTGCACGTCGAGGAGGGTCCCGCAAGTGTGGCTAAAGGCGGGTATCATCAGTTCCCTGAGGGTTGCCTGGTCCAGCTGCCTCGCCACACGGGCCTCCAGATCCGCCAGGCAGGTGGGCTCGGCACCGACCATGTTGGCCGTCCTGAGGAGCCGCAGGAGGAAGCTGCAGGGAAGGGAGTCCTTCTCCGGAGGGAGCAGGCCCACCAGCGTCTCTACCAGGAACCTCTTCTTCATCCAGGCGGCTATCGAGCCCTCCGACGGGGTTTCATCAGAACGGCGACCACCGCCACCGCCACCACCGGAAAGTTCGGAGAGCCAATTGGCGGCAAACTGGGGGATGACGGAGCCGGCGAGCTCGGGGTGGATGCCCTTGGACTTGGCCTCCGCGAGCGTCTTCACGAAGTTGTCCATGTCGAGGAGACGCTTCTCGTCAAGCCATGGCTCTGTCCCCGGCTCGGCCGGGCGGCGGAGAGCAGTTCTCTCCGCGGATTCCCCTCTGCGCTGAGATAAGTTGGTGCCAGGTGACCTCATCCCTGACTAGCTTCTGCGAGATAAGAGAACGGGGGAAGAGATACAGCGCTACTCAAGAGAGATAGAGAGAGAGGAGCTGAGCTCTGGGCGGGCCGGCGGTGGAGCCCGTTGCTCGGTAAGTGTGGCCTCGTTTGATAACAGTCTAATTCTAGCCATTGGAGGAGGATGCGAGTGCCCACGAGGGAGGGAAAGATGGGGGCTTTCTGGGCCGCAATTTTCTACGGTTGCAGCGGAGGGCTGCCGAGGAGAACTGTGACGGAGGGAATGGCGACAGAGGACGCTCGCAGGCTTGTTTGGAGGCAACAGAAAAGGACGGAAAGGGCCGCGAGGACACGTGGACAGCACGTGCGAGCACAGCTAAGCTCCACCCACACCTACTCTCGCTGGCCCGCCGCACGCCCGTCATGATAACAATAATAATAATAGTCATATTCATAATCATATATATATATATATACATCACTTCAACAATGGGCCAGTTCACCCCAAAATCCGGGCCCGCCCACGTCAGTCCGTTCTGAGTTAGGCGGAACATGTTCTCCAGGACACGTAGCATCCTCGACTATAATGACGCTCGTATTATATGACACCTAAACGGGCGAGGGGGGGCGGGAAGCGGCCTAGTCCGGGGGGGCGTTTTGCGGGCTTTTTGTAGACCGAGTCGGGCCCGGCCCATTGATTTTGGCCGGCCAAAATCACCGTCAGCGAGAGAGAGAGAGAGAGGCGGGTGGGGGGACAGCTGGAGGGAAGGAGAGGACCACGCCCAGCCGAAGGCTCTGCTTCCAGGAAGGAATGGAACAAAAAGAAGGAGAGCGACGGGACCATACGGAAACTTGAGCATGTGACCTCCCTCTTTGCCTCGAAGCTGGTCGACCCCCCCAGTAGAGGAATCTACGGCGACGAGAAGAAGTAAGGGCCTCTCTCTCTCTCTCTCTCTCTCTCTCTCTCTCTCTCTCTCTCTCTCTCTCTCTCTCTCTCTCTCTCTCTCTCTCGCTCTCTCTCTCTCCAACCTGGCTACAAAAGAAATTAAGCATGTCGGCTGACCGCTGGGCCCAATGGGCTGGGCCCAATGGGCTTTGACGAAGGGATGGCGCACGCTGGTCAGTTGCGTCCAGCATCTGGGACTAGTGACGGGTTCCGTTTCGGGCCGAGCTCGGAAAGCCTACGGCCTGCCATGGCCCGCCGAAAATCAGTGCTTCTGGGAGTATAATATTTTATTAAAATGAACACCCCGAAGTGCCCATGGCGCGAAACCCTAATCGGGCGGTGGCAGTTCTGCGATTTCCAGTAAAAAGAGGTCGATTCGAGGCTTCGAGCGCGGCAGTTGCCACCTTCCCACACTCCCCCACAGGAGACAGGGAGAGAGGAAGAGAGAGAGAGAGAACGAGGGAGACCCCTTCCTCTCCCCTCCGGCGCCTCAAAATCTCGGGGATTCATCTCAAATCCCAGCAGGGGGGGGGCTGGGGGAGGGAAGGATGGGGGCCGGGGGCGCGAGGGAGATGACGATTTCGCTGGACGGGGTGCGGGACAAGAACGTGATGCAGCTGAAGAAGCTCAACACGGTGTTGTTCCCCGTGCGCTACAACGACAAGTACTACGCGGACGCCCTCTCCTCTGGCGAGTTCACCCGCCTGGGTAGGTTCCTCCCTTCCTCGCCCTTGTTTCTTTCCTGATTGGGGAGGAGACCGCGTCCGTGATCGTATTCGTCGAGTCAGCTTTTTGAAATTGCTTTTTAAGGATTGCGCATTGTCGAGTGTGCCGACGCCTTGGTTTCCTGTCGTGTTATCATCGGCCTGATTATCCGGAAATCGGTTACATGACGGAATATGACACCTTCGTCGACAAGTTTGTCGTGCTCTCGTTTCAGCTGGTTTCTTATCGCTGCGATCTTCTGGTGTGAACGATTCCTATTTGATTTTAAAATGATAGTTTCCTGGGAACCTAATTTCCCTACTCTCCTCGTTCGTCAACTCACATTGTGGAGAGTGCATATTCGTGTGTGCATCAAATTCAGGGGAGGTCCTTGGAGTCTTAGCATATTTGCTAGGAGATCCTAGTAATTTGAATTGACATTCCATATGAGTTGTTTCATTTGTCGTGTCGGATAGATGAGCATTACAAGCTTTTCACCATGCCTCCATATCAAAACGGCTGCCACATCTCAGGAAGCTCATAAAGATGCCTAAATTGCTCATATGTATCGTTTGGTCTCAGATTTTCTTTTTAATTAATCGTCTCATATCATTTTAATCGTCCCATGTAAAAATAAAGCTCGATTTGGGTTGTATGCTCATGAACTGACTGCTCCTTGGTCTTTCACACGTCAATATGGGGAATTATTTAAAGATTATCCTTATAAACTAAGAAGGCCCAGATCCAGCTAGTTAACATATCATGCAAGGATTTGTAACTACCCCTTAATCTCAGACTTGAGATGTATTAATTATCGCCCCTTCTAAATTCTAGTTTCATTTTCTCCTTCAGTAAGTGAATTTGCGAACCTGATCTATGTCGCCTTGGGCCTGATGAGATAATTTTTTTTATGTAGATTAATGTCATGATGATTTCATGCGGCTTTTGAAACAACTCACTCACAAAATGAAATCCTCAATAGAGATTATGTGGTTTGATACACAGTAATGGCATCATTTTTCTGTAGAATCTCAAAGTCCCTTTCCTCCTACCACATTGCAGCCTACTACAATGACATTTGCGTCGGTTCTGTTGCATGCCGAATTGAGAGGAAAGAGGGAGGCGATCTTCGAGTTTATGTGATGACATTGGGAGTCTTGGCTCCATATCGCAGGCTTGGAATAGGTAAGCAACAGACCCCTCTTACTGGGTCTTCTGTTGTCTACATGTTTGCTCGTCTTCTCTTCCACGTCAATGCTCTGTAATTTGTACGCTCATCCATGAGTTTGGGAGGAATTTCTTCATGAAAAGTACCATACATCCTCCAATAATTTTGTCGAGGATGAAGTCCTAATCCCTCCGTACTCACTCATGCATGTGAAGATGACTTGCCTGCCGATTGTGGAATAAACATCGGGGTTCGTGCTTTCGTTGATTAATTTCCAACCAGTTGCGCTCTTAGGTCTTCTTTCTCTTCTCTTTCTGTTGTATTCGTCTTCACCTTAATCTCGATGAATACCAGTGCTTATCATCTGTGTTGAGTCCTTTAGTTTCTTGACACTTGATTATGGAAGCCACCAGCCACACTTCGTCATTTTCCCCAACATTTCTGCTGATGAAATCGATACTTGAAGTTAAGTTGACTTTGGAAAATTTCACCACCCCATGAGCATTTGACGTTCCTAAATAAGATCTTATCTCTGTTGCTATGCACATTTTTCCTCGAGAATATGATGATCAAGTTACCTTCCTCATGGATTTTTCTATCTCGGTCTGGAATTCTCGCAAGTATGCTCTGAACACTACACACCTTGAGAAGAGAACCTGCCCGGGCAGATGATATGAGTTTAATCTGAGATCACGTATTTCTGGCTCATCATTGGGAGAAATCAAGAACTTTAGACTTTATTTTTAAATATTTGGAAACATCAGTGATGGGATGTTCTGGCAGGTACGAAGCTGCTGAATCACATCCTGGCTCTTTCTGCCAGGCAGGGAATTGCAGAGATCTACATGCACGTGCAGACAAACAACGATGATGCAATCGCATTCTATAAGAAGTTCGGGTTCGAGATCAAGGAGACCATCACAAACTACTACGCCAAGAACATCAGCCCACCTGATTGCTACGTGCTCAGTAAGCCCATTTCTCCCGCTCCCCCCAAGAAATGAGCTTTCTTGGGGGAAAAGATGTAGATTTTGGTGGGCTATATTTGTCAAAGTTTTGGATTTTTCAGATGTTCTAACAGTTTTATTGCCCCATTTGACGGAGATACGACGCCCCCACCCTAACTTTACCAGCTTTACAGAAAGAGAGCAAATGGCTTTCAGCTCATTTCAGGCCATAAAAACCCCACCAGTAGAGAGAGAGAGAGAGAGAGAGAGAGAGAGAGAGAGAGAGAGAGAACAAATGGATTTCAGCTCATTTCAGGCCATGAAAACCCCACCAGTAGAGGGCCTCACACAATCTTCGACCACAACCACAACGGGTGGTATTCGGCGAGTCACAAGTCAACGAGGAGGGGAGCGGACGTCTCCACACGTGTCGCAACGAGGAGGTCTTCCTCGAGTTCGCCCTATGTGGGTCTGAACACCTTCTGGAGAGGAACCCCAGGTCAGATTCATATGGATATGAAGGGTATGTATGTACACAGATATACGCGCACGGATAAATTGGGCGGGGCGGTGTCAATAAGCAATTCTACTAGAAAACCCATCGCCATCATGGAGCAAGCTCTCCGTCAGCCAGTAGCCATCCCAAGAGCCGCCTATCCTCTGTGATGCGTTGAAAAAAAAAAAAAAAAGTCAATGAAAGCCAGCGGGTAGAGCATATATCCAACGTAAGAGAGAAGAAATATATAAACCTGGACCATAGTGAATTCAAATTTTTCTTCCTCCTCTGGGCGTGATCCCTGTATCCACACCCTCTGCTTGAATCGACTCTGTCAAGAACAGGTGAACGAGGGCCAGAAAGTCAGAAGAAGACTTGGTCTGCCAGATTGCAGTTGCTCATCTAAGAACTGACGGTCGACGGTAAAAACAGGGGATATTAAAGATTCATTCTATATTTTTTAAAAAATTAATTGCATCGGTTCTTCCTAGAATTGATGAAAAATAATTAAACAGGGGACATTAAATTGATTTTAGAAGGATATTCCTAATCCCAAAAATAAAAGCTGCCCTACCTCGTCCACCCAAAAGCTACTCAGAATCATTCTCTCCTTGTGGCAGAGCAAAACCCGGTACTTGGAATGATGGAATATCCGCCTGAACCGCTCAAACTGCATGAACATAGTTCAGATCGGAACATCTCAGATTACTTGCGTTGCAGAGCAGAGTCACAAGCTGCACAGCCAGAGATTGAGAGATGGAGAACTCACTGACCTGCCCTAAATCAAAGAATGGCCCAAAATAGGTGGATCTTTCGAAGGGATCGAATCCAGCAAACTGAGACAAAATGACCCACGAACTGATTTAGACACATATTTAATAATAACCAGAGAAAATAAAATAGAAGAGGCAAGTCATTATTATTACCCTGTACATAACTTCTATACCATAATCGTGACGAGGTTGATCGTTGTGCTTCAATGCATCGAGCTGCCATTGGACTGCTTCTTCTGCACTAAACTAGAGTATGGAATCCTACTTACATGAATTCTCCAGTTCAAACCGATTTTAAAACAAAGAAAAATGTTTTTACTGAGATTTCTACATTGAGCCGGGGGCCAAAAGGTCTCTTCTTTCGGGATTCAAGCCTGCATATAGAAAAGAAGTGGAGTTAATGAGAAGTTAGATAACCAAGTTAGAACAATTAATCAGAGAGGAGCAAAAATAGAAGGAATAGATGATCAGCATATTGTCATTAAAAGCATTGCTAGGGTTTACAGAATATCAATGCAAGGAATTAAAGGATGGAATTCATATGTGATCAATTTGCACAAGATTACAAGATTCTTCATTATTGTTATTTTTAAGGACTTTTCTGTCCTTTTCTATATCTAGTTTCAGAAATTTACAGAAGTGAGACCTGGGGGATGATGATCTTCTTCGCAAAGGTGCATCCGTCAGAAAGTAAGATGAGAACAACCAAGAATAATAACGCAGAAAGTGAAGGAATATATGTTTCCTTATAATCTCAACGATCGGCTTGTTCAGATGAGAAGTGGCTTACACCAGGGTTTGCATGATGCACGGCCCTTGAATGAATGTTATCGACTACTGGAATAAATTAGGCCTATACTAACTCAAATGCACGAAGTAAACAGATAAAGCTCATGGATTAACGAAGTCAGAATAATCGAAGCACGTCAAAACAAACAGAGGCACAACCAAGGGAGCCATTTATGAATGATAAAAAAAAGACACGAGAACAGGGATTCCGCATAAAATCTTTTTAAAATTTCTAAAATATCTAGGAATTTAATAAATCGAATATCTATATAATTTCAGAAAAGGAGTAAGACAAAATTTTCAAATATCACACCAAAACAGGTTTTCCCGAACAGTGAGACGATAATTTAGAAACTCATGCATAAATTAATAGTCTATAATAGAGACTTTTGGTGTGGTTAACCATGGAGCACCGCTGGAGATGCCATTTCAGAGTTGCCATTCTGAACTAAAGAACACAGGCATGCGTCGGCAATCGGACATCTGTACCAAAACACGGGGAGCCTAGACAAATTCTCCATGGGAAGTCACGTAATAAATGAACTCAGTACTCGTGTTCCTAACTAGGGACTGACGCAGGACGAGGGTCCAATTTCCTTAGGCACGGAGAAGGCTAGTACCAATCAGACGAGAGGAAGTCGGGCACCGGAACGTCCGAAGAGGAGGAGGAGGACGACGACGACGATGGCGATGAAGATGAAGCCCTGAAACGAGTGACTGGGAAGGATAGAGATCTTGATCGAGTGCCGACCTTAGAGGGTCCCAACGAGAGAGAGAGTGCGTGGGTCGGAGCAGCGAGAGCCATTCCCTCCCTCCTCTTTCTCTCTCGCTCAAGACGGAGAGCGCCAAAGTGAATGCATAGATAGATATGTATATATACTTGAGGCCAAGAGAATCATTGGGCTAGTGGGAGTCGTGATCTGAAGGGCCCATTAATGGATTCCAGTCCGACAGAAATTGATCTGAGCCCAAAAATGGTTCAGTGAGCCACCGAAAAGCCCAACCCTTTACTGGGCTGATTCTTCCGATGATATTTACATGATATATTAAGACGTCAAATTTTAAGAGGGCAAAATTTTCTCTAAATTTTTTCATCTAAATATGAGGACGTGAATTAAATAATTTTTATTATTTTTTCAAATTATTAAATTATTATTATGGTTTTTAAGCCTAGATAGACATCAAACAGATATATTAAATATTTCATATTTTAAATTTATTTAATTAGGCACAGTGGACCAGACAAGCCCAGAACTTGATCTTGTACGGCCCAAATTTTCATACTAATCTTCTAACATGTTGTCAATTTTTAATACGAATTTATATATAAGTCATGAATAAATATAATAATAAGGGTTATAAGCAGTACAACGAGTTGGAAAAAGAATAATTTCTGAGTATACTTTTTCTAAAGAAGCCCATTTTTTCTGTGATAATAGTTAAATAAAAAGGAAAATAGTAATTAATGCTTTATAGGCCTAAATTATTAAACTGAATCAATATATATACATATATATATATATATATATATATATATATACATATACGTAGAGGTGCTGATGAACTAGATAAGCTTAGAACTTGGATTAATTGGCCCAAAAGCTTTCTTTCAGAGTTGTGGCCCAGTATCAGGAAGACTAGGCCCAATTAGGCCTCAACCAGGACCTCTTTGAGACTGTAACCATAGATCTCACAGGATCCTGAGCAGAGGGCTCTTTAAGTTAGTAACAAGATCAGGAGGAGTGATGTCGTGGTCAACGGGGAGAGAGAGAGAGAGAGAGACCAACGCCAGACTCCACGGGTAATCAGTCCACCGCGTGCCATCCACCAGCCACTAAAACTTTCGTCTGCTGCGCCCAATATATACTAGCTCGGAGAAAATGAGGACACCCACCATTGTTAGATTGACGATTGTGTTCAAGTCTTCTTGAAGCCAAACTCCCACACCAGAGAAATATGGTCACTGCCCCATTTCTGCATGAGAAAGTCAACGGTAAATCATAGAAGGGTGGGCAGAGAGAGAGAGAGAGAGACTCAAGTCTACCCTTGTGGGGAAGCCACAAGGATTGACCATTGTGTTCAAGTCTTCTTGAAGGCAAACTCGCACACCAGAGCAATATGATCACTCCCCCATTTCTGCATAAGAAGTCAACGGTAAACCTTAGAAGGGGTAGGCTAAGAGAGAGAGAGAAGGGGAGAGAGAGATTGAAGTTTACCCTTGTGGGAAAGCCACAGGTTCGTCGGAGAACATTCTGTGGTATTGTATCCAGCACTCGAACAGTTTGGAGTCCTTCAGAGTGCCTGGTGGACAAGTAGACTTATAAAGCAAAGGATTGGTGCTAATTGATCAAGGATGGGGCAGATTGGCTCAACGGAAGAGGAACTGAGGGATACTAGTCACTAGAATATGAAGGACAATACAATAGCTAATAGGCAGTGCTGATCGACTATACAATGGAATATTTCTGATGCCAACTGACCATATATAATCGACTGTGCCCATGAATTGCCTGTTGTAGCTTGTCACCTTGGGTTCTCCATTGGAATCCTTCGTCCCTGCATAATCCTAAAGGAGCAAAAACATATAGAGGTGGAATTCAAAAAAAAAAAATCCCCCTGAAAATCATTGCTAAATAAAAAAATAAAAACCGCATCAACTTTGAACTGCCTTCCCAAAATTTTGGAGCAACAGATGGATAAGCATCATAGCATCCCCATCAATAAGATGGACAATCAACAGATACCGAGGACCCGGAATATAAAATCTGAAGGATCATAGGAGTAGAGCAAAAGAGAGAAAACCACCCCCTCACAGCATAAAAGAAATCAATCAAAGAAATGGGTGAGCCATCGAGTACCTCGACTTCTGTGTAGGCACTCTTCAACTTGAGATTATGCTCAAGAGAGGTAGTTTCTGGGTTTCCTGATGCTGCTGTGATTTCCATAGGGGTCCACAAAAAAGGATCAGGATACGACCGGCGCATCCATTGGCTTGAAAATGATGCGCCTGATAGTACTTCCATAGACTCCTGCACATTACTCGGTCCATGAAGCTCTTCAAGAAAAGTAGGGTCTGAGCTGCCCTCTTCCCCTTCATCAATTGGACAAGAACTTGCTTCTAGTGCGGCATTACCATCACTGATATCAGAAATTCCCGCTTCAGTGACGTCAAGGACAGTGTAAGAGGTTACCCTTTCTGCCATAACCTGTACGCTAAGGGTACTCAAATTTTCCACCTTTTCTGTAGTATGACCCGCTGACAAATCCTCTGTTGCAAAATCCAAACACGAGTCCAAGTTCTTGTCCTCGTGAGAATTATGACGGGAAACATCAAGAATAGTTCTTTCTAGATCAGATGGCAAACCAACTGGGGATACAGCAATGCTTTCTGAGGAAAAGGTAATTGCCTTTGAGATCCATTGACATGAAGTCCTATTGAGGATAACAACATCGGGTATCGAATCCGAACTATTATCCACGCCATGCGGAGTAAGACCATCTTTATCTCCTACCCGAGAAGGTATATTATTGGAAGAGTTTGAAGCATCTTTAGTCATTTCGATACCAGTGAACTCTTCCTTCAATCTTGCGTGAGTTGTGGATGAATTCACCTCATGAAGCAAATCTATAGTGTCAGCCTTGGCCTCAATGTTCCCAGAGGTTGTGACTAAATGTTGATCAAGAATGCTCCTCAATGTTTCACCGGAAGAACAGGGATACTGGAAGTCTACTGTTGAAGGGAGAGCAACACCCTGAGAGGAAGCATTTCTAGAACTGTCCGCACCTTCTCTTTCCTCAGAGGTCACAATGTCACCAGGCTGAAGCATATCCACACTCGTTTCTGTTGGTGAATATTTTTCCTCGCATGTGGTTGAATTGTCAGATCCATCCATTTCTATTCCTGCAACGTTCATCAGGTTTGAATTTATTCCCATTTTCAGATTCTCTATGGAAGTAGATAATCACTAAGACACGATTGAAAGAGAATTGATTACCTTGTAATGCGTTATCTGTAATGCCCTTATCGCTGTGATGGCTTTTCATTCCCAGTTCCTGATTAAATGTTCGTGGTGGGTAGTAAATGGGAGAGTATTGTCCCGAGACAGTGTTCCTAGCAAGCCCAGATAAATTTAACTGCAAGAAAGTAAAAATGCTTACATCTACAGGGAAATATCTATACAGAAGAAACCCAATTTTTTTCGCAAAACACTTACCTTCTGCTCGGAAATAAAATTGTAAAGTGGGCTCTGAAAAAACATAAAGAAGCACAGGTGAGACTCAAAGAATAGCATAGTTGTAGCAAACAAATAGCTTTAAACTGAGCACGCCCTCCATTCAGAGAATACAAATTCGACCTTTGGGGTGCAGTTGAAATCTCCGCAGATGATAACTGGAGCATCATCCCAAATCTTAGAGACAGAGTATGCTTGATTTAGAAGTGTTCTGACCTGCACAGAAAATCAGAAAGTTAGCTATAGCCGTTATAGTTGGAGTCCATAAGCTTAGTATGTGCCATGATGTGATGCCCGCACACCCAACATAGGGAAAAACTCGTTATCTTTTGTTTTATTGATGAGACTGAGATGTTTAGGTTCGTTGTATAAATTAAGACCCTTCTCACCTACCAGAATTAGCGTTAATAAAGCCCTCATTAACAAATAAACACGATCTACTACCACAAGATTGATGCCTCAAATAAGAGAAATCACAATTCATAAACAATAATTCACAGGGCTAAAAATAGGTCGGAGTTGAATGTATGAGAAGAAATCCATCTGATATTGCAAATTTGATGCCCATCTGAGAATACTCCTTTCACTTGACAAGTTTAGAAGTCGAACCTATCAGTGAGGTTAAGGGATGAGGACTATTTGACAAGCTCATACGATAGGCCCCATTTGGCGAGTTAAGAGATGTAGTTCATTTCGAAGTCTGTGGGCTGAAACTCATTTGACAAATCGGCCATTTGCCAGTATATAGGAAGGAACCTATCAATAAATCAATAAGATGAAGCTCATTTACGAGTATAATAGATGAAGTTGATTCAACAAATTCATCTAATTCATTTATAGGCTCATGAAATAAAACGTATTCGACAAGTCTATGGGATGGGGCCCATTTGACGGCATCATAAGATGAAACCAACTTCACAATCCCATTGAATGCGACGTATTTGATGGCTCGTAGGTGCAAGGAGATGTTGGGTTATTGAAGGATTCTGTTGATTGTAGGCACTGTAGGTTTAAGGGGTTCAAAATCTGGATTCATGACCAGAATCTATTGGGCAGGATGCCAGTCGAAACACAATAAGGAATGTGAACAGCAATCACAGTCCCTCGGGACTGGCCAAATTTGCAGTTATTTCGAATTCAATAATGAAATCAAGGAAAATTGTGAACGGACAGTATATGTTATTAAAAAAAAATTGCAGCAGCAAAGAAGGATGTACCTGGCCAAGTTTAATTTCTCCTCTCTTCGGATTGTAAAGCACATGAATGTTGCAGACCACAACCCGATCGATTCCCAGGGATGGATGAGATCTGCATTTTCTTTCCCATTAGAAGCTATCATAACGCTTCTATTCATTTACTATCACACATAAAGTGGATAACAGCCATACAAAGCAATGGAAATTGAGCAAATGATAGCTTTTTCTTCGTTGTGAGTGGACAACTTAAGATATAAAATCCAGTTCTCTACAAAGCTAGATGGATTGAAGATGTTATGACAGGAGTACGGTGTCTGTAATTTTAGACAAGGCACAAGGAAAAGGATTCGACCTACCTCGCAGGTGAAGCCGCAGAACTGTTACAAGGACTTTGACTCGACTGATAAATAAAAACAATCACACTGCATTAGTATGCTGACCCAGTAAATGAAAAAGAAAAGATGTAGAGAAGACCACACCAGAAGAATTAATCTGACCCATTGAAACAGTGAAAACTAACATTATATTACATTTTTTTTCAGAAAAATATTATGGGATACCTCTAAGACGCAAATCTGCGCAACATTATCTCGAAGTCCAAGTTTAGCAAACTCAATGTGCTCCTCATGCCTTAGCACAAACCTAGTACCAATGCAATGAGGTTCCCAGTAAGACAGCTGATTCACAAAATGCAAAAACTAAACTCGCAATAGATCAAAATAAATGATTCTCATTGTTGGACCGAAAAGAATTAAATCTTTATTTTTACTCTCCTATTACTTATTTGAGAAAAAAATGGACGATAAATTCTGAGGGATTATCATTCTATTGGAAATAATATCAATGATTACTACCAAGGGATCACACAGATATGGACCGGAACTGTGACTTCTACCCTCTCATGAAGACAATACACACTGCAGGCCTAATCAACAGCGTGTCATACACCCCGAGATAGACAGCCTCCACAGCTAGAATGGAATACCAGATATCTCTTAGTCCGAGCACAACAGCCAGAGGTAATGCCAGCAATCAATCAGTGAGAGTTGGAAGAATAAATGATCCAAAAGGCTAAAAATAAAGTAGTCCGAACCAATGAATTTGCAATAAAAAACACCCAAATATGCTCCACACTACTACTGTATGTAACGCAGGGAATGTAATCTGATACGCAGAAAGAAAAAGAGTAAAAAAATAATGGATTTCTAAAAATGCCTACGCAAGGAACGATTCATCTGAAAACATTCTGTATCGAAGGAATCTTTCCCCCACCTTACAACCACAACCATGCAAGAACTGTGGGTAATAACGATATCTCAAAAGCTCCAAATTTTCTCTAGCCTTCCTTCATAGTGATTAAAACCTTAGTCACCCAGAACCAAAGTTTGAACCTAGAAGTGAATATTCATCTGTATGCTCATCGGGTACTCAAATATGAACTAAAAAAACACCAAGGGATAACGCATAAGATATCAGATGTGTTCAGTCAAAAAAGGGCAGAGACAATATCAGCAGTCGATTTTTCATTTTTCGTAAGATTTTATTTTTACATAGTAGAAGAAGATGACATAAATCACAACAGACCAAATGTAATTCAGTAATTGCTGACTACTCCCAAAATCTCAAGGCAAGCACCCAAGCAAACCTCCAAAACCCATGAATCTTCATTAAAATCCTCAGATTTGTAATTCTAGCTCTGGGAGTTGGGCAAACCAAACAAAATAGGAGCCACGAAAATATATACGTAGGACGCACTTCTTGTACAGATATTGGGTCAGAATATAAAACGAAGAAGCAGAACCAAATACGATAAAGAATGGGAAAATTAAGGATACGATGTACACTGTAGAAGTATGAAATAATATCGCAAATTTACTGATTAAATATGAAAAATGAAAAAAAATACAATACCTACATGCCCGCCAAAAAACAGCACATCCATCTACTGCATCACCAGTACGCATCTGCAGCATATATGAATGCTTGAAGTCTGTGATAGAGCAAGGATAAACAAGCACCACATAGAAGCGAACCAAACACTTGCAAAACGAAAATCTTTCACACACCATAATCAAGCAAACTCCCAGAAGCAAAACTGAAAGCAAAATGAATTCCACCCTCAGTAGAAGCATGAAAAGCTATTTGAATGTGGTTCAGGTGACAATGGATGTTAAACCAATCGCAAATTTTCAAACTGAATTATTTTAAAATAAACCATAAAATGGTAATGTATATATTAGCTACTCAAGCAAGTCCAAAGAATCCCCTTTTCTAACTTATAAGCTAATTATTTTTCATCGCTCCTGACCTTGGAACAAGTTACATTCAGTCCATTTTCAGGCAAAAATTTTCTGCCAGGGTCCTAAGGATCATCCATTCACGACTCCAGAACCGGTGTTTCAACACATTTACATCTTCATCATAAATGTCAAACAAATCTCCAAACCGGGCATCAGCTTCATTTGCTGGCACTACTGAAATGGACATGAAGACCACACAGCGGAAATAGGCGAGAATAAACCTGCAATATTTTAACCCACCTTCCAAACACCATTATATCCTCGGAGGGCCAACTCTTTCTCCAAGTCCTGGAATCTGTCCACCTCCTGTGGGGGATCCAAAATCAGAGGTGGCAACAAATTTTTTGAAGAGGCATAAAGACCACATAAAAATAAAAATAAAAAATAAAAAAGTCGTCAAAAGCAATGATAGATGGCATCAGCCTAGTCAACAGTGCACAACATTTCCCGAATTTGCCAAACAGTCTGTGAAGTAGACAGCAGTTCCTAGGAGTACCTGAAGACACATAATGTCGGGAGACCACAACCCGAATTCAATAAATAATCTGCTCTTTCGCCATTCCCAGTCCAAAACTTCAGGCGGTATGTGGAAATAAAGCTTTGACCAATGGTCTCGAGCAAGATAGTCTGCAAGGATGTTGTACGAGAGCACTGTGAACCTCCCTGGAGATCAGAAGCAAGACAATCAAGAAACCCAAGGGCGTTAGATATGAGAAAGGCTGGAAGAAATAGACTAAGAAGAAATGGGATGTCCTGTTTCATAAAAACTAACGGGGAGAATAAACTGGGTTCCCTCAATTTCCAGATGAATATTATGCTTATAGAACCCATTGTTCTCTGTGCGGCGGATAAAGCCAGAAGCTTTAGGACGCCGGTACAACCCCACACATGTTCAGTGGTCAGTGTTGAAGATGGGCGCGCAAAACACCCCGTTCAAGAACCCTAGAAAGGAATCGTCCCCAGAATCCTCGGGAAAATTGTCGATGAAGAATGGATGAGAGACCGTCCACTTACCACACTCAGCCGGCGGCGGCGGCAACGATGAGCTAACCCACTTCCTGAAGTCAGCGGGCGGCAGCCGGGGCCTCGGCGGATGAGGTCGGAACGCCGGATGTGGCCCTTGCCAGGATTGCCGAGGTGGAGCACCGCGGAATTGAGGACGAGGACCGAAATCCGGCCACACAGGTCGCCATAAACCTCGAGGCCCCGTGGGTCCATAAGGTTGAGGAGCTTGATGGCGGAAACTAGGGTGGTGAGGAACAGTCGATAAATACCCGTGAGGCGGCGGAGACGAGAACCCCGGACCAGGCGGTGGCGGATGGAAAGACGATGGCCCAGATACCCAGGCATCGCCTCTCCACCCCACACGCTGCACGTAGTTCTCCTCGCTCACGGTTGTGAGGTGCTCATCCCCCCCAACGAATACACCTCCGTTTTTCCCCTGGAGGTCCCATGGAGACTGCCCGTCGCAGAAACCCCGGCGCCATCTACTCTGGCCTCCAACCTGCTGGACGGATGTAGGGAGGGAGAAGGAGAGCAAGCGAATTATGTGTCGACAATTCAGTACAGTTCTGGAAAGAGGGGAAGAACAACCGGGCTAGGAAGCTCACAGGGCCGCGTGAAGAGGAGTGCCTGGCTGCCATGGTGGAGGAGGACGCGGCCGCGATATACAGGCGATCCCGCATGGCCCCTGCTCCTCTCTGTCGCGAGCGGAGAGCCCTCGCAGGCGGAGACAATCAACCGCGAATCACCCACCGCCCCCGAGTTGTTCCCACGCATTTTAGCTTTCATTGAATCAGATTAATTATACTCAAAGAATCGAGGGGATTGCGATCCCTCCGCCACCGGCGAGTTGCAGAGTTCGCGCAGAGAGCACGGAGATGAAGGGGGCGGCGTTGACCGGTCGATGTTTTATAAACATGATGCTGCAGTTCTACAAAACCTTCAACGAGAATTACATCACAAGAAGAAAAAACTCCGCGCAGTAGTAGCAACCGGAAAGTAGCAGCAGCTACGCGATTTACAGACAGAACCCGCCCTATTTATTGGGGAGAACGGGAGCGAGATGACAGAGGAGACGCGCCTCTCCCCCCTCCCCCCATCATCATGGATCTCTCTCCTCCTACCTTCCTCTCTAGTTGCAGACCCAACTCTCTCTTCCCCCCCAAACCTCAACACCATCAAGAGGACAAATCAGCTGCCGGTGCGGTCTCCTTCCTCCTCGGGGCGGTCCTTGGTGATCTGCAGGCCGATGACCTTCCTCCCGAGGTCGTTGACCCCCGCCTTGCTCTTGGCGGCAGCAGCTGCAACTCCATTCTGAGGAAGCCCCTCCAGGTCGTCCACCGGACTGGTCTGCCAGATCCTGATCGTCCCGTCCTCGGAGCCGGAGGCGTAGGACTCGCCGCCAGGGGAGAAGCGCACGCAGTGTACCGGCCCGTGGTGGCCCTTGTTGCAGGCTGACAACGCACACAGATCATCGATCAATCAGGACGGGAGATTCAGACGGGAACCTCTTCCTCGCGAGAAGAGCTCGGGAATTCAAACTTACTGGTCTCTTCGCCGGTCTGGAAGTCAAACACGTGGACCCACATGTCTTCTCCGCCGGCGATGAACTTGTTGCCGAACATCGGCTCCAGCGAGGCCGACTCCACGGTGCAAGGCATGCTGTAGCTCTTCACCAGCCCAAAACTGCAGGGAACAGGCAGCGCCGCCGCTGTCAGAGCGACCAAGGTGAAGCTTGAAATGGGTTGACGCCGGAGAGAAAGAGGATTACTCACTGATTCGCGTCCCAAAATTTCACAGTGGAACCATCGGCGGTCGTGATGTATCGACCATCCTGGCTCACTTCGGCGCTGGTCACAGGGGACTTGGTCTCTAGGGTTCGGATGATATTTCCACTTCTGACGTCCCACAACCTGTTCGTCCCATTATTCATCCAGAACAAGAAAAAAAAAAAAAAACCAGTTCAGAATTCACAGTAGATCAATGCGAACTGCAATAAAATGAGCACAATTTCAACAGTTTCTAAAACGGAACGAGGCCCTTCAAGAAGAATCGGGGCGTGCACTTGTATAAATCTGAGAAATTGTGCTAGCTGGGAAAGGACAAGATGCAATTTTTGCACCTTCCGAGTTCTGATAAAACTCTGGGTCAGCCAAGATTTTCACGGAAGGTTTCTGCAAGCTGATCCACACAAATCAGAAAAATCCTCGGCATTCAACTAGCAAGTTCCCCTATTCAAAGTTCAAACGGACGATAGACGAGAATCCAAAGAAAAAATAAGGCCAATCCTCTGAGGGTGGTAGTAAGGAGAAGATATCGCAAGGTGATGCAAGAGAATCAGTATCCATCTTTGTTTCCCTTTCAATCTTAATTGATGGCATCCCAGATGCTCCCACATCACACTACGATGATCATCGATTCTTGTAGTTAACAAGCTCACCGGATATATACTGCGTGGCATAATGTACAGGGATGACCGCGCCATTAAATAAACAGCCCATTTGAACGAAACTAACAAACAAAAATAACTTCGGTAATTCGAAATAAATAAATAAATTCGAGTTATTTGTGGAATTTACTCATTTTAAAAAATTGGGCAAAGGATTTACAACAGAAAAATGAATTTCTGAGTAGCAGAAGGGATAAATTAATACATGTCATAATTTATTTAACTTCGCCAGTCGCCTTTCACGGGTAAAATACCATTAGAAAAACGAAAAATAGGTGGCATCAACAAATCCATACCTAACACCCCCCATATCAGTGCAAGAACTAAGAATCGTCTGATCACTGTGAAGCCAGGCTGCAGTTCTGATGGAACCAGGTGACTTGTCAACATCCCTCGGAGGAGCATCTGGGCGATTCAGGTCAAAGATACGTAGAACCTTCTCAATTCCTCCAGTCAGCAATAAATGCGTATCCTGCATCGAGTTGAAAACGTGGTCTAAGAAGATCTGACCATCTACATAGAATTGTGTGATATGCATCAAGAAGAACTAATACACCACCCTTCCACAGAAAACCCAAGCTAGACACCCCCAAAATGCAACAGAATGCACCAGACATGGAAGTATGGGAAAATTCCCCACTTTGTTCATCGCAAAATGTCATGACCATTCGAAGAGATGTAAGGGCTTCCCACATTCTCATCAATTCCATAATCTCTCCTCTCATCAAGCCTGCCAATTTTTTCCATCTAAATAACTCAAAAAGGTACCTAAATCACCATCCGAGATGTCACCGATATCTACTATTCAAATTGGGGATTATTCAACGTCACATTCATTTCCATAAAAGATCATACATTATAGGTCATCAACCTTACCTGTAAATCTTTATGCAAGTGTCCCTTCACGGTACTTTGTGAACGAGTGAAACAGGTACGCATGTTCTCGCGAATTTGAGTATTATTTATCAAGCGGATGGCAAGCCGACAAAACCCAGCTCAATCAAAAACTATTTGCCCTCCGAAAATATCTCTAAGAAAAACTGAACCATCTTAGGGCGCACAGTGCAGCTCAGAAGCTGGTGGTCATCTTTAATTAATTTAAAAATAAAATGCTCAAAGTAAACACCAAAAAAAAAACCCAACAAATTCACAACATTGGAAGAGAGTATCTACGGATGAAAATTGCATTTACCTCAGAAAAGGCGCATGCACGAACGATGTGCTTGTGTTCAAAAGAATGAAGTTCGTCGCCAGTTAGTGCATCCCAAATCTTTCTGCAAATTAATGAGTGAAAGAGAAATGACGATCCAAAAGAATATCATGGAAGGACATATTTAGTACTCTGTGATTGTTCCACGTTCATACAGAGAAAAATATTGAAATTATTGGAAATGATGAATACAAGGAACCTAAACTACCATATCCAACTTGAAAATGATATATAAATTCCTTTCCTGATTGTTCTGCGTGCTGGAAATTGGAACGTCCGTGGGTAGAATTTGGGGATGATGAGGAAATTAGCATCGACAAATTGGAACGTCCCACTGATTCCCCTGTTCGCTCTAGGACAAATCACGTGTGAAAGAGAAAGGTATCTTCGTAGGTTCAAAGTGTCTACAGGTTAGAAAGCTTTAGACGGGGATTCTAGAGGAGTGTCATTTCACTAGGATCTCTGTTTTAACGAAGCTGGTGCCATCATCATTAACATGAACATATTCCTTTATAGGGTCTCTTCGAAGGAATAAGGATGGAGTTTTTCTTATTTTTCCTTGTGGAAGACGATCCCAGAGTTTTGAAACTTTCTTTGGAGAGGATATTCTTCAATAATAAAAAACTCCCAGAATGCAATGCGAGAACATGCAGTCCTCAAAAGTAATCTCAAAATTGCAACAGTCCAAACTCATAAGTGTGAACCTTAGAGAAAAGAAAGAATGCAGACAGAGCGTGCTATCTAGGGACAGGTCTCCATGGAAGCCAAAAAGGCACTCTGTCGAACAGGCCATCCAAATTTTCATATATTTCGATGGCATGGATCCACCAAAGAATAAACGACTTAAACAGCGAAAACCGGCCCAACAATGTTCTAAGCATTTCTCTGAACTAAATTGACCTTTCACTGCCCACTCTCTTCATCCAGCTTTTACAGCCTTTCCATTTTGTTTCTTTTGTGAAGAATTTATTCTTGTATCAACATTCAATTCCGACTTACTAGCATCGCACTACATTCAATCAGGATTCTATGCAATACAACGAATCTTTCAGGCAATCATATACTTCGAGTGAATGTAAATATTTATGTCTGCATATAGACACGATTTGAAGATGGCAGAAATAGCAACAAAAAAAGAAGGAAAAGGGCTACATACGCTGTAAAATCTGCTGAGCCAGAAGCAGCACGTAAAGCATTCCTATCTAGACAGCAACTCCATACTGCACCTTTGTGCCCCTCAAACGTTCCAATCCAATCGCCTGTTTCTCCATTCCTCAACATGGGACTTGAATCTGCAAAAAAAATTGTAGCGCGGTAATGAATCGCAGACCACTCAACTCTAGTGATGTATGTCAAATATCACAAAATTTACCATTTATTCTAAGTCCTTGATTAACAATTGGCGGATTTTTTACCAAACAGACAGACAAGGCTTCCCACCCACTTGAGGTCAAACTTAAGGCGGGATGCCATCATAAGCTGATCGGCATTCTCGAAGATTAGAGGACGGGAGAAAAATATCTTATAAGGTGTACAACCCAGCCATCCAAATACCGACGAAACATAGCATCAGGCCATATAAAAGAGAGATAAGTTTTTTGAGGAGGAGATGGACAAATACAATGAAGATCAGAATGGTGTCCGATTACCTACGTATTAGGTTGAAAGCTGCTAGGGGCTAGTTTCTAAATCAGGCAATTCCGACGTACACAAAGAATTTAATTTTGACGCGGTAATCACTTACCCTTGCTAGCGCTAATGAGAAAGAATCCATCAGGCGTGATGGGGCTGTAGAAGAGGTCCACAACAGGACGGGAATGTCCATGGCACACCAGAGGCACGGTCACCTTCTTCTTATCCATTCGACACCAGCCCTAATTACTCCGCGGAAGCCCGAAGCTATCCCAACACCCGTAGACACGGATCCTCCAGCTAAAACGAGGGGGGAAAAAAAAAAACCCCGTAAACGCGAACAAGAGCACACCCACCCACACCCCACAGATGTCAGGACAAGAAAAAGGGGAAACGGGCCAGCTCCAACCCACGGCAACCGCGAGAAACAATTATCTTGAAATTGGCGGAAAACCCTAACCCTAGCCGCCACTAGGGAAAAATATCAGCACAGCGCCTGATGAAGAAACAACAATGAGAAGAGTGGCGAAGGGAAATCGTCTTCGCAGACGAGTGAGCGACGGAAATCTCCGTTCACGAGCGGGAAAACGCCGATCGAGCAGCAGTCGATCGATCACACTGCTCGGGGGAGAATCGAAACACAGATTGTATCAACATCTACCCAGTTAGCACGTAGAATTTTTTTAATAAAAAAGGAAGAAAAAATATGAGAAACTTTTAGGTGCGGACAGGCGTAGAGGTGAGGGCTCTCGGACACCTTTTAAAGAGGCGACACCTTCGCTCACTGACTGCTCCGGAGAAACAACGATCGTTAGATCCTGGGCCGTCCCCAGCTGGTGTGGATCGAATCCCGAGCGGGCCCGATTGATCCGAGTCCACCAGCCTTTCCCAAACCAAAGCAAGACCCGACCGATTCACTTTTTTTTAAAAAAATATTAGTTCGTATTAAATAATAAATAGTTTTGATAAATTACTCAAATGCATATAAATGCACATTTATATAATTTAAATAAGTTTTTAATACTCCAATATTTTATACAAAATTTTAGAACACCCGGCAAAAACCTTGCCCAGAACCAATATACATGCATATCTTTTGTGTAAATTACTTGATATTTATTTATAACATCCGGCAAAAATGATTGCCCACGTGTCGATCACGTGGCCTCGAAGAACTTTTGCCTCGTGTGGGTGTGAAGACTTTAGAGGTCTCGAGCCCATGCAAATGAGATATTGCCCATGTAGCAATAAGAAGGCCCGGGGGGCATGCAAGTGAAAGCCCGAATTATTAAAGAAATATATACATTTATATTTACATAATTATTTCGTGTTAAATGAGTGAAATAATTTATATGAAATGTATAATACCCAGCGGAAACATTGCCCACAAAGCAATTAAATGGTTCGGGGTGAATTATAAGAGAAGCATACATATATACATATTTGCATTATTTAAATTACATTAAAGGAGTCAACTAGTTTTTATGATATTCATTTCGCCAAGTTAATAACGCTGCTTCATGTCGACTTGAACAGGTAGATGTTAGAGCAATTTAGGCGGAAATTTGGATTGGGATTGGTAGGGGCCGCGCGAACGCAGGCCCCCGCTGACACAAATTATGACGTACACTCTCCCACTTGGGGAGATGTTAGGCGGGCGCCCCCACTCAGTGCAATGTGGGTCGCCAACCTAGGCCATGAGCCTTCTTGATCACCCATTGACCCCGTCCAGGTAAGTATGTTGGAAATGAGGGCAGGGTACTTTATTTCTAGCCTCAGCTGGGATGGGATTTGACATATTTCCGATGTGGGACTATAGTGAGCTCGAATCTCCCACCGGGTTGACTCGATAACCGGGGCGCGGTGTACAAACACTGGCCATCAGTTGGCATGAAGAGGGGGGAGACATCGTCTGAGGCTCCTCGGAAGCCTGAGTTGATCGCACGGAAGGCCCTAGTTCTTCCAAATTCCCTCTAGATGTTTGCGGTGAATTTTTTATTGCCTGGTCGATGAAATGATCCCGACTCGGTTCCCCGATTGATTCCCTCGCACTACTTTTTTGCATCTTTGTATCGTTTTGTTTACTCTTGTTTCTGCTGAGGTAATTCTTCTGTGCTCCTCTCTGCTCCCGAATCAACTGCTTCGTTTTTCCTTTCTCATGGCATGGAGCTCTTCACATTTTCCTTGCTTTGATGTAGTCGCCCCTCGGGGTCCTGGTGACCGAGATGGGCTCTGCTGCCGCACAGTGCCCACCCGGGATTCGTTCCCTTCCTCATGGTGAACCCAGGGTTTGCCTCCCCAAGACGAGTTTTCCCTGGCCTCATTGTTCCCCGGGTGTGGAGCCTCAGAAGATCATCCTCCGCCAAGGTTTAATTTCCTGCCGTGCGAAGAAGGTGCGTCAAAGACTCTCCCCATCTCTCCGTCTTTGGTCCTGCAAGTGTCTCTTCCTCGGAGAGAGCTGATTCCCACAGCTCTCACCCGTCTCGGTTAGTCGCCAATCCACAGCTCACTCCTTGATATCAGGACTCGCATGTCCGAAGCCCATTTCGTTCTAGGAGGCGAGTCAAGATGATAGCTAGCGCTCTCCTCAATCGAAAAAGCATTTGATTACCGTGTTTTGTCCCTGTGCCATCAAACCCCAGTACCTTGCTCTGCCTAGCGAGTACTTTCCTTTCATTTATTTTCTCAGAGACAGACAAACGACTCGGTCTGAGATGGCCTCTCGAATTATTGAACCGCTTCCTGATTCGCGTAGAACGGATTGTAGGGAGCTTGCAGGAAAATGGGTGCCCTACCCGAAGACAGTGAGTTTTTCTGGGAGAAGGAGCCCACGCCGGTGCTGGATACATTAGAAACTCCTGCCCAGTTGAAGAAGTTTTCTTCCAAGGAACTGAAACTGTTGGCTGAGGAAATCCGATCAGAGATCCTCTACATCGCGTCCAGAGCAGGCCGGCCCTTTAAAGCCAGCGTTGGAGTGGTGGAGCTGACCCTCGCCATACATTATGTCTTCAACGCGCCAGTGGACAGGATACTGTGGGATGTTGGTGAACAGGTTCCTGCTAGCATGATCATTCCCCTGATTTAGATGGAACTGGTATTATTATTCGTTCAGTCATGGTTTTTCGTGGAACCCTGTGAGACATTTATATTTTCCAATTGGACAGACATATGCTCATAAGATTCTGACTGGGAGACGGTCTCTCATCCACTCGCTGAAGCAGAAGAATGACACCTCAGTTTTCACGTCACGTTTGGAGAGCGAGTATGATGCTTTTGGTGCAGGACATGGATCCAACAGTGTCTCTGCTGGGCTAGGTAGTGATTTCTCCCAATTTATAGGCTTATTTTTAAATCAAAAGAACGTTCATTCTGCATCTCCTGCATTACTTCATCAATTATCTATCTGTCTTCAGACCCTATTTTTATTTCTCACGAAAATAAATCCCATATTTTGATCTCAGCAAGACATTTGAAAGTGGTTTCATCTGCTTGCGAGCTGTGGTTATGCTTAAGAGAACATTATTCATTCACGAGAATGAGAAAAGCTCACCTTTAAGTACTTCAGCTCGAAGGGGTTGCTAATTCGATTTTTTTCTTTTGTTCATTAGTACTTGCCAAATAATACTTATCTTCATTTGGCAAGGTTTAATAAATCGTTCTACTAATGGCTGTATTTTTTTGATGTGCCCCCCCCCCCCCCCATGTCAGGGATGGCAGTTGCAAGAGACCTTAAAGGGAAGAAGGAGCGGATAGTGACAGTAATTAGTAATTGGTCCACCATGGCTGGTCAGGTCTACGAGGGAATGAGCAATGCTGGCTATCTTGATTCCAATATGGTTGTAATCTTGAATGATAGTAGGCATTCATTGCATCCAAACCCAGATGAAGGTCAAAAGATGACAGTCAGTAGTCTTTCAAGCATTCTTAGCAAGATTCAGTCAAGTAAATACTTTCGAAGATTCAGAGAAGTTGCGAAGGTATGCTTCCTTTTCTTTCCGCTTCTCATTTCTCAGAGCGGCCTACAACAACGGCGATTCTTTCTAGACCCGGAGATCAAGAACAGCGACCACCCAAAATCTCTCTTGTCGACTGATTCAGGTCGATGTCTTGTGTTGTAGCAAAAAATGTCTTGCCCCCCTAACAATCAAACATTACAGGAGGACCTACTAGGGAACATTACTCGAAGAAGTCACAGAGGGTCTAGTTGATGTAATGTGCTTTCTTGGCAACTCGGTGCTCCCCTCAAAACCGAGTACCTTTCCTTTTCCTTGGAGTCAATTCATCCAGACCAGAAGATCAGGCATTCCTGATTTTATTTTGACGGGAATATCCTTCCCTAAATTATAAAAAAAAAAAACAGAAAATCAGTGAGGAATCTCTTAGCCTCTGATAGAGGTGAAATCGAATAGATAAGATGAAGTGTGTGATATAAGAGGATATGGGTTTTTTTTATAAAATACTCTCTATTTTTAAATTTCGTATGCTCGCATTCTTTATTACATTTTATTAGAAATACATTTTCACTCATATCATATGTTTTTACGAGTAAGAAGCATGCAATTATGAATCATTTTGCAATGACTTTCCCGTCAATTTATTCAAACAAATTGGTATCCATGTCAGCCAAAATAAGATAGCTAACACTATGCCGAAATTTTGTTGCGCTCATTGCTGATGTGTTCAGGGTCTTACGAAACGGATTGGTAAAGGGATGTACGAGTTGGCAGCAAAAATTGATGAGTATGCGCGTGGTATGCTTGGTCCTTCAGGAGCAACTCTCTTTGAAGAGCTCGGTCTATATTACATTGGTCCAGTTGATGGGAACAACATTGAAGATCTCATCTGTGTACTCAATGAAGTGGCATCACTGGATTCAACTGGGCCAGTGTTGGTTCATGTCATCACAGAAGAGGCTATTGGCAATGCGTCCGGGATTGATGTGGAAGGACAAGCTGTCAAACAACAAGGTCCGTTTTAAAATCTTCCTATAGCTAATCATCTGCTTGCCATGTTGTTGCTGTATGCATTTTCTTCGTGTTTCCTGTTTCACGAATGAATTTAAAATATGTACTGAAAGATTATATCTTTTTTAAATCCCTTTCTTCTCCATCTTGGGGCAATCCAAAGGCTTTTTTGCTTTTCTTGACAGAAAAAACTCAGGTTATAATTCCTAATATAGATATCAGGGTTTTTTTTTGGGTGGTATTGGAAAACCATCAATCAGGTCATGAAATACTATTGCTCCACTGATACTCTTTCTATCAGATCTGCAAAGGAAAATATCATCTTTCAGCCCTCTGTAAACTCCCGAACAAAATTTTCTGAGATTTGTCTTTCTGCTCAGGATGGCAGCTGCTCCGTTTATGTGAATTAATCTTCCATATTTATTGAAAATACTCCATCAAAGTGCCCATATTTTCTAAATATGGTGCATATTTGACTATGCAAATGATAATAATACTTCTCACAGCGACCTAAATGTAGGTAGGACCCGGCGAAGAATCCTAGACATTGGTAGAGCTTTTCGAATGTAAGGTGCATTGATACAAGAGATCCATTGATGTTGACGAGGCTATCTGGTTATGGTTATTTGTTTCTTTTGGTAAAGGGTTCGGTTGCTAGATATTTACTCGCTAATCGTTCCCTGCTATGCTGCGCAGTTGTTCATAAAACGCCAGGCTACATCTCAGAATCTTCAACGGCAGGCCTTTCAAGGACGTACAATGACTGCTTTGTCGAAGCTCTAGCTGCAGAGGCGGAGACGTCTACAGAAATTGTAGCCATTCACGCGGGTGTTGGGATGGACGCTTCACTCCGATTTTTGCAGTCTAAGTTCCCCGAGAGGTTTTTTGATGTGGGTATGGCCGAGCAGCATGCCGTCACATTTGCCGCCGGCCTGTCTTGTGGGGGCTTCAAACCCTTCTGCATAATTCCGTCGACATTTCTGCAGAGAGCATATGATCAGGTTTCTCCTCTCTGTGGGCAATTCTTTATGTCCCTACATTGAAGCTACATCTCTATCTCTCTCTCTCTCTCTCTCTCTCTCTCCCTCTCTCCCTCTCTCTTTCTCTCTTGCAACTATTGCTCTTAGATGTCATGAATTTACGTTCAGAGCTGTATGATCATGCCTGATCTACGAAAGCTTTGGATATGAGATAATCCTTTGTAAACTTTCTAGAAGAAAAGAAACTGGTGAGGATCTCAACATGTTTTCTTTCCACCAACCAATGCTACTAGAATCAGGGCTTAAAGCTTCATCAATGAGGGCCTAGAAAAATCTTGAGTTTATGTTTATGTCTGTTGCTTCATCAATAAGGGCATTTCTAGAACTCTTATAGCTGGAGAGTTGACTTATTGGAGTCCTTTTGACTACTGTTTGGACGATTTCATAGTTCGTCCGTTGTTGTTTCAGAGTCAAATGACTTCGTTTCATGACATAAACGGATGTCCCATCTTCCATTGAAAACCCCGCAGGTCATTCAGGATGTGGATCTTCAGAGAATTCCGGTGCGGTTTGCGATCACCGACGCTGGACTGGTTGGGTCTGATGGCCCAGTTCGGTGCGGGGCCTTTGACATCGCATTCATGGCATGCCTGCCTAACATGATCGTGATGGCGCCGTCAGATGAGGATGAGCTCGTTCGCATGGTTGCCACTGCCGCGCAGATCAACGACAGGCCGGTCTGCTTTCGATTCCCCAGGGGAGCCATTACTCTAAACACCCCTTTATATAGTGGGGTACCACTTGAGGTGATTCCTTCATCTGCATCAGCTTTAGATCCTGTTTGACTCCCGCACTGTCAGATTCTCTCGTTTGACGCAACTCCATTGTTTGACTCGGCTTCACTTACCAACATCTTGACTTCTGCTTTAAAAGGCACATTTTTATTTTTCTTTTTTTATTTTTTTTATGTGGTCACAACACCATATTTGTCGCAAGAAATTCCTGCAACCTGCCCTTTTTCTACTGCCAGTTCTGGTTTTCATGGCTTTCCTCTGATTCAGATTGGGAAGGGGAGAGTTCTTGCGGATGGGGAGGATGTGGCCCTGCTCGGGTACGGAGTGATGGTGCAGCACTGCCTGAAGGCGCGCGCCCTTCTGGCCCACCTCGGAGTTCAGGTGACCGTCGCCGACGCCAGGTTCTGCAAGCCACTCGACATCGAGCTCCTCCGCCGGCTGTGCGTTGACCACAAGTTCTTGATCACCGTGGAGGAAGGCACAGTTGGGGGGTTCGGATCCCACGTTGCCCAGTTCATGGCCCTCGACGGGCTGCTCGACGGAGGAATCAAGGTGTCCGTCCACCTCACCATCTTCCTCGCTTCCTCCACTCTCGACGATCAGAAAAATCGTCGACCTTCTCTCAGCTTTGAAGCCACATTTCTACTTTTGGCCAGTTTTTCCTTCCTCCTTCCTGATCTCGAACATCGATCGGATCTGTTTCAGTGGCGGCCGATCGTGTTGCCGGACAGCTACATCGACGGAGCGTCGCCCAAGGAGCAGCTCGAGATGGCGGGGCTGACCGGTCACCACATTGCGGCCACCATTCTGAACATCCTGGGCCGAGCTCGCGACGCCCTCCTGTTGATGAGGTAGGGAAGGAAGCTCCAAGATCCTCTCTTCCTTCTCCCCTGGCGGCGGGTCAACCACTTGCTGTAATTGAAGCCCCCCTCACCTCTTGGTCAACCGTGTTCTTGAGCCATGTTTCTCCCCCCAGAGGAGCCTTTCATTGGGCCTAAATTTCCGACGTCCGGGGACCACACGATCGCCTTCGTACGGCAGAAGATATGTTCAGCTTCGTACGAATGACATCACTAGTTCTGTAAAGGGAGGGGGGGGGGGGCAAGTCGTTACGGCGTGGCGCCGCCGTCGTCTACTTCCCCAGTAGGAGGCCGCCAGCTGGCATCGTTGATAATGGGTTCCTTTTTCTGAACGCGCGGCATCGAGGCGACGTCTGCTATCCGACGGGCGAAAGTCAGCGCCACAGACAGAGACGGGAGAGAGAGGGAGGAAGAGAGTTGGAACAGAGAAAACTACGAGGGGAAGGGGGAGGAGGGGGCGGCGTTTCATTCCTGGGGGTGGGTGGGTGACCTGGTCGCCATCATCCGCTCTGAGTGAGATGGGATAACCAGTATTGGGCTCCTCTCCTCCATTGGCATCTCGACTATATTGTTGTGTGGGGGGGGTGAGGAGTCGGGTGGGGCCTTGAGGAGCGAGGAGGCTCTGCGAGGGCAGGAGGCTGGGAGCCTCGATTTCTTCTCATCTTTTCCGGCAGCAGTGTTGCCGCGTCGCAGACCGGGATCGAGGTGCTCCTCTTCGCTGTATCGGGTTATAACAATCTGCTCGTGTCTGTGTTGGCGATCCTCGCTCTGTCTTATCTCCCGAATTTCGCTTCGTTGTGCTGTTGATCCGCGCTGTACGTGTGAAATAGTTTGATCTCAGATGCTGTTGCATGGATGTCCCTCCCATCGTCTTTCCCGCTCTTTTCACGCTCGTTTTTCTCCGGACATGGCGTCCATGCAAGAAGAGCATCAGAATGGCGGCCTTCTTCGACGCCTGTCTACTACAGCAGGCGATTTCGTCTCCGATCAACAACTGGAATTCCTATTTTTCACCTCTCAGCTGGTCTCCTCCTTGTCTTCGAACTGACGATCTCCATCGCTCGTCCAATTTCCTCTGATCGCGGGGAAATACCTCATTCCTCGAGGGAACCGACGACGTTCTTCTGGATTATCGGATGTTCCTTGCTCCCCGACGCCCACATCTTTCAGCTTCATGAACGCTCTTCGCCATGCTCGTCGTCCCCAGTTTCGTGCAGCGTGTTAGCCTTAATCTGATTAGATTAAGGCTCTGATTAAATTCAGGGCGTCCGGAACTGCTCTGATTAGAATCTTTCGGCATCTTTTTCTGGGTTTTCCGGGCCTCCCTCGCGAGGATCACATAGGAAATATTACTAGCCGCTCTCAGCCATTCCGTGAAGGAGTATAAAATTCTTCCCTCCGTCGCCATGATCCCTGCCCACTGTTAAATTCAGGGCGTCCGGAACTGCTCTGATTAGAATCTTTCGGCATCTTTTTCTGGGTTTTCCGGGCCTCCCTCGCGAGGATCACATAGGAAATATTACTAGCCGCTCTCAGCCATTCCGTGAAGGAGTATAAAATTCGCCTGTCAATTCTTCCCATAGAAATTGCCCAAAAAATGAAATCCGAAAATGACATGTGTTTACAAAATTGGAAGATGGACGAGTTCTTGGGGGATTCAGAACCCAGAAGAATATCTGAGCCGATGGATTTGACTTGCTCACCTTTATTGACGCCGACTGGTTGAATTGAGCATTGTACAGATGAACGTCATTTTCTTTTCCCTTTTGTTAGTATGGTGCGCCTTTTTTATTTGACCTGGGTCTCGACGGAGGGAAGAAGAAGCCTCTTCAAGAGGACTTTGTCAACGCTGGTAGTGATGTAGAATACCACGCCTTCTACAGTAATCCTAGGCCACCGAGGATGAACAGTATGGCGTCAGAACCGAGGAATGGTTGTTAGTATGGTGCTAGCTTTGTTGAAGGTACTCCGCCATTGATGAACTGCCTTTCTTTGATGCCTGCGACTCAAAATAGAGCTCAAGAATCTGGCAGAGGGGGTAGATCCATGGTACATCCTCCAAAACAGCAAGGCAATGGATGGAGATGAACCGATAGCCATGAAATAAGAGGTGAAACCAGGAGGATGAGTATCTGCGGACAGAGCAGCCACCTGAGGATGAATCAATGGTTTTCTTCCACAGTGGTTGCGAGATTTTTTTCCATATATGTTTCATACATCTTATCACTTCATATTGTTCTTGATAACCTGATTCAGAAATTACTGCAAGGGGGGCATGCATCTGACCCATTAGTTATAAAAACTTTCTGATTTCTTCGCCCAGGAATGGATCACTTGAAGTCTCCATGTCGCGGAATTGTGAAAGACATTAGAGGGAGAGCACCTTGCTATAAGCAGGATTGGACGGCCGGCATACGTTCTGGCTTTCGGTAAATCTAATCTGTTCACCCGGGAATCTACCTGATCCGACGACTCTCTGTCCAAGCTTCTTACCTTGTTTCATTCATCAATGGCAGGTTGTTAGCCCCCACCACGTACATCTTCTTCGCTTCTGCTCTGCCAGTCATCGCATTTGGCGAACAACTAAGCCGAGAAACAGGCGAGTCCCCTCCCTCTCCACAGACAAAGCAGAGCTCTTTTTACATCCAGATACGGGCTGTTCATAAACTTGCGAAGAATAATGGTCTGATAATTTATTTCCCTCCTGACTGGTTCATGAACAAGTGCGCAGATGGAAAACTGAGCACAGTCGAAACCTTGGCCTCCACGGCCATATGCGGGGTTATTCATGCGATATTTGGAGGCCAGCCGATGCTGATACTGGGTGTTGCCGAACCCACCATAATCATGTACTCATACTTGTACAACTATGCGAAAGGAAGGGAAGGTCTAGGTGGGCGCCTGTTCTTGGCCTGGACTACATGGTAGTAAGAACAGCACGAGGTGTCAAGTTTTTGGTTCCTCGAGAAGCTCCTTTGGTCGACCAGTTGACCTCGTGAGAACTTGTTGCAGGGTTTGGATATGGACCGCACTCATGCTGTTCCTGCTCGCCGTGTTCAACGCCTGCGCGCTCATCAGCAGATTCACGAGGATCGCCGGGGAGCTGTTCGGAATGCTCATCTGCGTCCTCTTCATTCAGGAAGCCATCAGGGTAAGCCCTGGGACCCATGATTCTGAAAGGGAAGTGAGATGTGCTCCCCGTTGACTTCTCCATCTCAGGGTCTTGCGAGCGAATTTGAAGTTCCAGACGGGAAGGATCGGAACTTAACGACTTATCAGTTCCACTGGGTCTACGCAAACGGCCTGCTGGCTATCATATTCTCTGCCGGGCTACTCTACACCTCCCTGAAGACCCGAAGAGCAAGATCATGGCGATACGGAACAGGTCGGTGGGCTCTCTCTCTCTCTCTCTCTCTCTTCGTTCCCTTCTCAGATTCCATCGGTGAAGAACTCCGAATCGGCTTATCTGTGCAGGGTGGCTGAGGAGCTTCATCGCCGACTATGGGGTCCCTTTAATGGTGCTCATATGGACGGCTCTGTCATACACCTTACCAGGCAAGATCCCTTCCGGCGTCCCTAGACGGCTCCAGAGTCCTCTTCCATGGGAGTCCGCCTCCGTCTCCCACTGGACTGTGGCAAGGGTAGGTACCCCATATCCATAACCCTCTTGGAAGCTCCAATTCGCCTCCATTGGATCTCATAATCGAAGCCCCGGCGATGGTTTTGGCAGGATCTGCTGAAGGTTCCGCCGGCGTACATCGCCGGTGCTCTGATTCCGGCGACTATGATCGCGGGGCTCTACTTCTTCGACCACAGCGTGGCCTCCCAGATGGCGCAGCAGAAGGAGTTCAACCTCAAGAACCCCTCCGCCTACCACTACGACATCCTGGTCCTCGCTTTCATGGTACCTCCCCACTCGTTCCTTCCTCTTCACCTTCATTCCCCTGCGACTTCAGGTCTTCTTCCCTGATTCTCGGGGGACGATTTCAGGTCCTAATCTGCGGGCTACTGGGGCTTCCTCCTTCGAACGGGGTCCTCCCGCAGTCCCCCATGCACACGAAGAGCCTCGCCGTCCTCAAGAAACAGGTCTATTGCAGCCCGAAACTCCGGGGCCTTCTTTTTCACCGGTCTTTCTTCTGAGAGTGGGATGGCGGCTACTGGTTCTCGCAGCTGATACGCAGGAAGATGGTTCGGACCGCCAAGGAGAGCATAAAACAGCGGGCCAGCGACTCAGAGATCTACGAGAAGATGCAGGAGGTGTTCGTAGATCTCGACGATGGCGGCCGCGTGGTAATCTCCAGCCGACACTTTTGCTGTTACTCCTTTTCCGAGGGGATTCTCTCTCTCTCTCTCTCTCTGTGTTGAAAGGCATAAAAATTCAACGAACAGAACACCTCGGTGGAAGAAGAGCTGAAAGATCTCAAGGACGCCGTCATCGGGGGCGGCGACGGCGACCGAGGGGAGCTAAGGGCGCCGTTCGACCCGGAGAAGCACATCGAGTCTCACTTGCCGGTGCGGGTCAACGAGCAGCGTGTGAGCAACCTCCTGCAATCCATGCTCGTCGGCGTCTGCGTGGCGGCGGTGCCAGCGATCAAGACGATCCCCACCTCCGTCCTCTGGGGCTACTTCGCCTACATGGCCATCGACAGCCTCCCCGGTAACCAGTTCTGGGAGAGGCTCCTCTTCCTGTTCATCACCCCTCGACGACGCTACAAGTAAGCCTCGAGCTAAGCTACTCTAAGACCCTTGTTTCCTCTGTTTCCTCTGTCTCTGGATTCTCCCTGACCGGAGCGGGGCTCGCAGGGTGCTGGAGGAGGTCCACGCCTCGTTCGTGGAGAGGGTACCCTTCAAGTACGTGGCCGGTTTCACGGCCTTCCAGTTGGCGTACCTGCTGCTCTGCTTCGGGGTCACCTGGATCCCCATCGCGGGGATCCTCTTCCCGCTGCCCTTCTTCCTGCTCATCCCCATACGGCAGCACCTTCTCCCCAGGTTCCTCCCCTCACGCCACCTGCGGGAGCTCGACGCCGCCGAGTACGAGGAGATCGTAGGAACCCCCCGCCGCCGCCGGTCGGGCTTCACCCAAGACGTACAAACCAAAACCCATCATCAATATCATCACCATCATCACCATCATCATCACCCATCATCGTTATTGAATTGGTGGGTGGGTGGGTGGGTAGCAGGAGCAGGAGGACGGGTCGCCCTTCGCCTGCGACGCGGAGATCCTCGACGAGCTCACCACCAGCCGCGGGGAGATCAAGCTCAGGACCATCAGCTTTAAAGAAGACAGGGCAAGCCCCTCTCCGCTTTCTCTATCTCTCTTGTGGCAGCAGCTGATTCTCAGGGGGTGGTGTGTATTGCAGGTACACCCAGAGGGAGAATCTCCCCGGGGCGGCGTGGGGGAGATTCGCAGAGCATTATCGCATCCGCCGTCGGGGGTCCGGTAAAGTGTGGATGTACAGAGCAAGCAGGTGGACAGGAGATTTTTGATTCGTCCAATAAAATATTCCATCCCCGACAAAAACCACTTCCTATCGGAGTCAGCGATGGGAACTGCCAGGACGGAGAGAGAGAGAGAGAGAGGGGCTAAACGTCACGTCAGAGTCGCTCAACTTAGAATCGTCCACGTCATCTGCGACAAAATGGCGTCGCCACGTGGATCCAGAAAGATCGGAATCGGAGTGATAAAAACAGACTTATTTACTGCACCAGGGAAGGGAGAGAGAGAGAGAGAGAGAGAGAGAGAGAAAGAGAGAGAGAGAGAGATCGATAGGTGATCAACAGGATCTGGTGCACCCCCGTGTTCATTATTCTGGGGAGGGACCTTATTCGCCACCGCTGCCGTTTGCCAAGGGCATCTTGTCCCCTCCACCGGCGCTTCGCCCGGCTGCAGCCAGATCCACGGAAGGCGGTGGGTGCGTGCCTTTGCCACGGCCGTCGTCCGGCATAAGAACAGGGACGACGTTGGTCACCAGACTGACCCCTGAAAGAAGAGGATGGATCTACAACGTCACACTCACAGAGAGAAGGCTCGCTCTTCGTCAGGTGGATCAATCACATTCAACAAGAAGAGAAGAATCATCTCGGCGAAAGATCACCGGGAGGAGGAAACAGGGCAAGAACAAAACCGACTCCTATTCAATACATAAATGATCAAGACGACGATGACAGACAAAAAATGAAAAAGTTCAAGAGGGGCATCTGGGGTAACTCTGTCACTCTTCCGGCAACCCCTGTTCTTGATGGCTCGCATTCTAGGGGATCTCCCTCCAACAGTTGACCCACCACGTGCATTTCTGTAGCCATCCTTTCCTCTTCTCCCCAGCCCCACAATGTTTGCTGCTCTTGCCTCCTGATCAGAAATCACGGTCACCCAGAGCTCGAGCAATGCACCCGGAGTGATGGCTGACCTCACTCAAGCTAAGGTCGTCCAAGTATGTTCATGAGCTCTTACTTCTCATGAAACTGGGACTAGATGGGGGATAAGAGCATAAAACCAGAGGACCAATCCCATTGACGTCTGAGGGATCTTCACCCGCTTCTCTAGTTTCTTTCTTGCTCCCCCCCGCTCCCACCGACAGGAGGAATTGCGCCGGAAATCGTCCCCGCTCCATTTTTTTTCTTGGTCATCGTCTTAACCTAGCATGTGTCTTCCGGTTTGCATCGAAAATAATGGTAAAAGGGAACCATAAAAACCGGATTAGGTAGCACAACTGCCAAAAGTTTCTTCCACCCCGGAGAATCAGGAGGGCAACAACGCCGCCGAGTTGGAGATGCTCATCTCAGAGGACCCAACAGTATGGCAGGCCTCTCGCCATGAAGCGGCCGCTGAAATTTCCAGAATAGGAGGCAGGAGAGAGCACTATAATAGGCATGTGACCTCGAGGGCGTGATTTCCCGAGAGGGGGGGAGGAGTGTACGCCGACTGCGGTATCTATATTTTTCTTGGATTTAGATTCTGGAGGCTTCTTGTTGAATAGAGCGTAAGATCATATTCGGCCGAGAACACCGAAGAACATTGCAGAATATCCTCCCGGATATGGAGCTTAATGTGATTTCTTTTCCGAGGAAACGATTGAATACGAAAGAATTAAAGCGTGCAAGAAGATCGAAAACAGTAGAGAACAGCCCAACCAGAGGCCGCCTCGTTTGTTTTCCCCCTTTTTCTAGGTCGGGAGTTCGAAAGGCTTACGTGGATTGGAGAAGAACCAGAGGATGAAGGCGCAGGTGATGAGGATGACAGGAATGAGATGGATGGCGCTCTCCGCGGACCTCGAGCGGGCCGCCTCCTTCTTGGCGAAGGTCGACTGAGGGTCGTACTTTGGCAGCAGGCTGTCCGATTCCGCGGTCCCTTCCACCGCCGACAGCCGCCTCGTCTGAATCCCCGGAGGCGGCGACACCCCGCCGGCAGGCGGCAACGTCCCCGCCGGCATCGTCCCCACAAAGTGCTCCTCCGTCGCTCGCGCCGTGCTCCCCGTCCTCTGCATCCCCTCCCCCCGGGAAAGAAGAAGAAGAAGAAGAAGAAGAAGAAGACTCAGACACTCCGACGACAGGAGAACGCACTACGCCGTACTCTAACAAAAGGACCCGCAGAAAGGGTAAAATAGGAAATACAACGTATATTTTTCTCTCTCTCTGCCTGCCCGCGAATCAGGCCGCGCGAGCGGGTGGAGAATCGCTGTAGAAAGTGGGACCCACATCAGAGCCTCCACGTCCTAAACAACATCCAATCATAGACTAACAAGGTTTAAGCGAAAACCAATCATGAGATGACACGTCAAATGAGGACCCTGAAACCTTCTCCGGTGATCCTCGAGAGAAACCCACGCGCAGAAGGCTTTTCTTTCTCGAAGAAGAAGAAGAAGAAGAAGAAGAAGAAGAAGAAGACCGGTAGGACCCCTGCATCTGTATGCATGGATATGAGCGAATTGAATGGGCGATATTTGCAGGATAAATAAAAATACAAATAAATAAAATAATATGTATAAACTGGAAACAGGCCGTATGGAACCTCTTTTTTTTTAATAATAATAATAATATAAAAAAAACAGGTTTGGTCGCAATCGGAGAAGGCAAGGGCTGCTGAGAAGCCGGCGGGTTCTACCCGGGTTTCTGAAGGGGCAGTCGGTGGCTGTTGCTGCTCGGCTCCGATAACAGGTACCGGAGAAGAGGGGCCACAACTGCCACGCTCAGGCTGTTCCCTAGCAACGCATACCTGCAGAGGAAGTTCTTCACAAGTCAACCCTGACGTGTTCTTCTCAAATATATCTAATACATATACATCAGGTCGGTCGCTGATAAATCCAAATAAATTGGATGGTACGATGCTGGTTTTTATTTTTTATTTTTTATTTTTTTATTTTTTATTTTAAATAAACAAAACCCCCAGTGCGAAGTCCCACGATGAGTCTCTCATCTGGGAGTAACTCCTCTCCTCAGACCGTCCCCTGCTTTTCTACTCCAGAACAGGAAGAACATTTAACCGTGGTTGATTCCTTCACAGTCAACGCCAACCTTCCTTCTTCTAAGCTCGACAGGTAGGAAACTAACCCGACAGGCAGGTAACCAGATCAATCGGATGCGGTCGTCATTATGGCAATATTTTTGTAAATAAATTGTGGGTGTTCTTGAAAAAAATGAGGTGCAGAAGCCTCACAATGAGGATGCGAGTTTCCTAAGAAGAATACAGCTAAACCAGAGGAAAAAAATAAGGTTTTTTTTAGAAAAAGAAGCTCTGGTGGGTTTCCCCGGCATCTCATGAGGAGAAAGAAGATGGGTTTCAGCAGTAAAGAAGATATTTTCTGTCAAATCTGCCGATGAGAGAGGGTAGTTACCTCTGACGAAGGCTTATATGCGGTGGAAAGTCAAAATCCTCCGGGAATGAATGCAGATTGGCAACCTGATAAGGAACAAATTTATATATATACAGACATGAATAAAAATTAATGCCAGGATAAATATGTATGCATCTGAAAGTACACAGCAAGATGGGCACCTCTCGTGGAGTGAAATATCTCAGACCCAGGTCTTCCAATGAGAGTTCACCCTTATCCACAGACTGCAAGAGAGCAATTTTTTTGGCAGCAGATGTTATTGTAGAAAGAGCAAACAGAGACGCCAATCGTTAAGAAGCAGACACACAGATGAGAAGTTTTGCCCAGCTATCAGATGCGTTCTCACTTGAACAGTCGCCAGAAGAGAGCCCGTACCCTTCACATAACGATAATAACTCTTGGTGAAACAGCAGCAGCGCCTAGAACTGGGGAAGACGATATCTGTTTGCAGATTTCAAGGACTTGGCACGGGAAAACAGGAACTATTTAGATGAATCCGGATGGAAAAATGTGTAAATAAATAAGATAATAGATTCCGTGCCATATGAATGGGGAAATCATAGTCGAAGGATACCCATGGCTCCTCCCCATCTCTCTATCAGACTACGGGGGACTGCATAGACATTGGGGAACTCATGGTCGGCGCCATTCTCGTCCAGATAGCTGCATGCTTTGCATAGCTGCTCCAGTGCAGGATGCTCGTCAGGAGCCTCATCTATATTCTTTTCGCCAGACAAGTTTGACTTTGGGTTCGCTGGGAGAACACCAGAAGAAAAGCTTCCCTGCAGAAATTTTTTGATGGGTTCACAGGGCACTAGAGACGTCTCCGCCACTGTGCTTGGGTAAGAGCCTTCATCTTTTGCCACATGGTCGCTATTTTCTTGGAGAAAAGGGAAGGGCGCCAAGAGAAGCTGCCCATCGACGGATGAATGTGGAAAAGACAAGGGCCTCCTTTTTGCCTGCAATCAAGAAAGAGAAAACCTTTACTTCTCAACAAATCTAACTATAGAATCAAGCCACCGAATGAGTTCTTGGGAGCATAGTCTTTTCTTTTTTCAGGTTTTCTGTGTTGGATGGACCTCGCATAATGGGTATCAAATACCATGGAAACAGGATATTCTCCCTCTCACCATATATCGGCGATATATAGACAGAGAAAGAAGTCAAACGCTCATATGCCGATAAGATGTTGACCACGATTGACCAAGGTACCCTCCATGCCATGATGTAGCAACTTCTCAGATAATTACTTTGATGTTCATTAATGTTTTGTCGAGAAGCTGCAATGATGGATGGATGGATGGATAGATAGATAGATAGATAGAGAGAGAGAGGCGTACCAGGCAAAAGTATCGAGGCCTGGAATACGGGATCCCAAACTGCAGCGGGCTCAAGATGTATTCCTGGGTGGTGAAACCAGTTTTGATCAAGATATCGATCAGCTGATCGTGGGTATCTGATGTCTGCAACAAGAAATACGAAATTGAGAAGATTAGCAGGTTCCACTGAGGTAATTCAGAATAAACAGCTCTTGAGACGTGAATGGCACAAATGTATGGACCTCGAAACCAACGACATTCTCCACAAACAAGGCCGCCGGGGGCTGCCGCATGTGGGGAATAAGTTCGAGGATCTTGATGAAAGAAGACGCGCGAGCATCGGCCGAGTGTTTCTGGAGACCTACAAGGATTGATTTCTCGTCACAGAACGCTCCACGACAATACCATAAGCTTTGATGAGAGGTTTTGGCAAGAGCATCCGTGCTCCGACCGCCAACCTTGACGGGTGTAAGGCTGGCAAGGCGGGGACATGAGCCAAGCATCTGCTCCGTACTTGTCGAGCTCATCGGAAGAGAGACTCTGAATGTTACCCTTCAGGAATCCATAAAAAACGTCAACGCAGATGTGATTGGCACAGCTAAATCTTCATCAGTGGTCACCGAATCCGGTAGACAGAATGAACGACACAAGGTTTCGAAGTTGAACATTCTGATAAATTCTGCAGTATTCTCGATGCTCGGCGAGAAAATTAACGGTGGTGGGCAGAGGTAGCAACGATAACAATCGGAAGATCACCATGGACGTGAGAAGCGCGGGGAATGGTAGACTTCGGAACGACGACACGCTCACCTGGAAAGGGCGATGGCCGAAATTATGCTCATAAACGTCGTTCGCGCAGTCGTTGATGTCGAAGGCCTCCATCACCTCCCCTCGCACCCCCGCCTTCGCCAACGAGTACCTCTTCATTCCCATATCAGAGACTTGAGGGCCGTTTCCAGAGAACAAGCAAAACCCTAGAAACCCCAGATGGAACAGCAACAAAAAAGAGCAACAGTGCCTACCATGCCCCCGATGCCGCTGTAGAATTCTAGGATCCTCCACGGCGCCTTCTCCGCCTCCATCGCCGTGGCCCTTCTCTCCTCCTCCCCCCTCCGCTCTAAACTGAACCCTGATGGCCGGTGGTCAACAGATGTCAGAGCCGCCGCACTTGGAGAAGCCACCGGAGCCAGTCGCGCCGCACTCTCGGGCTCCGATTCCTCTCCCAAAATCACTTCCACAGATGCATTCTTCGTCGGAGTAGTATCAATAAAAATCAACTGTTTCTGCAATGCTTACCCTAATAACAGTACCTTCACCAGAAGATCGATGGCTAAAAGGAGTTGCTGCTATCCGATCCTTCTCCACTTTTATGCAAACCCTTTGCCTGCATAATAACGCCCCCTTCGCTTAAAGGGGGAGGGTGGACTTATCATTTAGTTCTACCTACCATCCTTGTTCCTGCTTTCGTGTTCTACTTTGGTCATTTGAATGTTTACTATAGTTTTCATATCTAATTATTTTTTCAAATTTCCACTCTCACCACAACTCAGCATGCATGAGTTTAGTAGTATGATCTTAAAGAGCAAAAATGTTTCTTTTTTTGGAATATGAGTTAGAATATCATACACAAGTGAAAAAAAATATCAAACTATGCTATTTGCTTAGACCTTTTAAGGTAAACAATACATTTAAACTTCCGATTTGATCTGCCACCAAGTATATATTAATCTAGTTAAGTTTTTTCTATCTCTAATAATATATATTAACTACTACAAAAAATGATGTATCTATTACCCATGGATAATTTATTTTGGAGTCCTAATTTGTGATTAGATTGTGAGAAAAATATTGTAAAAGTTATTAAGATAATTTGAGTAATATCGTGTAGGTTTCTCTATAAATTGAAAGGATGATAATGATATCAATAAAGCTTGAGATGGTTTTATATTGTTCTTCCCTTCCATCCTTTGTGATATTAGAAACTTCTTTAGAATAGCTTGTGAGAGTCACTTACCTATAAGCAGAAGGCTAGTTGAGAGGGGAGAGACATCTGCACCTACAACTTTATCTAGGTGTAATAGTAGTATTAGGGTCATGAGAGAGAGAGGACATCAACTCTAAATTGTGAGGATGAAATATGTCTTATAAGAGGCACACATTTCATAGATGAATGCTTGGTTGTAAGAAAAATCCTAACAATCATAGATGGAAGGGCAAGAACTTTGAAATTTATTAGAAGAGCACTCATGATTGATGATTATCAAGTTGAAAAAGTTATAGAGGGATACTCACAAAAACTCTAGTCAAGCGAAACAAACATCACTGAAAGAGCTAAGGGAGGATATGCAAGGCCTTAAGGCCAAGGTCTATCAATTGAGGAGGAGATGTCTTCAAGTTCTGAAGAAGAAAACCTCATAAGTACTTAACCCAAGGCTATTTGTAGGGACTTGCAATGCATCAGAGATCAACAATTTCATTTAGGACTTAGAGGAGTACTTAGAAAATCATGAGGTGAAAGATGTCAAAAGACCAAGTGTGATAGTAGATTCATCATAGAGATTGCAAAGATTTGGTGACACTTCAGGTCAAATTGATTCACCTAAGACTTGAGAGGATTTTTCTATAAAATTCTAAAACTACTGTAGGCTAGCAAACAAAGTAGATGTTGCAATAAATAAGATGTTGGCTCTCAACTTGTTGATCTCACGTTAAAAAGTTTAGAGAAAGAGGTGGAGGCGGTCAAACTCATCATCGTCATGAAACTTATAGGAACTAAAAGGAGAGTAGTTGGAGTTCAATTGCCAACTTGGAGTCATTGTTGAATCTCTAGAGTAGCTTCAATTTTAGTTAAATCGTCCATCATAATGGGCTAGAAAACAAGAACAGTGAATGACTAGCCAACATAATTTAGTCAACTACTAATTACATCGCCCAATCATCATCATTTAGAGGATAATTTAGGAAATTCTCTAGCTCCAAAAATTGTGTCTTGACGTTGACTTGACCTCCTAATTTTTACAAGCATTGACCTTGAAGGATAGATATTTTACATCGAACTCTATTTATTCACCTACTATGTACCAACACAAGAAAAATTAGCACATGCTATCCTCTACATGGAAGGATGAGCACTCCACTAATTCTACTAGGTTGAGGAGTGACATCCCTTCTACATGTGGGATGATTTTAAGCGTAAGCTTCTACAATATTTCAGCATCGTGCAATCAAACATCTTGTGTTAACAATTTTTAGAGATGTCACAAATAAGAATAGTCAACGAATACAAAGAGGATTTTGAGTGCCTAGAAATATCCCTAGAGATATCCTTGACGTGACCTCCCTAAAAGGCCTTCGCAAGGGTATTTAAGCTGAGGTTTACATCCTTAATCTGATTGGATTGGAAGCTATTATGGCCACTGCTCATTACATTGAGAGAAAGAATTCTACACTCGTAGGGCTTAACTCACCCTCTCAACCCCATAGTCAAAGGAAGGGTCAAAATATTGATGGTCAACAACCTTAGCCTAGTACTTTTTACTAAATGGAAGAGGAGAAACTTTGAATGGAATCACCTAAAGATGGTCTCTTAAATGCGATGGAGTAAAAGAAAAGGCTCAATCTATTTTCACTATGATGATAAATTCTCTCCAAGCCACTAGTGTAGGAAGGATCTACTCATTCTCTCCGCTCGTTTCGAGTTTAACTTTTCACAAGAGCTAGCCAAGGAAGAAGCCCTAGTCAAATTGGAAAACAAAGAAGATGTATATGGAGGTATCTTTGAACTCATTAGTAGAAAAATGATCTACTTGATCTTTAAGATTTTGAGGAGACATCATATAACTATTCATCTCTATTCTAGTGGATACCAAAGCCGCTCACAACTTCATCAACCACAAGTTGACACAAAATCTGAACTTGCTAGTGTCCAAAATAGGTAGGTTCAAAGTCATGACAAATACTAATGATGGAGTGCTCAAGATGGAAGTTTGCCGCTCCTTTCCTATCAACATGTAAGCACTAACAACTTATGAGGACTTCCTAGTCCTTTCCCTTGACCACAATGGGCATCATCCTTGGCCTTAGATGAATGAGAGATCATTGGAAGATTGAAATAGATTTTGAGGTTTGGACCCTCTTGTTCTAAGTTGAACGAATCATCCCTTACTCTACAATCATTGGTGGGCCACATTCGACAAGATGAATTATACATCAAATTATACATGTTGTCTTCATCATATATCAAAGCAGAGCATTTGCCATTGGCTACTATATCGCAATAACATTTCCAATGGTATTTATAGACCTTAAGGGCCTCCCACCTAATTGTGGGCTGGATCATAGGATCTTGCTGAAATCATAAACCAAATTAATGCATGCCTAGCCTTTCTAATATCCGTATTATTGAAAAAATGAGCTAGAGAAATGACTCTGTAAAATGTTGTCCCTAGGGGTCATCTAACATTCTCAAAGCCTATTGTTTAACTCAATCTTTCTCATAAGGAAGGACATATCATGGTGCTTTTATGTGGATTATTATACAACCAACAAGTTGAAGTAGGACAAAATATTATGATCATTTACTTTAAGTTTTCTAGATTTTATAAGAAAATAATTTTCACGTGAATTCTCAAAAATACTCATTTAAGCAATAGATTGTATTTAAGTCATTAGATCTCTGGTGATGGGGTCACAGTAGATCAAGACAAGGTAATAGTAGTGTAGAGGTGGCCGACTACTTTATATCTCTAAGAACTCTATGAATTCTTGAGACATATAAATTATTATTGGTACTTCAATAAATATTATATTTCTAAGGTTTGGCCTCTCACACAGTAGTTGAAAGATGCTTCTAGATGAAATACAAATGTTGACACAACTTTCAAGATATAAAAATAACTTTCATCATAGTACATGTTCTCTTGTTGTCAAATTTTGTCCATTGTCTTTATGTTAAAGGCATACACATCTCTCAAAAGAGCTAGGGCCATCTTAATGTGAAGGAGAAGGCTCATGTCTACTTTAGTCAAGTGTTGACAACCATTGACAAATTGAAATCCATCTATGAACACAAATTGATAATAATTATTCTTGTGATTTTCAAATGAAAATATTATCTCCTCTAGCACATGAAAGTCATCTATATTGATCATAAGAGTTTCAAATATACTTTATCTTTAGCTCTTGATGACATTTGGCTTTAAATAATAGAGTTGTTGCACACAAAATTACTAGATGTTGAGGTAATAAAAATAGAAATCTACGAAAGCATCTAATTTAGTAAAATCCTCTTAGATCTTCCTCGACATCATGAGATAGTGGCCACATTATTCCCTACAACATAAAAACCTATTTTTAAGAGGTAAACTTATTTTATCCACAAACTTGACACTCGTTTTGTAAATCTTACAAGAATTTCATGACTCGACTATTAGTGGTTATTCAAGTTTTCATCGAACTTTTATACAAATTGTTTGAAACATGAGGTGGAGAGGGATGAAACAGTGGGTGTGTTCATACATTTCTACTAGTCATGTTTGTCAATGTATCAAAATAGAGGCATTATCTTCAGCTAGCTTTCTTCAACCTCTTGATTATAGATCAAAATATGAGCATATTTAATCATAGATTTAATTGAAGGTAGTGGATCATCTATCTAAGAGGACATTTTTTCCCTATTAGACACTCATTCACAATTGTGAAAATAACCCATACCTTTATTGATGATGTGGTGTAACTTCATGGAATTTCATAGTCAATTATTTATGATAGCGAATGATCTTTTTAAGCTCTTTCTAGCATGAATTATTTTGACTTCATGACACTTTGATGTGGAGAACAAACGCTTATGACCTACAGTCTGATGGGTAGAGTGAAGTGGTCAATCAAGGATTGAAAACTTACCTTAGATGATTCATAAGTGATCTACCCAAACACAAGACTAAATAACTTTCATGAGCTGAATTAGTTCAACACAAACTTCAACAGCTCATTTGAATAGTCTCCATTTTATATCATGTATGGTTGAGACCCACCCACCTTGTTGCGATATTGAGCTCAGTCGCTAACCGAAACTAAAGTTGAT